TCACAAAAAACAACACATGTTCTTAGGGGACATTCAGGCAAAATTCGGAAATGCATTTCAGAAATTGAACATGTACCTGGTGGATATTACTCTGTAGTCCACCGTTTGGAACATCAAAATAGACCTGAGCTTGCGTGTGAACTTGCCATTTTAAACCAAGTGCATGGTAAATGCAAGTTGCAGCCAAAATTTATGGCATCTGATTTACAAAAAAGCTGATGCATCACGGTTGCAATAAAGGCAAAAAACCCCAGAAATTTGGTTTAGTTTTTGGATATATAATTTGGAGATATTACCATGCATGTTTATTACAAATCAATTTTGCTTAATAATACGGCGAAACAAGGGGATATACTTCAGGGGCCGGTTGTATGAAAGCTGGATAGCGCTATCCACCGGATAGTGATTTTTTCAACCGTTCTAAAAATGCTCGAAAAGCGACAAAATTTTAGCTTGAAAGCAACAATTATTAAAGAGGATCCTCGATTTAGGAATACTGAAATTTAATCAAAGTTGTGGCAAATAACGGGCGATTTTGAAGCGATTGAAAAAACCACTATCCGGTGGATAGCAGTAGATAACCCCCCCCATATAGGGATCAAAGGGTGCCGACACAATAGGTTCACGTGAACAAAAATTACGATTCACGTGAACAAAGACCATGCGTTTGCACGTGGGCATGGGTCATGGATCATGTGAACAAAGAAGTCATGATTCACGTGGACAATGACCATGAGGTACATGTGAACAGGGATCATAAATCATGTGGGATGGAGACTTTCCATCACGTGAATAGGGATCATTGAATATGTGTACAGTAGGACGCATTTAGAGTGTAAATGAGATCATTTACAATTATTTTAATATGTTATAAAATTTAAAAGATAATTCACAAATTTCTTCTGCTTTTGCCTCGTTCACGGAGATCTATACCAGCCAAGAAGTATTTTATAATTTTAATACAGTATAAACCTTTTTTTTAAAAAACCCCGACTGTTCTTACATGGAATATTTCGGTTCACAAACACGAAAAATTAGTCCAAGAAATACTCCAAACATTTTGCTAAATTAGTTCCTTTCTGCCGAGTATACGTCCATCAATTGCAAGTATGGCAGCGCGAATATTTGTTCAAATTCTCTTTTGTGGGTTTGCTGTACTTTAGCACATCATATGCTTCGCCAACTGCTTGCCAAGCCTAGTTTTGTTTTCCTCTGCTTTTGCCTCGTTTACGCAGATCTACCGACCAAGCGATCTGGGTTCCTTCTGCTGATTTTTTCAATTTTAATTTCCTCTGTATGAAGTTTATTAATGTTAGCCATAATCTCATCTCTGGCTAAAGTCTTCACTGTTGTTAATCAACACCGTACATTTGTTTAAATGAATGAGTCATTTTAGCATGAGTAAATTGGTGCTAATAATTAAGAAATGTAAATGAAGGGATTTCGCACGGTTGAGCACATCAAGTTAGATCCTGTTTACACTGTACCCGATTCGCATGGTCACGACATCAGTTTACGTTGTTTTACCGTATATTTGTCCCCCAGAACTTTTTTCATTTGTCAGATCATGCTAAAGTAACCATGCACCAAACGTTTGGAGGTGAAACCCGTTGACATGATTATTTTGATGTCGTGACCATGCGAATCGGGACTAAGAGGCCACTTGGGGGATGTAATTAGGCGCTTGCAAAATTAAATGCGTGGAAGAGCACGTTGTGGATGTAATGAGACCGGCTAGCAAATGATATGCATGGAGAGAGCACGTTGTGGATGTAAATGAGGGGCGTGCGAAATTAGACAAACGTGGGTATGCTAAAGAGGAATGTGAGACACATGAACAGAGTGTGCAAGTGGTGTGATTAACACGTCGTCCACGCAAATGAATAATCCTTGAGTAATATGGGTTACAATTTTGTGGAATGAGCCGATGAGCACATGAGCTAACTGCTCATAATTGCTCGTAACTGCTCATAACTGCTCATGAGAACATGCTCAACTGCTCGTAGACATTTTTAATACCAAACTATTAATAGTTAATATCAGATTTGGGTAGATTTTGAGGCAAAATGGGTTGCAATTTGGTGCAATGAGCGTATGAGCATGTGCTCATAACTGCTCATAACTGCTCGTGGACACATGCTCAGCTGCTCATAGCTGCTCTGCTCATAACTGCTTAGCTGCTCATAGCTGCTCATAGCTGCTCATAGCTGCTCATAGCCGCTCATGCGCTCATAAAGCTGCTCATAGCTGCTCATAGCTGCTTCATGAGTTAATCGGCTTCTGTGCTCATAAAATTCAGTTACTGCTCAATAACAAACCATTTTTACACAATCAGTCCTAAGGGAATGAGCTGCCAGTTTTGCGGGAAACACTTTAGACGCGGTTACAATCTGCGCAGACACGAACGGGAATATTGTCCACTAAAACAGCAAGAAAGAGGCATGTCTCGAAGAGGCTCGGACAGTCAAGAAAGGGATTTGCAGGACGATGTCTCGACCACTTCATCTGTAAAGTCTGAAAGTTCGATGACGACTGACTCAGAAACTGAAGAAAAAATGGATCCATGGATACCCCTAATAGAAGAAGCAAAGCAAAAAGTAATACAGATTTCGAAGAAGAAAGAAAGCCTTATAAACACTGGCCTGGATGAGCAATCTGCTAAGGAGAAAGCTTACTCGAATATTATGCCTATACTCCAGAAAGAATTGGAAAATATTTATTTGGAACGCTTCTGTGGATGAGACAACTAAAGAAAGATCCAGTACATAAGAAAATAATGCACACAAAAGATGCGTTCGTTGAAAATGACGATTTTGATCCAGAAGAGGCAATAGAAGCTGCTGTTGATAAGAGAAAGTTTCTTATTAAAAGGCTTTTAAACAATCACCAGGAGGATGAAGAAAGAAAATACAGATAGCGATTATGATGATTAGAAATAATGATTTACTAAACCATTCTTATAAGAAACCAAAACGAACAAAAAGAGATAAAAAACGATTTAGAAGAAATTATTATAACAGAAAAATAAATGTTAAAATCGTTATTCCAATGATTGTCTTTGTTATTTCGTTCAACCAGTATGTTACTTTTCTGGCCTAATACTAGTAATAGTTTAATTTGGACTATTAAAAATTGGCAATGAGAAGTTGAGCAAAATGAGCTATGAGCAGCTATGAGCGGCTATGAGCAGCTATGAGCAGCTATGAGCAGCTATGAGCAGCTATGAGCAGCTATGAGCAGCTATGAGCAGCTATGAGCAGCTATGAGCAGCTATGAGCAGCTATGAGCAGCTATGAGCAGCTATGAGCATGTGTCCACGAGCAGTTATGAGCAGTTATGAGCACATGCTCATACGCTCATTGCACCAAATTGCAACCCATTTTGCCTTCAAAATCTACCCAAATCTGATATTAATACTATTTAATAGTTTGGTATTAAAAATGTCTACGAGCAGTTGAGCATGTTCTCATGAGCAGTTATGAGCAGTTACGAGCAATTATGAGCAGTTATGCTCATGTGCTCATCGGCTCATTCCACAAAATTGTAACCCATATTACTTTCAAGGATTATTCATTTGCGTGGACGACGTGTTAATCACACCACTTGCACACTCTGTTCATGTGGTCTCACATTCCTCTTTAGCATACCCACGTTTGTCTAATTTCGCACACCCCTCATTTACATCCACAACGTGCTCTCTCCATGCATATCATTTTGCTAGCCGGCTCATTTACATCCACAACGTGCTCTTCCCACGCATTTAATTTTGCAAGCGCCTAATTTACATCCCCAAGTGGCCTCTTAGTCCCGATTCGCATGGTCACGACATCAAAATTAATCATGTCAACGGGAGTTTCACCTCCAAACGTTTGGTGGCATGGTTACTTTAGCATGATCTGACAAATGAAAAAAGTTCTGGGGGACAAATATACGGTAAAACAACGTAAACTGATGTCGTGACCATGCGAATCGGGTACAGTGTAAACAGGATCTAACTTGATGTGCTCAACCGTGCGAAATCCCTTCATTTACATTTCTTAATTATTAGCACCAATTTACTCATGCTAAAATGACTCATTCATTTAAACAAATGTACGGTGTTGATTTAACAACAGTGAAGACTTTAGCCAGAGATGAGATTATGGCTAACATTAATAAACTTCATACAGAGGAAATTAAAATTGAAAAAATCAGCAGAAGGAACCCAGATCGCTTGGTCGGTAGATCTGCGTAAACGAGGCAAAAGCAGAGGAAAACAAAACTAGGCTTTGGCAAGCAGTTGGCGAAGCATATGATGTGCTAAAGTACAGCAAACCCACAAAAGAGAATTTGAACAAATATTCGCGCTGCCATACTTGCAATTGATGGACGTATACTCGGCAGAAAGGAACTAATTTAGCAAAATGTTTGGAGTATTTCTTGGACTATATTTTTCGTGTTTGTGAACCGAAATATTCCATGTAAGAACAGTCGGGGTTTTTTAAAAAAAAGGTTTATACTGTATTAAAATTATAAAATACTTCTTGGCTGGTATAGATCTCCGTGAACGAGGCAAAAGCAGAAGAAATTTGTGAAAATTATTTTTAAATATAAATTAATAAGATCTCATTTACACTCTAAATGCGTCCTACTGTACACATATTCAATGATCCCTATTCACGTGATGGAAAGTCTCCATCCCACATGATTTATGATCCCTGTTCACATGTACCTCATGGTCATTGTCCACGTGAATCATGACTTCTTTGTTCACATGATCCATGACCCATGCCCACGTGCAAACGCATGGTCTTTGTTCACGTGAATCGTAATTTTTGTTCACGTGAACCTATTGTGTCGGCACCCTTTGATCCCTATATGGGGGGGGTTATCTACTGATAGCGCTATCCAGCTTTCATACAACCGGCCCCAGTTGTCGCCGGCGTGCATAAAAAAAAGCAGACACTGTTCGTTACAATTCCTACTGCCTTTTCAATGATTATTGTCCAGAACTTCCTATATGATCTGGAAAAGCTATATTGCTGAAAAATTTAAGATGTTAAACTAGCTAGTAATAGAGTCACGATGAAGATGTGAACCATTGAAGACAAACTTGCTGTCCCACAACACGGTGCTTCTGTGGTCGAGTTACCATTCATTGTCCTGCTGGTCGTGTTGGTTGTGGTGTTTGATGTTGGAACTGTCATGTCGGTCCCAATAACTATGGCGGTTATAGGCGGTTCTGTTTTGTCCTTCGGGATTTCAATGTCCTTAATTGAGATATTCTTAGCTGTGTTTTCATCAGGGAGATTCTGACAGAACATCATTGCACTGTTTGTGAGAATGGTACTGTTTGCAGATTCCACACTAAAAGAAAGATATTTATTATGGTAATGGCTCGAATGTGTCAGGGGCAATGCAGGAGTTCTAAACGCTTATATGCATTGGAATGGCCTTGAAATATCGCTGAAATAAACCTTCGTTAGTTGATTATATAGGTGAAAGAACTACGATTAAGTTGCACTTCACTCGATGCAGGTAAATTTTAGAGGTTTGAAGGTTCTTAATTTCGAGTGGAATTACACACACTTCAAATTCAAGCCAGGAACAGTTGATGGAAAAATGAGTCAACTACAGGTCCTCCGGCAAGAATCGAACTTACGCTTTTGCGATGCCGGTGCAATGCTCTTGCCATTGACATCGCAATAGCGTAGGTTTGATTCCTGCCGGAGGACCTGTAGTTGACTCATTTTTCCATCAACTGTTCCTGGCTTGAATTTGAAGTGTGTGTAATTCCACTCGAAATTAAGAACCTTTAAACCTCTACGATTAAGTTTATCATTTTATGCAGATTCAACACGTCTGCTTTCAACAATCTTTCTTACCATTTCATGGTGTTACGGCATAAATTTCTACCAAGCAGGGAAACCACGTATGTTTCATCCCTTGTACAAGCTGGGAAACCAATGTAACACATTGCTCTAAGGACACTATTCGTGCAATTTTTGGTCACATTGTTTTCTTTCAACATCCTTTCTGCTGTTCTCCTTATTTCGACCAATGACGTAAAGTTGACAAATTGTGGAACCTATAATATGAATAAAATCTAATCTTAAATTTACATTGTGAGATCTTAAGTTGTGAGAGACACTGAACTCTATGCAAACTGGAACGATAACTTGGTCGCGCCAACAAAAATAATAGAAGGGAAGTGGCACTGGTGCCCAATTCGGCTATAAATTAGCAACCGAATAATCCTATGGGAGAACTGTCAGTTATCGTTCCAGTTCACATATAGAGTTCAGTCAGTTCACTGCCGCGGTAGAGACAATTTCCTCGAGTCAGTCACGTACGTTATGTAAGCCCGTGCAACGCGGTTCCTTCGATGATGTGTAACCGCTGAGCTTGACTATTTCTAACAGTGAGTGTGCGTTGATGTTTTGTTTATTAAGCTAGAATAAGTTGTCTTAACGGAAGTTTTGAAAAGAGCTATTACGAAGGCATTCCATTGAAACAGTTGTTGTTGACTTGGGCGTAAATTGTGCGTTAAATTGAAATGACATATTTCCTGTTGTATTTATAGGGTTTAATTAGCCTGAGCAACATTGAAAACTCAAAAACTATTCATGGGATTTCTCACGCATATATAATACTAGCTTGGTATAACGTTTTTGAATATTTGTTACTTAAATTCTAACTGGGATAGTCTTTTAGTAACTGGAATGAGTAATTCAGCGTTTCATACTTAAAACACCAGCCTTCTTCAGTTGGTTATCACAGTACTGCTAGTCTGACGGCGAAGTGTTGACTGTTGCTATATAGCGCCTGGTAGTTTTAATATGCAATTCCTGTTTCGAAATATTTCTCAGGGTTTCACTCACAATAGTTATACTAATGCTGGCCTATACTGAGCAACTTGCTATTTGTTTATTACGACTTGATTAGTCTAGTATGTACTTGCTTTGTAATGCCTTAATTATCCATTCGACATTATAACCACTCCTCAATTTGTATATTCGACTCGCTCAAATCTTCGTGATCCGTAGTTGATTAGCAAAGTTAACAGGTGCGAATATGATGTTTCTATAATCTTTTAACTGCTTACCTTATAATTTTGCTTTGGGCATGTATCATTTTCCACGTCAGGATATTCTTTACAAACTTCTGGTATGTCATACCTCACAGTTGCATTCTCGTACTGAGTGCAGTTGAATATATTGTCGAGGTTTATCTTTCCTGTCACGTTGCACTTGTCGCTGGCCGTCATACAATGTCTGTGCACTTTATCCGTGTCCAAATACACGTACCTTAGATTGGTTTCACAGACGTAGATGATTTGTGAACATTGGAACATTTCATTTGCTTTTATGCATTCATCGCTTCCACCAGCAACGCGAAGAGTTTTTGTGGTTATATTCAAAACTTTCTTTATGTTTTCGCTGTTAAACCACGGAAAGTCTCGACTAATATTGGGAACTTTGTGATCAACTGGGCAGACATCGTTGATGGGGTTTGAAATGCAAGATAATTTCGGCAACTTTTGCATAACAAACCCGTAGCCACGATAACCACCTTGGACCTTGGGTAACATGATGCACGCAAAAACCAAATATGTTGCCCAATACATGGTTTTTTATTGTATCGACGTTTTTATTGTTTGAGTGATTGAGAATGGAGAAATATCGCGTGCCGTGGGCCCGTATTACGAGGAGTTAGATGTGATGAGTGACATGAACACTGCAACAGATCTTTTCCATGATGACGTGTGAAGGCGATGCTACGCAAAGTTTGATTGGCTTTGCGAAACTAACGAGCCAATCAAACCAAACTGTCGCTTGACGTCATTAGGAGAAAGGTCTATTTCACAGCTCAGGGGATGTTTACTAAAGATCTCATTGTCTGCCACGAAAAATGGCACAGTTGATCCATAATTTATCATGGCATGTTAATTGAAAGAAAGATGTTGATCTTAATATTGCGAGCGGGCGGGAAAAATTAGGGAGAGAGAGGCGCGGGCAGCATTAGAAATGCGGGTAATGCGAAGGGAAACGCCTGCTGATTAATGATTTCAAGATGGCGTTAGCTAATCCAAAAACTGACTACAAAAACCTTAACCATTTAAGGAAATTCAGTTGAAGCTTGTTTAGCGTAGTTAAACAGCGTAGTTATTGTGCTTTTCTCTGTTGATCATCACATTATATTTTCAGATTTATTCATTGCTATTATTCATGTTTGAATATAATTTTCCTTCAATTTCATTATGTAATACTGTCTGTAATACATATTAAACGACAAACGTACACAGTTCCATTTCACGAAGCGATAAATTTATGATATCTACATCACTATCACTTGAATGGCTTGATTCAATCAAACCTTCGCGTTTTGAAATCCAAATAGTTCTTTCTTGTTTGTCGGCCATCCGTACACAAGGAAGGGCCAGACCGCCAGAATACAAGGTTTCATACTTCGCTTCAAATGGATCATATTTCAACAATAACTATCAAAATATACCCAGCTAAGACGGAACACTCGAGAATACATTTCTTACGCATGGATGGGCAAAAATGGGGAAGTATTTTTAAGGATGTCTGCGAAATGGACATTTTGTCCCGAAAATAAGTATATTATTCAGCAGGCGTTTCCCCGTCGTTTGTTTTCCCTTCGCATTAGATGTATCAGAGTATTTTCAAACTTTGGCTAAGAGCTGCTTTCCGACCACTTTCCGGCATTTTTCATACACACTTGTAATATGCGTGTAAAACGCGTGTAAAAGTCTAAATCCCTATATACCTAAGTCATATTGAAAAAGCTACGTAAATAAATCGAAAGAACTTTCCGCATATCTTAAGACCCATTTACACTATTCGATTTGTCGTATACGATTCGTACCCTGGCGTATGCATGTGAACGTATGAACACACGTACAAAAGTGACACTTTAAATTCCATTGAACAATATGAATGAAGATTGTGGCATAAGCCCTCTTTTGCATCCGTCAGAATGATAATTGCATACAACTTATCGTGTAGTCTAAATAGGCCTTTAGTATATGCATCTGTTCACGAATTCGTTTAAATAATAACAATCCGGTCAAAATTGAAAAGAAAATCGATCGAAAAATATCGCCTTGTGAAAAACCGGCTTTACATCGAGACGAAACCTCAGCGGCCAGCTATAGACCTGTTCGAAAATACCGATTTATTCAGTTTCGATTAAAATTGCATAATATTCCTCGAATAATATATAATTGACTTTAAATTTACTATTCGCTTGCTAATCATACTGCGACGTTTACACTAGTTTCATAAAAGATAATGAATACACCAGAGCTTTTCTAATCACCACGTGCATTTAAGAAAATGTAGTGCAGATACTGATCGTTACAATTCGTATTGCATTTTCAAGGATTATTGTCCAGAACTTCCTATATGATCTGGAAAAGCTATATTGCTGAAAAATTTAAGATGCTAAACTGACCAGTAATAGAGTCACGATGAAGATGTGACCCATTGAAGACAAGCTTGCTGTCCCACAACACGGTGCTTTTGTGGTCATGTTGACATTCATTGTCCTGCTGGTCGTGTTGACATTCGGCATTGTCCTGCTGATCGTGTTGACATTCATTGTCCCGCTGACCGTGTTGGTATTTGTTGTTGGACTCGTCGCAATAAGTATGTCCTTAATTGAGATATTCTTAGCTGTGTTTTCATCAGGAAAAGCCTGACAAAGTTCCATTGTTTTATTTGTGAGAATGGTATTATTTGCAGATTCCACACTAAAAGAAAGATATTTATGGTGATGGCTCGAATGTGTCAGGGGCAATGCAAAAGTTGTAAGCGCTTACATGCATTGGAATCATGGAATGTTCTTCAAATAAACCTTCATTAGTTGGCTAGACGAAAGAACTGTGAATAGGTTTATCAGTTTAGATCTTGGTCGCATAATATAATAATTACACAGTGGATTAAGGTTGTCCTTACAAAACCCCACAAAAGCTGATCGTAATGTAAACACAAACTCTTTGTCTACAAAGCTAAACACCCAACACTTGGAAAATTGTCAAAGTAATAATTTTGCAGATATCACGCGTACATGATCTATAGGATTGAAGAAATGCTATTGGCTAGCTTGACAAAATATGAAGATATTTTCGCTTACCATCTTACATTCTTAAAGCATTCTTGTTTGCTGAGAAGAGCTACAATTTTCGTTCGATCGTGAGAGCAGGCTAACAAAAAAGCTTTACACACGGCGTCGGCAACTTTATTTTCACATTCTGCATCAGGAAGATTGGCGTTCTTCACAATATTGTGCTGAGCCACGATCATTTCTGCTGCCTTTTGCACAGGTGCCGCGTCCGAGGAATACACCTACAAATAAAGAATGATTTATCGTATAGTGTGCAGTGTTTTATTGGCGAATCCGCCATTGTGAAAAGCGATATTAACACTGGTGCAAGCACAACGTGATAAACGATAAGGCCCGTTTCGACTTGCGCTTTTTGGTGCAATTTTTGGTGCGATCTTCTTCTTTTGGTAGATGTGAACGAGTAGTTCGTAACTACGAATGCTCTAATGTGTACGAGCTCTTCTTTGATCAGTAACTAATTCACTCGTTCACATCTATCAAAAGACGAAAAAGTGTAAACGGGCCTTTACATTTCCAATGCGCGAAATTATCCTGACTCTCTGATCTCATATTTCACGGATAGACTATTTGTCACATGATATCAAGACGACTGAGTTAGACCGCATGTAGTGAAGTTAGACGAATTTATCGACGTTGCGCACAGATCTGCGCACAACCACAATGCCTCACGGTCCTAACACGTTGCTTTTTACTGCCAACAGCCTACCGCACAACAAATGCCATGTCGATTGTCGAAGTGAAAATTGATACTTGGCGACCGAAAGTCGTTTTGAACGATTTAAATGTTTACCAGCAAGCTTGGCCAAATAAAGAAGTCTTGTACTAACGCTTCACTAACAATAAACAATCTTTCGCAGTTGCAATATCCGACTTTAGACTTGCTCTTTATTACTTAAACGAAACAGCTCTTTGACGGACCTACCTTATAGTTTGTCTCGCAAGAGTAGGGATCGTTTTTCAGTTCAGGAAATGGAACGCATTTCGCCTTGCGAGGAAATCGCTGGGTTAAGCCCGGGTTATTAGCGACATCAGAGCAGTTTATATGCAAGCTAGCAGGGCACTCTTCACCGACGTCTTCACAAGTAGCTGTAAGTTCGTCAACGTTGGCTCCGATAGAATCCTCGTCGCAATGGAAAGGATAGCCCAGTTGGCAAAAATACTTCTTGTAGGCGTCCCTGCACGTTGCATTAGCGCCCACCATCGTTAAAGTCTCGTTTATGGTTGGAATAACGCCGTGGATATACGATAGATCGGGTGCATTCGGAAACCCGGTGAAATCTGCCATCTTGTAGGTTACAATTCCAGCGCAGGTATCGTTGCTGGGAATAATCTTCGACGCATCTTTACAAGGGGGAGTTGTTTCAGTGATATCAACAACAACATAGCCATTCTTTGCCGCTAGCGTTGCTTTAAAGCCGATGGAGATGAAAATGAATGTGGATACAATCGAAAACATTGCTGCGTTTAGTATGAACCTCGCCCGTTTGAGATTTAATATACTACAAGATTAAATGTTTGTGTCACATGACTCTAATAAATACTGAATGCTTTTCGTCCTGTGACGTCCATTAGCTTTATTTGGCATGTTAATTATACATCAAAGTAGAATGTACGGCATATCAGACGGCTATCTTTAAAACAGGGAACGGGGAATGGGGGAATGGAACGGGGAATGGAAGGGAATGGAATGGCTTCGGGGAATGAGCCGGGGAATGAGCCGGGGAATGGAATGGCTTCGGGGAATGAGCCGGGGAATGGAATGGCTTCGGGGAATGTGCAGCTTGTGCGTCAGTGCGAGTTTGTTTGGCCCATTTGGCGTGATTAAAACCTGTAAACGCTTCTATGTCACGAATCATGAGACAGCTACTCACAGTTTGAATTCCTTGAGGTAAAAGACAAAGCGATTACAAGCTCATAGTATAAATGCGATGTTTGCATTGTCATTGTGATGTACATTGATGTACATTATATAGATAGAATTTGGGTAGGTGGTTCAATGTAAATCCTCCAAAATCTGAAGGCAATTAGTATAATACTGTAATAGTATTTTTTGCAGAAATCTTTTTAGTTCTTAATATGCCCTATAAAGCTCAATGTGTGTGATTAAAAGGTGAATAAAGATACTGACACAGTGTCACTTGTTTGTTTTTTATTTCAGGCTATGTGAACAAGACCTCTGCACAGTTTTGTTTAAGCAGGAATAATGGTTGTGGTGGAAATGTGGTGAATGCATTCTTGACAAGTTAATGGGTTTGCTTCCAAGAATACACTGAAACTTGGAGCAACAATGACTTTGAATATAATTATGTAATTAATATATTATTTATTAATCTTAATTTATATGACTTTTTACCTCACATAATTCAAATAATGTTCAGATAAAGAGGTAAATATTTCACTGTTAATGGTGTAATAAATATTTTATATGTTGATTATATTCATAATGAATTATTTGTCCTGCTCCATACTTTGGCAATTCTGTTTAAGAAATCCCACCATAGTAGATCTTTTTTGAAAAAGTTACAGTCAAGTTGTTGTCTAGTTTTAGTACAAAATAATACAAGTGCTACAATTAAACAAGGGAAAATAATAAAAATTAATTACATAAGCAAGCACATTTTTTATTTTAAAAAGGTCTATGCACCTGCAGGAATTTCAGTGGGATGTCACTGGGAGTATTGGACAATATTAAAGAACCCACAGTAATAATACAATTGTCTTTAATTAATGCACAAAATTGTTAGTACATGTCATCTCAAGTGCTACAATTAAACAAGGGAAAATAATAAAAATTAATTACATAAGCAAGCACATTTTCTATTTTAAAAAGGTCTATGAATTGAGATGACATGTACTAACAATTTTGTGCATTAATTAAAGACAATTGTATTATTACTGTGGGTTCTTTAATATTGTCCAATACTCCCAGTGACATCCCACTGAAATTCCTGCAGGTGCATAGACCTTTTTAAAATAAAAATGTGCTTGCTTATGTAATTAATTTTTATTATTTTCCCTTGTTTAATTGTAGCACTTGTATTATTTTGTACTAAAACTAGACAACAACTTGACTGTAACTTTTTCAAAAAAGATCTACTATGGTGGGATTTCTTAAACAGAATTGCCAAAGTATGGAGCAGGACAAATAATTCATTATGAATATAATCAACATATAAAATATTTATTACACCATTAACAGTGAAATATTTACCTCTTTATCTGAACATTATTTGAATTATGTGAGGTAAAAAGTCATATAAATTAAGATTAATAAATAATATATTAATTACATAATTATATTCAAAGTCATTGTTGCTCCAAGTTTCAGTGTATTCTTGGAAGCAAACCCATTAACTTGTCAAGAATGCATTCACCACATTTCCACCACAACCATTATTCCTGCTTAAACAAAACTGTGCAGAGGTCTTGTTCACATAGCCTGAAATAAAAAAAAACAAGTGACACTGTGTCAGTATCTTTATTCACCTTTTAATCACACACATTGAGCTTTATAGGGCATATTAAGAACTAAAAAGATTTCTGCAAAAAATACTATTACAGTATTATACTAATTGCCTTCAGATTTTGGAGGATTTACATTGAACCACCTACCCAAATTCTATCTATATAATGTACATCAATGTACATCACAATGACAATGCAAACATCGCATTTATACTATGAGCTTGTAATCGCTTTGTCTTTTACCTCAAGGAATTCAAACTGTGAGTAGCTGTCTCATGATTCGTGACATAGAAGCGTTTACAGGTTTTAATCACGCCAAATGGGCCAAACAAACTCGCACTGACGCACAAGCTGCACATTCCCCGAAGCCATTCCATTCCCCGGCTCATTCCCCGAAGCCATTCCATTCCCCGGCTCATTCCCCGGCTCATTCCCCGGCTCATTCCCCGAAGCCATTCCATTCCCCGGCTCATTCCCCGAAGCCATTCCATTCCCTTCCATTCCCCGTTCCATTCCCCCATTCCCCGTTCCCTGTTTTAAAGATAGCCCATATCAGACTTCAACAGGGTGTCCCAAAATGCCCCCCTTTTGAAATGAAGCTTTTGTTGGAATTTGAAGGCATGATTAACGCATTAGTGTGTAAATAACATAGTTATTAGGTTGAGGCATTCAAATAAAGCGTCTTGCTTTCAATTGGGTTTATCATAATATTAGGGCAATCAGATTCTAACAAAGGCTTGATTTCAATAGAGGAGACTTTTTTGGGACACCCTGTATATGAATATTTATCAATATCGGCCAAAAAATGCTTGGAAAGCAATGAAATACTTCTTTGACTTGAAGCTATTATCAAAAAACTATTTTTCACGTGTAGAAATTTAATAATGAAATGCCTAAAATATAGCAGTTATAAACAAAACTAATCTTTCTCGCAAATTTCACTTCATTTTCTTTCTTTTTACATTTACTTCGCTAATGGGATAAAGCAAGTGTTCTGAGTGTCCTTACGAGCAGATGTTTCAGGAAAATCGATAATAAACAAAACCTTTCGACCGTCAATACATATAATTCATTAAGGCTGATATTCACATGTTATATTTCGTCGGAAGTCAACTGTCATAATTCGTTGTAAACTTGTAATTCGTTGCAATGCGGACTAAAATCAGAGTGACATAAATACTCACAAAGGCGACAAGTAAATAAGGCACGAAAGACCATTATAAAAGCGAATTTTTTAAAATTACGGCCTAAACATTAAAGTAGAACTAGAAATACATGCATGCAGAACCCCTCGCCTCGGTTAAACCTTTGGGATTTTTGGAGGGTACATGGTATGTGAGAAATAGAAATTGAGAAAAGTATGGAAATATTTTTCTGCACGTGGAAATACTGTAGTCATAGCAACTCGCAACGGCCGTATATTTTTAAAGAATCAAAGTTTACCCTCATATCTTTGTGAAAAAATGGCAAAAATACGACAAGATTCTTACCTTTTTCTGGAAGTTAAGTTACTCATCTATACTCAGTGCTATGGTAAATTATTTGAATTATTAAATACCATGAAATATAACATCAGACGTCTCATACAACGTTTCGACTGGTTTTTGCACGGGAATGTTTTGATTTTGTTTTCTTTTTGTCATTATAAAAACGGAGTTTATAAATAAAATTATATGGTCGTTTATCACATAACACATTCAGATTTATAGTGAAATACATTTGAGAATATTAAAGTTGTGTTTGCCACAAAAGAATTACTTTTTAAAGCTGTGCCGGATGAAATATCAAGTGTAAAATCTTCCGACTTCATTAATATACACGGTGAATTCGGTCGAAAATTTGGTCTTGTTATTTGTTAAACCGTGAAAAGTGCTGACCTCATTCGAGTTTCCTTCTAATTTAGTAAAAATACATATATTCCATATTTATAAAAATATAAATTTGTAAATTTCATCAAAATTTTTCTAAATGACAGTTATTCATTGACGTTTGAAAATACAAATTTTTGTCTCGACCAATCAAGAGCTTAGTAGTTCACACTAGCGCATGCGCAAAACGTAGAAGACCGTCCATGGCGTGAGGTCCATTGCATAATGGCGGACGACTTTGATTTCGCATTTGCACATCGTGGGTGTAAATATCCGAGCGGAATTAGTACTCCGCACGGTGCTCCGCACCGGCTCGGGGATAAATTTTACTACTCTATAAGGATGTGTTTTAAGTGTTTTTGTTTGTATATTCCGAACGTTAATTATTTCGTTTTATATACGAACCAAAGACCATTTGTATTTTCACAACAACAGCAATAAAAATGGCGGGGAAATTTTCGAAACTCGTTATGTCAACTCTAAACGTGACATACGGAAAATACGCGCACTGTACCCCGGATGCAGTGGCGTATGAGTTCTACGAGTGTTTTAGTTCGCTGTAAAATACCCCTGTCCATATAATAATGCTACATATTTAATGTTCAACGTTCCAACTTATTGCGTATTAGGAACAAAATCTCGATCAAAATGAAAATATAAACAAATCGTGATAAGCGGAGCGGCATAGCAAATTTTAATTATATTCCTGGGGCCGGTTATTCGAAAGGGCTTTAGTTTAAACAGCGAATGAGTTTAAAATGGTAAACCGGTAAAATTATTTATTTATTAAATTGCAGCTGTTCTCAAATAATCACAACAAAATCGACAAATTAGACTCAAAACATGTTTTAATAGTATATGTTTACGAAGTCAACTTAACTAGATTATCCCCACGTTATTCCTAGTTTATTTCCAGATTATTCCTATATATAGACTATTCCCAGATTATTCCTTGTATATACCAAGTTTATTCCTTGTTCATTTCAAGATTATTCCTAGTTTATTCCTAAATTATTTCTAGTTTTTTCCTAGTTTACAAATTTTTCTTGTATATTAGCTTAGAAGAAACGTTGAGCGATGAAGGTAGCAAGGAATAAAATGGCGGTGAACGGAAAGTCGAGGCTTGTTGCTTTGTTGTTGGCTTTGTTGTAGACATTATCAAGGGAATATGTTTTTGCCTTCGTGCCGTCTGGAAGTCCAGAACACATGTCCTGGGCTTTCTGTATCAAGTTGGCATCGTTGGTTTTGTTTACGCTGTAAAAAACAGGACAACAAATTGTTTTTATAAAGCTGCTATATTCTTTTAAATACGACGAACTGCATGTCTACTTATCTTGCAATGATGTAATTGCGGTTCTATTCGTATGGTTTTAAATGAATATGAGCTATAGTCAGTCTCCAGAAAATTGATGCGAAAACACTGAACATCATCCTTTACACAATGAACTATTATTTAAGCGGGTAAAAATAATAGCTGCATGCTGCCTAGTATTACTAAATAAGGCCTGAATTTCCTCTGGAACAAGTTGAAAGTGTAACGTGTTCACAACATATGAAGATTTTTTCGCTTACCATCCTACAATCTTGTAGCATTCTTGTTTGCTCAGAAAAGCTATAATTTTCGTACGGTCGTGAGAGCAAGCGAGAAATGCAGATTTACACACGGCGTCGGCAACTTTTGTTTCACACTCAGCATCAGAAAGATTGGCGTTCTTCACAATTTTGTATTGAGCCACGATCATGTCTGCTGCCTTTTGCACAGATGTCGCGTCTAAAGCAAACACCTGCGAATGAAAAATGGGTTTTTAAAAATTCAGCTAATGCGAATTCTCTCCATTTCGACATTTTGAGATTACATCATGTCAAACTTTAATTGTTTAACAACAAGTTTGTTTTAACTTCACAAACACTAAACGATTTTTCCACAGTTACAATTGCAATATTGTAGACTCTAAGACTTGGTCTTTATTGTACTTAAATGAAACAGCTCTTTGACACCTACCTTATAGTTTCTCTCGCATGGGTAGGAATCATTTTTCAGTTCTGGAAATGGGACGCAGGTTCCCTTGCGAGAATATCGTCGCTTGAAGGCCGGATTATCAATGACGGTAGCGCAGTTTTGATGCAAGCGAGCAGAGCATTGCTTTCCTACTCCCTTACAACTAGCTGTGAGTTCGTCAACGTTAGCTTGGATAGTTTTCTCGTCGCAATGGAAGGGATAGCCCAGTTGGCAAAAATACTTCTTGTAGACGTTCCTACACGTTGCATTAGCGCCCACCATCTTTAAAGTATTGTCTATGGTTGGAATAATGGCACGGATAGACGATACATCGGGTGCGTTCGGAATCCCGCTGAAATCTGCCATCTTGTAGGTTACAATTCCAGCGCACGTATCACCTCTGCGAATAATCTTCGAGGCATCTTTACAAGGTGGAGGTTTTTCAATGATATCAGCAACAACATAGCCATTCTTTGCCGCTAGTGCTAGTGTTGCTTTAAAGCCGATGGAGATGAAAATGAATGTGGATACAATCGAAAACATTGCTGCGTTTAGTAAGAGCTTCGCTCCTTTGGGATTATACTGCAGGAATAAATGTTTGTCTTCGTGAAGCCCGGTATATATGACGCCCAAGCGTTAGCTTTGATTGGCATGTTAGTTGTTATTACGATATAACCAATATTGCTGCATATTTAATGTGCAACGCTCCAACGTATTGGGAACATATTTTCGATCAAAGTGAAAATTGAGACACATTGTGAGAAGCGACATAGAAGGCTTATATTTCTGGGGACGGTTGTTCGAAAGGCCTTTAGCTTAAACAGAGGATGAGTTAATAAAATGGAAAACATAATGATCTATATTTATCTACATATTGAGGTCAAGGACGCACTAATGCTAGCTGCCGCAAGCTGCCACTGCAAAATACAACAGTCCGCTGGTCAAACTCATACAAGTGCTCGCTTACTTTGACAAGTTTGCTTTGTTGACTCACGAACGAAATTTGTACTTTGACAAATTTTTTTATGACAAGTACACTCGTTCAAAATCAAGTATACTTGATTTTAAACAAGTGTACTTGTCATAGAAAAAAATGTCAAAGTTGGGCGTACAGACGAACAATTTAAACTTGTCACATAAAAACTTGTCATAGAAAACTTGCTCGTCTGTAAGACAAACGTGGACGACAAAATGATGTATATTTATCTACATGTTGTAATTTATATACTAACGTTAAGAATTCAAGCAACTTCATTGGTCGAGAGCCGTGATCTTTAAGAGGACAGATGCACAGAATGACGTAACAGAAAACGGATGAACAAAGAACGAATTTGATCACTGAGTCATCGCTTGTTTATTTTGTCAGCTAATCACATTTTAGCACGTGTCTTAAGCTAGCCAATAGCATTTCTTCAATCCTATAGATCATGTACGCGTGATATCTGCAAAATTTTTACTTTTCCCAAGTGTTGGGGAAAGCACAAAAAAACTATATGCCTGTTTAATTTCGGAATTTTCCCACTGGCTGAATCGATTTAGCGCTTAATTACCGCCTAGCTATATCTGGCTTAGTTACCCTACTGTTCATATAAAAATTGATCAGGTCAACGGAGTGCTCAAACAGTCTTGCCAGCAGAAACTATAGAAATTTATGGACCATAATAATATAACATTTGATCATCTCAATCAAAGTAAAATTCACTTGAATAAAGTCGGAACAAGCTTGATGGCATGGAAGCGGGACTAGGATAATAACTCCTCTGTTTCAGGCGATTGGTCCCAAGATGTAAAATTAACGTGTCGGGTTTCTTTGGCAATATTGGTTTCATATGATCATGTATGTCGAGGGTAGTAGCTATACAACCGGGGAGTGTTGCCACTAAAACTTTAGTATCGGACTTCGACATTTGAAAATTACGTATTTCTAACTACCTATGCCGTCGATTCTACTATCAATAAATGACTGACCATAAAACCATGGCTGAATGGTTTTTTCCTGTGACGCCCATTAGCTTTATTTGGCTTGTTAACTTAATTATACATAGTCCTCTATATCAATATCGGCCAAAACTGCTAGGAAAGCAAGGATACTACATCTTTGAATTAAAGCTATTATCAAAAAACTCTTTTTCACGTGTAGAAATTTAATAATGAAATACCTAAAATATAGCAATTATAAACGAAACTATAATCTTTCTCGCAATTTTCACTTCAAACAAAACCTTTCGACCCTCATACATATATTCATTAAGGCTGATTTTCACCTGTTATATTTCGTCGTATAAGTCAGCTGTCATATAATTCGTTGTAAACTTTGTCACTCGTTGCAACACGAAATCCGACATTGGAATTCCTTGTTGTTTTCACGTTTCATGATACAAATAATTTTTACCTCAAGAGGCTAAAGTCTACTGGAAAAGAATTGTCGAGTTAATCTTCGATAAAATTGAAAAACACTGATGGAAATTCATTAGACCATTATAAAAGCGAATATATTACTTAAATTATACCCGTTTATTAAATTATACGCGTTTTTTATATACGCACGTACATGCACGGAAAATTTTAAATGCTTCTAAATTTTTATTATTTAACATCTAGGTCCACAAGCGCATGCTAAAATATGCGGAAATCTAAGTTTTTTCGATTTATTTACTTAGTTTTTTCAAAAGTAACATGTATATATAAGGATTTAGACTTTTACGTGCGTGTACGTGCGTATGAAAACGCGTAAGTGGAAAGCTGCCTTAAGGATGTGTTTTAAGTTTTTTGTTTGTATATTCCCAACGTTAATTATTTTGTTTTATATACGAACCAAAGACCATTTGTGTTTTCACAACAACAGCAATAAAAATGGCGGGGAAATTTTCGAAACTCGTTATGTCAACTCTAAACGTGACATACGGAAAATACGCGCACTGTACCTCGGATGCAGTGGCGTATGAGTTCTACGAGTGTTTTAGTTCTCAGTAAAATACCCCATCCATATAATAATGCTTCATGTTTAATGTTTAACGTTCCAACTTATTGCGTATTAGGAACAAAATTTCGATCAAAATGAAAATATAAACAAATCGTGATAAGCGGAGCAGATTTATATCTCTTGGGCCGGTTGTTCGAAAAGGGTTTAGCTTAAACAGCGGATAAATTTAAAATAGAAAACAAAATGATTTATTTATTAAACTGCAACTGATCTCAAATATTTCGATGTAAATAGTTCAACCTTCAATAGCATTAATCTGAACACAGACCTTCGTTTTGCCCGCCTTAAAGGCGGACTTTGTTTCGCCGAAGACTGCATGGAATACTCGTTAACCGCCTGAGTCTGTTACCCGCATTACTTGTTATTTGCGATCTCTCTGGCCAAAATGGCGGACTAGGATAATAACTCCTCAGTTTCAGGCAATTGGTCTCATGCAACATGTAAAATTAACTTGTCGGGTTTCTTTCGCAATATTAGTTTCATGTGATCATGTATGTCGAGGGTAGAATCTATACAACCGGAAAATGTTGCTACCAAAACTTTAGTATCGGACTTCGACATTCTAAAACTATTTTGCTGATAGTCCCAGGCTTTTTTCCCCAATTACGTAATTTCTAACTACATATATACAGTCGATTCTAAACTATTAATACAGTTTATTTTATTTTTTAAATTCATTCTTGAGTTTATCCTCGTTAATTGTCCTATTAACGATTTAATATTTAAAATACTTGCATTTAGCCAGGCATTTAATTTGTAATGTATTCACATTTAAAATAATACTCGAATAGATAATAACAATAATTGAATAGCCTTATGGATTGCTTCAGTGCGTATGGCCAGCGGTAAATTAGAGGTGAATTCATGCAGCTTCTGCAGAATTCCATATTAATGGGGGGCGGACATTTGGGGGAGGGATTCTGGTAACTTCGACAGCCAAAGAAGCTTGCTCTAAATTCCTAGAAATTCGACAAAATTACTCCGCTGCAGAAGGCTGCAATTTAAATTTTTAGCCATACTTGCAAATATGGAAAATGACAAAAATGGACAATTTTTTTGAACAATGTTTTATCATGCGAACCGGTTTTTAAAACTGGCCAAATTTGAGGTAGTCTTTCTTTGAAAAACTTTTAAACGGAGTCTCAGATATTCCAACTAATCAGTACTTATATGAACTAATTACCACATGTAAACTGTCAAAATGCTGATAAACAAAGATACTGGAAGTCCTTTTGTTCCAGCGTTTAATAGTGGCGCTGAGTTATTACCATGAATGCCCTGAATTTCCACATTTTTTGAATTGCTCACCGTTGAAAGAACTTGTCTTTCTGTGGCATTGATTGGCTGATGGAATGAAGCGTTGGGTACACTCAAATTAGTTAAACGAAACGTCGGAGATGTTCCATTCGTAACACGTGAAGTCGCTTTTTGTACAACGCTTGCTGCCTGATTTCCCCCAGTCGTCTTGTTTGGGTTTAATACGCATATTGAGCTCTTACGCTTGAAGCTGGGAGTCGGGTTTACTTTGATATTTTGTACATTTGAAATTGTTTTATTCATTTTGCTGCTTTCCAGTTCCCGCGTTGTCTCGTTCATGTTCGGGTTCGGAACGCCTTCGTCGCTTGTCGTATTGTTTTTCTCCTCAATTGTTCCATTGAAGACTGAAGTTTTAGTCGAGGGAGATGTTGTATTTCCCTTGTTTGTATTCCCTTGTGCTCTTGGCTGTTTCTCGCTTGACATGCAACGAGTTGTGTTGTGATATGGCGGTTTTTCCGTTGCTGTTTGATTACCGGTTTTCCCAGTCGGGCTTTCTTTTGTAGGCGTTGTTGTATCTTTCGTTGTATTATCCTCAAACTTGGTATAGACCAAGGAGAGTGGTATTCTCTTCGCTGTGTTTCCGTCTGAAGAATGTCTGCACCATTCACCAATGTCTTTCTTCAACCGCGTAACGTTTGCCGTCGTGTTTAAACTGTCGTAAAAAAGAAAGAGTAAATTCTAAGCCTAAAAGAAATATGTCCGACTATATATTCATTGCTGGCAGACATCGTTGAGATCGAGCAAAAAATATCGAAAAAAATAGATAGACACAGCGTGGAGATTGTCGCTAGATTTGGTAGCTACAAACTTTAATCGGCATGAATTGCTAATAAGGTTGGCACCGAGTGATCCCGCCCTCATATTTTAGCCAATCAGCGCTTAGATTAGTTGTTGAAATAGAAATCCACCCTGCAGTTATATCTTTTGTTATTCTTAATGAGACTAGACGAAATTTTGTGTTTATTCTAAATCATAAGAACCATCATAAGAAATGACATAAATTTGAAGCTGAAATAGAGTGTTTTCCAAGGAATATTAAGTTGTAATGAAGTCCACTGGAGATACATACCAGCTTATAATTCTTTCGCATTCCTGCCGGCTGACAAATACGACCGCAACAGTTTCATTTCTGTCGCAAGCAGGAACAACCATCTTGCATATCATTTCTCGCACATCACTAAGACATTTTTCACTGATGTTATCAGAGACCCTCACGAGCCTTTCATGAAATGCGACCTGAGTTCTTGCTCGTTCAGTAAAATTACTCACCATCACCTATACAAGAAACCAAGAGTATTAATGCACGGACGGATCAAGGAATGTATATTTATTTATCTGGTAACCTTTCTATATATAAATTAAACCTAAGTGGGATGCACGAGTAATTAGCGAGGTTAGAATTTCACTTTCATTTTTACTACCGCAGTACCGCTATCATTGAGGGAACAGAAACCAATCAAGTTAACTGTTGAAGTTTTTCAGGCTTCGTGGTTAGGTCTCCCTCCGTGCGGAAATGTCCATTCCAGAAATCGAAATAATAAATACTTCGCCAGTGAATAAATTAGCGATCAGTTATAAGAATTTTATCTTCATCATCGTTATGTTATTTTGGATTCAGTAAAATCCAACAGTATCGAGGAAAAACAACAAGGTATATAGCGCATGGCAATGCAAGGTCGAAAGAAACTCACACTTTTTATGCTGCTTGGATTTTGCATTGCAAATGTTTTGTTTGACGATAAATGAAAAAACCAATTTGCGTTTTACCCCCTGTGAGCTCTTCTTGATTGATTTATGTGCTTCAAAAATTCTACACCAACCACAAAGGCATCTTGTCATGCATATAGTTTGTCTAAGTCGAAGTTCGTTGTATAGCAGCCTGCACGCGACAGGAAATGCAAAGAACTAAAATCGATGTACATTTGAGTATGTGATCGGAAGTAATTTACGGTTTCAACGCCTTGTTGATTTATTTTTAACACATTTAAGTGTGTTTCGACTTCTGTTGCAAATTTGCATTTCATTTTTACCCGACCACGAGCACAAATGAAATTATAAAGCGCTCGAAAACGATGCATGCGAGCTCGGAGGCCAAGATATTGAATTAGCTTCAACTTTTTGTCGTAAATTAACAGTAATAGTACGATAAGGCCCAAATATTAAATAATAATAATAATAACAAATGAAAGCGCTCGAAAACGATGCATGGGAGCGAACTCAGAGGCCAAGATATTGCATTATCCCCATTAACTTCAACGTTTTGTCGGAAAATGACAATAATGGAACAATAAAGCTCCAAATCATATAGAGCCGATAATAGAGCCAAAATCACACATTCCGATATATAATTATTCACGCTGCTTATATATTCACTATAGGAACTGGCCGCAGGAAACGGTACTGTAGTGGATTAGATTCGAAATCTCACCTTGTAGTTTCGCTTTGCACACGGTAATGGATCCTGAGGTATTACTTCTGGAAAACGCTCGCAAGTCAATCGTGGTCGTTTAAAGGCAGGCACAGGAAAAATCGATTCAGAGCAATTGATCATTGATCTAATAAAAATCTGCGCTTGGACATCACTTATTGCTTCGCAATCCTTTTCGGCTGTATTACACGACGTTTTGATGCCTTGTATATCTTGATAAATGAATTCATCGGTGCAATTTAACTGAAAGCTCCTTTTGCAAAAAAATTTTTTGATAGAGGCGATGCAAAAATTGGCCGAATGTCCTTTAATTGTGGTATTCAGGATATCAAACATGGTTTTTAGGATTGATCCAACTCGCGTTGAACCAGTGTTTGCAACAGAATGATTAAAACTGCATTCTCCTGGAAGCGGTTCTTTCGTACAACTATATCCACTAGCACTGAGATGAGCGTTCTGCAAATACCCAAAATTCTCTTCTGCTAATGATTCTCTTTGAAACACGAGGACGCAAAACATTGCGACCAGCAAAGTCGACGTCATGGCGAATCGCTTTGTGAATTTTCTCCGAAAAGCTCTTGTGAAAAGCTCCCGAGTCTTGACACAAGAGGAACAAGCCACGAATGAATCCGACGACTATAAGTGAAAAATTTGGCCACACCTTGGAAAACGATCTGCGCATGCTCGCGAGATTTGATTTCGCTTAATTATTAATCATCCACAAAGTGAAATGTGGTTTTGAAATGCTATTGACATCCGCTAACAGCTATAAATAGGGCAGAAAATCTAGTATAATCACTGCGAAATATTTTATACGAATGCTCGAATTCCCAATAAATATATCTGCTACAAGAAACTAATACGATCTGGTGGTGCAAATTTGGTGCAATTATTGATGTAAGGTGATGTAAGTAATGTCATATGCAGAGGAAACGAGAAAGGACGATAAAAATCATGTGGTGGCCGATATTAAACCAAAAAATCTTCTAGCTAGATTTCGTAGCTTCAATCTGACAACAGAATCGAAAGCCGGAAAATGCTACGCTGAATTTTTGCGATGACTTGCGATTCTACGCGATTCAAAAATTTGTGCACTCACTAAAATTTGCGACTTTAAAATTATTGCTCAACCCGTGCCTGCCTGCCCGACTCCTGCTAAACTCCTGCCCGTGTGCCCGCCACTATTTTAATATGTACAAACAAGGCATAGGCCTCTGCGGAGGTGATTGGAAAGATGTTTTCTGCTGTTCCAAGGCAAAGAATAGCTAATTTGAACAGCGGGGTGTCGTCTCAACTACAAAAGACATATGGTCTTAAACTGATGCTAGCTTATACATATTCGAATGTAAATTGTAAAAGTCAGGGAGGACACTATTAATAATAAATGTACAAATGTGTATTTCGTTTTTTGAAAGTGTGCTTAAATTGAGTTAAAACTATTGCCTGTCCGCCTTTGAAGTGGTTTTTTAAAACATCATTCAACAAAATATTTTAGGTCGTATCTTTTCCATTATCGCCAAGCAATCAAATTAAATCGAAGTTAATTTTGTTAAATATTTACGAAGGAAAGTCGTAACGATCGTAATCGCGACTTGTTTTGTAAACACGTTAATTAAACGAGCATTTTTCGTTTATTAGAACGACCACCGACGCTCTAAGATATGACTATCATAATATTGTATTTTTTATTCAGTTATATTATAGGAAAAAATGTGTAAATTTTAAAAAGCTGATCTCCCAGTTTTTTAATGCAATTTATCCGACCGCTTTCGGGTGCATTCTGATGATATTTAAAAAATGTGCGGCATACGTCAAGGTAACAAAGAAAGGTCATCAATAGCAGGGCTGTTAACATTTAACTACGCCTCTTTATCCATAATATTCTTTTCACTAAGTATTGCCTAACCAATATTTTGGTGCATATTGCTGGCTCAATTTCTAGTGAAGAGCGCGGTGGTTTCTGGTAATAAAATAGTGGTCAGAAATATGAATGAAATCCTTTGCATCCTGGTTATTAAATAGGTTAAAGTACTTGATATAAAGCCTTTTTGGTTTTTTTTATATGTGGTCCTAGTATTCTATTGGGTTCTTTTTGTCCCGTATCATGACGATCGCTCATAATCGTTGGTCAAAGTTAGCATAAATTATAACAAGCTACATCATATATCTCGTACTCTCCTACCTTACTTATCAATACTTCCTACTTTTAAACGTTTGAGAGGGGTTGTGCGACAGTAATATAAGGTCAATGACGCTTTCGTGCAGTAGCAGCCACATCACAAATCAGGAAATATTAAACAAGAACGGTCTTGTACTGAGTCTTTCACTTAAGTTACCATAGCCAAGAATAATGTTATTTTACTCACCTTACAGGGTCGTGTGAGGACAAAGACGGTAAAAAAGGCCGCACGTGTTATTATTGAGAAGTATTATACCCGACTTACGTTGGATTTCCACACAAATAAACGAGTATGTGAGGAAATTGCCATAATTCCAAGCAAAAGGCTGAGAAATCAGATTGCAGGGTAAGGAATATATCTCTACACAACCGTTTATTTCATTCGCACAATTTGATTGCACTGTTATCTTTGGTAATTGGAAAAAAATGAACGACCATATTGAAATATGTATTTGTTATGTTATTACCAAAGGTTTGTAACACATTTGATGAAAAGAATTCAGGGGGGACCTGTGCGAGGTATCTCAATCAAACTTCAAGAGGAGGAGAGGGAACGAAGGGATAACTATGTTCCTGAGGTACGTAGAAGGATGATTTGTATTTACAGACATAGAATGCCAATGCCTTGATAATTCAATTTTGTTAGGCCTTGGCATTGTTTAAATTGCATTTGACATGACCACATTGTGACCATATAAGCTAGTCCTATTCATTTGTTTTCATAAAAATGTTGGCATTTATGTTGATTGATCTTTCTTAGGTATCGGCAATTGAACAAGATATTATTGAGGTTGATCCAGAAACCAAGGAGATGTTGAAAGTCTTGGTAAGTTTTCATAAAAACCAATAAAAAAGCTATTACTGGCAGTACTCTTTCAGTTTCACTGACCAATTATGTTAAGAATAGAGCTTTCCCCTGCATGATGCGTGACAGTAGTTGATTATCAAGATCAATTTGAGTTGTGAGGCCATGTTCAGGAGCGATTTAATTTAACAAAGAAGCAAAAAGAATCGACAAGGTTTTCCTACAAACAAAATTGCTTCTAAACGGAACGATTATCACAACTCAAAGTTGCTTCATAATCAACTACTGTTACGCATAGTGCACTTAAAAGTTAATTATGAGTAAATGTGGTATTCTGTATTCATTATTTTCCCAACCATTCCAACCTTAGGACTTTGGAAACATTGCAAATCTTCAAGTGACGCAGCCAATCACAGCGACCACGAGTTTCCGTCCAGGTGGCTTTGGGGGACAACGATAAAAGTCTTCATGTATCAATTCACTATTGTAATAAAATCTTCTCAATAGTATCTTTTTGTCTTATGGTAGTTTTCAAAGTTAAAAACCATTTTTAAAAACCACTATTGAAGTTGAGACCAACATACGAAGATTTATGTTGTTTAATTAATTTAATTAAATAACCTCCTAAATCATCCAATTATTTACACCCAAATTTCTCATTCACAACTCTTCCTACATGCATGTAATCCTGAAATTGTATCATTTCATGCTGCCTGCATTATGTCACTTCATTATTTCAAAACCATTAACCTACAATCAAATCTGTTACTGCCAAAGAGCAGCGTAGTTTCCGTACAGTCCTACAGCCAATGGCCCGCCACCTGTGAAGAGCTTGCTGCCTGATGGATCATAACAATGTGTGTATATTGCAGTTGGGAAATACATTTCACCAAACAACGTATAGAAAAACTCATCACGGCGCTGGAAATGATGAAAAAGATATTAACAACAGAATCCTAGTCTTTGAAGACAAACAAGATTTTTTGTATACTCTATGCAGTGATTGTTGCAGTTTTTTTGACTCACCAACCATCCTTCTCCAGCTTTCAGTTGGCAAATTTTTCCATCTGGCTTCAGGATGTATCTGCAAGTTCTTAAATCCAGAAATGAACAGGTACCAAAGCCTGAACCAATTGTCACCACCTCGTGGTGAAACGAGAGAGAACGGATGCCTGAAATAAGAATGATGAAGAGGAATTGTATTCAGGAAAGGTTGAATGGTAAAAAATGTTAAAAATAGGCCAATACCTGCATCCTTTTCAATTGATTCCACTGAATAGAGAAATGATGATGGGCATCGCCCATCTAGCATGGTGACGTGTGATTGAGAACCAACTGCATACAGTGAATTACCAGGTTCCAGCGACAGACAGACGTTTTCTTGCTGGTAAGGTAAATCCACTGAGGAAATCTTTTCAAAAGAAATAAAAAGTGTTGAAACATTTACATTAAAGAAAGCAAAAGGAACTTGTTGTTTTCAGATCAATGTTTGGGTACCATATGAAGTATTTCACTCACTGTTGTCAGTCTATTTGCATCCCAAATATGAAGGATGGCTTTTGTGGATAAACTTGCTAATTCCTGTTTAAAGAATACATAGCAATCAATACCACTCTAATAATACCAGGTGAGTGGAACTAAAGCATACTTTTAATGTTGGGAAGCACAACTTACATTTGAAACAGGGTTGTACTGAATAGCTCTAAATCGTTCATCTGAATGAATACTTGTCAGGGACCTTACTGGAGATTTTATCAGCAATGAATCTGAGAAATCCTCTGTATTTGATTCGCTTCTTATGTCCCAAACAGCCAGACATCCATCACGAGAGCCTGCAAATAAAAAGCTTGAAGTTTATGATTGAAAACATAACTGATTAGCAGTAAAAAGTCAGTTTTAGTGCAAGATGACATTTGCTTCATATTTTGTAAATATCTTGGCATATAAAATTGAACTACCACTTGCTGTTTTCCCACGTTTCAACTCTGTACTACCTGTGAGAATTTTTTTATTGTGAACAAGCAGTTTACCTGTTGCAACTAAGTAATCATTTAACCACACAATGCTGAAAATCCAGTCTTTGTGCTCCTAAAAAGAACATTTGTTCAAGACCCAAATGTTTAGCCTGTACAAAAATCACCTCATCCACAGCATTGCCACAGCACTTACCACTCCCAGACACAACGGGTGAAACTCTGGTAATTTATAGATAGCAAGATCATTAGGGCTATCTCCACCAGTGGCAAGCAAAGTTCTTGATGGATTGATCTCAAGACTGTGTATACCACAGTTGTTTTCCAGTTCCATTGCTGTTTCTCCTTTGATCATTGGTATTGTGGATGATTTGCCAGAGCAAGTGTCCAAAATACAAAGCTTAAGGTAAATGATATGAGTTGCTTCAATGATTTGAGTATGACCTATTGCAATTTGTTTGTACAGCTGTATTCCTGTATTTCATGTGACCTATTGTAATTTTTGTACAGCTTCACTCTAAGCTTAAAATAAGGTGCAAGTGGTTTAGAATTTACCAAGTGAAATGGTTCTTACAAAGTGAAATGGAAATTCTACATCCAATAATATCTTTAGGAGATAAAGGCAAAACTGCTTTAATTGTAAATTAATGTAAATTAATTAAGCAACGACATTATCAATGTAGGATAATTGCCACATTCTATTATCACATTTCACCATCTTATGAGACTTTATCTGGTATTTCCAACCTACTTTATTGCATTTAGTTCCATACACAACATTTCTGTCATCAAGCCAATGAGAGGCGAATATCTTATCGATAGTTCCCATTGTAAAATCCTTAGCCCGAAAGACGTGAGGTAACCTTCTTGTAACGTACGATTTTAGTACTTTGTTTGGGTAAACGCCCCCCGATCGCTTTCTTTCTTGAATCAAACGAAACACAGAGTTTTTATAAGCCTTATTTCTGTCCTTTTCGCTCATCCAGAGCATACACGTACAGTCATCACCGCACGTGCAGTTCATCTCAATGTTTACAAAAAAATATGGCCAAATATTTTGGATCCCGAATTATTAGTGTGAGTTTCAAACGTTTTCGTGCATGGCAGAAACTCAGACCATGATGACACGATATGTCTCTTCGAGTACTTTTTACAGATCGCTATGCATCGTTAAACAAGAAATCCTCCTCGATTTATTGTTGGTTTAAAAATCAGCTTTTAACAAGGTCCTGTTTAGATGCCAGCTTCGCCATATATAACCTGCCGAAACGTCATAACAGATATTGTTGTTGTTCTTTTTAACACCCCAGCCCGATATTTAACCGGCTTTTTGTCTTTCAAGCGACGATTGCAACAAGTTAGCTTTAAATACGAGACGATACAAAGAAAACAAACGCAAAATTATGCGTAGTTTTGAATGTTTTGTTTATTGATCCGCTCGAATACGCTCGCTTTCGCACGCTCAACTTTTGAATGAGCCAATCAGAGCTTGCGATTTCCCGGAAGAAACGAAGGCGTCGTGACGTCACGGCCTTAATTATCGGAAAATGATCCATCGTGGTAAGAATATTTTGGAGAATCAGAACATTCGAGTTAAAACTTTATATAAACACTATTTCAATTTTTTAAAATTTCAGATAAAACTACTGCTGAAAGTTCTTGACATTTTTCCGAGATTCTGTTTTCATTTTGTGATGTTCCCCCTTTAGGAAACAATTCAGTTGCTGTGTGGGTGGTTAAATAGACGAAGTTTTCGACGTCACTATGGATCAATGACATCAGCAATTGTCATAAACGACCAAATTCCTTGACTTTGAAAGTTGCGCTTCATTTTTTAAAAAAAAAATTTAAAAAATGATGACCATTATCACAACTGGTCAGCCGTTCTCAGGCCAAACCAGCTGAAACTGGTCGGATAAAACTCCTTGTGTCTTCTTTTCACACATAACTATTTTAATCTGCATTTACGTAGATCGAAGTGAAGCCTCACTAAGATAAGCGAGCCTAATTGGCTAACATTTAGACACTTGAAGGACCTTAAGTGAGGTTGATTTAAATTATTTTTTGCGGTTTTATTCGCTGTTGTTCTCAAAACCCGTACTTTTGCCTTCTGCCGTTTTATAGAGAGCTAAATTTCTCTTTACCTGGGCATTTTTTCTAAAATAGATCGGCTAGACTTCGTACCCAAAACGGTTATTGTTATTTTCCAAACGAGACAAAGAGAGTTCCCTTTCTACCACCCACTCTGCCTACTTAAACACACCCAATCAAAAGCACACAGTAAGACGACGATAGTCGACCAACATGTGATTTTAAATTGTTTCATAGGATTTATATTTCATCTTCAACAACATTGGCTTGTTATTATTACTTTTTAATTCGCATCTGTCAGTGTGTACTATAAACATGTTTGAATTGCTCTCGTGTACCTACGTCATACAATGGTCTACCAGAACATTCGTCGACCTCTACAAGCCCCACAACCTTTTTCCGTCCCCTAGACGAGAGAGTGGGACAATTGGCAAGTTCTTAATTATGGACGCCATATTGCAAAATGAGCGAACGCAATAGCGCTCTACCATACCCAGTAAAATGGTAAAAATTAATTCGGTTTTTTTTCTGTCGTGTTTTCTCAAATTGGCGTGCGCAATTACGTACCATCGCGTGATGTGAAAAATAACTCTTAAATGACTTCAAAACAATTTCAATTATTTCTCATATTTACGTCTTTGCGTTGTGGATCAATTGGCACCATCAAACACGTCTTATTGAAGTATTTCCACAAAGCCTGATGACTTATCAACCATCCTAAGACCGTCATACTAAACATAGTAAAAGCATGTTAATGCTTTGCGACATTCCGTTTTTTTATGTCGAATTCCACTGGTGCGTAATTTGATTTGCTTGCTGTGGGGGGGGAGGTGAAACCTCGCAGCCGGGGCTTTCTCTCCGTTGAAAGCTGTGGTGTCTAAAAAAGTTTCAATCTGCTGACGCCGTTAATCCTCGGAACACTGCAGTTTTTGCTTCGACTTGCTTCGAATTTCTTCTTTTGACAGTTGTGAACAAATGGCTTTGAACAACACGATCCAAGTGTTTCTTGCCTGCATGCCCGCACTTTCGACTGCCCGAGCTCCTCCCGCCCGAATCAAGATAGGAAAGTTATGATTCGCCGAAACACGAATAACAACTGCCTTAAATAGAAAAAATTACACTTCTAGACGATTTCTAATTTAGTCTATAATAAATAACCATAATTGGAGTTAAAACTCTGTGAGAGTCTAATCCAATCCTTTTCAGGTCATTGTAAACTTGCTTGGCCATACCTCGTTCTTGGTCATGACGAAATAACGACCCTAAATGTTAGTTGAAGACATGCAGGTGATGCAGGTTGATAGGAAACGGTCTGTCACGATCAGCCGGTTTATAGTCAACGTTGAATCTTTAATAGCACCATCTGGTGAAGGAATGAGTGATTTCTATGGAAAAAATAAGTGCACTTACAAGATTAACTATGAAAATAATCCCTCTGGAAGAATGAGGTCATCGTAATATATATTTACAATTTTTACAATTTACAACTATTTACAAATATATCTTTATCTATATATATTTTTTAAAACGAAATTTTGCGAGCCTAAAGTTGAACGAGCCTACTAAAGGAACCGACAGAGATTGCCATTTTTGCATCCCAAATATGTTACTCTGGTTACTCCAAAGAGATACGCCATCGTATGAAAAGCTCCTTTTCATAAATTCAGTATTTGGTTTTGGCTAAGTCTGTATCACCATTTCGCAAATCAATATGAAATAGAACAATCACTGATCTTAAGAAACATTTTTAAATTATTGTCTTTTAAATTAGGTGCAGCGAGATTATTTAAAATTTGAATATGAAATTTCACTAGCATTCATATATTCAGATTTTCCGGGGGGGAGCCATAGGGCAATCATGTTCTCTGTACCTCGGCAATTCATCTGCGTAATATGGCTTCCATCCGGTGTGATAAATTTCACGTTATTTCTCCTAAACGGGGAATGGGTGATTTGCGATAATAAGATTTTTCGTATCTTAGATATAGAAGGTAGTTTTTATATTAGTTTTTAAATGAGGTAGTTTTTCGTATTGACGATCTAAAAAAAATACGAAATTTATCTGCGAGATAGGTACAGACCTGTACAATACATAAACAAAACCCTTGTGAAATATTAACAGGTCAAAAGTTTATTATAACATGTTAGAAAAAAATATCTTGCAGTTAATCGCGATGTATTTTCCGTTTTCCCTTTAATCTCCCTTTGGATTGAACTTGTTCAAGACTTCAAGCCCCAAATATCTTGTTTTTATGACACATTAGTCAGCTCATTTGTTTGACTGTGTTTACATATCCTTACATATCAGGCAACAGTTGAACACTTCAGCGTATTTCCGATACAGAAATCTCGCCATATCTCTTCAACGCAAACACTAATCCGTTGATAGGTCTTGCTCGAGGTCAAATATGCTCGGTTACACAAAGTCTGTTTAGTTGCAAACACACAAATCAATATTCGTCAAGCGATCACTCAATTAGGTGGCGTTTCTGTATTCACTTCTCGCTGACGATTGTGTGATAGAGATTTAGCTGCAACTGTCGATTCCCGCATTGCGCTGTCACGCATTTTGTTAAACCAGATGTCTTGTTGAGTCATTAATTTCCTCGCACAAGTGTCGTATTTCACACCGAACAATGCCTGGCCCGATCGTCGGATTATTAGCTAGTCGAGTTGAGTTGCGTCGAGAACCAACACTCAAGCGACTAGTGCTTGTATTCGACTGACGCGCATCGCGAGGACGCACGGCACGGATCTTGACGCAACTTCAAAATTCTCATTCGCATAATCCGCGCGAGTTTATAAACTAACTGGTGTGACATCGTTAAACAACGACCGAAAGAAAGATCATTTGTCCCACGTACGCTTGTGTGTCAAATTGTAACCGTCCCAAGAGAGACTTTGTGGTTACCAATTAGCATATTTTCCGTCAAGGAGGAAAATATTCATCGCAATTTCCACCCGGAATTCGACGCATCAATAGCGCGCGTTTTGTGAATATGATTTGCGCAAAGTTAACCAAGGTTTCGTGGTTTCTATTTATATTCCTGACATGGACTGTTTCTCCGATACGCAGTGCGGTAAACAAACAATCCCGTAGAATACGACGGTCTGGGTAAGTCACTTACAACTTACTGTATACGCTTTAACTATGTCAGCCAGCAAGTCGCGAATACTTTTTTCATTTGCGTTGAATAAAGAGCTACTGTAATTCATCGTGGGGGCGCTATTTCGCCTAGACAACATTTACATTGAGACCCACCGATTACGATTTCCATATGCTCATTGCTCACAGCGGGGGCCAATATAAGATAGCCGACTGTTATTTAACAAGATCGCGATGAAATCCGGTCTTTGGAGCTTACCTTCTGATTGTATTATGAGTCCCTCCTAACTTTTTTCGTGCGTTCTCCTCAGTTCTTCCCCTTCGCTGCGCATACTCCATCGCGATGTTCCTAAGCGTATTAGGACGATACAAGCGATCGGGCCTTCCCTGGATGTTTCATTTCGATTTTGGCGCGGGTGCGTGGCGCGCCGCTCAAAACATTATCCCCACAGCAGGAGTGGTGTCTGCAAAAAAATAGCCAGAATTTAAGGAAAGAGTTCGTTTTAAATCCTTACAACAGTTTACGTGCAGGAGAAAATGGTTATCGGGATTAAAAAGATTTAGGGCTGATTAAAAAAAACGGCGCTGAGGTTCTTTACTTTTGACCTCTGGATGGAAGATTTTTTCTTAATTCTTATCCATCTTCCGTCTACAAAAACGATTTGCATTCCTTGTTTCGCGGGAAAATTATCACCTCGAGCAGCGAACAAGGGAGCGGTGCTGGGTATGGTACAGAATCCCCAATTCCTTAGGTAAACAAACGGCACTTCCTTGCAACGACTGGTCGAAGAAATATTACGAAATACGACGACCCCAGGGGCTGTTTCAGCCAAAGACTGAAAAACGACTAAGAAAGACTAAGAAAGGTTTTTCATACGATGGCGCTAAAATTTGGAATTCTCTGCCTATAGATATGCGTAATTCGGATACATTGATAAATATTCAAAGAACGAATTCGTGCTCACAGATAAAACTCCTTCACGCATATATCTAAGTTTTTTATTTTCAATTATTTTATTGACACATGTGTTTGCTCACGTGGTGTATTGTAGCGTGATGTATGTAGTATGTACTATGTATGTACTATGTGGTATTTAGTTAATTGTGTATACGTTTTTGTTGTTGTTTTTTAATGTAATTCACACGCTCCTCGTGGAAATCAGCATAAAGTTGACGAGGCTGGCGTGTGACTCAAATAACGTTTTACTACTTCTACTACTATCTGCGGATATCCGGATTTTGCGTCTCTTTTCAGGCCAAACGTGTGCGGTGGACAAAACATACAGTGTTGTCCGGGTTGGCAGCCTGCAGGTGGTCAAGGATTGTGCATTCAACGTAAGTCAGACGAGTTGTGTTACACCATAATATGCATTGTAATCAATCCCCCCTACAAAAAAACCTCGCAATATTTGTCCGTTTCGTTTTCTTCTCTTCACATTTTGTTTGCGAAAGACGTGCGATTCTACGGCAATATACTGAGGAGAATACCAGCACCCTTAGATCGATTGAAAGGCCGCATTCTGCGCAGTTTTGATACTAAAATATATATTTTACACGATAATCCACTCTGTCATCGGACCGACTCGATCTTGTCCTGTAAAGCTCTTAACCTAAAACGTCACGCATTTATACCTAAAAAAACCCGCAGAGCTATGGTGTAAAATAAGATTTGATTTCACACTACAGCTATCCTCAGTCGTCGCCAAGGAGATCAGAGGGATCTTCTTACCATAAACTACATAATACCTCATTAAGTTAATGCTATTCTGGAGTTGAAAGACAATACATCAATATTTTCTTCACGGGTTTCGCAAACTTCACTATCCTGCTGCTTTTGCGGACAGATGGAATTTCATGAACCCAATCACTGCGCTTTATCAATTTCAACATCTCGAAGCTTTCTCTCAGAGTTTCAGACATTATGACGTATTTTTTACGAAACTAAAAACTTTAAATGTATTTCAGTATTTATTCGGCAATCAAATGCGCCTTATTATTTTTTCATCCAAAGCCGACAGGTTTTTGCCTCGAAAGCTCGATTCGTGAAATAATTTAAGGTGTATGTCCATTTATCGGCTCAGTATTATTCTGTGTTAACGGGAACCTGTGATGTTTTTGGGCCCGATCGAACCGCAAGTTGCTTTCTCACAGAGATAATGACATTATCAGATGGATGATAACCATTATTTTGTAACGCTAACAAGTAGCCATTATCCTCTTTTAAATTTAAATATTTCGCTTGTTTGAAACGGTAATAAATACCCTGTAATGAATTAAACTAATGAAGGTCGTATTATTAAGGGCACGCTAATTGATCAATTGATAGGAATTACTCTAGAACGAATTTTATGCCAAGATGTGCGCCAGTGCATGCTCGCGTGAAAACCTCCTGTCTTACACCAGTTGACTGTAATAGGATCTGTATCAAGAAAATCTGTTGCTTTTCGTGAACACACCATTCTTTTTTGCGAAAGCTGAGATTTCAATGCGGTTGACTGCATCGTTAAAGGAATATCAGGCAGGGGTTCCTCTCTTCCAGTGTGTTCGACCTCGACCTACCTGGGACCTCGCTCTAGTACCCAAAGTTACTTGACACTAGCTTTTAAGGAGGTCGTAAAATTGCTCAGTTTAAACATTTTATTTTTGGAAATGCATTAAAACCAATACGCTTTTACGCGCTCTCATACGCTGCTGTCAGTGATCATTACAGCATTCTGTTATTTCAACTATTTACTGAAAACCGCAAACTCAATAAATCTTTTAACAAATAGAATTTATTATATTAGTTTGAACGTAAAGCGATTACTTGCAAAATGAAATTGAAAAAAAATATGTCAGCAGCAACGCTAAAAAATATGGAAAACAACCCGCAAAGGACCGATCGATCTTTGACCTAACGCAATTTATGCAAAGTATTTGCACGACTAACTATCCGGTAGGCCATTTGAGATCAGTGTCTCGACAATCGCGCCTATTGTAACGAGCGACATCGTCACCGCGAAGCAAGTGTGAATTGTTATAACTTGTTTTTGATTTATGATATGCTCATTCAATTATTTCCTGTTTCTCTCCAGCTATTTGTAATTACAACTGTGGAACTGGCATTTGCATCAGCCCCAATTTGTGTCAGTGCGCGGACGGACGAGTTAATCCCACCTGTGCCCAGTCAGGTACAAACATTTTAGTTGAACCGAAATCATAACATTTTTTTTTCTTCCTGAAGGCATAGTTTCATCTTATTGACTGATAAGATTAAAGTCGGATTACTACCCTTTTTGATTGAAGAAACCCAGGCATTTATTGTTCTGGGGCCGGTTGTTCAAAAGGCGTTTAGCTTATAATTAAACCGTTGATAAGCCAAAGTTGAAAAACTTCCTCGTACATTTTGTGAACGACTTACGTATTTAATCTTATGCATTAAATATCTACTTCCATTGAAAATTAAACTATTTACATCGAAATATTTCAGCTCAATTGTGCAATAAATAGATAATATTGTTATCCAGTTTGAACTTACTTACCTCCGTTTAAGCTAACATTTTTCGAAGAACCGGCCACTGACATTTTGAAGAGTTAAATTGATGCATCATTATAAGACGATAGACATTGGATAGCTCAGTCAATTAGGTTGCGTAAAGTTCCAGTTAACTTCTGATGGATGTTTTTTTGATCTGTTGACTTGTAATGTATATGAGCGGCAGAGCATCTAAAACCGATGCAGTACTGCCTTGTTAATCAGACTACATTCCATACGTCAGAAGTGAACTGGATACGACGTGACGCAATGTTTTAATCCATGATGTTCGTATTTGTCCCGACAGATTGCAAAGTGCGATGTTTCAATGGAGGGACGTGCCGAGACGATAAATGCGAGTGTGCACTGGGATACGAAGGACGATTTTGTGAAAATCGTATGTACAAGCTAACAGCATCTGTTTTGAGTTGTCACTGATCCGTTTGCAACCATTGGACGAAGCAATCATGTGACGTTGCTTCGCCTAGCGGTGTTTCGCTTTTTATGAAGGGGAAAAACTGGAAAATCTAAAGAAAAAAACGTAAAAAAACAACAACAATAGCACTCGTGGTTTATTGCGAGGGCACTAAAATTTCCAAGTGGGGTATTGATAGGTTGTAAATACATCTCACCCTAAACTTTTATTTCAAATCGCTGATGATTTTTTAGCCGTGTGTACCAGGCGTTGTCTCAATGGTGGTCGGTGTATCGCACCAAATACTTGTTCCTGCCCATATGGTTTTGCTGGGCCACAGTGTCAAGCAGGTACGGTATATTACGTTAGCAGGATCTAACGGTGGGCTCTAATACAACTGGAGCGATAACTCGGGGGGGGAGGGGACAGAATTTGCTTCAACTAGTTTTCAGTACTGAGAGCCAAACCAAATTTGGGAAAACGTGTTCCGTCCTGAGTTTATGAAACTGAAGCTATAAAAAGTTTTGTTTCATGTAGAAATTTTAAGACTTGCCAAAAGGAAAATATTAAAGAAACTTAGAAACAAAGTAATTGTCAAAAGTTAACTTTCCTTTGGCTAGGAAGACGCTTGTTGTATTTCTAAATCTTTTTCTTTTTACTTAACTCTTGAAATTGCTACAACAAAAGGAAATATTGAATAGCCTTAGTTTACTATCTTTGTGGCCAAGTTATTTCAGTTCGAAACTCGGAAAAAACTCTATCTTGGCTGGAGGTAAATGCGGACATGTTGATCACCAGTTAACTTCCCGCTTTTTCAATTTTATGGGATGAAATTAATGGAACATTGAGCTAATGGGAATCTCGTTGAATATGAGCTAATTTGTCCAGCAATCCTCCTCGGAAACGTTTACCTTTTGTTTTAGATTTGCGTCAAGGACCTTGCTACAAAGAAGTAAAAAATCTCCGATGTCAAGGACAGGTTACAACGTTAGTCTGCACCAAAGAATTATGCTGTGCAACAATCGGTAAAGCCTGGGGCTCGCCTTGTGAAAGATGTCCAGCAAAGCCAGGTAATATCTCCGGAATCCCTCCTATACAGGACGATTTCCACTCGTGGAGAAATATCTCGCTTGAGAAAGACTTGCTGTTTTGAATCGAGGGCAATTAAGCAAACTAATTTATCGATAATTTCTGTGCCCGTTTTTTCGGGCTAATGCCCCGAAGGAGCTAAGAATGCCTCAAATACCTTTCTGAAGGTGCGTAGATGCTAATTTGCACGCCACAGCTCAAAATCAAGTGGGTAAACGAACATCAATAACGCTGATGGCGGATTAGCACGCTTTAAAATTCGCATCAATCAATTTCCGCGGGACACCTTGCATGTGTCTGTCAGATTAGTCATTTCCTCTTGTTTGTATCTCGGAAATTAAAACTTGCGATTAATCAATGTGCCAGAAAAACCTCGGGGTATCGATTGTGATTTGAGGCATTAAAACAATACAATATCATCTTTACTAAAAAACACCGTGAACTTAGGATTCGTTTCTATGAAACCTGCGTAATTAAAATATGTACAAAGTGAACAATTGTTGAACACGACAGTATTTGAAAGTATACCTAAGTATACCTAGTTCAACATTAAGAAAATATTGAAGGATAATGCTAGAATCGTTCATATTATTTTCATCTATTTTTTCAGTGCCGTGTGCGATAGGATTCCTTCCAGATTATGAATCGAGGGAATGCTTAGGTAAGTATATAATATAATATAATATATTTCAACACTGCATCTATGATTAACGCTCAGCAATTGGACTGTAAAATTCATTGCTTAGAAGTTAGAACGCTGCATAGGAATCATAGGCCAGCATGCTCAACTCTTGATAGTTGGGTAACATTAAAACAGCTCTCGGTTTATTTTTCAGAACTGCGTATAAATTTTCATTCCAGCTCGCATCTTCGAACGCTTTCAATGTTTTCACCAAATCCCTAAATCACTGTCAGGGGTTATTCTAAGCTGGAGTTGCTGCCACTTTTTGAAATTGTAAGAAAATTTCTGGACATGGAAATTAGTATAAGGGTAACTGTAGACACACAATTATTATATACTAATTTCCTTCTGTAGAAATTTTCTTACAATTTCAAACTGTTGTAGCAACTCCAGCTTAGAATAATCCCTGAACTCTCCGTGCTGTTGCGTGCACGTGCATTCCTCATGAATTTATCGATTCCATGCAGATATAAATGAGTGCGAAGCGGTACCCGGGGTCTGTGGCAAAAATGGAAAATGTACCAATACGGTTGGAAGTTATCGCTGCGAAAAATGTGAAGTTGGTTTCAAATATGACGATCGAGCAGCCAGATGTGTTGGTGAGACATTGCCGTTGTATATATATCTGTGTCACTCGTCTCTAATAACCGCAGGATATTCATTTATTCAAAGCCCACGAATATATTCACAGATATTGACGAATGTGCTGACAGAGAAACCAACCGATGTTTAAATGGTCGCTGCGTGAACAGTGTTGGTACATACAGATGTGTATGTGCGTCAGGATATGTCCTCTCCTCCGACGGCAACACTTGCGAAAGACGAGGCAAGTATATACTGTTAAGTTGTTGGAAATGTGCTAAATAATAGTTCCTGATCAGATGTGGTATAAAAACTGCCTGAAATAGACAATAAAAGTATTAAACTTACTGTATAAGACTCCCTTTCGTGAAAACGAAGTCAATTTTAGATTTTTTAAGAAATTTTCTCGGTTTAAAAAGTTTCCTGGAAATTGATCGCACCACCTTCCGACTTCATAAATTTTAAAACACACCATTTGTTCACACATAATCTATACACTCGTTCTCTAGTCGCAACGCTTCCCCCTGATAAACGCCAAGACCAGTGTTTTATACAGGTCATCCGGGGTACGTGTTTCGAACCAATCTCTGATAACGTGACGCTGGCCGAATGCTGTTGTAGTAACATCGAGGGCGCAGGTTGGAGTGCTGCTTGTCAAAGATGTCCTGCTAAAAATACAGGTAAAAATTGGTTTCCGTGAAAGTTGCGAGTAGGCTATGTCAAGGTAGTTGATGTTATTGAATATTGCTGACGGTTTGCAGTCATGAGGCAGTCATGAGTGACTGATTGAATACAGAAAATAAAGATAACTTTACATCCTATTATTATAACGACTTGTTCACGATAATTTCGACAATTCAAAAATGGGAGCTAGGCTTGATAAGAAACACTACCTCTGTCCTGAATGTTGTCTTCAAAGTGGGATCAATAACTGTTGTAAAAATTAGGGAAAACATTGATAATATTTAAATAACCGTTTTTGTTTTAGATGCCCATGACTCATTGTGCAAATACGGTAAGATTTGTAGCTTTACAACCGAATTTACCATCTCGAAATTCAAAGGAAAATTTGCGATTTCTTTTGTGAATTCTGGAGATGGAATTCACCGTGTGCTTTCACGTTTTCCTTATCAAAGTTGAAACTGAAATTCGTCTCTTGATTTCAAATTTCAGGCGAATGCAGTGTCGAGGGTGAAGGATGCCCGAATGGAGAATGCAGAAGAACTGAAACTGGATTGAGGTGTATTTGCTCCCCTGGGTATACCTATAATCCTTCGTTGGGAAGATGTGTTGGTAAGAATACTAGGAATGCACGTTTATAGATATACACTGAAGTCTACCGAACAACAAGCAATCTTAGAGCGACAATATGACTACCTGCGCGGAGTAATATTTTGGTGATTTGATTTTATTCAGATGTTGACGAGTGCGAGGACGGTCTGATATGCCAGAATGCGCATTGTAGAAACACCATTGGGAACTTCGAATGCGAATGCAAAGATGGTTACATGCCCGGAACCAACAGGGTATTGTGCGTCCCTATCCCAACTGAAACACCAAGTGGTCTGCCAACGAGAATAGGTGGACTTACACCTTCTAGACCCACGCCTCCGCCAACACCAGGTTTGTGTTTTCAAAATTTGTTTCTATCCGGTTCGACCATGAAAAAGGTGTCATGGGAAGGTTAATCAAAGAAAGGGGATGTTAAAAGTCTTGCGAAACGATATCGTTAGGGTATTGATTAAACGTTCGTAAAATTTTAGTGGGACCCAGGCGCGATTGCTCCAGAGTTGGTGAAAAGTGTGAAAATGGCGTGTGCACCAGAATAAATCGTGTCCTAAGATGCAGGTGTAATTCTGGTTTTTCATACGTGCGAGGGAGATGTGTAGGTAAGTGCTGTCGTGAAGTTATTTGATTTAAAACGCCATGACTACTAAATCATGTTTTGAATAAACTCCTAATCCTGACAGGACGGGACTGTAGAACTTGTGCCTAAATTTGGCTTAATTCACATTTTGGCTGTTTGACTTATAGTCCTCTCACTATGGAATCCTAGAAGTTTGGGTAAAAAATTAACAATAGCTCTTCATTATACCAGCTTACAGTTTCCAACACGCAAATTTGAAGCAAATAAAAAATCTTAATGTGATATTTCTTATTCAACTTCGTATGAGAGCCTCCTCGCATTAAAACTTTCCTTCCAATGCTCATAATACATGCGCTATTTCAGACACCGACGAATGTGCAAGGAACAGGAATCTTTGTCGAAATGGTTTATGCGTAAACGAGATTGGTAGTTACCGCTGTGAATGTGCCACAGGCTACAGGCCGACTACTGATCAAAAGCGTTGTGTTGGTAAGCCTTGCTTTTAGACTGAACTCCAGCAGTTTGCTGAAGGAATTCATTCTTCTTGTGTGAATCAAACACATCCGTTCCGTATTCCTGCCTATAGCTCAGTTTAAATGCAGTAATGAATATGACATATCTACAATATTTTGCTTTATTTTGCTTTTTATCTTTTCTTGAAGATCGGGACGAGTGTGCAGATGCGTCCACTTGCACGAATGGTCAGTGCATAAACACGAGAGGATCTTGGCGTTGTTCTTGTAACAAAGGGTTTGCTTTGAGTGTGGACGAAAAATCATGCATCGGTAGGAAGACTGTGTTTGTTTTGGGGGAACGGGGGGGGGGAGTTTACGAGAGAAAGGAAGTCGTTCATCGACCCAGGGCCTTGTTCAATTCTCCGTTTCAATTTGCTTTTAATTTATACAGATATTGACGAATGCACTAGTCTTGACGATGTTTGTATGAATGGCGTTTGTCAAAACACACTAGGAGACTACGAATGCCGCTGCAACACGGGATACACACAGTCTACTGATAAACACATGTGTCTCGGTGAGTTTTGTGAAGAAATCAAATCCCAATCATATCAACGTTGCTTTACAGTAAATGACAACATAGGAAGTGGATTTTTTTTAAAATTTTTCTTCCTTAGATACCATGGAGTCTCAATGTTATGCAAGCTACAGCAATAACGTGTGCAGTCAGACGCTGTTTCGATCTCTGACCATCTCTCAATGTTGCTGTGGCAAGGACAATACGGCGGCAAAACGACGTGCTTGGGGAAATCCCTGCATGCCGTGTCCTTTGCCAAATACAAGTAAGCATACACGTGACATCCATTGATAGGACGAATAAGATGACATGTGTCTCGCTACGGACCTTGTAGTATAACTGGAGGGTTTTGCGTTATTTTTCCACTACTTTCTGTGTTGTACCTGAATAGACACAGCACAAAATAGCGGGATAAAGTTAGTATGTTTATATCCACTGCAACACTCAAAAGAAAATGTCCTGGCAGAATTTTGTATCAGTGAAAATATGATAGAAATACTGGATATCTTCCCGTAGCGATGCTTTGCTGAAAAGAAATACAGTAGTTTGAGCTGGATCGAAATGAAACTCAACTTTTGCACTTGTTTAATTCTCTGTAGATGCATACAGAAAGGTTTGTGTCCATGGAACAGGAAAAGATAGCGGTGGCAAAGGTAAGGTTTCATGAATAGTGCGATTTTTCCACTTTCATTGATACACGACTGAATCAGTTGTGGATAATTTAGTTTATACGTGACCTCAACTAAGACTTTCTCGCTTATCGATTGGTTCATTTCGTTCATCGTTTAACTGAAAATCATGATAAAGATTGCAATATTTTCTAAGAGATTCGTACGACAATCGTCGAAAAAGTTATCTTCCGATTTCCAAACTTTACAGACACTAGAAATTATATCTTTTTGTTTTACTTTTCAAGATATTGACGAATGTTCGAACAATGTGGGATCTCAAACACAACTCTGTGTCAATGGTCGATGCAGAAACACCAACGGGGACTATTTTTGCGACTGCGACCCTGGATACAGAAATACAAGGAACAGGAAAGAATGTGTAGGTAAGTGAGGTGCCTCATCAATTGTTCCTTAAATGCAAGCGGTCGCATTACGACGAATAGATCTTTGAAGGAACTTTGTTTTGATTTCAGAGATCAATGAATGTCGCGAGAATCCTTCCCTCTGCAACCGAGGAAGATGTGAGAATACTCCGGGTAGTTATCGGTGTGTATGTCCCAGAGGTTATGTCTTCGACAGCAGAACAAGAGGATGTGAAGGTATGATTCATCGTCTCTTTGACGTCCACTTTAACCATGAGATAGATGAAAGTACCATAGGCGAATAATAACAAATATATAATGGCAATTATGTATTATATAAGCTTAGAGCAACGAATCAATCTAAAATCTATACCGTACACTTTCTTTTAGATGAAAACGAATGCGAAAATGCAAATACCTGCGTTGGCGGAATATGTATAAATACCATGGGAAGTTATAGGTGTCAGTGCCCGACAGAACTCACCTTGGACTCATCAGGACGTATCTGTGAAGGTGCGTTCATGCAAAAATGCTTCGCCTTTGAGCATCGAATTTGCCTTGTTTAAATTTTATCCCACCTAATTCCTTGCAGATTTGCGCAAAGGCAAGTGCTGGCGCGCGATTAACAACGGAATTTGCGAAGACCACGTGAACGGTGACGTCACACAGGAGGTGTGTTGCCAGACATTTGGAAAAGCTTGGGGGAGTCCTTGTGAAAAATGTCCAACCACTGGTAATAATCTTAAACCCCACACACAGAGAGGTCTATGTCCTTATTTTAACAGTCTCTATGCCATTTCACAGTCTCTATGCTATATTTAAATCTATATGATTTAAATCCAGCCCAATTTGTCTACGACTTTACTTTTTTAAACCGAGCTGTTTCAAACTATCTCACATAGTTTCTATTCAATTGCTTCTTTCTCTATTAAAATATTGTTTTTCTTTTCAGGAAAATGCGCCGCAGGTTACTCGTATAAAAACTTCACCTGCGTCGGTAAATACGACTTTTATTTTACTCTTAAAATCTCATTGCTTCTGTTTGAGAACACTAGCTCGCAACTCAGCGAAACCAATATCCGTGCTTGCCTGTTCTTTCTGCTATCGTCTTCTGGTCTGCGTTTCCATCTTTCATCTTTTTAACTTTAGATATTGACGAATGCAAAGAGTTCCCCGGGCAATGTCGCAATGGCCGGTGTTTGAACACTCCCGGAAGTTTTCAATGCGTTTGTGCCGAGGGCTTTACTTTGGACGAGAGCAAGAGCATTTGTCGAGGTAAGATTCAACGTTCTTCAAAACATTCACTTATAAATTTCGTATATCTGAATCCGTCTTTTCAATGTTTTCAGATGAAAGAGAAGCTGTCTGTTACCAATCGGTAACTCGTGACAAATGCACCCTGCCTGTTCGCGGGGTTTACAAAAAGGATATTTGCTGCTGCTCGGTTGGTGCCGCCTGGGGCCGACCTTGTGAGGAATGCCCGTTGAAGGATACGCGTATGTTTGCTTGAGTATATTAGCGAGATTCAGATTTGACTATCGCTACCTTTCTCTTACCTATGGCGCACGTGATTGGTTATTTTCGTAGAAATAAAGCATTTGACTGGTGGAACTGGTGGAAAGCAAACATCCTCGATAAAAACTGCAAAATCTTTTAGTCCTACGACTTGTTTTTTACCCAATATGAAAACTAATGGCAGGTAAATTTTTTAGGAGAATTTGATGATCTCTGTCGTGATGATGTTGATCAAGTAAAAGGTGAGAAGACACCAAAAGGGTCTACCCAAGAGGCTATTGCACTTACAAAAGAAATCCGTCAGGCAGAACTAGTTTCGGTCCTGAACGAAAGCTTTCAATACCAAGGTTCAACAGCTCCAAGCAGGATTTTTTCTAATGAAACGTACCAATCACTTTATCGTGGCAAAGAGCTCTTGATGTGATCCACGGTTTTCACAAGGTTAAGTAGCATCGAGTACTATTAACCACAACATTTCCACATTCATAGAAATCGATGAATGCAACATGTTCCCTGGAATTTGCTACAATGGAGAATGTATTGATACGCGCGACGGATTCTTATGCGAATGTCGTCCGGGCTTTGCTCTTGACGAAACGGAAAAAAACTGTACAGGTGAGAGATGGTTCGTGAAAATATGAGTGCCACATTTTATATAACATGACTGGGACGTGTGCTTCGTTAGATCTGCTCTGGTTTGATGTTATCCTAACTTATTTTAGATATAAACGAATGTGAAATAACTCCCGATCTTTGTGGAAATGGAACGTGCATTAACATTGGTGGAGGATTTCGATGTAATTGTCGAGAAGGATTTAAAAACGCGCCTATGATGATGGAGATCTGCATTGGTAGGAAAAATATTGGCATTATATCTCAGATGAAGAAAGAGCAGTTCAATTCAGTATTCTCTCGATGTTCTAATTTATTTCAGATGTGGACGAGTGCGCAGATTTATCAAATCCTTGCCAAGGGGGTACCTGTGTCAACACCATAGGCAGCTTCGATTGTAGGTGTCCTCCAGGGAAACGTTTGGATCCCAGTGGGCTAATGTGTCAAGGTAATATATTGGATAGTAGAGGATGTTTGGTGATAACAACTGGTATATATGCTGAAACACTGGAAATTTATCCAGTGTCTTTCAACGAGGCGTTACTTGTTTCTTATGCTACTTAACTGACTATTATCTGATATCTTAGACATCAACGAGTGTGCTGAAAACTCCTTCATTTGTGCAAATGGTGTTTGTCAAAATTTCATGGGCGGTTATCAGTGCGCCTGTTACGAGGGCTTTAAATCTACTGATGATATGAAGAGCTGTATTGGTAAGGAGAGAAAATGGTAGTTAACGCTTGTTCTATGAACTTTGGTTTGCTTTTCTCGCCGATTCAAGGTCGCCTTTAGCTTTGACAGAAACGATCTTGAATCAGGCTGGCGAACACCGTAGCTTTTCCCCGTGAAATTATGATTTTCAGGAGGGAGTTCCACGTGTAGGGCAACACAAATTGTGCAGTTGCATGGACATATTCTGGTTTGTGTGATCCCACTGTATGTCCATGAAGCCCTAGTTGTACTCATATGATCGTACATATCACCAGACATCGATGAATGCGAAACAGACAATGGTGGATGCGAGGCAACGTGTGAAAATTTGGTCGGACGTTATCGATGTATCTGTCCACCTGGACTGAGGCTGCGAAACGACGGTAGAACATGCGTAGGTACGTGCATTTTCAGATGACCTTGATGTGTTTAACTGGAGTGATGTCTCAACATTGCTCGAAACAATAATGTGTTATTTCTATCGTGTTACAGATATCAATGAGTGTGTTGAGACGCCTGAGATTTGTGGCGTTGGTAACACATGTCAGAACGTGTATGCCGGCCACGAGTGTTTATGTTCTGATGCTTATGCTGTGTCTAGTGATCGCAAGTCCTGTATAGGTGAGGAACCTTTTTCATATGTGCTACAAAAATGGTTTATGCATGAAATGAACCCGATGCATGCACTGTTTCCGCTGGACAAATGCATGTTAATTGAAATGCAATGAATGAAGAATGGTGTAATCCAGCCTTTCAGCCTTTAAATTCAATACTTTTTAATTCTACCATATGAAAGCTTAGCATTTCGAAAAAGATCACTTCAAAATTGCTCTGTAAAAACAGATTGTTAAACAACTCATTTAAGATTGGTTGTCCCAGATCCATTTTATTTGGTAAAAAAATGGTTTTTCAACCATGGGGACGGTTGTTCAAAGCTAGGTTAGTGCTGACCCTGGGTTAAATTTTACTCAGCTGTTTTGGTTTATATGCTTCTGCACTGCTGTTCGTTTCAAAACTTTGCAAAATAAGATTTCTATTTATCCACAAAATATTTATGGAAAACTGCATGTTCAACTGCATAACCGAGCGATTAAAAAACTGATGTAAAAATTTGAGTCAACCCACGGTAACGCTAACCGCCTTTTGAACAACTTGTCCCAGGTTTTTCGTTGTTTACCTAATAGAAATGAATCTTATAAATGAGTCTTAGGTAACCAATTTTTACTGCGGCAACGAAACGCAGCTGCAGAAACATACAGCTCACTCTCGTAGCAACTGAAAAGGCTTACACTAAATTCTATTTTTTGCTTTTTAATTTTCTGTACCTCGATGTGCTTACGTCTTTCCTACGATGAATTGCTTTAATTTTTTAGACATCGACGAGTGTGTGTCAAATCCCGATTTATGTCGAAATGGAGTGTGTGAAAATTTGATGGGATCTTATCGCTGCATTTGTCCACTGGGTTTCATCTTGGATGAAGGCTCTTCGGTGTCCATCTGTAGCGGTAAGTTAGATGGGAAAGATGTGCATCTGTCGTGGATGGTAGATGTGAGGTTGAACTAAACAAATATATACCTATTTTTGCCTCTGTGGCTTTGCGTCTAGATGTGAACGAGTGTGCTAACGACCAGACAGACATATGTGACAGAAATGCTTTCTGTATGAACACAATTGGTTCCTACAGTTGTTCTTGTAGGCCGGGATATGAGGAAGTCGACGAAAATTGCCAAGGTAGGCAATGAAAAGCATTTAATACCTACAATTTGTTTCTCTCTAAATTATTTCCATTCTTTGATAATTCTTGTCTTTTTCAAGACATCGACGAGTGTTCTGTTCAGGCTGACAGGTGTGGTCAGAACACTGTCTGTACCAACACTCCTGGTAATTTCACTTGCGAGTGCGCGGAAGGCTACGTGCGCGCGCGGGACAATACGTGTCGCGATATCAACGAATGCGAAACGATCTCCCCTGTGTGCGAAAACGGAAAATGTTTGAACGTCCCCGGGACCTACCAGTGCGAATGTGATTTTGGATACTTGCTTACGAGTGATGGCAAAGGTTGTGAAGGTATGTACACAATTCACCTCTGAGGTATGGAATGTAGTATTTTTTTGCCAAAGTGTAGTTTAGATGATTTGCTGCATATGCACATTGCAAGCAAACAAACAGTAAAACATCCATCACAAGTGAATTAGATTTATGAAAGTTATTCCGCTTTGTTCTTTTGAGTTGTTACTTCATGTAATTTATGTGTTTGCAGATCTGGACGAGTGTGAAGCGATGGATGAGTTTTGTCACCATGGAAAATGTGTTAACATTCCTGGATCATTCCGATGTATTTGTGACAAAGGATTCCAGCTTAATCGTTACCTCAATAACTGCACAGGTAAGGCACAAATAACTCATGGAAACTCGCGTTTTTAACTTCAATGTCTTGGTAAAAATACACCAGCACGGATGCATTGAATAGGTATTGTCAGACGAACAATGTGTGTCAATACACACTAGTGTCGATGCTCTCTTACAGACACAAACGAGTGCGCCGAATCAGGAATGTGCCTCAATGGTCGATGTGTGAATGAAATGGGAAAATATCGTTGCGAGTGTGACGAAGACTTCATACCAAATCCTACCAACACCGCTTGCATTGGTGAGCCTGGTTTTTTTGTTTTAGCTGAATAAATGAATGTTTTTACTACAACTAATGTTTCGATTTTACGTCTGCCTCAAGTTTCTCTGTTGTTCCAGATGTCTTAAATGTTTGTTTTGCATTGTTAATATTAAGTAAAATGTTAGTTTAATTCCTTCTCCAGTACCACTATTACAAGAACGTCATGATTAGATTGTTTACCAGAATAACTTTATCCAACACCGCATTTGTTTTTTTCAGATACTCGTGAAGGTCGGTGTCATTTGACAAAAGGCCCTGGTCCTAAATCCTGTCAAAATCTTATCGCAGATGAAGTGCTGCGTAGCAAGTGTTGTTGTTCTGTTGGGGCAGGCTGGAACAATCCCTGTGAAGAATGTCCAAGAAATGGCACAGGTCAGGAAAATCACGTTCAAAATCAGTTTGTAAATGTCAGCGCAATCTGGTCAAATCCATTTCTCTTATTTAGCTGACTACAAGCACCTCTGTCCGGGTGGTCCTGGATTTATCGTTGATGAAATCAGCACTTCATTCTTGGACATAAACGAATGTTTGTTTCCAAGAATTTGTGTGAATGGCACGTGCATAAACACGTATGGCAGCTTCATTTGCAGGTGTTCCACTGGCTTTGTGTACGACCCCAATATTGGAGTGTGTGTAGGTAGGGCAATATACCATACCATACCATACCATACCATACCATACCATACCATACCATACCATACCATACCATACCATACCATACCATACCATACCATACCATACCATACCATTCCATACCATACCATTCTATACCATACCATACCATACCATACCATACCATACCATACCATACCATACCATACCATACCATACCATACCATACCATACCATACCATACCATACCATACCATACCATACCATACCATACCATACCATACCATACCATACCATACCATACCATACCATACCATACCATACCATACCATACCATACCATACCATACCATACCATACCATACCATACCATACCATACCATACCATACCATACCATACCATACCTACCATACCACGTTGTAAAAATGCACATTTTTTTCTCAGACATCAATGAATGTGAAAGAGATAGTTACATTTGTGGCTTCTCTGGTCTCTGCATCAATACGTTTGGAAGTTATATCTGCGAATGTCCTCCTGGAGAGACGCTGATTGGCTCTCATTGTGTTGGTTAGTATATATTCATATTCATCAATGATTTCACAAAAGATCATTTTAAGACTCGGCCAGTTGGTCTATAGTTGCCGCTCAAATGGTCGGTCAGGTAACAGGCTATTTTTTATAGTTAATAGTGAGCTGTAATAACTATTAATATGCCCATATGACTGTGTAAAAAGATATTTCTCCTTTGGCGTAGCTAACATGACAATTTAGTCATGCTATGATAATAATTTGGGTGTTTATTGACTGTGAAAACAATGAATTTCTGAAGAATTTAATAATTCTAATGACTTGAAATTTGCATAGCATGACTAAATTGTCAGGCTGGCTACGCCACTGCATTGTCCCAGTGTGACACCAGAAGATTTTTATCGTTTTTCTTCATGCGTCTATACAAACACTTTTACATTTTCAGACGAACGTCCACAACAATGCTTCAAAGACATACAGGATCTTTCAGACCTCGAGGGAAGTACCCCTGGATCCTCGTGTAACGAAACGCTTAGCTACCGCCCCATTACTCGTGTTCAATGTTGTTGCAGTATAGGCACAGCGTATGGTCCACCTGACATGTGTAAACTGTGTCCTATACGTTTCACAGGTGAATGAGAGTTTAAGAAATACTTTTGTCCAAACGTTGTCTCTTTATGCTATAGTACCTCACTTGATTTTGTATGATTTACTGAAATTGTCTGGAAATATAGAAAAGAAACAACGCGAACAAAAAAATTGTTAAAACGAGGCAACAAGTTTACGGTGATATTTTGACTCGTATGAAAACTATTTCCATAGCAGGGAAACTGTATCTGATGTGCCTGATAAAATAAAGTGGAAATATTGCTTGGAATTGTGACCACATGTTAAATTTTGTCTTTCCTATAGAGGAGTATTATGCATTGTGTGGAGTGAGGATTAAACCAACTACCCCGGGACCAGGGGGACCCGGTGTACTGACCCCCCACCCGCCTGGAGGTACCAGAGGTCCAACCTTACCTCCGATAATAACAGGTAAAGTCCTACCTTTTTATCACCTGTCATCACTGAGTTGCAGTGAATGCTATCTGGGGCAGCCACTTAGTCCAGTCATTTTCTATGGTTAAGCTAGCTCAGGCGTGCCTAATCATTTCCCTGAATTTTCAATTCAACGAAAGTGTTTGGTATGCACGTAATACAAGCATTTCCGAATAGAGTAATTTTTTTTAAGAGTTCTGTCTATATGGTTGATGTTTGATGTCATAATCAATTTCACGATTTTAGATGTGGACGAATGTTCGTTCATGCGAGAACCCTGTGGTATGGGTGTATGCATGAACACGTACAACAGCTACAGATGCGAATGCAAAAACGGATTTGCCGTGAAGAACGGTGAAAAGATGTGCGAAGGTATGCTTTCATCGAAATATTGTTTTCAACCTTTCCTCTAACTTCATCCAGAACGGGCGCATTTACGGATAAAGGATTCATTTCTTGGATTATTGTCTTTGCTTGTTAGAACCAAACTAATCTGGTTATACAGGTAACTTATGATGTTGCTTGTTTTTTCTGCAGATGTCGACGAATGTTTAACGAAGCCATGTGTTAACGGACGGTGTAAGAATACATTCGGTAGTTTTATGTGTGTCTGTCCCACTGGTTACGTTATCGATGAAACTGGTATCAAATGTGTAGGTAAGTTATATCCGTTGTTTTTCGTATGTCTGTAATTTCCTTTCATCGCTACCTGTTAGTCAGGCTTCCTTAGTTGCATTCCTTACAGAATGTCCGTGAGGTGCCTGGCCTGCTTGTCTGACAGCCACCACCTCTTTGCGACTTTGATAGCGATGTCTTGCCTGCTTGTCTGACAGCCTGCTCTACCTCCTTGACCTGTCCTTCCCCACTGTGGCTTGCCTGTCATTCTCCAATCCTAAGACACCAATCATTGATCATTAATCATTTTCAACGTTTTGCTTTAATAGATCACAACGAGTGTCACTTAAATAGCACATGCGTGAACGGAGTATGCATAAATCTAGTTGGAGACTATAGATGCTTATGTAAAACTGGTTACCAATCGGCAAGAGGAGGGAAGGCTTGTACAGGTAAAACATTCACATTAGCTTTAGTTCGGATGGCGTGTACCCCCCCTCCCCCGTCTCTGTAAGAAGCACATCTTGCACGAAGCACACCTTCTTCCTCTCTGTCTCTCTCCCACAACGCCTTCACCATAATGTAAAACACCTCTTCTTCAAGTAAAATCTTCCCTACCTTAAAAAAAGCCCCGACCTAGAAAGTTCAATATTTAACTCAAGCCCATATTTAACTCATATAAAAATTCTTCAAAGAGTTCGATTGACGTATGATTTCCATGGTGACAACTATTTAGACGTCGATGAATGCTCCAATGGGAACGCCCGATGCAGGGATGGTCAGTGCATCAACACACCGGGCTCGTATTCTTGTCAATGTAACGAAGGATTTAGGGAGGATTCTAGACATGCGTGTAGAGGTAGGTAGGGCTTCTTTCTGTTCTGAGTACTTGTAGTTCGACTGTATAAGAATTCCTCAGCTTGGTACCAGCAGAACTTGGGTGAGCTGGTGATTTCCCTAATTGAACTGCTAGCGAGAGCATTTAAAATTAACATAAACAAAACAGCAGCATGAAAATACTTCAGATTCTTCTGTATAAATTACGTGGACTGCTGCAAGACCTTTACTGGATAGTTTACAAAGGGCGTATAAGGTAAGCTGATATCCAAATCAAATTTTAATGTACATTATTCGTTATTAACAGACATCAACGAGTGTAATGAATTGGGTACACAAATCTGCAGAAACGGTTTTTGCGAGAACACCGTGGGTGGATTTACTTGCAAATGTAACCTTGGCTACAAGCTGGATGAGTTAGGACGGAATTGCCGAGGTATGTGTTCTGCATTTGCAAATAAGTTAATTTCGTGTGTTGGTAACTCTAGATGCAGAAAAAGCAACCATGGTGTTGGCAACCTAATTTACTAAGTTTACCAGGATTATATTAGTTTGTAGTGAGGGCCTTGTATTAGGGATACTTTATTCAATCATTTTTACCTCATAAAGCTGTATCACAAATGTTGTAACCCATTTAACAGAGGTGGATACTTTAAAAAGGGGGAAGACTTCAAGACTACTATTCAAGACCTATCTCAGCACTGAAGAGAAGGATTTCTTTCTGTTCAATAGATATAAACGAATGTCGCGAGATTGATAAATACTGTTCAAATGGAACGTGTACGAACACCATTGGTGGATCAAAATGCGAGTGTTCTCTTGGATATCAAATGAATCCTTCTGGTGACGATTGTGAAGGTATATGTTTGTTTTCATTGTTGTCTTGTAATGGTGGAAATCGTCAAGTGAATACAAACTGCTATTTCTTGTGTAGATATCGATGAATGTGATGAAGATCCAAATCTTTGCGAGATGGACGGAAGATGCGAGAACATACCTGGCAGTTTCAGATGTATTTGCCCAGAAGGTTATAAAATAGCGAACTTCGGAAAAATGTGTGTAGGTACGTATTGTAAAATTAAACTCAGCAATGCCGTCAGAATTCAACCGATCTGACCCTGTGTTTATAAAGGGGGGGGGAGAGACTTGAACACGCATCATTGAACTGCTTCGTTATTTCTAGACATGAGACCAGGATATTGCTTCGATAACTTGGATAGTGAAGGGTGTAGCAGACCACGGGCGAAGCTATCCACGAAACAGCAGTGTTGCTGCACCAGAGGAGCAGGCTGGGGCGAGCCATGCGATCTTTGCCCCGCAGCACAGACAAGTATGATCTAGTTTACGTACCGTGTTTTCCACCTCTAGGGTGGACGGGACGAGTTTTAAAGCTCTTGGCCGTTTTGACTTTTTTCGAAAAGATATATTAAATTGAGATGGTATTCTATCTTATAGAGACGTTCACATTACTCTGTCCAAAAGGACCCGGCTATGCCGTAAAGAATATTTCGGTGGAAGGTAAGAAAATTTTTTATATGGCTCACTTTGAGTACTATCTTGAGATTATGTGTCTTTAGTTATCTAAACCGACTCGGCATAAATGGGGAGGATAGGAAGAAGTAAGCGTCTGACTGCATTGTTGTATTTTGTCTAGACGTGAACGAGTGTGAATATAACGACTTGTGCAGAAATGGCCGCTGTATAAATAACGATGGAAGCTACCGCTGTCAGTGTTTCGCGGGCTACGTTATTGACAATACTGGCAGAAATTGTGAAGGTTAGCGACATATTTCCCCCTTCACCTAACAAAGAAGAAAAAAAAGCTGATTTCAAGCTGATTGTTTTAGTGTCTCGTAAATGTTCTGAATGCTCTGTTGCACGGCTATGACACCCCCCTGTACTTTCAGTTGAGACCCCCCCCCCTGTACTTTCAGTTAATTTATTCAATTTTATTTTAAGACGTCGACGAGTGTGCCACGAGAGGTATATGTGGTAATGGTACGTGCACCAACCTGCCAGGTAGTTATACATGCGACTGTGCTGTTGGATTCAGGAGAGGTCGTTCATCACCAAGCTGCCAAGGTACGTGTTATCAATTCGAGGCTCGTGGATAAATGTGGCCTTGTGTTCGTATAGTTTACCTACTTGTTCATGCATTTTTTAATTCAATACAAACTCTTCCTATGTCTTACTTGCATAATCAAGCAATCTTTCAATGGTATTGTCTCATCTTCAAACGATGCTTTCAAAATGACCATGAGTAAAATTTTAGAAGTTTTTTGCATGTTGTAGCTGTCTGCACATAAACGTCTGGTTCATCATAAACGTTATAAAGACAGAGAAGTTTTCAGACCATGTACTTGCCCTGGATAACCTACCAACGTTCTGATTCTACAAGCTAGTTTCAAACTCAATCTTCGGCGATAAAAGGGGAAAATATTTCTGTTTCTAGACGTCGATGAGTGTGCCGAAAGACGAAACCTCTGCGCATTCCGTTGTGTGAATACTCTCGGTGCCTATCGCTGCGTTTGCCCTCGAGGATACAAACTTCACGTGAACGGACGGCATTGTACAGGTACGCTTTTGCCCCAAAAAGAGGATAAAATTCGCAACGCTCCGATCCGTTAAACTCCTCTATTCGCACAAACGTAATAAAAGAAAGGCAATTCAACAAATCTTTCTTCAGTTTCATCTTTGAATTTGAAAAGTGGTCATTTGAATTACATTTTTTTACATTTATTTTATTCTATTCAGATGTTGACGAATGTAAGACTGGTATCCACAACTGTGGTTATGTTTGCAAGAATTTCTTTGGCGGATTTAAATGTGTTTGTCCCGAAGGATTCCGAAGAGCGGTTGGAGGAAGAAGATGCATTGGTAAGTTTTGCTTCAGTTGTATTTAATGCTCTGGAAGTTATGTTCACTTGTGTTATTGCTTTGTTATCGGCAAATGTTGGTCCTAAAAATGCTAACAAGTTCTCAACGGCTCGTTGACGTGGTTGTTCAACAAGTCCATTATCCGAACAAAGCAAAATATTATTTTCTTACAATTGATAGGTATGAGACTTTATGGGCTTTGTTTTAGATGTCAACGAATGCAGGGAGGACTCGAGCCGATGTTCCAATGGTGTCTGTCGTAATACCGCTGGCAGTTACATCTGCGACTGCAATGATGGTTATAAACGAACGTCGGACGGCAAAAGTTGCGAAGGTGTGAATAACCATGAAAAAACTTTAGTGTACTTTGTTTGAAATAGTTACAGGAATCACGATACGATTAGTTTTTTCTTTGCATCAAATCTGCAAGGAATTTGACAAGTCAAATTTTTTTCCCAGATCTCAGCCGTGGTTTATGTTTCTCGCAAGTTGACAATGGTTTGTGCAAGGGGTCCACAAAGATGATGATGTTGGTAACGAAGAGCGAATGTTGTTGTACCGCTGGGAAAGCGTGGGGAAGCCAGTGTATCAGGTGTCCAGACGAAGGAACATGTACGTCAACAGTTTGGTGAATAATTGTGTATTTGGGAGTCTTGAGCAGGCATTGCAGAAGTACACAAGCTATGCATTTGAGGTTATTTTGGTAAAGTGTGGCAATCACCAGTGTATCTCAGATGCGAGGGAGGAGAAGGCAATTCCCCCGGGCTTAAGAAGGCCCAAAATAATAAAAACACAAGAGAAATAGAAGGGGGAAGACAGTACCAATGAGGGAAAGCCCCACCCCCACCCCCAAGTGGATTTTTGCCCCATTTAGACGCCCACAGTGAAGTCACGGTGTGCTTCTTATCAGTTCTCTCGGGCTTCTTTGCTCACCGTGTCTTGTACCCCACTCACCATTAGGCAGAAGAATTATAAATACGTTTTCTTTTGTTCTCAGCTACGTACAGAAGGCTTTGTATTTCATTCAAAAAAGGTTAGCTCAATAAAACTCAGTAAAAAATGAGTTGTATCACGGTGTGTTTTGGACATCGAAAGACTTACACATCTTGGTTCATTTCAGACATGAATGAATGTAGCATGATTCCTGGTTTGTGTCCAAATGGCAAGTGCATAAACACGCGAGACTCTTATCGTTGCATGTGCAACCGCGGTTACCAGTTGAGTAGGGATGGAAAGCGCTGTGTGGGTGAGTTTATAGCAACAAAAAATCACCTACAGGAGATAGCTCTGAATAGTTCATCACTTTCGCCTCCCAGACTCCAGAGGTGAAGAATTTACCTCTTGTAGAAATCATCATCAAAGTAACTTTGATGGTACTTGGTAGGTCTATCAGTACTAAAATCTTCCTCCTAGTGACTTAGAAAGTATCATCTGTTTGATCCAGTTGTACTATATGCCGGAAGAAACCAAAACTTGCTTATACTGGGTAGCTCTATCATTCCTCAGCTGTCCTTTCCAGAGGTCCAACAAGGATCCTGTTGATCTAGTGTTACAACAATATTAGACCCAACTAAACCAACTATCTTTACAAGAGGTAACCATATTTTTCTAACTACAGATGTGGACGAATGCGCCAGAAGACCGAGACCTTGTCGCACTGAATGTGTAAACACTGTAGGAAGTTATCGATGTCGATGTCCACCTGGCTACCAAGACGTCTCCGGAAATTGTCAAGGTCTGTCTTTGAAGTGAATTACCTCGACAATAGACCTTTCCCCTTTTAGCTTTCAAGCGCGCAATGCGTGACGGTAGTTGATTATCAAGCAACTTTGAGCTGCAATATTTTTCTGTTTAGAAGTCATTTTGTTTCTAAGAAAACCTTGCCGATTCTTTTTGCTTCTTTGTTTAAATCGCTCCTGAACATGGCGAAATCACAACTCAAATTGACTTTGATAATCAACACCGTCATGCATTGCGTGCAAAGGTCTATTTAGATCTATTCCTAATAAATGGAAAGGTTTAAGGTCTTAAGACATTAAAAATCGAGCGCAGTGAAAATCCCTCAAAGGAATCGCTATAAAGTGATTGAGGTCTCCCACTCATTAAGTTTGAGTGTGAGTAAGCTTATCGAATTCAGGGGCCGGTTGTATGAAAGCCGGATAGCGCTATCCGTTGTGATGTTAAAATGTTGTGACGTAATTACCGAAAAGGTCTATTGTTCATTCCAAAGCTGAAAGTTTATTGCTTTATCACAATCCGGTGGATAGCGCTGTCCGGATTTCGTACAACCGGCCCCTGCTTGGCGTTAATTTTGACCCCTGTATGCGTTTAGTGAATATTTCAATCATCTTCGTTTTAAGATATCGACGAATGTCGAAACAGAACTCATAATTGTCCTCAAGGATGTCGGAATACTCTGGGGAGCTACACGTGTACTTGTCGAGAGGGATACTCGTGGACTGGATCTACGTGTGCAGGTAACGCGGGAATACGTCAAACGCGGAAAGTATGATGTTACACGAAGTGTGATTCGCTCGATAGTTTTGTGGAGCCAATCAAATTTCGTGTATCATCAGACTTTCCGCGTTTGTCGTCATTATAAGAAAGGTCTATTGCATATTCCCGCGTTACCTGCACAGTGTCATATTTTGATTTGTTTTTTCGTCATTTTAAGATGTAAATGAATGTCTACGTCAAAATATTTGTCGTTTTGGTACATGCAAAAATCAACCTGGATCATACACTTGTGTTTGTCAACGTGGATACAGATTTGATCCCCAGACTAAGACCTGTGTCGGTACGTTTTTGTAGAACGAAACGAACCAGAAATGAACGAAACGAAACGAACCAGAAATGAACGAAACGAAACGAACCAGAAATGAACGAAACGAAACGAACCAGAAATGAACGAAACGAAACGAACCAGAAATTAACGAAACGAAACGAACCAGAAATTAACGAAACGAAACGGACCAGAATTTAACGAAACGAAACGGACCAGAAATGTCACTCCTTTTCTGAGCAGTGACACTAACGGTTTAATATATATTCTGACGTCACCAAACTTGAATGAGAAAAAGTTGCTAAAGACCACTAACATAAAAAGGTTCTTTCTGGACGAAGCTCGTTTCGTTATGTTCTCTGTGATGAATTTTACTTTGGTTGACACGTTAGCTGTCAATTTGACCAGATCAACGTTCCGTTGTACTCTGTTTAAAGAGATCAGGGCCAGGTGATTGATTGCAGGGATATCAAAATCATTCTCACATACATTGAATGTCAAATTTTCTAGATCAAAACGAATGCAACATCCGCACTTGTCAAGGAGTTTGTGTCAATCTGAACGGTGGTTTCCGCTGTGGCTGCCAGTCCGGTTACGTCAGGCAAATCTACTGGAACAGATGTATCGGTAGGTAATGTGAAGAATGGATTGAGAGGCTTTTAAAGTGTCAAATCTCGGGTAACTGGGCAGTGGGCTCACTTTTGTTTCATTTTATGTTTAGATGTGAACGAGTGCATTACTGGAGCGAACAAATGTGGACGAACAAAATGCTTCAACATCTTAGGAGGATATCGCTGTTATTGTCCTCGAGGATTTCGCCTCGACAGAGTCAGAATGATATGCACAGGTTTGGTTAGAATATATCTTATCACGTAGTTTTCGCCGAGGAAATAGCGAGAAAGTTAAGCCTTAAGGAGATCGAGCTTTGCCTTTGAGTTAAAAGCTGTTTTATTGAAAAATGTCAAAGCAAGTCTTTTGAACTGACCAGGATTCAGGAGTCTTGTATAGCAAGTTGTAAAGAAGTCATTTGGCTTCGTCGACCAGCCTGAAACAAACAGTTTAGCCATAGCCATATCCTGATAACCACAGTTGTTGAAATTGTTTTGTTGCGAGTCTGTAAGGAGTTAAACGCGTACGGGTCATTTTCATGTGTGTACAGCAGCTGTAGAAGTATTAAGGCTTTTTTCTATCATGTCTTCTTGAATTTAGATACGAACGAATGTACCCGTAATCCATGTGCAGCCGGCTGTTACAACATCCAAGGCGGCTTCCAGTGTTCATGTCCCTCTGGCTTCTATGCCATTGGAGGAGGGTGAGTGTCGATAGCTTCTATACGACAGCCATGCTCAGCTGTCATAGTCTACTCCTGCATGGTTCCAAGAATCGTTCATGCAAAAAAACAATTTACAATTCATTTACAATCCAAGTTTATCTACAATTCAGAACGTTTACCATTTTTTGTTTGCTGCACATAGTTTTTTCAAAAGACTTAGAAACTTGCAAAGTTTTGAACAATGTTAACTTATGAGAATCTTCATTGCCATGACAGAACAGATTCTCAGGAGCCGCTGTAACCCGATTTTAGTGTGCTTGTCTTTGATTAACCGTGAACGATATTTTGTAAGGCAATATTTCTTTTACTTGTAGCCATTGTATGTCCAGATTCGGTCAGAAGTGTTACAACTGCGGACCTAATCAACGACAGCAGCAAATAAAACAGCCCGTGAGAATTGTCACCAACAACAAGTACAAATTCGATGAACAACCACCATCTACAAGCCGCGCCACACCAGCAAGGTACAATTCCAGAGTTAACCAACGCGATCGTTACCAGGGCTCCAGGGACTACTCGACCTCAGACCCCTATCGCTACACGTACTCCTATCGTCGCACTTCGTCCGGGGGGAGGCGAAACAAGCGTACATCACACTTTGTACATAGATTAAAAATTACCGTTCCACGCAACTTGACATCCCGAGACAACATTCTCGTTTTAACACCCGTTTTGGAGAGCCTGCAGAAACTTTTCCACTATGAAATGGTGAAAGGGAACCACAGCTTGTTCGGAATTAAAGTCGAGGAAGGAGTCAGTTCTTTGTATGCTAAAAATCCTTTGAAAGTCGGCCTCCATCGAGTTTATCTCAAGGGCAAGCTGGACAGCACGAAAATAAAAATACCATTAGAAGCCGACAACCAAATTGAGTTCACGGGGTCTGGAGACGAGAAGAAAGAGCAGGAAAAATCCAAAGCGCCTGAAATGCCGCTAAATAAAGTGGTCGGTGTCTCGGAATCGAGAAAATTCCATCTTGACATTATCATTACCGTTGAATAAGATTTTCAGCCATATTATAGAATGCAATATATATATTTAGCCCTTGTGTGAAATGTTGGCGAATTTTGTAAGATTTTTAAAATTGGTACCTAATTAGTGAGTTAGTACATCATAGTTATCGTATAATGTAGCGATATTTTTTGTATGTGACTGTAAATTAAGTAGTAGCTATAGCTGTAATTTTAGTCTGAAGAATATAGGTTAGTTCCTTGAGTTGAATACGTTTGTATTTTATAAAGAATAAAGCGTTACCTTTCCAAAAACACTGGATAGACTTATGAAAATGGAGAAAGTCTAATATTATCTCTTGTCATCAGTATTACCTTAAGTTACGCAGAATTGTGGCTCTCACAACTTGCGAATAAATTGCAAAGCAGTTGTTAGCAAATGAAGCAATAAGAAATATTTAGACGAATGTATTACCATACAGCAAAGCTTTCCAAAATTTGTAAACAAGTTACAGTTATTGTAGGAGGATTATCATCATTGATCGTATTTGCCATTTTCTGGCGAATATGCCCATGGTCGTATTTGCCATTTTCCGGCGAATATGACCATGGTCGTATTTGCCATTTTCCGGCGAATATGACCATGGTCGTATTTGCCATTTTCCGGCGAATATGACCATGGTCGTATTTGCCATTTTCCGGCGAATATGACCATGGTCGTATTTGCCATTTTCCGGCGAATATGACCATGGTCGTATTTGCCATTTTCCGGCGAATATGACCATGGTGACTCATCTGATTCTGGCGATGAAATAAGTCGAATAATTTGTAACAAGCGGTCCATTGAAACGATAAATTTATTATTTGATAAATTTATAACAAGTCGTAGGCAAATTGTCAACAGACAACAATTCATGCAAACATGTCTTGAAATCAAGTTGTTTTGTGTTGCAGTTTGTTGTGTTAGTGGTGTGTTGTTGATGCACTTTTGAGGAGGGAAAACTATACACAAATATGATTCTCTCATTGAGGTGGACAAATGAAATTTTGGTTATTCTAACTAAGTTTAACTGACGAAATCATGATAAATAATGCCCTTCAACCCTAAATCCGATCTTAAAATTTCATGATCCTCTTTTCTAGACCTCGATCATCTGTGATCCTGCGTCGGGACATTTTCAGAGCAGTCTACCCCCCGCTGATGCTGAAGGCCACCTACTTTGATCCAACCTCGTGACCAGGTTGGCTTTGACCAGTCGCTTTGACCCTGACCACTGAGCTATTTTATAATTCAATATAGCTACAGATAATAGGAATTATTATATAGCTCAGTTACCCTGACCCTGACCCTGATCTCAATATGAGATTAGTTGATTCGATGGGTTTACGTCACGTGCCTTCCTGGCTTAATCTTGAGCAATATGGCGGAAAATCGAGAACCACCTCCTGACTTGTTTGACGCTGAGGAAAACCTCTCCGAAGAAGAAACGCTTGAAGAACCGAAGCCAGCAGAAGACGAGACTGTCGATGACATTCAGGAGACGGTGGAAGTGAGTTTAGATAACGAGGAAAACGGAAAAGATGAGCCTGTTGAAGCCAGCAAAGATGAGAACGCTGAAACCACGGTGAATGATCCGATCATACCCGATGATCCAGCGCCAAAAGAAGCGGAAAAGGTGGCAGAAACAAGCCCGGAAAGCCCTGAGACACCGGAGGAGAAGAAGGATGAAGATAAAAGCGAGGTTAAGGTAATAAAGTCGCCTATTTCCCGGTTAAAAATCATGATAGTTCTGTGGTATGTGCAAGAATGAACAAGCATAACATTGATGCAATATGGAATATATCTGACCGATTGTTCCGGATTAAAATTTCTAATTTAGCATTTCTTACTTGTGTCAAACTTGATCGCGGATCGCAATTAGTTTGTTCACGATAAATGATTATCTTTATGATTAAAAAGTAATTACTTTTATCACTTGTGGATGCCAATTAAGAAATATATTTAATGAGAAGTTATAAAAGTGATATTCATGATATATCCTCTGCATGTATTCATGCGCTGTGCGCGCCAATATCTGTGCAATAAATAGGACAAGTGGAAGATTGGCTTATACAGGTAGCAAAAATAATTATATGAAGTGCAATTCAAGTTTTTCTGAGATTAATATTTTGTATGAAGTTTGCATTTAATACAATGATACATGAATGAAAGTGATCCCTTTAAAAACCTCACTACCGAAATGTATTATTCAAAGCAGTGCTTTAGAATTTCAGAGACAAGAGGCAAAGGTTCAATTTCTATGCAATTAGGATAGTCAATCCCTATTTGTGATCTTGGCATAGTATGCCTCTAAATTTAGCAATGTGTCCATAGGTAGCCGCTAGAGCAGGCCCGCATGCCATAGTATGTATTATAGATATATATATATATATATATATATATATATATATATATATATATAATATATATTCATATAATACATGCTACAGCTACTATAAATGGACAAAAACAGCAGGTTAATAAAATTTGACATTTAATGTTTCCCAATAATCACCTCACCTTAATTGTTAAACAGTCTTTGAACAATCCACCTCTGAAAGGTGTGCTGAAACACAATGATTTATATTGTATTTCAGCCGAAAGCCAAACCAAGGGTGACTTTTGAAACAGAAAAGGTAAATAATATAGGATTTTATACCCACAACTCCAATGATTTGTGCGTGCTAAAATAACAAATAATTTTATTGAGCTTGATGGAAGGTGGTATATATAGGTGTCGTAGTTTGAAAAATACATGCATGGTAATACTCTAAACTAATGATAAGAGTGTACGCTGTACGTTTTATCTACATTGTCTAATTTCTCTCTTTAAAAAATGATTTAATAGACACCCAAATTTGCTGGAGTGCACACAAAACAAACTTGCTATTGTTTTCATTGCCTGAGAACAAATTCAGGAAGTGTCTATACCTGTCCAGTGTATCTGTAAGACCAGACCAACTTTGTGAGGCAAATGTAAAAGAGGATTACTAGGAAAGGATAACTGGGAGGGATGCGGAGGATAGCTAGGAAAATAAGGAAATAGAACTGAAGGTCCGCATTTTTTGGGATCAAGTGCTTGATTTTGTGTTCAATGAATTATCCAAGAACGGAGATGAAGACGAACAGCAAAATGGAGAGCCTGAAGACCATGAAGATGAGGAAGAGTTTGAAGAAACTGACGAGTTTGATATTGAGATTAAAGTTTCTGATCCAGAGAAAGTCGGTAAGATATTATTGCTGTAAATGTTTACAGGTGGAAATGGTTAGGCTTCCCTGTCATTCTGATTACACATCAAACAGTAGAAGATGAAAAGGCATCTCTCCAGAAAGACATCCCTGCTATACCTGACTGTTTTTAAAAAGATTAGATGAGTACACATACTGAATATAAACATCAAACAAAGTCCGATATTAATATATTTTATTGGTTTTGTTTTTATTGAAAAATATTGCTATACTATACTTTCAGCTTTGCACATATGTTGTATTTTCTGAGTATATAGTTAAAACATATGAGTAAACACAACTCCCTTTCATAATCCTTGTAATGCCTCTCCCCTTGCAACATACTAAATATTCTCCTGTGTCTATTTGCAGGTGATGGTATGGGTGCATACATGTGCTACAAAGTCACAACGATGGTATGTTGTACTGCACCTACCATAAATAAATTATTTCAGTAGAAGATAGAGGATGATACAACCATCCATATGGTCCAATAGCACCAGTCGCTAACCATTTAAGCACAGTATGTGATTGTTGTCATCAGTTCACAGTTTCTACTTTTCTTCCTGTAGACAAGTCTGCCAAGTTTCAAAAAACCAGAAACAAGTGTCTCCAGGCGTTTTAGTGATTTTCTTGGCCTCCATGAGCGGCTTAATGCAAAGTTTCTTCTACAGGGCAAAGTGGTGCCTCCAGCTCCAGAAAAATCTGTTCTAGGTTTGTCTGGCTACATCTGTATGCAAAATTAGGAAACTGTTACTCAGTTTCTAAGCTTTAAATTTCACTTATCTTTCACTTATGAAATAATCTTTAGTTGGGAATTTAGTACACCCACCATTCATATGACCCTAGGAAGAACTTGTCAGTCTAGGCAACCTAATGGAGGCTGTCACTTATAGATATTACTTCTGAACCCAACCCTCGCCCTGACCAACACTGCAGTGAACTTTTCAAAAGGTTCAGTGGTTTTTCCATTGTGTTTTTTGGAACTTAGGAATGACTAAAGTGAAATTAGGCAAGGAAGAGTCTACTTCAGCTGACTTTGTTGAAAGGCGTAGAGCTTCACTAGAGAGGTAATTAAATATATTTTCTACCCTCGTAACACCCCATCATCGTGCATGCCGTTTATTTTTGTATAAAATTCTCCATTTAGATACCTCAACAGGACCGCTAGCCATCCTGCTTTGCGAGAGGACTCAGAATTCCGAGAATTCCTAGAACTTGAGAATGTATGGAATTCTCTATATCACCATTTTTGTTTGAACTTATACCATGACCTGATATGGTTTTATAAATAGCTAAAAGAATATAATTTGAAGTAAAGCTTTCTTTCAAAATCGACTCAGTAGCTTCATAAAACGCCTTGTGTATATCAGCTGGTATTCGTTCAATTGTTTTTTCCCTTTTTCCAGCTTCCCAGAGCTTCAGGAACCGCGGCCTTGAGCGGAGGTGGTTTTAAACGATTGGTTAAAAACGTTGGTGATACTATGTTTAATTTGACGACGAAAATAGAGGAATCCGATCAGGTATTTTATTGGCGATATGATTGGAATTGCATCAGACTTTTTGCGGTGTTTTGAGATTACTCACTCGTGTTCGGTATAATATGCTATAATGCAAATATTTCCCGTAATTTTTAGTGGTTTGAGGACAAGCACAACAAAATTGATGCACTTGAAACACAGTTGAAAAAACTACACCAAGCGTTGGAAAGTTTAGTTAACAATCGAAAAGGTAAACAAATTCAGAGTGTTTTATTTTCCAGTGAGTTGTGAGCTGGTTTATATTGAATTTCCTTTCTTCTAAATCTTTGCAGAGCTGAGTACATCAACAACGATATTTTCAAACGCAATCGCTGTTCTAAGTAAGTACTAAGAGTAATTTAAATTTCAATGACAATGAAAAAGTTTTCGTATAAGATACAGCCATATTGGCTCGAGCCAGAATTTCCCGCCAAACCCGAGCGATCCGTCAGGAACCAATCAGAATCCTCTTCTTCGACACTCAAGCCTCTCAGATGTTGTTGTCTTATATCGATTACTGGATACGAGTCTCTAGCTCGTACTAAAATGTTTTTGTGATTTTTCAGGCAGCGCTGAAGAACACAGTGCATTGTCGAGAGCTTTATCAAACCTTGCTGAAGTTGAGGAAAAAGTCGATAAAGTCATTCAAAGTCAGGTTAGTTACGTGCTGTGAATCTTTCCGTACCCCCTGAAGTTTATCTCCCCCCGTCTTGATCCCCTCTCGTGTCCCCCCCCCGTCACAATTCATTTCATCTGTCCTCCACTCAATACAACCCTCTGATTTACCAGTGTTTTTGGTTTTGGTTTTTCTAGATGGAGACCGATTTTTACGTTCTTGCTGAGCTAATCAAGGATTATCTAGGTCTAGTTCATTCGGTTAAGGTAAGCTCAGAAAGGTTCGAAAAAGATTTTGAAGAAGAACACTGACAAAAATTTACAGCGTCTATTTTCTCGTGTACAGATGTGTTTCAACCAGCGTCTTCGTGTTTACACTAATCTTCAAAATGCTCAGCAAAATTTAACGAAAAAACGCGAGGTTTTGGTCAAGGCTGAACTTGCCTCGAAGACGGATCGCGTTAAACAATGCAAAGACGAAGTTAGTCAGGTGGGTTGCGACCACTGATCTGATAAAAGATCTGGAGTCGGTTGTACGGCAGTGCTTTATGTGAAAACTGCGTGAAGACGTATTCTAATACTGTGGATGTGATTTTGCCTAAATTGCAGTGTGAAAGGAAGGTGGAGAAATGTCAGGAGGATTTCAAAGAAATATCGAAAACAATCCGGAAAGAATTCACAAGATTTGAGGTGAGTTAGCACGAAGACCAGCTGGGGTATTAGTGGGTATGTGTGTTCTTTTGGTGACGAGTGGAGTTATCAGGGGACATGTTTGTTCTTTTTGTGACGTGTGGAGTTATCAGTAAATATATTTGTCATTATTGCGTGTCGTACTCTGGCTGCAAAGAAACCCGTCATGGGACGATTACAACACCGCAGTGGGAACCAGCGACCGTTTGTTTGTTAGTCCAGTGAGCTGTACGAGATCATCGGTGCGAAGTCAAAATCAATAACTGCTCTTGTTTGTATTTTCAGCATAATCGTACGAAAGATTTCCGTGCAGCCATAATTCAATACTTAGAAGCGCTCATGGAAAACCAGCAACAGGTGAGAGCAGAAAATCTCGTATTACAATGAACTAGAGGGGCCCCAAGCCTGTTCAGCGTAAACGACAGGATACAATAGACCTTCTCAGCTTGCATGCAAATTAACCCATTTCAGATGTTGTGACCATGGAATAGCCAATAAAACTTAACCATTTCAGACCATGTGATTTGAAATGGGTAATTTGCATACAAGCTGAAAAGGTCTATTTCACCAGGGTGTCTGAAATGGCGGGAAAGGACTGGAACTAGTTTACAAATTAAAATCTATTTCTCGGTTAAAACAACTTAATCTCTCTTGAAATTTTCGCTATCACATTTATGTTCTAAGAAATCTTCTCATTCAATTTCAGGTCTTAAAACATTGGGAGGGATATTTACCTGAAGCTAAAGAAATTGCTTGAAGACAACCAAGTTTGTATTTGTGTAGAGCACGTATAGAATTGATTTTAAAATGGAATTGATCCGAAATATTTTGGCCGTGAGAACTCTCGCGCCGCATGCGTCCAAATAATGGGTTTTGCCGTTAAAATGAATGAATAGGGACCTACAAACGTCTGATTGAGAATGAGCATCACATTGTAGACATATTTCATATGCAATTATATTATTAATTTTTGCCAAAAAAGCTTTATTGGTTGCATCTGCAGCTGAAATACACGGCTTTCTGTAAATGGCGGTTTCACTGCATCCGGTGCAAGGCAAGGTATGTGCATGGTTTTTGCAGCAAACGCACCACCATTTCACAGGGGCAGACTGGTCTGTACATGATTTACCGGGAAAACTCAAAAAGGGGTGCTATTTTTAGGTCTAACATGAGAAACAGGTATTGAAAATGCGTGTGCTTTTATGTTGAGTTTCAAAATACATGATTTAGATCAGGATATCTTTCCTGTGTTTTACTTCAATGGTTTCATCAAATCCTCCAGAATTTTCTCCAAAACGCCAAACGGCATGTAAATCAGGGGCGCACCGGGGAATTTCCCGGTATCCCTGTGTGGGCCAGTCCGCCCCTTCCATTTCATGCATATTAGGGTTATCTTGCGATGTTGCGTGTGGGGTTAATCGGGGATATACAAGGATTGGGATTGATGTTTGTTGTTGAAATCAGTGTTTAGATTAGAATTTGTAGTTATAGGATTATTTTGAACGTCAGCGCCAGTTATGAGTACGAGATTCCCTATTTTCGCGCCATACTTGCTTACGCCTTCTGACGAAACATGTAGTCATGAGACTTTTGACTATGAAGTTGATAAAAAAAACTCGTACTCCATGGAAAGCCCGACAAATTTTGTATGATGGCGTCAGCAAGCAACGCGCGAAATTGCCTGCCATTCAGGTTACACTCTGATAATCTCGTATAAACACGTCTATACGCATCTCTAATATAATGGCAAAGTAAGCCAAAAGGCAAATATAAGTTGTAAGCGGCCAGGGAAGAAAAGACGCAACGTAAACAATATTCCTAACTAGTTATATCACTCGTTATATATAGAGCTTACTTTTTGACTAATTTTGCTTTCAAATTATCCTGACAAAGCACAACAACCACGTCAACAACACAAGAAGACAAAACGTCTATTTTGAAGTTCCGGAGCAACATTTTTAATTGCCCAGTCAATATAATGTTTTGATCTGCGGTATTTCAATAGTATAGACCGTGTCTCACAAAGATGTTTGTGTAATACCTTTTATTAAACAAGGCCACGCTTAACATCAGGGTCATCGCATTTTAAATACGAAAGTAATATATAAATATATTCATATATCGACAAGTAGAAAATATCCTGATCTAACTTTGTAATGATTTAGACACCACAAAGTTGAAAGAGACGTGTTTATTTTCCAAGGAACCACGTCCTTCACGGAAACATAAGTTAACCTTTGAATTGAGAATACATGTATATTTCGTGATGTATATTAGTATTACGCATTTTTACGATCTAGTAAACGTTAATGAATCATCACACAACTATGCTACACTTCATGCAAGAACTTTCCCTCTCTTTAAAGCATAAAATTTTCTTCTGAACAACTGAAATGCTCTATCCAGGCTTATTGATATTAGTAGTTCTCGCTTGAAGGGATTAGGAGGAGCACAAAAAAAAACGTTTCGATCAAGCACGCAAAATTTTTGGTAAACAAAAATTTCTATATGCCATCGCGCCATGCAATAATAGTTATTCCCAGGCTGAATCTAAAGCAAGTGCAGTCAACTCGACCTTAAATGTAGGAGAAATAAAATGGATTTAAATTCAGAACATGCATGTATAGATGAAAAATAATTTAGACTGTCATGAAATACAATGGATCTTATTTATCAAGCAAAAGTAATAAAACGACACAATACTTTGGGTGGGAATTGATTGGTTGAAAACAATGATACTATATCATTTGAATTGACATCATATGGTTTGTTTATGACTTTTTCCCACTATAGAAATTCATATTTTAATCCCTTCCCAATTTGCATGTACGCAAGTTTGTGTCAATATTTTTAATCGCCAATTATTGTTGATAATCGTCTCTCGAGTAGTTGTATTGTTAGTGCTGGTTTTAAGTAAGGAAATCTTTTGAACTTTGGAGAAAATGATTTCCTGTTTTTCTGCAACATGCATGAAAAGTTTCCTTTATGAAAAAAGAGATAAATTAAAGCATTTTGATCGATAGAAATTATCTTCATACAGTTCGATCTGTGTGGGTTTTGCAAGATAGATTTATATTAGCGCAGTACTAGTAGTCAATACATCTTAGCGAATCTTCTATCGTCAATCTGTAATTTTGACCCACTTCGAGTCTCAAAGCCGGAAAGGATTTCAACAGAATCGACTGAGAACTTTCTTGGCCTTTTGATGTTTGTTTTTTATTCAAACTCCACTGCATACTTGAAACATTGCTCGCATGCGCGTCAAAGTCACAACAAACAATATTTTTATTATTTATTGTGTCGAACTCTTTGTCCATGGAAACTTGTACAATGTACAATTAGCCTCGCAATACAAAAACCGCTTGAATGCTAACTTTTCATGAGTTTTTAAAATGCAAAAGCCAGGTTTAACTGCGTATTTTTCTGAAGTGTTTTCCGGCAACTTTCTTTCACAGATTTCACGAGTATTTTTGCGCGTGCGAAAGCGCGGAAATTCGTGAGAAATTTGTAACGGCGAAAGCATTTAGGCAAAGGAACGAAATGCTGATTGTCTTAATGAAAGAAAATTGCTCGTGTGAATCGAGGTTTTATTGCATGCATGGCATACGCAAAATGCCCATTCATGGAGAATGCCCTGAGATACGTGTTGCCTGTCCATTGTGTTTGTGATTCCTTGAGATGAACCTTGCATGGTGTCTCCTCGTCAATCAAAGCGGTGATATCAATTTTTATTTTCATTTCAATTTCAGCTTCTGCTGTCTTAATAGTATTGTGTTTTTCCTGTCTTTTCCATGTGTCCCGTCGTGTGTATTAAAAGCTACTGGCTGAGCCATTGTGTTTCGGGACAAACTGAATAGCTACGTGGGATGATTGTTGGCCGCCAAACGTTTAACTCCTTTCTACGTGTTTAAATTTCCTTTTCCTAAAAAGAAAGACAAAATATTAAGATAACTGTCTTGGTTTGCTAATTAAAATTGTTTACATCTTCGTGCAAAAACTCCCAGGAAACAAGCGGTAGAACTTTCTTTGAAGTGTTTTTTTTCAAATTGCGCAAACAACTCAATGCGAAAATATTTCAACAAACAGCGATTGTATATGCAACTAGACAAACTCGACAGCTATTCATTTAAAGTTGATGTGTTAAAATAAATATATATGTGATATAGTGATGTATAATAGAATCACAGATAGAATGTAATGATAGCTTTAAGCCTTTAATTTTTGTGTTCGGTCAATATATGACTCGCAATATTTACGATGTTAAAAGCCTGTATATTGAAGATATGTCTCTTGTTCTTGCACCAAAAATATTATAACTGCTTGCGTGAAATATTAAGGCTTTTCGAGAGTTCACTTTGGTCAATTTGCAACGCGATCCTCTTCCCGAGACTAGAGTTGTATGACTATATATACGTGTCTGTCTGTGAATTTACCTAAATCAGTAATTAGGCTGCAGGGAATATGTCTTAATAAGGTATATTACGATGAATTTGCGATTTCAACTTTTATTATTTGTATAATTTTATTTAACAAATCAATATGAATGGCAAATACGTCCTACATGAATCAACAGATTTGGCTGATCCACATATGCATGTAAACAACACTAACGGCACTATGCTTGTTCCTTCTGCGACATTCAGTCTCGAGAATTGATTCAATTTGCGTAACAACCCCACCTGGTACATCTTCCATATGCGTCCTGCATTCGTTCTGGAATTTGCCATAAATGGCAACAAACTACTATAGGAATTTGATACGGTTGCTCCGTGACGTCCTCTAGACGACAATTATAGGACTATATTGCGAAATATAGTTCAAGGAGAATTGATATCAGCTGAGCAACCAAAAGATGACTGCTTAATGTAAAAGCTGGTCAAAGTATATGCATGCATGCCTGGTCAAGATCTAAAGTATGGAAATTGTATGACATATCAGTGGTAATATAGAGTGCTTTAGCAAGTACAAGATTCGTCATTCTCGTGTTGTTTGCTTACGCCATCATTGAAGAGTTTTAGTGGCCGAGATTTTGAGTACGATTTTTTGTTATCAGTTTCGTAGCCTGAAGCGAAAAACAACTACAAGTTTCGTCAGATGGCGTAAGCCAACTGCAAACATTACCGAGTTTGTCGGGAAAATGAGGAGTTTAGGACAAACCACACAGTTTCTTTGCAATGAAAACAAGCTCCGTGCAATTTTTATAGTCGAACCACCTTAATTTAAAAATTTAAACCGATATTTCAACGCAAGCGACTGGTATAAATATACACCGAGTGTCTCTCAAGAAGCACGTTATTATTGCTGGTTTTCGTCATTCGTCGTCATTCGCGTGCTAATAATATCCACGCACATGGGTGTTAAATGATAAAAAAAAGTTGGGAAGATTTTGACCCGAAACACAATACTTTTTCTTCACCTATAGGTCATCGTCTTGCGAGCCATACATAAACTAAACCTGCAAGGGCAGATATTAATTAGCACCACTTCAGAATGTCCAAATATATCTCTTGTCGACTCATTCGTTGCTATACCATTCGCGCATTACCAGTATATTAGGAAATCATGCACTTTTTAAACGTGGGGCAACAATTGTGGGTGGTTTCTATTGTGCATGTGTCCTGCCTGCGCAATATAGCGACTGTCTTATAAGTACGAAAATTTTTTGCCTTTTTGGTGGTGGGAAAGGGACACAGCTGCGGAGATGGAGAACGCGGAAGTGCGTTGATCGGGACACGAGAGCACGTCGAAGTTCTGGAGCTGCATGAAGGATAAGCGTACCTCTTGCAGTTTTCCGAGGTCATTTTTTACAAAACAGGAAGGGTAATTTATAGGTATATTTGTCCAGATTACTGGTAAAAATCGTGCTAAATCTTGGATTAACCTTGTATACTTACATTGGGTTCAATACCGCCGACATGTTTATGGCAAGTTGCACGCGACCTGTATACTCAGGTGCTGTGTGTTATGGATCCAATCCATCGGTATTGTTTGGCGATATCAAACACATGCGTACAGCCCGTGCAGAAAATGACTGTCGAGCTATAATATCCGTGTTTTATAGAAGTGCATGCAATCGAGCTCGTAATATCGATTTTAATTTAGCGACTAAAGCCAACATTTTTTAGGGTATAAAAATGATTTAAAAAATTCCACGACCCTTTCAAAAAGGCGCGACAATCTCTTAGACGTGTTATGACTTATGTTGTTTTGCACTTCAGCTGCCTGAACGCTCCCATTTTCTTATATCTGCGTTGTAAGGCAGAGTTGCAAAAAAGCTGCGGGTACCATGCTTCCGGAGGAAGGTTTGCTTTGAATGAGGTTTGTGAGGAAGGTTCAAAGTTGTAGCTCTCTAATTGATCACATGAATGTGCTAAAAAACATCTAAATATTTCTTTATGCTGGTTGCCACGTGACTCGGTAACGTAACGTCATTTTGAGGAAGGTTTTCAAAACTTGAAATCCTACCAGAGGAAGGTTAAACTCTTTTTGCAACTCTGGTAAGGTTCCTTTCCACAATTCCAATCATCTCAAAAAATACTATCAAACTCGTTGGGACTTTGCTTCTAATTCAGATTATCACAAAAGTGTTTCCGACGCAAATGTGGTATTAAATAACCCGCTACATACACTTAAAAAAGACTGCAGTTCATGGCGAAAAGATTCGTATTCAGACGTTACGTATATCGCCAGCATCCATTATTGTTTTATTTCCGCAATTAGCTAGATTTTCACGCACGAGAAAGCTCCTAATTGCTGAACCAATTACGAAACCCCGGGCTCCGTCGATAAACACAGTGTGTGTTCGGAATTCGATAAAAAAAAACTTCAAATATGTTTGTGCTTTTACAAAGTCTTTCCTCGAGCGATGGGCATGAATGCCTCAGTTTGCGGGCTTGCCATCTTTCATGCCCAGTTCAGGCATTATATTCGCGCGACTGTTACGCCTAGTTTGTTGTTAGACAACACATGTTCTGACGGCAGGGTTGCATAAACTATAACAGCATGAGCGAAATTCAAATTCCAAACAAACGGTAATTCCTAATGGGAATTTTTGCTGCGAATAATGTTTGTATTTAATAATGCGTGTTTGCGTTTACAAAACGTTCTCGTGTCATGTGTGTTATAGACCAATAAATCATTACGTGTCTAATTTGGGAACGGTGTATCTTCCCTTGAGGTAAGCGATTTACTAGACTTGCTGGTAAAAGCATAGCCATTGGCTCTCACCCAATCGAATTGTGCAATCTTTGCTCTGTCGTGTGAAATCACATGCGTCAGTAGAAGAATCGATCCTAGCAGGTCTTTTGAAATATCACGGCGTTAAAAGTTATCATAGTCTCGGCATGCATCTGATCTCGATCAGCGAGTTTCGATAGGTTGTTTTTCAAAGCGCATAGCGTGATAATTGTAATCCATGCGCAATATCGAGCGTTCTAGAAGCCCATTTATACACTCGCGTTTTAATGCGTCTTTGAGATACTGGAGGTCTTTGCAAAATATGCTGAGAAAGTGCTTAATCTGTGAGTATAAGAACTCGTTCAAAAACGCACCGCGTTCGTTTAAGCACGGGGATTTGTACATACCTCAAATAGCGCGCTATCATAAGACAAGCGTTTAATCCACTTCTAAAAAATGCCTATCGTTGAATGTACTTCCTTGTGTCTGTGTTGGGTGTAACATAGGATCAACGCAATATTGTGTTTACGTTCTTGACGATATGTATATTTCGTCGATCATGTCTATATTAAAACATTTGTGTGCGCGACCTTTTAAAAATGCTATGAAATGCTTTTTAAGGATGTTCTATATAGTCCTATGAAGCTTTGAAGTCTTTGAAGATAAGATGCATCCTAACTGTTAATGAGATTAGAAAGAACAACCGGCTGTACATTTCAAGTCAGATGTCTTCAAATTAACATGGGAAATGTAGAATATTTAACCAGTTGATGAAACCCCCGTTTTAATAATTCCACGTTAACGACAAAGGTAATAACGTTTAATCTCGTATAATTGCATCCATTTAAAAGCGGAAAAATATTAGTCATTTTTCAAAATAGAAAAATATTTATCTATACAATTAACGAAAGTATGAAAACTCAAAACTGTACATGGCATATAGTTGATTATTAAAGGCATCGACGACGGTGACACGTTTTGGCATGATCTTGCCTTAAGGGCATCGGTTAATATAACGTCTGTTACATTTCATGGTCGGGTCAGACCAATGCGCTGTTTTATTGAACCTAATAAAACTTGTCTACACGAAAAACATGTGTTTGCGATCGCAAAAACGAAACCAGCTGACTTTGTAAAACATAAATATATTTGCGTTCTTTTTCTTTAATATTTACATATATACACACAATATATACATTCATTATACAGTATCACCTCGCGATAGTTTCGCTAGCAGAGTCTAGACTCTAGTTGGTAACTTCGCAATTAGATTTCCCCCTAAATATCCACCAGTTCTGCGGGATATATCGTATAGTACATCTTCTCGTACCGACCAATAGCTTGGGCAGATTACACCGTAAAGACTAACAGGGTAAATCCCTTTACTTGTCATAAGTTCTAAGATGTAACAGTTCGATTCGTGTCTGTTGTACACCAAGTAATACTTGAATCCCATGTTGCCTGTCGAAGATTCTGTAACGGTGAACGAGAAAATCTTCAGCTTTTTATTGTCTTTTAATGCAACCTCTGGCACGAAGTATTGGGATGCCGTTAGCCGTAATGGCGACATCTCCATAACCTCTCGATTAAATTGTCTCAAGTTCAGCCGTTCTAGTAGAGCTTTCCCCCAAAAATGTTGCATTTCGTTTATGTCCTTCGCGATCCTGTCCGCCTGATCGTATCGGCCTTCGACCGCGAGTTGTGTCTGTAAGCGCATCGAATGTTCAAGCAATTCTGTCACAGACTCCTGAAGTTCTTCGCTTTGAGAATCGTAGCGTTCCCTCCATGTGTACGCCTCTCGAAGATTGTACAGAAATTTATTGATCCTCGGGTCTTCTTCGCTAGAGGACTCGTCCATTCCCGGTAGTCTCCCATCATCCGAATTACTGCTACTTCGGCCGACGCTTTCGACGCTGCCGTGTTTTGAAGATGTACTTCGAATTCTATATCGTCGCGTTCGCTTAAATAACGAAGTCATCTCGATGTACGCACACGTTAGTCGAACTAAATACGTTCAATATTATCCGTTTTCCTTTTAAATACGAACCACACTCGTCACAATGTCCGTCCTTATGTTTCGTCGACCTGTTCTCGTCTGAACTCAGATTTCGTGTGACGATTTTGTTATAACGCTGGCTATTATTTCAATACCAATAGGTCATTCATAATATTCCCCTTTTCGTGTGAGAGCTCCTCATTGGCTGAGCCCGACCGGAAATCTGTAACTCAGAACTCTGGTGTATTCCCTCTGGTATATTCCGAGGGCAATGTCTTGTTTTGGTAATGATACGGACAATGTACCGAATTTATCGCTTCGATCCGGATAACGGATTGCCGAAAGTAATCAATTATGTTCTTGACGCAAGTAGCTGTAATGTGATTGGCTCGGTCCTTTGCGGCCGTGTGCGGCTGCCAATCAAATTTCATGTAATATCAGTCCTTTTTCTATATATATAGGATCATTACAGAGATAAGATTTGTATCGTCGTTAGTCAAACTCACAAGAATATTCATCAGTTTCAAATTAAACGTCGATAAAAGTAAACACAAAGTTTATGATGATACAACACTTTACCAGTCTGTTCAAAGCTGTTTTTCCTAATGATTCCAGTCTACTGTTACGAGGGATAAATTCCGGTAGGGAAGTCCATCCTTTACTCCGTTTCTGTCTTTGTGATAATCCACTTGAAACGTAGGCGTTTGTGCGGAAAACGGGTGAAGTGCTTTGTGAAAACCCTGCTTCCAATGTGCCACGTTGGCGGCTTAGATCTAATCGCTTCTTGTACCACAAATGGTCGGAAGAAAAGATATCGGAAATAGGAAATTTGTATCAAGATCTTCTATATATAAAGCAATAAATATTGCCCCTCTTTTAACAACGTAGTTTTATAAGTGTCGACTCTGGTCTCGTGGATTTTATCTTCTGGATCGAGGCCTTAAATGGTTTGACATTCTGGGTTTTTCGAACATGTGAATTTTCAATCAGGCGATGTTTTGAATGATGTCAACCCAAAGAATACGATTTTCAAAGACCATCATCGGTCGGTAAACGAAAGCGTGTTCTAGAAACAACTTAAAGGGGTCGTATATTCGATGCTTATTCTACATATAGCAATTTTCAAGGACTATACTGTGAAACACATGATTTTAAACCGACCATACAATATTTGTTTTCAATTTCTCTCACGTATCCTTACAGGTTTTTGAGATTAGGCTTTTTTTAACATATCAGTGAGTGTTTGATGATGAAATATTTTCAAGACATTTTTCGTGAAGAATTATATGTTGTAATCTCGAAATCAGTATCGTGGGCATTTATGGCACGATAATTTTAGAGGAATGCATATGAATATATAAACAAACGCGTTTCACCCATAAGTTGAATAGTTTTGTTATATAGTCGAATTATGTCAAATTGTTATAGAATTTTTATCCGGTTATGGGCGAATTGTTTATCGTGGATATTAAAGTTGTTTGCTGAAGTTCAGAAGTTGCTATCATTTTTCGAATTCACACGTATTGAAAAGCAACAACACTGTGTCAAAGTTGTGACACTTATAATTTATAAACGGGCTCGAATCCACCTTTTAACTAGTAGTGCAACCCTGGTGTAACTGAACTTATAAAACAAGCGAGACCCATGCTTGAGGATGAAGTTAGGTTAAAAATGTATTACAAAAGTTGATATTTGACTATGTTTCTCATGCCAAACCGTTTCGTGGTCCATATTTTAAAATCTTGGCATATTTTTAATAACAAGTTAACAATCTGCGTCCTACGTCGCACGAGGCGTGTTAGTTAATTTGAATATCAATGCTAAAGTTACAGGGTTTAGTTGCATGACCATAGCAACGCGAACCCACTTCGTTTGTCCAAATGCCGTCCGGTGTTTTTTTATCCGCGTGAGACTGAACTTCGGCGTGGCTTTGCCCACTTTAACTCACTTTTTCCCTAGCGGGCGGACGCAGCGAGGAACCTCGTTCCCCTCTTAATGAACGACTACGGTGTTTAGACACCCTTACAAAAATCCCCGTGACCTCAAATTGAATATAACGTGCATGTAAATACCGAAATACGCGTGATTTTCAACGGTATCTCTAGGAATTTTAGTATATAGGACTTGTCATTAACAATGTCGAGAAGACTTGAAAACCAACGATATAGGCTTTTTTCAGCTCAGATAATGAAACAGCGACCTATATTACAAAATGTAAAAAACCGTATTTGAATCGTGTTATGGAGAATGCAAATTTGAATTAGCCATATCATGATGTAAGCTTAAAGATGAAAATCTTGTCATCACTGACACAAATGCGTCTAAGAATCAGTGGAGTTTTGATTCTTGGTGAGTTTTTTTTAAGGAATAACCATGGTACACACCTTTTGTAATTAAATCGACACCCGACAGTTTCTCAACTAATTTCATTAAATGATACATAATTGATTGGTACGTAGAGCGGTAATAAAACAAAAAACTGAAAACCTATTTTATTGGTGAACTTCCCTCAGACGTTGTCATCGCTACGACAACATTGCGTGTACACATCATATTAGCATCTATACAAATCATAAAACCGTTACGTGACTCGTGAGACTCCATGGTCGGGTTTTCCCGCCAGTGTTTCATCTAAATATGGTTATATAGGATACACCAGGAACTACTGAGACTGGTCCAAACAGCAGGCCTACTGAAATAATTGCCTGTGAACTAATTCTCTATGCACATATTGTATTGAAATTCAGTCAAAGAGCTTGAAAATTTCATAGGCGGATAAAACTCATAACAATCCAAAGCCCACACACTGCTGATTCAGCGCGGTTTTCGTTTATCAAAAATCCACATCCATAAAAGGATAATTCGTCGGAAAGTGTGCTTTAAAAACAATATTCCCACGACCTTTAGTTTAATCAAAGCTTATAGCAATCGTCATGTAGTTTGACTGTATCAATCTTAATGGAAAACATCCTTAAACTTTAAAAAGAGTTAAAGAGTGGTTTAGGTACATTACTTTTCAACATCGAAAGGACTCAAATGCACTGCTATTTCTGGTGTAAAAGCTCTAGTCATAATTTCGCTACGTCAATTGACAAATTTAAGATGATCTTTATTCTTTATAAGTGTTCTTCATCGGTTAAGTTCCCCACTAAAGATTACCACTCAAAAGCGATGAGAAACGTTTTATTCAATAACATCATGAAATCAGTATACTTTTTCACGCTCAAAAATGTTCACAATGTTTATTGTTTATATCTCGTATATGCTTTTCCGGAGTGATAGTGTGATACAGCTGATCTTCATGTAAGGTGATGCGAACAAAACGGTAACCATTTACCATCGCCAATCAGCCGCTGTATTTGAGTTTTTGGTAAATGACCAAATGTGGTTAGGAAGTTGGTTGGGTTTGTCAAGACTTGAGATAAGGCGACATTTAACTTCCGATGTTATAAAAACCGGTAGTGTGGGTGTGCGAGACCTTTATTTTCCGTAATCAGTGTTGTTTTGCCAGGAGCGTTTTCTCTCTAGTTATTTCAGAAACTAAGACCCTGTTTACACTATGCCGGATGGCTTTCGTTACGGATTGTTTATTAATGCGGCACCAAATTTGAGGCGCGTTCATACTACGCGAATCGCACTGCTTTGCTCCCATGATTTGCTGTTTTCCACGCCCCAGTTGTTATGGAAACGGAACGCCAACGGGAAGAAAATACGGGATTGCAAACTCTATAATCTACAGTCTACAACAGTCGGCTACATTTCTGATTTTTCTATACCGCTACAACTCTACAACAGTCTTCTGGTTTTTCTGAGTATAGAGCTCAGCCGCCGTGTAGAAAAATAGTAACAGTTGAAGTTAAACAAACTAAAGCAGACATTATTTGTACGAATGTTATAGACGCAGCATACAAATTTAATTCGCACGAAATTCGATTATATACCGGATTATGTTGTTCACACTACACCCGGCACGTACCGGATTAGTATGGCGTAGTCAAACACTGAACAGGAGCTGAATGTCTGAATCCGGTATGAAAATTGCGGCACGACGATGCAATCCGGTATAGTGTAATCGGGGTCTTAAAGCACGATTAATTCAGTTTGAAATCTTCAGCAAAACTTGCATTTTCAGGACGCCCACACTGTAATTGGCGGTGTAAACAACTAACAAACATGTGTTGACGAAAACTACTGGAATTTCTTTGTGGAAAAGGTATAAAATGTGCTAAAACGAGGTCTTGCGGTACTAAGTTCTTATTGGCTAACGTGCAAGATTTGCAATTGGCTAACCGTATGAAATCTAAATCGCTAGAAAGGTAACAAAATTATGACCCTGAGCCTGCGAAATTTCTAGTGTATGTATGGAAAACTTTATGTAACCTTAATGTATGAATTTTCAAATATGGCGGACGAATTTTTGCGAAAACGACGTGAAACTGAGGAACACATCTCCAAAAAAGGGACCTCAGTAAATAATTTAGAAACTACAAAACTGGACACCAGCTTAAAGGACTCAAAGTTACTTTTTGGTTTGATAGTTTTCCGTGTTTGCAACGTGTTCCTTGTTCAAACTTGGTTTGTCCCTGATGAGTTTTGGCAAGCACCTGAAGTGGCTCACAATATCGCGTTCGGCTATGGTCATTTGACTTGGGAATGGCGCGAAGGAATTCGAGGGTTCACTTATCCTCTACTCTTTGCCGTTCCGTTTAAAGTTCTAGAAATTTTCAGGCTGGATTACCCAACATTAGTGATATATTCGCCACGAGTTATACAAGCCATATTTGGTGCTGTTGGGGAGTATCATATTTATAAACTAGCTAGGTTATTATATGGTAATAGTGCTGCTTGGTGGGTACTATTCTGTCAGGTGACCTCATGGTTCATGTTTTACTGCATCACACGTACGCTCACAAACTCCATGGAGACAGCACTAATCTCTATTGGCTTATATTACTGGGAATTCTCAGAAAAGATCAGACCTGGTTCTACATCAGAGATAAACCTGCAGAATTCGGCCATATACAAAGCATTAGTTTTGGCCTCTCTTTCATGCTTGGTCCGGCCGACTGCGATGGTAATCTGGGTCCCACTTGGTGTTGCCAGATTATGGAAAGTGTCGCCAGTCCATTTTCTCCTGATCTTTGTACTTCCAACTGGATTGTTCTCTTTAATATTCTCCATCCTAACTGACAGTTACTTTTATCGCAAGTTTGTATTAGTGCAATATAACTTTTTGTACTTCAATATAATGCAAAATATTGGCGAGTTATATGGAACACATCCATGGCATTGGTGAGTTTCCCTGATATTTTTGAGCATTTTCGGCAAAATCTTTCAAGTCAATAGGATGTCTTCTGAATGATTTGTCAGGTATTTCACACAGGGAGTACCTGCAGTGTTGGGAAGTCATCTTGCGCCATTGGCTATTGGGCTTTATTCCTCTGGAAAATGTTTGCAGAAGTGGCTTCTACTTATTGTGATCGACGTTACTGTATTCAGGTTTGTGTTGACAATGGGTTTCATTCTGAGATTTCTTATCCATTTTTGAGGTGATTCACTGGATATATGGGAAGGAGAAGGGATATATTGTACTCAAAATTTTTGTCTTACTCCTTACGTTATAGCTTCCTTGGTCATAAGGAGTTCCGATTCATCTTGCCTGTGGTTCCTATGGCAATGCTCATCTCTGGCAGGGGTTTGCATTATATTGCAACTACAGATTCATCTGTGAATGTTAAAAAACATGATGACAACTCAATCAGAGATATTACTCACATTAGTTTCAAAGGAAAACTTCTGGCAATCTTTTTGATTGTGACAAATATTCCTGTTGCACTCTACATCGGTCTTGTGCATCAGCGTGGCACACTTGATGTGATGAGAGCTTTAAATGAGAAAGTCGAAACCAAAACAAATGATGCTGTATGGTTTCTAATGCCTTGCCACTCAACACCCTATTATAGGTATGGACCGTATGTTATAATGTTTATATGGCATTGAACTAAACCAAAAACCAAGTTATTAAAACCTTGCATGGGTGTGCATTCCTCTGCGGTCAAGCCGATTTTTCAGCTTTGCCAGTCAGGATAGCACCATCACAATATTAACATAAGCTATTCCTGATTCCCTATATCATTTACGTTAATCATTTTTTTTGCAGACATATATTGATATTGTTTTGATAACTTGCTATTGTTCTCTTTATTCAGCTATATGCATTCAAAAGTGGACATGAGATTTCTTGACTGTAGTCCCAATCAGCAACCAGGATATATTGATGAAGCAGATTTATTTTATAACAATCCACAAAGCTGGCTTGATGTTACTTTCAAAAACAGAAAAGAGTTGCTGCCATCCCACCTTGTTTTCTTTGATGTTTTATTTAAAGTAAGCTTTTTAAAAAAACAATAGATTTTCAGCTTTTTGGGGGCAAAATATTAATAAAATCAACTTTTTTATTTAGGACATTGAACTCTTCCTGAAAGAAAATTCTTACTCTGAGGTACTTATGCTTAAAATTTGAGTTATTTTTTTAGTATTCCAATGATCAAGTTGTATTTATTATGTTTTAGTGTGGGAGATACTTCTACAGCCATTTCCCCTCAGGGAGGTTGGGACGAACAGTGTGTTTATTTTGCAAGATGGACCACAACAAGTAACACCAGGACTGCTTTTAAATCTTTAATTCAAAAAACTAAATATATCAAAACTACACAAGCCACAAAATATACAAAATCATTCCTAAATAAATAATATGTTGGTAGAAAATCCACATTTCCCACTCTTATTACAATCAAGTAAAAGATACAAGCAGAAGCTGGGGAACCTTTTAGTGATATTGAGAGTAACAGTACAATGCATTTCATTTAAGATTCACACAGAGACAAGATCACCCATCACTTCATTTTTCTTTGAAGATATCATGCAGAATACACAAAAACAATTTTGAAACTTTAGGAGAAGTGAAGTTAAACCAAAGACATGGTTTTGCTAACAGTTGGTGCCAGTGCTGGGGTTGTGTGAATTCTAAATGAATGGTCATTTTGACTTAGTTGAAAAATTGTCACATGCTTTCTTTTATTTTTGTCTTACAGTGGAAGTGAAGCTCTGTCATAAATTCAATCTCTGTACAAAAATTTACAATTCTCTTGAAATCCGTGAGTCAAAGAAGGCTCCCAATCAGGATATAATTCAAATTCAAAACAGCAATCAGTAAGGAATCGATCCACCTTCAACGCCAGGCAGTGGTCTTCTGAAGCACAAAACGTGTTTCTCTACAAATCAAAATTTCATCCTGAATATTTATGTTGTGAAAGCTTGATAAGGACATATTCACTACCAAAAGACTAGAAACTATATCAAAGGAGTTAAATATGGTACCTGGGTTGTGAATCATATAGTGTTCCCAACCAAGTGACTGTTGAACTCCAATAGATCGCCATTGCTCTTCCGACATAAGAGTCTTTGGTGGCACCCGTTTTGCGAGTTCTTTAGGCAGAATAACATGTCTACAAAAAAGAATACACATTTCATACGTTAAAAGAACTATCCTATCTACATTTTTACTCATACACGTGCTTAGTTTTATATGTAATTAACATCCAACATGGTCTCGAAGCGGGTAAATTTTATGGCCAAAAAACCTCGTACAACGCACACAACATATCGCGAACCTGTATTCGTAAAAGTCGTCTTGGTATTTCTTTGAGTAATAGATATCTGCAGCCGACATTCTGACGTAAATATTAATGTTTTTTCCTTCTTCTCAACTGAATAAGTCTCTATTCGCAGTGGGTGAAATTTCGATGCTCTAAAATGAATTAAAATTTCAAAAATTTTAGCGATTACTCCCTTTTGAATATGGCTCTCGTGCCCTGATTGGCTGGTTCATACTGCTTCGTTCTTCTGATTGGTCAGTAATTTTAGCAATGATGCCTCGCTTTCGTGTAAATGGTGACCAGGGTGGGGGAATTCTGGAACATATTTTCCGGGGGTGGTAAATTGGAAAAAAATGGCCAATTCAAATGAAAAATGAAATAAGTTCAAATCATGGCAATTTTTAGGCCGTCATGAAGTGAAAATATGACACAGAATGGAAGCAGAAGAAGGTCTTATCGATAAGGTTTTGTCAAAAGTTAAAAATGACCCATGTTCGGCGGATTTTCAGATCAGTTTGTTTATGTCAGCGTTGCAGAATTATCGCCACGACAGCCTACTGCGTCCATTCCCTTCAAGTTATCTACACGAGAATGGCGAGAAAAACACTGATTCCCTGGTAAGATACAAATCATGGTAGTTCCTCATAGAAGCTATTGAGTAGGGTTTGCATTTTTTAGCTAGAAGATTACTCTGGCTAAAAGAGTTAAACCCCCTGAGTGATATACCAATATTCAACTCACAAAAGGCAATAATACCATTGGCCTCAATACCCTGAGAAAATCAAAAGTTCCATGTCATGACATTTGACAAAGTTGCTGTTAAATTCACCAACTTGACACATGATATTATTTAAAATCATTGAGTATACACTAAATATATTTCTAAATATAGAAAGATGTGGCCAATAGGATACCAAGAGTTAGCAAATTAAGGAAAAGCAAACAGCAAATTTCCAATGATGTGTGGAATTTGATTGATTGGATAACAGAGTTAAAAAATAAGAAGATTGTACAATCACCAACAGCAAGTAAGGTATATACCTGTCTTTGACATGAAGTAGCATAATTTTTTTATATTTACTTAAATGAATGGTTATGAAAGGTGTAAAGCCTGGTTTCCATATGACGCCAAAGTCGGCAAAGTATTATATATTGTCGGTGATTATTCATGAGTGAAATCCTTTGTTTTTCTGAAAATTTTCTCCTTGGATGATTACAAACAATAAGTTGGCAACAGGTTAGCATCATATGGAAACAAGGCTTAACATTTCCAGGGACTAACGTGCTGGTTGGTAAATATTGAAATGAATATTCTGCCCTATCAAATTCCTAATAGACTTCTTGTCTTAGTTTAATGAAATAACAAAGAAGACTGAGAATTCAAAAAATTACCACACACCCTCACATATTTTTGAAATAAAATATGATGATGCATCGAATGCTAAATTTGATGAACTTCGTCAAGAAATGGACATATTGTATGGTTACCATGGCAGTCGGGTTGAAAACTTTTATTCAATTTTACATAATGGACTACATGCCCATTTAAACAAGGTAATGTGCTGTTTAAATGAGGAATTTTTTATACCTCCTGGCATTAATCTTTTTCTGAGTTGGGTGCAAATGAGAGCTGTTATTGTTGTGATTTTTAAAGTATTATGCATCTTTTATTAATCAAGTTCATTCTTGATACCTTTATTGACGTTCAAAACTTTATTTTGCATAGACCTCTCTCTTTGGCGAAGGGACCTATCTGTCCAGTGATCTAAATGTTAGCATTCTATACAGCAAATTTGGGGAAGGCTGGAAGCATAGTAGACTTGGAAATAATTTGAGTTGTATAGCTGTCTGCGAAATCATTGACCATCCAGATGTGAAGAGATCAGTGCAAGGACCAGGCAGGCAATCCAGGTCCCGTGCCCAGAACAGCGAAGGAGGGGATGTGCCTGAGAAGTATTTTGTTGTCACAAATAATCAGTTTGTAAGAGTCAAGTATATTTTGGTCTATACTTCTAGTGGCTATAGAAAGTGAGTATTGTTGTTTATTGTTTTTTTAAATAGTTTTTATAGTTATACTAAAGTTGAATTATTGCCAATCTACAGGTATTTCTACCAATCTCTCTGGGTATTCCGACATCCTCTTGCTTCCTTGGTGATCATCTACGTCTTCTGTCTACTTCTTCTGGGCATATCACGAACTAATGGCTTTCAACAGTTCTACAAGAGGCTCTGGCGGACGTAGTATATAATATATATTTTTAATACTGATCGCTTAATTTTTGAATAAAATGTAAAAATGATACAGAAATCATAACATATATCAAAATTTGAAATTTCTGAGAATTGTCAATCATCCAGTTCCTCTTTGAGATCAGCTGGTAATTCCGACTCTTTCCGAGTATTACTTCGGGGTTACTTCGGGTTTCTGGCAGATGTTTTTAATTTTAATTAATTTAATGACGCAATATTTATCCGCCACAACAACAAGTCACAAGACATTTTCGGCGAATTTATCTTATTTTCCTGCTGGTTTCTCGGTATTTTCAAGTGTGCTCTTTAAAACAAGAAGCGAGGCGGCAAGATGAAGCTACAAGCAGTAGCTTTGTGCGCGATTCTTGTCGCGATTTCGTGTTGTTTTGTGTCTACAACGACGTCAAAGCCAACAAACGCCACAACGAAACACAGTGTAGGTTCTTTGAAACACACTACAAAGACGGCTCCTGCAAAGACGGCCCCGACTTCAAAACCAACACGTCTTACTACAGCAAAGAAAGTCTCTACGTCCAAATCTGTCACAAAAATGTCGACAAAGCCTTCGTTTAAACCCACTACCCCTTCTGGAAATCAAAAACCGACCGCTTCACACAGTCCGGATAAAATATCAAAACCTACGAACAAAACGACTCCGAAGCCTAAACTTTCGTGCGAAATGAGGAATAGTTCTTGCTCGAAGTGTTTAGAAGACTCCAGCTGTTTTTTCTGCGACAGCGATCACTCGTGTTCTGAAAAAACTGGAATGTTTCTTCCCAAGGGATGTAAGGGGAATGATTGGTACTGGAAGCAGTGCAAAATAAATGGTAAGTCTGAGAAGTATTGTGTGAGGTTTTTTGATATTTTAGGCCATTCAATTTAATATAAATGTATTCTTTATTTAATAATCGATTCTTTTTTTAAAGAAATTCTATGGAAATTTCATACATGGTTGCAATTTAATAAAAATGCTCTTAGGAGTTTCCAGGGGGAGGTTGTTTCCATCTTTTTCAAGGGGTTCTAGTTTTGCGTACAATAAACTCTGCAATTTCTGCTGTTTCCTAAAGCTATTAAAAAGCCTTATTTGGTGTAGAAATTTGCCAAATTTACCTAAAATGGAAATACAAAAATAATATTTTGCATAGGCAAGCATAGGCCTGTGTGTTTATCATCAGCTATCATTTCATTTGTATTATTAAATTTCATGGCTTAACTTTTTATTGATTTATGATGGATTGATATTGTGTGGGTTTTTCCTTCACCAGGTAAGATTTTGATTATCGTCATCCCAACAGTTGGAGGGGTGTTGTTAATCATGCTCGGTTGTTGTATCTATTGCTGTTGCTGCCGACGCTGCAAAAGGAACAGAGCAGCACGAGAGGAAACAAGGCAACACCAAAGACGCTTGGACAGGCAAGAAAGAAACGCCGAAAGGAAACAGAGCAGAAAAGCCAGACATGATGCCATTCGAATGAAATACGGTCTCTTGCAAAACCAGGATGAAGATGATTCTGATCCAGTTGCATGAACCACTTATGCTTTCCATTCTTAAATTTCACCACACACCCCATGGTGATCAACTAGAAGCTGACACCATGTTTGCCTGGTACTGCTTGAAGATTCAAGGAATGTGCCAATTTAAATATTAGGCATTGTATGGTTTGGATTATTTGTAGAAAACCATATTAATTGGCAAAGGACTTGGCTTATTTATCTAGTGTTCACTCCTTTCTAGTTTCAGATTGTGCTAGGTATTTATAACTATAGAAGCATGTTTTACAGTATAGATTCAATTGTAACGATTCCACTTTGGTTTGACAAGTGTCTGAACATGACAAGTGTCTGGTCATATGGTAGCTGGTGCAGCCAGTCTATGGTTGGACCTCTGCAAAACATACAGGTAAATATATTCAAAGCAAAGTATTTTGCAAGTATCAACTTGGGAGGGTTTTGACTTTGGACTGGTAGGCTTATCTATAATTGAATTCACATTAGGTAAAATAACTTGCATGAGTTTAATATACACAAAATATAAAACGAGACGCACCATATGCCCCCGTTTACATTATAGAAAATTTGTATATAGGAACTTACAAGAAGGTAGTAGTAACCAATTGCTAGATTCTTAGTAATAGAATTGTATAAACCTGTTTTCTATCGGTCAAAATGTCCGGCCGGAATAAAATTGACCGGTGGCAAATAGCCGACCGTTATAGTCCTCACTCCACACTGATGTTTCGCATACTCGGAAAATTTAAAGACACATCGGAAAGTGGAGAGATCCTATCCTAGTAAAAGCTGCGTAGATCTTGATTTAGTTCGACTAATTTTTTTCATTCAAACTGCTGACTCTTATGGTAAAAGCGCCTGGATACGAAGCTAGTTAAGGTTAGGCTCACTTTACGATTCTGTTATCTTGTTACAATATCGACCATTCACACCACACCACCCGTAATACCAGAACTGTGATACCAGACACTATTACATTTGTAACATAAGCCGAACACCACAGTCAAGGAGCAACAATCATATTCGCTTTCAAAGAAATGTTTCTGGTTTTCCGCAAAATCTAACCGCTTCCACGAAAGCTGTCGGACAAACGATGAAGTCAAGGGCCGTAGCTTTTTGCGTTCTCCTTTTTATGCTTTGGTGTAATTCTGGCTGTGGAATCTCGGTAAAGGATGAGAAAGAAAATAATGCAATTGCAACAATAGTTCCGGCGTGGACCCATAAAGTCATAATTAAAACGAGCCGAACGATCCAGAACCCTACAACGACAAAGGCACCCACGACGTCGTCATCAAAAAGCAACTCATCAAAAACTACAAATCAGACAACCCTTATACCTGCGTCTAAAATCACATGCGAGATGAGAAACGGTTCGTGTGCGAGGTGTCTGGACGACAACGACTGTTTTTACTGCGACAATGAACGCTCGTGTGCCGAGAAGACTGATAATTTCATTCCCCCTGGATGCGAGGGAAATGATTGGTACTGGAAGCAATGCGAAGTACGAGGTAATACATGAACACCTTCTGTTGAAATGCGCAAAGTTTCGTTTGATAATTTGATGTGTATTTGACACCAACGTGTCGTGTATCCATTCATGTTGACCTCGTAAACCATTTTCGTTTTCATCCGGGTTACTGGCGACAGGCCGTAAATAGGGAGCTTTAGCAGTGACCACGAGTACGAGGTTCGTCATTCTCGCGCGTTGTTTGCTTACGCCATCAGCCAAAACTCGTAGTCGTTGGGCTTTTGAGTACGAAATTTATCAAAAAACTCGTACTCCAAAGCTCGGCGACTACGACGAATCTCGTAGTCGTACTCGTAGTCACTGCTAAAGCTCCCCAATTACCAGGGCCCGGTTGTATGAAAGCTGGATAGCGCTATCCACCGGATAGTGTTTTTTTTCAACCGCTCTAAAATTGCCCGTTGTTCGCTATAACTTTGATTAAATCTTAGTTTGTCTAAATCGAGGATCCTCTTTAATAATTGTTGGTTCCAAAGATGAAATTTTATCGCTTTTCGAGCACTTTTAGAACGCTTGAAAAAAACGCTATCCGCTGGATAGCGCTATCCAGCTTTCGCACAACCGGTCGCGGGCCTTTTTATATTTGAAGAGATCTATTTAAAAATGCTTGACTCTTTTTTTCAGACGAAATAATTTTTATCGTCTTCCCGACAATTGGAGTTATATTGGGCCTTGTGATTATATGTTGTCTGTATCACTGCTTATGGTCCAGTTGCCATCCTTGCTGTCATCGTCGTTGCCAAAATTGCCCGTGCTGTTTCAAAATCTGTATGCGTTGTACTGATGACAAAGCAGATCTCGAAACGCTAATCTCAGTACCAAATGAGGAAACTTCTAGCACGTCAACTCACGAAGCATATATCGCATCAACTAATTCCGACGCTGTACAGGACAACGACCATGTCCATGTTTTTGTCCATGTTGCCCAAAAAACGTCAGAAATGAACAATTTGGCGGCAATTAATAATGGGTATACTTCTGATTCCTAAAACACTGGTTTTGCTTTCGATCAGAAAACATCGCTAAGAAGGCTACTACCAGTTTAATTTTTCATTCCTCTGGTGTTAAATTTCGTTTCCAATGTTTATCCAGTCCTCGAAACATGCTGGAATGCCTGATTGAATTGAATTAAATTATAATTGAAGCATAGGTATAATAACTAAATTAGCATAATCTGCTTGCGTGATGCATACGTAATAATTATGAATACTAAATACGCATGTGCGAATAATGATATCGTGCATGTTAATACACTTCAGGTACAAAGTTGTATTCCATCGTTAATTCAAGTAATTGAGAGTTTTACTAAATTTACATGTAATTTGACTGTATTGATTAGCGTATAGTTGAATAATAATTGCATTGGTAGACTTGTTCAAGCGCTGTCATGTGCTATAAGATAAATCACTTCAATATTGTGACTATATCACCAAAAGTGGCGATTTCCGTCCTCAAAACAAAATAAATTATTTTGTGGCGAAGAGGCGACATGCTGTTCTTTTGAATTTTGTTTTTTGTTTGGAAAAATTAGTTAACACAACTGACACGAAGTCCACATTACAATCATCGACCACAAATTCGATTTCACTTCGAACACTTCTCGACCTTCTCCAATCTCCACTAGTTTTAATGTTAGTCGATGAAACATCTTTTATCCTTCGTATGCTAACGGCAAAACACTTTTAGCAATGCTTCAGTGCTTCGGAAAGGCATGTGGGCATACTATACGTATTTGATTCATCATTCGTGATTTCGTGCGGTGTAAAAGAATGCTTTATACTTATAGTGCCTTTTGAATGCACTGTTCGACGTGTTCGTCGTTAAGGTGCTGGTTTGTCACGAAGCCGTGTTACAGGAGCCTATCGTTGTCGTCTGTATCTGAGTCGCTTGGATTGTGATTCGCATACAACTGTCGTAACGTGGTGTTTGTCGCTGTATCTGCAAGTGTAGGCAATCCAATTGGTGATGCAATCAATCAAGGTCTATGTAGTGGATTTATGAACTAAACAAAGATGAAGTTGAAATGTTTTCACTGGAAGTAAGTGAGCTATCCTAGTATATTGATTTCAGTCCTTCGACTATTCTAATTCAATTGAGTTCTTGAGAGCATAACTTTAAATTCGATGACTTGTGAATATGTATTTTATTAATGTCTGAGTGTCCTTGTATGAATTGCGTTCCTCCTAACCCCCTCGCTTTAAACTACATACATTCATACTTCGTAGTTTGAATTCGAAATCTGACAACTTCAGTTATACGAATTTTTCCCGACAGGTTTCCCCTCGAGTTCACTGTTGTATCTATATATATCGTATATCTGCATAGATAATTGTTATTAACTGTTATACCTATCTATTAGTTACCCCACACTACAAGTCTACACCACACGGTATTCTTTATTAGCTGGGTCGTACATTTGGGGGTGGGGGAATGTCACCTCCCCCTCTCCACAAAAAACTACATGTTTAGACCATCAGTTGCTGCTGTGCTATTTTAGTCGGTAGACAAATAGTTTTTGTCGACTTCAGGATTCGCAAATTTTGTGATAAACTTTCTCTGGCGACCCCGCATTTTTGGTCTTACTTTACATGCATTTTATCATCATCAATCAATTTCAGAAAGTACACGGTTGCTTCGCACAGCAAAATGCTGGTTCACAAGAGGATCGTGTAGGAATGCAAAGTTAGGACAAATGATATAATAATAGTTGTATTAAAATAAATACAACATGAACTTTTTCTCTCCTTAGGACAAGGACGAAATTTATGGTGATCATATTCACCATATGGCTATTGCAAGCGGCATGGCTTGGTTTTTACTTCAGATCCGAGGGAAACCGGGTCCAGAACGTGAATACGCTTTACGAAGATCTATCAGAATCGCATATATCTGAGGAAACGCTGAAGGAATCTCTTGGAAAACTGCTGAAGGTGCACCACGAGGAAACAACAATTGAGGAAACCACGACATTGAAATTAGTCCTGGAAATTAGCGATGTAACGTTTCCCAGAGCGGTAAACACCGCTGAGAAGTCCGGCTCAAACAGCGAGAGTTCTCCGAAGAAATACGCTTACGTCATTGGACGATATTGGGAGCAAATGACACAGAGCATGCGAGCTTTCTTAGCATTAGTCTTGCAAGCGTCGTCCTCAGGTCGTAGTGTGGTAGCTACGATGGTTAAGGATTCCCGTTTTCAAACCTTCGGTTATCCGATCGACTATTACTTCGATAGAAGTCAAATCAGAGAAATCCTGCGAACGAACGGTTACCCCGATATCGTAGACAAGGAGGAATTCCAACGGGAGTGCCCTCCGGAATCCCCAAACCACACGAGCGTGCATTTCTTGTACGACCAGGAAAAAGCCGCGACTTATACTAAGAACCTGTTTAAGCTTGACGATGCAACCTACGCGAATGTCAGCCGACAAGCTAGGAACCGCGGCTGGGCGCGTTGCAATTTTATGCAAAAACTCACAAAGCAAACATCGCGATCTGAAATGTTGTGCGTCGATACGACTGTGGTGACGGATTGGGAGGTGTTTGAAAGGGATGTCATCAAATCTCCCAGATGCCTGAACATCGTTCTGTGGCGAGGAATTGGAGAGTCGTTTCGTGCGAGATTCAAAGAGGATCGTCTAAAACTCTATTCGCGCGATTTTTTCATCTCGCTCAAACCAAGTCCAGATATTTTGCGCGAAGTCGAGAAATTTAAAAGAGAGGTCTTCGGCTATTCGAAATACATTGGTGTCCAAATTCGCGGCGAACATGTCGCCATTTTGCATGGCCTTGCTTTCTTAAAACAATGCATTCATCTGTTAGGGTATGTTCTCAGATTATTGAAAGGTTTTTTTGGCACAGAGCGAGTGTTTGTTGCTACAGATATGTCTCAATACGGGTCGAAATCGTGGAAAGACTCCGTGAAACGAGACAACGTAACAGACGAGACTCTACCAGCTCTTCAAGAATTGGTGTTGTCGGTAACGAACGGTGTCACTTTCGCGCGAACCGCTGACAAGAAAGCGCGGCTCGATCGCGGGCTCGTAGCCTTGATCGAAGTAACATTAGTATCGCAGGCTGAGAGCTTGCTGACCATCGGACATTCGTCATTTCATGAGTGGACAAGTTCGAAATTCTTGGATTTTCATCGCAACGAATCGCCGGCCATGTGGTCATTAGTAAAATTATGTCAGTTTTAATCCGAGAAATCGCTCGCTAGCGCTATTTTAGCTCCCTTTATTAAGGGCTGCCTTTTACGCAAGCGTTTTTCATACGTGCGTGTAAACACGGAAAAATTGAAATGCTCTGAACTAACAGAATAAAATTAAACTTTCTGTATCATTAAATGTGTATTTCTTGGCGTATCAAGTGATAAACGGGCCTTTTACCTAAACAGTTTCTCAGATCGAAATGTTTAAGCAATCAAACTAAAGATTTCTAAGATTGTTATTTGTCTTATTCACCATCGTTACTGACTTACAAACGGAACCTGGTCTTTGTTTTTGCGAATAAAATTCCAGCACTACAGGCTACAATTGGCTGGATAGGACATGAAGTAACGACGGATCATTTAACTCATATTTAGAAAATTGTACGGGGTATTTTAAACTACCGCTACTAAATCTTCATAAATATTCGCTTCTTTTCAATAACAAAAGATTGTAGGCTCTTGGGAATTATTGGGAATTAAGGTTGCATTTTTTTATACACCCTGTAGCCTGATTCGCAGGCGTCGAACTTCTCATGTACCGTTCATTTTAATTCGATTCGGCACATGAGTCATGAAAGACTGAAACGGGCAAATAGCACTGCATCTTGTTGGTCACAAGGAAATAGTTAAATCAGACAGTTAGGGACAGTTACATGAGCTCGGTTACCCGAGATTCTACGAAGCATAAGATGATTTTGAGGTATTGAAATGAGCAGATGACATGATCCTCGCAGTCGTATAATCACAACAACAATAGCATGTGCTTGTTTGGTGTCATAAAGATTTATTTCAATACCTCAAAGTCCCCTCACGCTTCGTTGAATCTCGGGTAACCGGGCTCATGTAAACAGCCCCTTACAAGTTCGCAGCAAATTTGATTATATACGATAACTACAGTGAAACGCGCAAATTGATTACCTAATATATAGCCGTGCTGGATCAGGTAATCGTTCACGGAAAACCATTTGGTAATCCTTTGGTATGAGAAAACATTAGCTTTTTTAGACACCCTGTGGTGTTTTTATATACAGACCGAACTTCATTAGGTAGGCCATTGCATGATTGCATCCCTCTTTAAATGTGCTTATTATTATCAAACGTGGCTTGGCTGTTTATGCTCGTGACGTCCCTTTCAAATTACGACATAACTAGTCACGCCGCGATAAACAGGGACAAACGTTTTTGCAAATGCCTACGCAAGAACCCTGCTGGTTTATTTCATTTCAACCCTCTACAAGCTGACACGAGTGCGGTTTCACATGCATATTCGAGAAGGCTTGGCGAACATTGGTACATAATTTGGTGGGAAATAAAACCGGCAGCAAACCTTACAAATAACGTCAACTCGACGAAGAATCTCGTGTGAAGAAAAGACTCTCCTGGTGGCGTGGCGAAACCGTAATCAACAATTAGGATATCTTTAAATCATTGACGCGTTCTTTGAAGCATTTTGTAAGAAATTTATTTGGCTTTGCCCTGTTGAAAGAGCTATTTACAATAAACTGTGTGTTATTGAGAATATGCACGAATTTGATGACTATTTGTGAATACACCACTCAAAGTCCTCCAAATCTCCGCTCAAAACAAGACCTGGTAAGTAGCAACAAGTGGCAGTGCTTATTTCATTTTGTTTATAGATGTTTATCTTTGTATTGAAATAGAGGTTACTAGCGAAACAACTCGCCATAATAAACTAGTCAACGTGGCAAATCATAACGTCATTGGTGGTTGGAACCAACTGCCGATTGTTTGAAGACTGCCGAGTTAAAATTCTCACGCGATACATAATTGGGGGCCAGGGGCTGGTTGTTTGAAAGGCGTTTAGCTTAAACGGTGGATAAGCTAAAGTTTAAAAATCCCCTTATACATCTTGTAAATCACTGAAATCACTGAGCCTCTACATCTGATGCATTAAATATGTTCTTCCATTGAAAATTAAACTATTTACATCGAAATATTCCAGCTCAGTTGTTCAATGAATAGATCGTTTTGTCACAGAATAGTCATTATAGTATAATTCTGTGATTTTGATTGCCATTTTGAACTTGTCCGCCGCCGGTTAAGCTGGTGAGTCCCAGGCCCCAGAAAATAGGTGACAATTACGACCTATGAATGATCACGGCATAAGCGTGGTTGATCTAGAGCTGACGAAGAGGGTCCCCTAGACCCCTACGAGTATAACGTATAGGCCTACGCTATTTATGATTCACCAAGTTTGTATGATGTCAAGTGTTCATTGTGCGTGCTGTAATTGTCGATCATTCCAATTATTCTGAACAATAACTTTTAATTTTAACAGTTAATATCAATACACGAACGACAGTGATCGTCACATCAGATCTGGTTCCTCAAGTTTCTTTTAATGCCTGATGGTCAAACAGCGAATACCTAAAATTCATAGACTTAAAAATGGTTACTTAAGGTAATGTCGGTGTGAATTATTGAGACCAGTGACTATAAACTTATAATGGTCTGTTCACACTTCACACGATCCAATTTTGTTGGATCCAGTTCACTTCTGATGGATGTTTTATAGTCTGTTGACTTGCAATGATTATGGCCAGCAAATCCACTAAAGCCAATTCAGTATTGCTTTATTGATAACACACTACATCCCATACGTCAGAAGTGAATTGGATCCGGCAACAAACATGATCTGCCCCCCCCCCCCTTAGTTCTACCTTCCCCCCCTACCCACCTCTCAACGGTAATTTCCAAATTTAATGCAAAAAGAACATAAATATAAAACGTTAGATCAGACTTTTTTGTTTTTCAGGTCATGGAGACGGACACGAATATTCACGCTGATTCTTGTAGTGTTTGGAATTACACAGGTTGCATTCGTGATCACGTGGCACTATCGTGCACCCATATCGAAACGGGATGTATTTAGGGTACGTCATGTAAAAAAGGATATAGGATCAGTCATAAATAATCAAAGGAAACTTAAAGTTTTCAACGAGTTCAAAGGTACACCAGATCAACTTTTGAAAAACCTAAAATCTGGCTTCGGCGGACAAATTAAGATAGAATATTCCGTGCCACGTGATGCGGAAAATATCACGTTTGAGTATTCCAAGGCATCTTTTCCTAGAAAAATTCAATTTTCGAAGGTCGACCCTAAAGTTCGGGCGCAAAAGCCTGCGGGCTATGTGCGTGTTTTCGGGCAGTACTGGGAACAAATGACGATGAATTTGCGCAACCTGATCAGTTTGGTGGGTCAGGCGAAAATTGGGAATAGAAAAGTCTTGGAACCGAAGGTGAAAGACTCCGGGTTTGGGCGCGACGGGAAATCATTAGGACTCTATTTCGACCTGAAACACTTTAACGATATCTTAGTGGCCAGTGATTATGCTACGATGGCCAATCAGAATGAGTACAATAGAGAATGCCCATTGGCTAGCAAAAGTCATGTGACCATACACTTCCTTTATTCTCAAAAAGGGATCGATTTCACTAAACAAAAGTTAAAGTTGAATGATAAACAGTACAAGGATATTAGCGCGAAAGCTAGCAAGTCAGGTTGGACTGAATGCAAAGCTCTTACGAATTTTATCAAAGAGAGTTCAAATTCTAAACAGTTCTGTGTGGACCCCTCTAAGTACACGACGTGGGATAAACTAGAAAAGGAGGTTCTCAAAGGCGCGAAGTGTGTGACTATCAGCCATTGGCGAGGCATTGGAGGCGGATATCGAACGTATTTCAGTGAGAATGCATTTAAAATCAAAGCTCGTGACATTCAATTTGCCCTCAAGCCTCCTGTGAATATTGCGAGGGAGGCAGATAGGTTTCAAAATCACTACCTTCATGGCCGTTTTATTGCAGTGCAGGTGCGCGGGGAACGAGTGGTAATCCCCCATAATTTGAAGCGACTCGGAAGTTGTCTTCGAATCCTGGCTGATGTCGTGAGCATGTTGAAAGAGCTCTCGGACATCACGCACGTCTTCGTCGCGTCGGACATGTCGAATTTTGGTTCTGGTTCCTGGAAAGGTTCTTTGAAAGGCGAGGTTTACAACGATAACACCTTGAAAGATCTTAACAGTTTTCTTATATCAAGTACGGGGGGGATCGAGTACAAGCCACCCGCTAGCGACGTCGATCGCGGTGTGGTTGCGTTGGTCGAGATGGCGCTCATTGAGCGTGCGCAACATTTGATAACCATAGGTATGGGATCTTTCCAAGAATGGATTAAAGCAAAATTCCTAGAAAAACATCGCGACGAGGGTCGACCGTCCTGGTCGCTTATCACCATGTGTTCAAAATAGATAAATTCTTTAGAAATGTTCTTTAGAAGGTTATCTACAATCCGGTTTGCGCATGTGCTAGACCGTTGTTTATATTTGAATGATTTGTTTACTTGTCCACAAAAAGTGTTCCCTAGTCCGATTGTGTAAATGGGAACCAATGTTTACCTATAGTTACATACATATTTCGATTATGTTAAGAGATCAATATAAATTGATTTTTGCCGTTAAACAAGCTTTTGTTGACATGCGCAAACCGAGTTATAGAAGCCATATCAATCTAGGTGATCCTCGGGCTCATACTTTAGCCAATGATCGCGGGATAATAATAACGATAATAATATTGGAAAGAACTGGTTATGAGACGAGTTTTGACTGTCCAAATATATAGAAATTTCAAATTTATTCCATAGCATAGAGTCTTTATATATTGAGTGAAAAATACTGTACCTATTGTCTGTATAGGAAGCAATTTTTTTGCAGTTTAGTTCATTGTAAATGAACACTTGTATTTAAATAAAGTGCACTACAAATCTAGTGATACAAGTCTTTCATTAGCGTTGTCAGCACGTCTTTATATTGAGAACTGCGACCACATATATCTTTGAATGCGACTAATGTATGAAAGGACAGAATTTTGGGTGAAAACAATTAGATTCACTAGAAACACTTAGACTTTTTCTACTTTTTCTTACTTCTGTGTTTAAAAGAAGCATCAACAAGGTGATCAAATATTTTTATTCATCATAACATCAGGCAGGATAAATATAACATTTCAACTAACTTCGTTTAAAAAACAGTCCTCGTCTTTTTTGTCGAAAATAAATATATAATAATGGTTCATATATTCACTGTTTCCTAGCCATGCTTCAAAAAGGTCGACAGACCAAGAGATACTGTCTCCAAAGCATGTATCCCAATCTAGCTTCGATACGAGTCTCGTATCGAAGGTAGACAAACCAGGAAACACTGGCTTTGTTATTCAGGTGTCACCGTTTCCTAGGAGTATCTACGAACCTGGAAACACTGTTTCCTAACCATGCATGTTTCAAGGACGGCAAACCAAGAAACGTGGACATAGTTTCCGAACCAAATCTTTTGAAGGTGACCAAACTGGGGAACTTTACCTATCTATGTCTCCCTATTGGTGAACAACGCCAGCGAGTAAACACAACAGGTCTATTTCAACTACAATAAATAACCTTTCTTAGTCAGATAATTCACCAACGAACCAGCGTTTGCAATTTGAGACAGGGCAGAATTGCGACACGATCTCAACTTGTTGGGTTCCAAGTCGGGTGAACATTCAGACACGTGGTACAAATGAACCAATCCTGGATCAGGAGTTCGTGTGATGTCATATCTTCCACTGGCAAGAAACTGTTCATACAATCTAACATCTTCCAAACCCCAACCCTTAATATTCAAGTCAAAACCTCCTACACTTGTGATATCCTCACCGTAGACGCACACAATACCAAAGCCGTATTTCCTCCAAAAACCACGGTCCATTTGCAAGTTTTCGTATTGTGTTTCATCTTCTCTTTTCGCGTGACCAGAGCTTTCGCGATGTCTTTTACTAAGCGAGATGCTTTGGTTAAATTGACTAAACACTATAGGATAATATATGCGCTTCCCTTTGACAGCGTTTAGTCGACAACGGGTCAAGAATTCCGCGTCAAAAGCTAGATCGACATCGCAGAAGAACAACAGTGATTCTGGCTGAAAATGAGCGAGTCCCAGTTGCAATGCCCGTCCCCTGGAAAAATCGCCGTCCACAGTTTGCCACAAAACTTCAAAATTATTATGTTTATCCGTGTACGTTTTCAAAATCCTTTTGTGATCGTATGCACCAGACACGTTTGGAAAATACATTATCAGTAACCTAACTTTCTCGTTTGTAAGCAACACGGTCCTTTCGAAATTTGAAAGAAATCTTTCAAAAGCCTTGAACCTTCCGGCCAAAGGCAAAATGATGTTCACGTAAGGTAGGCTAGTTCTGTCGACGCTACGCGATGTGTAAATCAAGTTTCCAAACGACTGTTGAACATGCGCTTGGTATTGCACGTTTATGGGCAGTTTACGGCGATTGAACCCTATATGTTGGTACATTACCATACGAAAATCAAAAATATACTGCATGCCTCGAGTGGGGGCTATTCTTGTGTACCCTAAGTTGACTTTTGAGAGCATCAGTTCACGATATATGATTTTCTTTGCCTCCGTGTTGATTTTCGCCAGAGTTCTGCGCAGAACGGAATTGAAGCACTTTTTAATGGCGTAATCGACAGGCAGGAACGGCGATGTTGTCGGAGTGTAGAGTTTTTTAGGGCTAAATAATTCCCAAGGCAATGTCGTGTTTAGTGGAATTCCTCGATTCATGTCTTTTTTGCTTTTCATGCTTGCGATCTCACCTCTACTTAAGGTGGCTTCGGTGAGCTTTTTGAGATTTCGTAGACTGCTTGTTTTGGTGGTAGAGCGGTGTTGCACGGCCAGAATCTTCTGTGACAAGAAGTGCGCGTGAATGCGGTACATGTAGGCTGGTTTCTTTATGGGATGCAACGTGATTGCGTTTTGCACCGCTTTCGTGTCCAGGTCCCAGTGAAAGGCATTCGTTTTGCTCTGGTTGTGATAGAATATCGACTGCGTCTAGACGTAAAAAGAACGTTGTTTTCGCGTGAAGCGGTTAAAGCGGTAATAACTTCATTTCCAGAATCCACGAATTTAATCCGTAATCTGATCCTTTAGAGTTAGCAGTTGGGTAAGGATTAGAGACAGGTTTAAGATTAAAGTTAAGACGAATATATTCGTGGATTCTGGATATGTTGGAGTCAGTAACTGTTGCAATGAATTGTCAGGTCAGCGCATTAACCCAGATTCACTGAAAGACAGATTTAATGGAATATAAAGAGTATGACACCTTACCTCAAATGCCCAGATGCAGGCTACCCCTACATGCTTCCTAACACATCGCCCCACCTCGACATCCTCGTGGGAGGACACGAAGTTTTGCAAACAATATTCCAAATGTGGTCCCAACTTTTTCAAAACACTTCTGCTCATGATCATGCCCGGACCGCCCATGCAAAAGTTATCATTGGGCCCAAGTCCCAGCTTGCCTCGTTCGCCTGGAAGCCCCTGACCCGCCTGCCCGAGAAATATATCCTCGGAACTGTCGAACCCTCGGAGGAACTCCTTGAGTTTATCTGTGCGAACGTAAACATCATCATCACATCGCATGAACCACTCATAATTATCGATATGATTGTCATACATATATTTCAACATCATCAAGGATTTACGTTGAGGCGGGTATCTGTCATCGACATTTGGTAAACTAACGACAGGCAAGGAACGCGACGACCATTTTCCCGTTTTGTTTCCAGCGAAAAATTCGACTTTTCCCGACGCCATTTTGCCCCAAGTTTTGTAGACGACGGAGGCCCTTGAATCGAGGAACTTTTCGGCGGTCATGATGCCGGCGAAGATCAATTCTTTCGTGTCTAACTCGTCCGATATTCGTCGTGGTCGCGCGAATATCGTGCCTCGTGATAACGTTCGCCGCACAATATTCACGCACGGTTTTCTCGCGCCATACTCGTACGAGCCGCGAAGCCAATTAGATATTGTCAGTCCAATGTATACCCCAGTTAATAATATAAAAAATTTCGTACAGCACGAGCGATTATTTGCCAGAACACGGTTCAATTTCATCACTGTAACTTCTACGGGCAACGACTGTGTCGAAATGCGACCTGTTAACTATGTATTATATTTCAAGCAAATAAAAACATTTGATATTCCGTGGCTTTATCCGGTTTGAATTATTAATATTTTGTTCCGTTGCACACTTGGTGTTTGGCATGTCCTTCATGCGATAACAACGTCGCGCTTCGTAGATGAAATATCAACGGTTCTTTGTTTAGAGTAATCTTTTCCATGCTTTGTCAGCAGACTCGTAACACGTTTATCATCATAGCGAGACTTTAATTGTCATCACAAAACAGGTGGCCATGTTATCTCAGTACCTGACAGCGATCATCACTGCTACAGGTTACCGCATCGTTATTTTTGCATTTTGCATTTCGATAAACAAAAAAATGGTTTTATCTTTTGATGCTCAATTTGACTTTAATGCTGTTTTTATTAATCGGAAAGCCTGGATCAATGCATTGCTCAACTCGAAAACTGATACCCTAAACAGAAATGTGACAGATATCGGTACGAAATGCGCTAAAAAAATCGTGAACGCATTCCTTTAATTATCAAAAGCCACTTGTATACATGTTTGTCAATGTCTTTGCATCAAAATATCATATATCTGCGTTTTAGATTATCGTCTTGGGAGCCGAATTTGAACGGCATCCACCAGTATATATCGAGGTAAAAACAAAAGAAACTTGTTTCAGGAATCCTAAACGCAATGCAACATCTTTTTAAATTTTTGGGAAAACAGAGTACATCCGTACATGTCACCTTCATGTCGTCACTACATGTCGTCTGAGTTGAAGTGTACCCTCATAAATCGCGCTTGTGAAATGTTTTTTTTATTACAAACACAAGAATGGTAAAAATTTATTTTTTTGAGCGAGCCTATGTATGGTAGATAACGTAGATTCCCTATACATGGTAGAATGCTGTTGGAAGTCCTTGTGGTATACGAAACTGAGGGCTCGTAAATTTCGAAGCAATTTTCATGAATCAGCTTCGGACAGTGGCTTCGGAGCGATGAATATTTTCTAAGCTCGCAAGGGATTGTGGCGCGATTATCGCAAAAATTTTGAATCTCATTAAAACGCGCCATTTTTTTTTAGATTTCAACAAGATGGCCGCCCTGCAAGGAGTGAAGGTTCTTGAATTCGCTGGACTTGCCCCAGTGCCGTACGCGGGAATGATTCTGGCCGATTTTGGGGCTTCCGTTACTCGTATAGACAGGGTTAAACAAACAGGTCTTGAAGTAATGGACCGTTTAGGGCGAGGAAAGAGATCTGCAGCCATTGACCTGCGCAGCGCGAAAGGTGTCGAGATTGTCAAAAGGTTATCGCAGAATTCTGATGTGCTTATTGAACCGTTTCGACCTGGAGTGATGGAAAAACTCGGACTTGGACCAGAAATACTCATGAAAGATAACCCCAGGCTTATTTATGCTAGAGTGACTGGTAATTATGACTTTATTTTTATAGATTTCATATTGTATGATACAAGTATAGATTTGCATGTGAAATGTACCTGTGTACGAGTAACATTTTTATTTTACTGGATTTGCAACCATTTTAGCTTTTTCAAATAGTGTATTGTAATCTCCACACAGTGCTAACATTTCCATCATTGAGAGTTCAGCTGCATTGAATATTTCAACATATATATGTATTGTCCCATTGTTTGCACAATAAAAATATATATATATGTATTGTCCCATTGTTTACACAATAAAACTTTTGCATTATAAACTGTAATTATCTATTCTAGGATTTGGTCAACAAGGGCCTCTCAGCACCATGTCAGGTCATGATATTAACTATGCGGGTATATCAGGAACTTTGTCAATGATTGGTCGCCGAGGTGAGAAACCTATTCCACCGTTAAATATTCTTGCTGACTTTGCTGGTGGTGGTTTGATGTGTGATCTGGGAATCATGATGGCTTTGTTTGAGAGAAACAAGTCTGGCAAAGGACAAGTGGTTGATGCTTCAATGGTAATTATGATTAATCAAACACTAGAGTATAATGATTAAGAGCAGAGTTTAGAGTACAGATTATTACAATCCTTACAACCACATCTAGATTTTTATGATTTTGCAGTTTTATGAGTTCAATGGTTTTTCATCTTACAGGTGAATGGGGTAGCATATTTATCATCATTTGTTCATAAGACATCGGAAGTTGGGCTCTGGTCTGGTGAACGTGGTACCAACTTGCTTGACAGTGGTGCACCATTTTACGACACATACCTGACCGCTGATGGCCAGTATGTTGCCGTTGGGGCCTTGGAAGCAAAGTTCTTTAAAATTCTCCTTAAAGGTATGGATGGAGTTTACCTTGTTTACTTGGTCTGTTCTTAACAGGGCTACAAAATTAATATTTTCCTCAGATTGCAACATATAGTTGGGGACACCCCCATTAAATGAAAGACCAAATGGTATAAAAAAACCTTACAATAAAACATCTGCATAAAACTATTTGAAATCATTAGTATTTTGTCAATAATGTCTTAATGATTTGGGCTCATGACTATGGGTCACATAAAAATAGACCAATTTTATCATTTTTATGTCACATTCTCTAATAATACATTCAGAGCTTAAGGCTGGATTTCCACTCGCAGGCAAATGTTTCACTGGAGAAATATTTGCATATGTTCCTTTAAAATAAGAACAATCAAGCTGAACTAATTTATTTAATGATTTGTGTAAATATTTCACTAGTGAGCCATCTCTCTGCCATTGGAAATCCAGCCTAACTAAGCACTTTTCCTTTCTTATCAGCACAAGTTTGATTTTTTTATTTTAATAGAACTTTCCCTAGAGGAAGAATTTCCTAATCAATTGGATATGAGCGATTGGCCGAAAATGCGGAAAAGGTTCAGCGAAATATTTCGCTCGAAAACACGGCAGGAATGGTCCGACATTTTTGACGGTAAAGATGCCTGTGTGACACCAGTTTTGGGACTTTCTGAGGCTACAAAACATCCACACAACCTAGCCAATGACGCGTTTCTACAAAACTCCGATGGTACATGCGAGCCCACGCCAGCTCCAAAGCTTTCAAGAACACCTGGTAAGCCGAGGGATACGGAACAGCCCAAACCGGGTCAACACACGAGGGAAGTGTTGCAGGAATGTGGATATTCACTGGCGAGTATATGCGAGCTTGAAGAGTCTGGAGTGATTTATTGCGGCAAGTTGAAGTCTTCCTTATAATGACGATGTTAGAGGTAGGTGTTGAACGGTGGGTGTGGAAATCAACCACCGGAGACGGGGGGTGGGACGATTTGATTGAGATTGACGGAGAAATCAATAAAGGGGGGGGGGTTGTCGAAAGTGGTCGGACGAATTCTACTGCTTCAACTAATAATGATTACTAAAATCAAAGTTAGTTCAAATTAAATACTGTATTACTTTACAGCCTTTTTGTACTTTTCAAATATCGGTTTTTGTGGGAGCTTTTTCCGCGTTGTTAGTTGAAACTATCTGTAGAAAAATATGAAAATATCTGCCACGCAAACAGCAGCGGTAATAATTTCATGCCTTGCTAACTTTCTTTGTTACGAAATCGTTTTGAATTTGAATAAACATGTCAGATTATGGCGGTGCAATGTGAGACAATGTTTGGACACGAATACACGTATTATGACCCGCTTAAAGCGTCCATTTCGACGTCCGGGTGTTTTGCGAAGAACGTACCAAACGAAAGTTTTTATAGCTTTGGTTTTCGGAGTGATATTCGGTTTTTTGTTCTCGTACGCAACACGGCAATGCTTTTTCCGCATAGCAAAGGACAAGGTCAAATGCAAAATAGTGAAAATACAGCGACCAAAGTCGAAGACTGAGAACGTCACGAAAATACCCGAAGATACTCAACAGAAGACTGAAAACGTCACGAAAATACCCGAACACAGACCTTTCAATGTCTCTGTGGAATTAAAAACGGCGAAATATTTCCTGATAATCGGGATAATGACGGCTGAGAATTATATTCGCACGAGAGCCAAAGCAATTCACGACAGCTGGGGAAACACTTCTGGCTCGGTTAAAGTTATATTTTTTACCGGTGAACGAGGAAACGCAAGCGGAAATTTCGATTTGGTTCGCCTACCCAAAGTGGACGACACCTATCCGCCCCAGAACAAGTCATTCCAGATGTTGAAGTACGTATTTGAACACTATATGGGGGAATTTCATTGGTTCGTTCGTGCTGATGATGATGTTTACATTCGGAGCGATAAGCTTTCGGAGTTTCTGTATGGATTTGATAGTTCGGACGATTTGCTTTTTGGGCGCGCTGGAGTCGGCAAATTTCATGAAAAAGGAAAGCTTGGGTTGGGAGACAGCGATAATTTTTGCATAGGTGGTGTTGGTGTGATCATGAGTCAAAGCTTGCTAAGAAAGGTCGCGCCATATTTGTTGACATGTCTGAACGAAACTGTAACCTTACATGAAGATTCGGAGTTGGGAAGATGCATCCGCAGGCATGTAGGTGTTATGTGCCCGTGGGCTCAAGAAGTAAGTGTCCCAGAAAATTTACATCTCGTTGCCTTTATACTTCATGCAGTATCCAAACATAATATCTCAGCAAACATTTTAACTTAGGTCATTTCAGAACTCTCCTATGTCACATACACATAACGGAGTTAACATTCTGAGATGATGACTCTTTCGTGTTTGTAAGACTTACCTGCCTACTTTTCTTATTCCTCTCAAAGGAGGATCACAGTGATTTCTCGGCGTCGGCTCTGCTCATAACAATAGGAGACTCATGATTTAAAAATGCCCAAATTTCAATTTGTTTTATTGAACACGATTAAATTTTTTCTGATGGTTAGCGAGCCAAGATTCGGTTTGAAATACCCATTATTGCAACAGTGCGCAATTGTATGAGCCTTAAAAACTAGTTAAAAAATAAAAGCTTAGCCTCTTAAGTATCCTTAACCGACCTTAACCGAGTCACGAGATTGAGTCTGGTGACGAGGTTAACCATTCCCTCATATTATCATATATGCATTTGAATCGATACAGTGGACCCAGGATATATCAGGTTGTAGCACTTTATATTCTTTAGAGATCGCATTATCTAAAACTGCAATAAAGCGAGGAATGTAACCACAAATGTAAGCCTTATTGAAAGTTTCCTGTCTAATCTGCCGTTGTCTCCTATTTTCAAAAGGTTCAACACATGTTTTACCAGAATTTCGAGAAACCAGAGAGGGTTTTCACGAACAGTTTGAAGAGAAGTCCCTTCAGAAACGCGATTACGGTACATCCGATAAAAGATCCAACGTATATGCTTCATTTACGCCATCACTTCTTAACTTCCGATTTTCTCAACCTGCAAAACCGCGCTGCTCATTTAAAGAATCGACTGCGCATGGCTCGAAACGTGCTAGCGAATTTTTCGAGTAATTCGACGAGAAATATCCGCTTCGAATTATTTCCAAGAAACTGTACCATTCACTGGGAGGTTTGCGATAACCAGTTTTTGTATGGCCTCAGCGAGCCACCGTATTCTTGGGTCAGCGGTCCTATACTAGCAGGAATAAAAAAACTTCATGTCGGCGTGCTAAGTAATATCAACATTGAAGCGCGTAGATCGCAAAAGTCTCAAGAAGAATTCAAAAAGCTTTACAAAGCAAGCCTGCGCACCCACCCTGCCCTGGGTCTGCAACTGACAACTGAGGTAGAAACCCTTCTAAAACCGCTGGACACAACAGGCTCGAGGATACCTCGTCGCACGAGACATTTCTCGCATTTTCAACAAAGCTTCGCTCCTTTGTCGAAAAATATACTAAAAGATACTTTCTCCGCTAAAAATCACAGACCTGAAGTTAACTTCATTGTTCCTCTCGTGGGGCGGTTTGAAACGTTTGAAAGATTTTTAAAAAGTTTCGAGGAAATGTTTCTAATCCCAGAACTACCAGTTTGTCTTCTTATAGTATATTTCTCCCAAGTTTCGTCGCCCATAAGACATAAGAAAATATTCAACGATTTTCGCGCGAAGCATCTGGGAGTTGATCTTGCATGGTCGGAAATGGTCGGAGAGTTCTCGCGTGCCCGGGCGTTAGAATTCGGCGTTCGTCGTTACGGTATGAACCGTTTGCTATTTTTTGCAGACGTGGACCTTATTTTTAAAACAGAGTTCTATTACCGTTGTCGAGCCGGTGCTATTCTTGGCCAGCGGGTCTACTTTCCTCTCATGTTTAGTCAATATAACCCACAGATTGTTTATTACAATCGCTCAGCCTCCCCCAGTGGAGGTCACTCTAAGTTTGCGCCCCCCTGGAGGAATAGAACGTTCACCAGCCGTGCAGGGGTCTGGCGCAAATACAGCTTCGGTCCGGTGTGCGTGTATTCGAATGACGTTATCGCGGTTGGAGGACTGAACACGACGATACGAGGATGGGGCCTCGAGGATTTGGATTTCTACGAAAAGTGCTTACGTTATAATTTGGAAGTATTCCGCGCGCCAGACCTAGGACTAGTTCACATGTACCATGCTCAGACGAGCTGTCAAGATCCTAGAATGAACAAATTGCAAGCGAAAATGTGCGAAGACTCGAGACTGCGAGGGATAGGGTCAGCGGAATCACTGGTAGAGTATATGTTTGCCAAAGGTTATTTATAGCATTTGGCAAATTATCAGAATATAAACTGCACGAATCCTGGGATATTTTTGCAGTAGATACGTAAAATTTCCAGGCCATGAACAAGCTTTAGAAAAATCTTTAGACTCGGTGGTAATATCCAATTCAAAATCTCGATTTTTTATCGCAATTCCTACAATTCTTGAAACTAACACTTTAAAAGACAGCTTGATCACACTCTCTCATTTTCAAATCTATTTTTTGCGGCCTTCAAGCTTTAAACGGATATCCATATCCACAGCACTAGTCCATTAAATGAGATTTTTTAGAAACTTTCATGTGGAATAATTGATTAAAGGTTTCCTCTAGTTTCCTCCCCCTCCCTTTTCCCCTTGCTTCCTCTAGTTTCCTCGGTGTTCATGCATTGCGTATGAAGTTTTTCCATCAATTCTTTTGGCGGGAAAACACCAAGCTGATAATTTTGCCAAACCACTGCTTTCAACGTTTACTTTCAACCCCTTTCACGTTGAGACATGTTTATCTTATCTTGTGTGCGACTAGGTGAGTGTGTCAACATCTTGATAGATTTCGTAAATAATACTCTACACGATCTAATTACTTGATTTAGGACATTCCTGTCTTGCAGCGCAATTGGATTTGCGAAGGCGGGCTTCTATGGGATTTACGAATTACGCATGAAAATAGAGCATTTTATTAAATATCTCTTTCAAAGACCCAATTAACATTCATCCCATATTTCATTGATGAACAGAACACATGCTTAAGACTTAGTCGTCAACACGCTTCATGAATCAAGCTATATCTCATGTGAATTTTACGACTCACGAATGCAGATGTTTCGTTTGATATGGAATAAGACTTGAAAAAATTCATCTAACCGTCGCCTTAGGGTGTCCTCAAATGCTTCTCATAATCTGCACCATTTCTGGAACATAAAATTATAAAATCGGCAAAGATGCAATAAATATTGGCTCCCATTGTGCGAAACAGCTGTTTCTTTTATCCCAGTTTTTATCATATTCATTGAAATCCAAAGGAACGGCTGAGATAAGCTTGACAAGTTGTTTTAAGAATCAAGACAAATTGTCAATATACGCTATTGTTAAATTCGTAAGATTTTCAGAAGATTACTTCTGGCATTTCAGAAACGTCTGTGCGTCACATTATTGTTTGCTATTTCCATCAAGTGAATCCACTAGGCATCCGTTAAGGAATCCACGACAAATCGTACAGGAAGAAAATATAATTTGTGGTTAGTATTTCAACTTTATATTCATGTCTCGTAGATAGTGAAAATTTGATGTGAATATTTTCATGTCGACGTCAGATTGAATGCTACTAAATCGCTCAGGAAACTTCAATTTTATAATGTTCTTATAATTAAGAAATTTTAATGTAGAATAAAGTAGCGAACTTAACCGAAAAGGGGCACAGCAGGTAAATCTACAAGGCGTGCATGTAGGAAGACTTTGCGTATCTACAAAATATTTGCATTTTAAAACTGATACAAGAAAAACGAATTTTGCGCCGTTTTCAAAAGTGCAAAACAAGTTTTCATTTAAATTATTTCACGAATGCAAAGATTTAGTTTGTTAAATGCAAAAAATATACGCGTAGGCCTGTCTTAAAAGTGACGGGGCTGTTCTGTGTAGGCTCTTCTTACTTAAGATCCACACGTGACCCGAAGCAGTCTTGAGTGTCTTCGAAAAGACTACGATCCTATGTGCGTGCCAGCCATGGGTGGGATTGACCCGTTTAGGACTGGAATAAACATGATAAAAAAAAGCCAGAAAAATGATTAAACTCTGATTGCCCTCAAGACGACAAGCTTAAGTCATCAGGAAAATATTTTGGGCCCTTAAATCCGATAATACTTGATGCTACCAATCCTACTATGCTATCGTATTTAGATCGACAGCTCAATTCGTGCATGCGGTGCGGTATAAGGCGGTTAAATGCGACCTCAAATCTAGCACGAGGCAGCGAACTTTCTGTTGTTCGCGACATTGTCAGGTTAAAGTTTGAGTTTTTCCCGTCGAAAGAAATCAAGCTTGCGCTTGAGTGGCCCCGATCAATTTCCGGTGCGTCTGGCACGGTGATAATGAAAGACAATTAAAATATCTTGAATGAATTGGATGGCGCTGCGATAACAATCAGGCGCGGAGAATAGTGGAAAATAGCAATAACGTTGTGTGAGAGCTTTATATAAAGCACATTACCGCATGTGTCGAAGTATTGATATCTCGCATTCGCTTTGACTCAACAGTGGTCGTGAATTTTAGAAGCGGTGTGCGACTGTGTGCGTGGATCTCGTACGTAATTCATGTAAGTGCAACGTGTATTTTTACAATTAGTGATGCCGATAGTTTACTTAATGTGGTATTTTTACTTTCGTGTCAACACGAGCAAGCCTGTGCAACCGTGCATTGTACCAAATGCATTATTCTCTCACTCTGTTAATATCCTAATCCATAAACGAACATGCATTCAGCCACACGCGTGAATTTTTGTTCACAAATACATGTAGAATTCAGCGCATTTTAGTAATTCTCTGTTTATGCTCGACCATTCGAAAGGCAAACGTACATGTAATATGCAATTCATAGGCCGACCATGCCGTATACGAAAATACTATATCAATGTTGTATCACTTCTATCGAGTAATTTTCAAGTGTTTCTTCTCTGCTATTCTCAGTATCAGAGGTATATCTTGCATCACGAATGCGATATATTCTTAATATTTTCTACACCAGAAATAGTTTATTAACTATATTCAATACAATATCTTGGCTCAATAATTATATTCAAACTGCAATCTTGTAGTTTTCTAAAAGGAGTCTTTGAACGGCGATCATGCCATGGTACTTGAATTTTCACCAGCAAGATTTCTTATTTCAATATGCCTCGCGGTTTGGCTTGAGTGGTCGAGAATTTTTGGTATTGATTATTTGATTGCAAAACGTGGGAGGTGCATGCATGAAGCCCTTATGACCTTGAGTTAACATTTACCTGCACGATGAGATTTTAGACTCAGAACTGTAAAAATACGCTTCTTAAAAGACATAATGCAGGAAATTGTCTTACTGTATCGATAATTTTCTTGCTAAACATGCCCTGGAGACAGGAATGCAGATATGAACAAAAGTAATATACATGAACGTGGTCTATACTGCTCGTTTATGTGCATGTTTCCTGGTGTTTTGAATGCGCCCACGTCCGTCACAAAAAAACACATCTCCCTGCGTCCAAACATATTCGGCGTGTTGAAATGATAAAATTCTGTACGTGGGTAGAAAGGTAGACATTGATATTAAATCGTGACGTTGAATTACTATAGAACCAGCATGATCATATCCTGCGAGGATTTGGCAATATATGTGACGCTATTGTCGCTACTCGCTACAACTTCATGCATCAAGGCTAGAGCTAATAACGACCAAATTTAAGGCTAAGATCGACCTAAATACGAATTTTTATCCTATTCTGTTAAGGCCTGATTCGACTCGAGAGTTCAGCATTTGTTTGCGCTTGTAAAGTCTTGTCCGTATTAATCAAATCGTTTACACTAATTGCTCAACAATGATTCCAGTACATGTGTGTGCTACATCATATATCACAACAAAGCTCATTTGTCTATATGATGCTGTTCATATGTATAGACGAACCAAACCAGCTGATGACACGAAATTATCCTTTGCCAGATCTGAATATTCCTCACGGAATGTTTGTCCCTGCATTTAAAGTCATTTAGACTGATAACTTAAATCCACGATCTACTATGAGGAGGGAGGGGGGGAGAGGGAGTTATCCTGGCTCGTATAAGCAGCTTGCTTGCATTTGTTGGCCACGTTTTTGGAAAGATAATTTTTTTGAAGCATAGAATCACGGACACTCCCTTTTAATCGCAACGTGATCGGGCTTAGATCCAACCGACCTGATTGGGATCACTATTCACTAGCTTTGCCCTTTCCTGCAGATGTAAGTAGATCTCTGATCTTCAGAAGACGTGATTGACGAAATCAATTCTACGTGCTGTCTGTCATTAAGGGTTAAGACTTCGGATATTTTGGGATATTTTGTACGCGTAGTACAAATTTCAATGAACAATTTTTTGAATTAAGATATCGACAGAAAGGTTTTGCTATACGTTGATTGAATTAAACGTTTGGATAAAGCTATGCCATAGCGTGTTCCAGCAGCCTGGGTTTTTGCTACGTGCGCGCAGAATCGCGGTATTTTTGATGATTTTTCTAATCGGTATTTGTTATTTGTTTCCCTGCCTCTGTGTACGAGGGAACGAAATATTAGACGCATTGTCATCTATTGTCGAGAAGGTTAGGCGAGATTTATAGCTATCTTTATGACCCATTTGCAGTGTCATTAGTTCGAAATTAAAATATATTATACATATAATAGCTAAAGTAATTTTGTTTGAAACTCAATTACTTGCACGACAACAGGCTGATGTTAGCCCACACAAACACAAGAGAACATCGTATAGAAATAATATTTGTCAATGTATGCGATACATCACATCGAAAATTCAAAACTCGTGATATTCCAATGTTTAAGTCTTGGATTTATTTAATCTTTTACTCCAAAAAATACTTCATTTTTTCTAGAATTTAGGAATTATGTGAAATTCCATTTTTTTGAAACATGTTTGTGGGTAGAAAATAAGATTTTTTGAACAAATGCATCCCACGCCTTTGGCATTTTTTTCTCATAATGGAAATGTTCGAATGGATTATATTACCGAAGAGTTTTCTCTCTTATTTCCTCTCGATTTAAGGCAGACTATTTGAAAGGATTGGGCTATTAGATAATATAGGGCTATCAGCTAGGATTTCAGAATTAATCATTTTTCTTTCGATGCCGTATACGAATTTGTATATCAGGAAATTGATTTTGATATATCTATATATATACATCTCATCTTTGAACTTAAGAGTTAATTGACTCGCTGTCTTTACAACGTAAGGCTCTCTCAGCAGGTATCCACTGACAATCAACGATATTCAACCTCAACTCCATTGAATGAATAATGCATTATGATACTCCTCGTTTCTGACAATGTGATTCATCTGACAACAAAGCTATATATTTGAATTTTTACCAACTGATGGTTTCCCCTTTCAAGGGAATGTATACGAGGCTAAAATTCATAAGATCTTTTTAGACTGCACGTTTGTATGTGAGAATTGTTTTGCTCTACATATATACGTAAAGATTTTCCGAATATCGATGTAGATTTTTCTGCAGTGCAATGACTAATGCTGGCTTGTATATTCCATCGTATTTAGATCAATAAAGACCATAAACTCTTCTCATACGAAACGATAAGACATTAAAGAAGCAAATTTTGGATATTTCTTTATCTCACCACGGTACCTGCCGTTCACATATACATATGCTAAAGAGGTTTTTCGAGGAAATTTTTACTATAATTTTGTAGTTTCTTTAGACAGAGCTACGCGCGTTGCAAACGTCAGCATGACGACATAGTGCGCTACGAAAATTCGTCATTAACATCTGCCATTGCCATTGATCGAACTTGGCACGACAAATAGAATATGTTTATACATTAACGAACCTTTATTATGTATTCTATATTTAACTATGCCAAGCTAATAATGTGCATTTAGCATGTGGTTTCTGTCCATTCACAGGACTGGATATAAAGTACCATATTGTTAATTGTCCCATCATTAATGTTAACGCGTGTGTGTTGTATGCTCTATAGAGAGTTAATATCATATCATCAAGTTGTTGTGAACAAAATCTCGCCATGACTGCTGTTGTACACTTGGATAGCTCGATAACGTTGACCACGGCCTTGAAGAGGCCTATATCTTCGCCGAAGCTAGCAGTGAGTTCCGAAGCGACACATCTCAGGCGAGAGGAGAGAAATTTCAACTCAGTTTATCCAGTGCCACATTGCGTGCTCCTGACAAAGTTGGAGACGACGAACTCTCCAGGATTACTGACGGAGTCGGCGCTCGTGAGCGAAGAAACGATTGCGTTGATGATAAAGGAGCTGGGACTCGAAAATTTACAGGAATTACCAGAACTGCACCTCGAGTTTTCAGATTGGCCCGTCGGGTTATCCATGGAGAGGCGGTGATATGTGGAGTCGGGTGTTTGTCGTCGGCGGTCTGGTGCATGTGTGGGTGTGGGACAGCCTCGCCCCCCGTGGGTTTTGGTGGAATGATGAATCAAATTGACTAATTATAGCTTGTGAAATATTGGGTTTTTCGATAACTGCACGTGCAGCAAGATTTATAAACATAAGGTCTATAAGATGTTCAACATGCCGTTTACGAGTGCTGGCGTGGCCGAGTTAATGGCTGTCTCAAGTAATAATGTATGGCATTGATTGATTGATAGAACCTTCATTCAGAAAAAGCCTCTTGACCGCTGTGTGGTCGCAATATCTACAGACACAATGGACACGCTCTTAAATATCTTTCAGTTAACAAAAAACATAACATATAGTGGGTCATCATAACCTATATAGTGAGTGGGTCGATGCTTTTATACGCTAAATTTGCTGACCGATTTTCTCCAATACCGGCCGCACAAGCCGCATTCTTTTATTGAATTATGTATGAAAATCTTTTCTCGATTTACAGCTGTTTCTCCAGAATGCTCCTAGGCACGATCTATCAACGTGATATTTAGATAAAGCACTGTGAATAGATTGTGTTTTTTTTATCAGTGGCATTCAACCAAGCCCCAAAATCGGTGGAACAAATTGTAGCGTGTGGACTCGTCCTTCAACCAGTAAATAATGTAAATATGTTCAATTCTTAGGGAGACCACGAGTAATGACATAAAAGGCGTGCTCTCTGCCAAGTACCATAACCGCGTGCGTTCTAAGAGGTTGTGATGACTGTACGTTTATATTTCCAGTTGTTATGATAATATAAAGTTTCCTCTCTGGAAATTGAGAATCTCCTAAGTATTGAAAATTACACGCATACTTGGTGATTAAAAAAATTCGTTTGTTGTAATATTGGAATGAAAAAAAAATAAAAGCTTTCTGGCGCCATCGATCAAAGCGTTCACATGGGAATTTTTTCTTTAAAGTCAAGTGTTAAAATACATATTTCGTATATCATCTAATCAAAAGAGTTCAGTTAAAATAAAATATCTATCTTTCCTATATATTTCGTAATAGGCATCTTGTGTAGGTTTTTGCATGTTCATACGAGAAAATTGAATCCACATGTCGAATTAAAACAGAATACTTGTAGTGTCGAATTAAACGGTATATTTTTACACCGATGTGAATGATTGGTCAAAGACATTCCAAATTTTCAAACCCGTAACTACTCTTAATGTATAACCCCGAATGTCAGATCAGAAGCTTTACCCATAAAGTCAGTGACTTCAAATTTGTGACATATTTGCCAATTTCCTTGGTCAAAGAAACACGTATTGTGAGATGAGTCGAATTATCACATCCGATACAGCGCCCTCATGTGGGGATTTCAATTTCAAACTTATCGCAAGCATGAGAAGGTTTTAATTTCTTCAAGCTGATAGGATTGACTGCGGCGTTAGTTAATGGATGAATTTGCGACTGCAAATTAAAAAAAATTTCTTTGTAACAGCTGGTTAAGCGAAGCACCAGTAGTAGGCCGTATTCTCTGGCACGAAAAGTCGCTTAGAAAACGATTTTCGTTGCCCCCCTTCGGGCACTACTTGAAAACAAGATAGAAAATTAGGATAAATTATAGAAAGTCTAAATTCACTTGTTTTCACCTTCACAAACCTGCAGTTTTCGAGCATTTCATCTTTGAAAAATCAGTGAATTTGCATGTTTTGCAATACACCGACGCCATTTTGATTCAGGAAATGTCTCGGATACTTGGTGTAATATACGACATATATAGCAGATTCAGCAGTTTTATACCAGTATTTAAATGAAGTTACCAGCATTTTTGCTGTGCAAGCAGGTTTCAACAAGGAAGCTTTGAGTGGAGTTTTACAAGGTTTTTCGCAAATTTTCATAGTTTTTCAAAACTAAATTAGTCAGAGAAGACTTAGACAACAATTAATCGGAAAAACATCCACCAATTTTGCTTACACGCATCAAAATCATCCACGAGTGTTTTGTTTCTAGTCAAGTTATATAAAATAATTACTACACAATTCCTTTCCAGCATAACCTTTGTTTTATATTAACTACTTTTATAATACACACGCTTTCTCAAGAAAACTATTTACAACATCTCAGTTTTTTGACAAAGTTAATTACCAACGCCTTTATCTTATTATCATCAATCCACTAAAAACGAATTTTTAGTGCGAAGACCCAGACATCTTTACGAAGTTGAAAAAGAACAAATTTCAAACATTTTCCTTATGAAAACGTGTGAGGACTTGTGAAAACTGCCAAGTTGGCCCAATTCCAAACTTGCTGAAGTATTGGAAAATGAATCTGGAAATCCAGAAGTCAATGTTTGTGCATTTAACAACAATGCACTGATTGTAGATGCTATGGCAGTTATTCAGTCGGTGAAAGGAAAATGGAAAACATTTGGCGATGATGCTCTTTTAAAAACCTCAACACGCTAGCACGAAAGTATAATTCCAAACGATTAGATTGTTGCAAACAGGTATCCTTAGTTGAGCATAAAGAATGCAGAGAGACAACGAAGAGCTGAAAAGTGAAAAAGGAGTCCAGAAAGGTCAAATCTTCAGAAAAGATCAGAGTGTTCCAAAACAGTGGAAAAAGTGTTTAAGATCCGGTGGAAACAAGGAATCTTTCATATCTATGTAAACACTGGAGGTCATGTAACTCCTCCCGGTGGTTTTCCATTTCAACTATGTACGTAACTGCTAAAGAAATATGCTATGTTTTATATCCCGGTGATTCCCCGAACGATATTGTTACAAGTAATGAGGTGTCTTCGCTTCATAGCACCACGAAGAAGCAGACACTCGTTTAATTCTACATGCCAACCACGCAGCAGCAACGTACGATAAAGTTATCATCAAAAGCCCTGATACAGATGTTCTTATACCTGCGATTGGCATGCAACAACAGATCCAGAAAGAGATTTTCTTTTTGACTGGCACGGGAGATAGACGTCGTTACGTATTTGTAGCAATTATCTCGAAATTCTTGGGCGTGGCTGTTGCTCTTTGTTTACCAGGCTTTCATGCTTTTACCGGTAATGGCATTAGCAGTCAAGCAGCATCATGGTATCAGTGTTTAATGCAGAAGTCGATCTTCCATCACTGGTTGGCAATGGCTGGACGCTTGACGATAAAGAACTGGAGATAACTTGGATGACACGCCCACCCGCTCCGCGATCTTTAATTGAGTGTGTTGAGTGCAAGCGAAAGATTCTAGATGCTCGACCATGCGTTGTTCCTGCAAAAAGGCTGACTTAATTAAAGTGCACCGACCTATGTTCGTGTGGTGATTGCCAGAATGCAGTAGTTGAAGATGGTAACGACGATGATAGCAGTTATGGCTCAATCTGATGACGATGATGAACTTGAAGGATCAGGATCTAATCTGGATTTCGAAGATGACGTCGATGATGAGTTGTGGTATTAGCTGTCCGATTAAAAGGGTTGAGTTCAACATTTTATTTGTGTTTTAAAATTATAAGGCGCTCGTAATTCTCCCACACTGGTATTAAAACGTATGGCTGATATCAACCTTGGTATGCGTGTTCAATATTTTAACATGTACAGTAGTTGTACGTTGCAAATCACGTTTAAATTGATGTTGGCGTTGGTAATTAACTTTGTCAAAAAACTGAGATGTTGTAAATAGTTTTGTTGAGAAAACGTGTGTATTATAAAAGTTGTTAATATAAAACAAAGGGTATGCTGGAAAAGAATTGTGTAGTAATTATTTTATATAAATTGACTAGAAACAAAACGCTCGTGGGATTATTTTGATGCGCGTAAATAAAGTTGTTCTTATTTATTTGTAAATTCCAAGAGCTGAATGCTATAAAAAATCGTAAATTGGCGGATGTTTTTCCGATTAATTGTTGTCTAAGTCTTCTCTGACTAATTTAGTTTTGAAAAACTATGAAAATTTGCGGCAAACCTCGTAAAACTCCACTCAAAGCTTCCTTGTTGAAACCAGCTTGTGCAGCAAAAATGCGGAAAACTTCATGTAAATACCGGTATAAAACTGCTAAATCTGCTATATATGTCGTATATTACACCAAGTATCCTAGACATTTCCCGAATCAAAATGGCGTCGGTGTATTGCAAAACATGCAAATTCACTGATTTTTCGAAGATGAAATGCTCGAAAACTGCAGGTTTGTGAAGGTGAAAACAAGTGAATTTAGACTTTCTATAATTTATCCTAATTTTCTATCGTGTTTTCACGTAGTGCCCGAAGGGGGGCAACGAAACTGAACGATAATCGGCCACAGAATACGGCCTATAGGTCAGAACTCGCGAGAAAATACGGCAAGAATTCAGAATGTCCAAAGTTTTGCAGCGACACCAACCGAAGAACTATACTTTGGAAAGGCCAGCAATATTTATTCGACAACCAGGTTTTATATCGAAGTTTTTCTTTTTTACATAATTATCAATCTACCGATACTCTTTGTCTCATTCAAAGTTTTTAATGAGAAGACTTTACGCAATCTTTTAATCATCAGTATGCCAGGTCCGCGCGATACAGATGCATGCTAGTTCCTATCGTCAAGTTGAATTGCTTAGACAAAAAAACCTAAACACTTGTTCAGGTGGTGACAGCCTGCCCCTGCGTGAATGCACCTGCAGGGGGCTCGAGGTGAAACACGGATGGAGGAAATGAGGAGAAAGGGATCTTGAAGCGCGGAAACAGAGACAATACGCGGACTTGTACGAAACTGGTATCTCTGACCGACAAACTGGAGCGAAACTGAAACTTTTAAGATTTGTCTGGAATTTGAAAAAGGGTAGCCTTTGTTGGAATAGTAATATATAAATATGAAATATTCGACCTCATATACAGCATTGCAAAGAATCGTAGCTCATTCAAAAGAGGTTTTCTTCTTACAGCAGAGGTCTCAAAATGCGGACTAGGAATCTATTACGATAAAGTCTAGAGATAAATCTTTTAGGTGGAAATACGACGAAATCTTTCGAGTTTAAATTAAAATTCTTTACGGCAATTCCTGTCAGTTTCTTTAAAAATATACTCGATCGCGACAGAAGTGTAGGGGCTGGTTGTATCAAGTCTGTTTAGCTTAAATGGTGGTTAAGTTCAAAATAGAAAGTAAGTCTATCGTCTTATTCAACAAGCGAACTAAATGTCTTTAACCTTAATACAACGATACTGTTTACAACTACATATCCAGTGCATAATATTCAAGTTTACTCATTCAAGGGAGATGTAAGAGTGTTATTTAATTTTGACTTAACCACCGTTTAAGCTAAACGGGCTTGATGCAACCGGCCTCAGAGGGGGTGATATCTGTAATTACATGCATACACATTCCAAGGATTCTCTTCGAAGAATCTCGATCAACACATTAATTGGAATTTCGAATGTTAACTTTCTTTGGTTTATCTATAATTATAAAATATCGTAAGTTTGAATCGCATTTCCTCCCAATTATCCCAGAATAGTCAGTTGTTACAATCTGAGTGGTTTACGCAGGATAGCCGCCCCAATAAAAATCAAAATTGATATTTTCCTGAGGAAAATTATTAACCTAAAAATCGTCGCATTTAAAAAAAAAGTTCCATTGAGAAGTCCATTTCATTGACGAACTTGACGAAGTTCAAGTTCAAGTATCCTATCATCAAGGTTTGTGCTTTCAACGTTGTTCTAAATGTATAAGAGGCTAGAGTTATAAAGTGCATTGCTTTTAAAGTTTTTGAGAGGAACCCTCATTAGTTCTTGCATTCCTGAGAGACGGTTGCCAGGACAACAATAAAAGTTACAGACACTGCAATGAGGAAGACAACGAACATAATACGATCCGCAATCATTGCCGCCAATCTCCAGTAATCAGCCGAGCCATCACGTGTCTGCACCTGTCCCGGGGGGGCTTCTCCCCTCGAGATATTCGACCTCCTCTTGCTACCCATGTGACTGTGCTGGGCGATTGTGATCACGTCGATGTCATTGGCTGGAAATGATGAGGTTGTGCCATGCGCACTCGTGGCAAGCGACGCTTTTTCCAAAACATTTTGGTGGGTGCTCTGGATAACGGTAGATTTTCGTCGTGGGAGATTCACCTTTATTCCGAGCAGTTTCTTCGCCCAATCAGCGATCAGCCAGCGGACCCATGGGGACATCTTGTACCAATGGGGATCGGTGTAGTACAAATTGAGCGTGTAACACACAGCAATCAGACCCAAGGTTTCTTCAACCATACACGCGAAATAGAATATGCCAAGCAATGGAATGGAGTCGGAATTGGGAGGAACTTTGTCGGCGACGATAAACATGAAAACGGTCATCGCCAAAATGATGGTTATTGATAATGAAACTCGTTCACCTAAGAGCAGAGAGTTGCATGACACAGATGCAATATTGAAGTGCAATATTTACACTGGCAATGTTTGATGTTTAATAGATGGCACTTACCTGATTCAGGGGGAAGACAGAATGACAGAACCGTTAGAATTGTGATACAAATGCAGGGTAATATTAAATTGAACACATAGGACAGCGGTTTTCTCTCGATTCTTAAGGTGTAAGTGAGATCAACATAGGGCTCTTCGCAACACGCGTAAAACAGGACGTTCTTTTTGACTGGAAATTCCATCACACACCACTCAGCACTTGCCTTGAAGGACCCTAGGACGCAGACAAACTAGTTGAAAATTGATGCAATCCGTTAATCGTACCGTCATGGAAGTCATTACGATGTGATAGGATCCCAAATTCGATGATTTTGAGTGTAAGTTAGATTTTAGAATACAGAAGTTTGAGTCTGACGCCTGTATTCAAAAGTTCACTCAAAAGTCATTGAGTGTAACATAGAAATTGTGTGATACTGATCAATGAGATAGTCCTTTCTTAATCAATGGTAAGATTTAAGGGTAAAACATTGAAAATCAAGCTCGTATTCGAGTAGAGATACCGCAAAGGAATCGCTTTGAAGCGATTGAGATCTCCCACTCAATGAGTGCGAGTGAGCATTTAGAATACAGGCGTGGTATTTCCAGAAATTTCTTTGTGAACGTACCCAAATCTGCAGTAGGTGCTTCTGGAGTGATGTCAAGTCTGGTGCCATCGTAAGTCCAAGATCCTAACTTCACGACGCAGGCTTGCTGATCGAAGGGAAAGTTTCTTACGTCGATTTTGCAATGACTTTCAAAGTTTATGGGCGAATACCATTGATTATGACCAGAGGAGTTTACGATGATTCTTGTGGTGCCTACATCTAGATGACCACCACTTCTTGAGCTGGAAACACTGTAAGAAAGACACAGCTTTAAACAAATGAAAAACATCGTGGAGTATAATTCTTAAAGTTCAAGATAGAAGTGGTTTAGGCACAAGAAAAAGTTTGTCTGAAAGTGATAATGAAATAGTTAGACGCAGGGAACGAAAGATGAAGGAAAACCATACTATGGATGAGATTTCAGAATCCACAGTCTCGAATTTGACCTTTTAAAATATACACATGAAAAAGTACATGGAAAATGTGTGCTTTAAATATGTTGAGATTTTGAGAGCATATATGATAAAAACATCTGTTTCAATTTATTGAAAGTTTATTCTTGTTGAAGGACAAATTCCAATTAAATATGATTTTACTCAGTATTTGTCATTCGGTTATTAAAACATTCAAAATAACTCCCTTGTTGACTGTGATCACTGGCTGTGATTCCCGCTCACCTGTCGTACAACACGACGTCTGGTTTCCATACGCGAGAAGGCAGAATATTAATATAAGTTATGTTCATAAACTCCGCAGGATTCCAGGATAAACTCGGGTTGTTCCAAGACTTTAAAGATATTTTAAGAATATTCGGTTAGGAATTTTTCTTGAGAAAAAGAGATTATGCTATAACATATAACTTTTTGATTGATAAAAATATTTAGTAACTTAACTTTTTCAAAGTCATATTGAGTATACCATACCTGTCTCACAAACATACTTGTGGTCAGAATCTGTTGTTTCTCGTTCTGTCATTTAAAATGGATACTTTGTGTTAAATGCATATTGTTAGTGTTCCTCTCGGAAAAAAAATGTGACCAAAGATATTTTAGGTCTTATAGATTTATTATTGATTGTATTATTACAGTATGTCGTCGTGGTGAGTCGTGGTGAGTCACAGCTGATATTGCGCCGAATAACGACAGCATTTTTCGTTTTCCGGCAGACTCGACCATGGTCGAATACGCCGTTTTCTGGCATACGAACATTTACATATATTACAAATTCTTCTTCAACTTCATAACTGAAATTTACATAACTGAATTAACGTTCGTCTAACGCCTTTGCCCGTGAACTATCGTCGCCTGATCCTTACTTATGTTTTATGTTCTTACCACATCAACGATTTGATTCAATGTTAAGCCAAACTTGACCTTCACTGGACCGTCCGTCATCGGCAAAACATCAGGATGCGTTGCCTTTTGCAATAGCATATTAATAAGCCGTTCCTCTTCCTCGTATAGTGCTTTGCTAAACACTGCGAACAGAGAAGGAAAGCCATCCAGAATGACTATGAGTTCAGGGGTGAGCCAAAGAGGCATATATTGTCAGTCTATACTTCGTGACCAGCCGTATAAATATAAGGCGAAAACTGTACGTAATGTATACCTGAGTGAATCGTTTTTTTAGCTGTCAATAAACACTAAACAACTCGTCGTTTAAAACAGCTCTACGCTTAAATCAAGAAACATTTTCTGTTGTTTTATTTGCACAGGCATCTATATAGTCTTTGAGACAAGTATAAGTTTGACTGTAAACAGACACAAACGGACGAAACAGATATATCTATATGACTATATCCTCATTGCCAATTGAATAAAATAATATACTAACCTTGTTGAAGGACAACCAGCATAATGAATAGGAGATACACTGACATTGTTCTTTAAATTCCAGCAAGCTGACTTCGCTTTGTATTTGAGAACTATAGTAATGTTTTCGCTATGTCTTGCACCTGGAAACTACAGTCGGTGAATGATGGGTGATGAAAGTTGACAAACAGAGAGCTTCCCTTTTTCATTTCCGTTGCCTTGAGGCGTCATTCTATTGTGTTTTTCATCAAAAGTCCACCAAAAGCGTATTTCGAAGCACATATAATAGTTTCTTTATTACTAGTACATCCATTATACCTGTTCATGATGGTTTTATAATTGTGGATTAATTGTCTACTCTTTCATACAAGATCGTTTTTCGTTCAACAAGCTTGGGCAAGAACCTTTCAGCACGGATTATACTGGATTTAATCGTTTGCGTAAAAGGAAATGGTTTAGTTCACTTGGAAAGCACCCTTCGTGTTTGTTTTGAGACACTTCATAATTTTGAACCAGCTTTATCCAACTATATGCCTTGCGCCAATTATATAATAATATCAAAGATTGTGTACCGTTCGTCATGTAAACGAACGCTATACTTCTTCAAATGTCGTGTACTGCCCGAGTATTTAACGCAATTTTGTTTTGCCATACTTCTAAATAAACAAGGGCAGTCTTGAAATCAGGTAGGGGCCATCGCTTACGATTTTTATGAGCATACCTTAACCCATGTGCAAGTGTTGCTGTGACGTGACGCCCTTTTAGCAAAAACGAGTTGTTGTTGTCGTTCAATTTTTGTTCCTTGTAGATTAGGCGAGAGTTACTTTCCTAATTGGTTTTACAACAGTGTATTAAACAGTAACAGCAAATTCACATAAATATGTATTTCATATATCCACAGCACGGGTGTAAGACATTTTATTTCATTTATAAGTTATGTAGAAACACTGTCATTTCACAAATCAAATACAAATATCTGGGTGGAAAGAAATAGGTCTACCTCATAGTTGGTAACACGGGCTAGCTTTAGTTGTACCATTGTTGTACGAACATGGTGGATAAATTAAAATTATATTTCAGTAATTTCACTCCTAGACATTCTACGAATCAGTAAACTTCAGTGTTTTGCAGTAGATACTTAGTTGTAATAAAAGTCAATATGTATCTGCAAACAATATCGATTAAGTCATTAAATCGGGCTTCGTATTCTTTGCAGGGCGTATATCCTCTGCCATAATTGATTTCCCTATGCAATCTATCGTAGTTTCAATTTCATCGCTTTGGCATTTTTTTAAGGTTACTGAAGAGTTTTTATAGAGCTTCTTTCGAAATATTTCTATGTATGCTGTATGCATATTTTGTAGTCATCTCTACAACTCTGAACTACTGAACACTCGCTGTTTGATCATCCAACATACCCAGGAGCTTGATAGAATATAGACACCATAGTGGATATCATTATTATGGTGAATAACCATATCGCGATGCGATCAATCACATTTGCCACAATCAACCATTCTTCCTTAACCAGCTCCTGCTTCGCCCTGTCCTGGATGCTGCTAGAGATATATTCCACGTTTCCTAGAAGCTTCTTTTCGATCGAATCTGCTGTCTTTACGCGCTCTCGCGAGAAATTCGGCGTTTCCAACTCCATCGCAACGGTCTGAGCATCACTCGAATGCAATACACTGTTCCCATTATTCATATCTTCAGATCCATCAATCCGCTTCACTGATCCGTTGGACAACAAACGTTTCAGGAGACCATCGCCTCTGCCTTTTTCTGTTTTAACCTTGCTCAGTTTCCCCTCCTCTTTCTCCGCCATTTTCAGTTCCTTCGACTTTTTGACGCCAAAGAAGTTTGCGAACTTTTTCACCAAGATTTTTCTCATCCATCGCGGAGGCTCGTTTGTGTGGGAGTGGTAGCATCTGATGACGTAACACGTTATCACTAGAGCCAGGGCCATTTCCAGCATCACGGCCATGTAGAATTTGGCGACCAGCGGTACCACGTCGGAAGTTGCCGGAATTTGCTCGGTAATGACCAGCATAAACACCATCATGGATAGAAGAAGGGTGATTGTCAGAGAAATTCTTTCACCTGAAGGGGAATTTGAAATATTTAATTCATGACTTTCTACTTGGACTAACTCTCATCTATTCTACACCAATTAATTAATTTCAAAGGCCTGGTGTTTGGCGTAGATGGAGATTTGGAGTAGGTTATCGTGAAGAATAGCATGGTAGAATTAGCCAGGCGAATGAGTTGAGAAGTATTATTAGCGGCAGAGTTTACGAGCAATAAAAACAAAACCTACCTGATTCTGGTGGAAGAGTGAAGACAAAGATGATTAAACAGGATATGATTACCAACGGTAGGATAAGATTGGTCAAATAGAACAAAGATCTTCTGTGGATTATGAAATAGAAGGTTATATCCGGGTATGGTTCTGGACAGCAGTAATACTTCTGAACATTTTTCCGCACGGGCGCCGCTACTAGTTTCCATTCTCCCGACTCGATATATTTTGAAAGATCTGCGGTGTCGCTTTCCTTCTTCACGTCAACGCGATTTCCATCGTATGTCCACGATCCAAACTTCATCGTGCAGTTTTGGGTGTCGAACGGAAAGTACTGCACGTTGATTTTGCATTTGCTGCGCAGCATTACAGGCGCTAGCCACATGTTTATGCCGGTGTGAAAGAGCTGGACACGAGTCGAAAGACGGTCCAGGTTACCACGAAAGTCAATGGACTCATCCGCGCTAGAGGTGAGAGACTGGGGTTAATAATCCACATCGAGAGCATTAGTACTCAGTTGTGCAGTTGTGCTCAGTTTCAAACAGTCGGGATCATCAACAAACTTATGTAAGTTTAGACTTGTTGGTTCACTACTTTGCCCAAAATTTAGTAGTCCAAACTATGGGAAACCTTACTTGTTGTACAGTACCATATCTGGCAACCAAACACGTGAACTCTTCACATTGATACTGGTAATGTTCCCATATTCTGATGCATTCCACTTCAGATAAGGATTGTACCATTGCTGAAGATTGAAATACAGATGCTTTTAAAACCCAGTTTGCGCTGAAAACTGTTTTAGTCCAGTGCCACTCAAATGCCGTTTGAGTACATCAGGACAAACAAAAATCTTGGAAACCTAAAGTTCTTAGAAACGAAATAAAGTCCTCACTCTATACAGAAGCAATGCAAGTCCTTATTTTCTTTTCATTAAACGGAAGTACGAAATATTACTCAACCCATGGTCATTAATGTTTTGGAATATGATTCTCTACATAAAGACTGTGTGTACCTGTCGTGTCCAAACGCTAGTCGTCATTATTTGGTTTCTTCCATCCTAAAAATGAAAATGTCGATCAATATTTATATCACGAGATACTGAAGGATCGAGTATAGATGCTTTGGGAATGTATTTAATAAGTGGAGAAACAAATTCGAAGTTTGTTTGATTCATGCAATGACGTCGTAGACGAAAAATAGAAATTGTAGGCTAAGAAACACGTCAATAAAATATTTATAAATAATTGTGACGCACTTACAACATCGATAATTTGACTCAAAGTCAAGCCTATTTTCACCATAACTTTATCGCTATCATTAGCGACGGGTCTCATGTCTTTCTTGTAACCGTCCAACGATAGATAACTCAAAAGACGTTTTTCATGATAACTTCCCTCTGAAACTAAAATATATTATATATACCATGAGCAGTGAGCTCACGCCATTTCTCTTCCATAGACTTGCTAATCTAACCGACAGTGCGATGGTCAGGTTACCTTAGCTGCAATTAGTCTGTTGCAACTATATATTTCCTTTCTTAAACTTGGCTTCTGACACAATAAGAGTCTAGGTTTTTTTCTATAACTAATACCAGATCCTCAGATCTCTTATCTGTAAAATGCACAGCATTTACAGTATTGCAATGCTTAGAACTCCAAACACGCAAACAGAATGAAACTGTAGCACCGGATACATGCAGGGCAATCCAATTACAGAACCTTTCTTCTGACGCTGGGGATTATAAATGTACCGGTATATTGTATTTTTAGGAGGTTATAGAGCCAGGGTGCTATCGAGAGGTTTCTATTACTTGTTTGAACTTACATCGCTGTGAAACGAAAGGCTTTGTGGCTGTTTATGAAAATAATGACATGAAGCAAACTTGTAAATAACTCAATGCAGCCACTATATGCAGGGAGTTCTGAACTAATAAATCTATACTCAACTACTTTTAAATTCGCTTTAAACTAGAAAGTAACCGTAAGTAACCGCGTGCACCGCTTTGTGCCTTGTTGTAAAAAGTTTAAACGCTAATATTTTAAAGTAGATGCATTCATTCGATCGTGCAGAATCATGACATTCCAAGCAAAACATAGCTTCCATCCGTTTGTGGAAACAGGGTTTTTATTTTAATATCGTGCGTCATCAAACCAACTGATAATGAACTATCCTCAGTTGCAACATTGCTAGCCGATTCAAGTTTCACTGGCGACCTTGGCTATATGTTGTTCTTTTTAATTTTTCTATCTGCACTACACAAGTCTTGTATCAAAATGTTACAATGTCCAACTATCAAACTTACCAAGTACGCTTGTCAAGGCTGAAAGAATTTGAACAGCGAGAAATAGCGAAGCCATTGTGCAAAATCGTTGCAAGTAGGTATAGTTCTTAACCTGGTTGCTTTCTCATCCAAGGTTGTGTAACCTTTTTTGTCAGTGCGTCAAATCTATTCTATATATAAAGTCTATCACCGACGCAATATCACAATATCTGAGAGATATATCCATGGCCAGAAATCTGATACAGCATGGCCGCCGCGCACGCGCATCGTATCAAATTCGAGTGATAGAAAATCTGGCTGACATAAAATCCTACTAGTAAATAGTATTAGATTTGTGCACGCATGAACTATTTCTACCAATTTTACGAAATGCATCAGGAAAATTAAAGTCCCACAAATCTTAAGCTACAGTCTATTTTATATTCTTTCAAAAAAAATCAAAATATTATTAAACATGACTAGTGCAACATTGTTCCATTTTCACGTTTGCATTAGACTATAAAACGAGAAAACCCCCCATACTAGCTTCTTCATACATGCAAAAATAATCACAAATTTGATGCAAATAAGTGCTTCTTGCGCCTCTGCATCATAGTTTGATTTACTTCCACAAATCTGTATACGATGTTTACATGTTAGTCTTCATTTTGCGTTCAAAATTAGTGCCCTATTTTGTGCTCTAACCTGTTCCAAAACGCTTTGAAAAACTGCACAATATCGCCGGTGATCATAGCATGCGTTATGGCCATTGATTGAAATTGTACGACGAGAAACTTGGCAATTTCTTGTTGTGTTTTGATTTTCTCGGTCGTATACTTCGCCATGTTATTTTAGGAATGTCTGCAGGGGTTTTCCCTAACCTTCCACGTGTAAACATGTCGTAATACCTCATTTGCAAGTAAAATGTCGGACAATTTGTCTAAAAATCGCTGGTCTTTTGAAGATGAAATCAAGCTTTGTCAACCGGATTTACGGTATGCAGCTAGGAATAATGAGAAAAAGATCATCTGTACGCTGGATATACCTTATCCTCTTTTGAAGCAATGGCACGGCATTGTATACGGGTATGTTAATAAGCCAAATTCAGCACAGACGAGTCAACCAGATATTTGCCCTGATCGCCCATCGTCATCGAGTTCTGATCCTACTTCGACGGCTAATCGAGGCAAGCCCGTGAATTTTGTTGATCTGCTAGAATATTGTATTCCGGACAGATTTTTTATGGTAAGCACCGATATAACAGTGAGAGAAAAAGTAAATGAAACACTTTCAAAAATTGCTGGTGGTGTGGCACAACTTTATAGGAAGACCAGGGGAAGAGCTCGAATAGATTTGGATAAACGGATGAGAAAATTTCATTTGTTTGAAGGACAAACCAAGCCAATTCATGATTTCCATGAAGAAATTAAGAGTGTTCAGGATGAGTTAAGAGAATGGAAGGGAAAATATGTGAATTTGGAAGAGGAGAAAGAAAAAATTTATAAAGAAATGCAAAACGCGTTGGAAGAAAGAGAGAAAGTAATTGAGCATTTACAGAAAAGTAACAAACAACTTGAGGAGTATGCTGAAAATCTTTCAAAAGTTGTTGGTCTTAGTTCCTACCAGGGTAAGTTGTATCAGAAGCCAAGAATAAGACTAGGACTTTGAAAACATTTCTATCAAGAGCAAATATGGCATTATGGTTTACCTCATCATTTGGCCTAGAGTTAGACACTCTTAAAGTCAGAGAGCATGAAACTGGACAGGTTCACATTGTGAACTTCCAACAAGAAAATTTTATTCAGGAACCAGCATCCAATGATGAATCTGGTAGGGCATCAACTTTCAGCACTTTGCCAGAAGGAGAACAGAACAAAATTGAGCAAATCCTATTTCTGCTTGACAAGTTCTGTGTGGGAGATAATTTTTATCATGAGTTGTCAATGATGGTCGATGGACTTCCAAGGTCATATTTGGTAAAGCAATGCCGCCAAGATTTGAACAACATGTGTCACTTAGAAGGATTGAAGGGCAAGTTTCCTGGAGCCAAAGTGAGCTCTGTGGAAAATCTACTAGCAGATCACATTTCAGCCTATATAAAGAAAAATCCTGGTTTTTGTGCAGAGACTGATTCAATTCAAATTAAAATCAGTGGTGATGGAGCAAAAATGACCAATAATTCTAATTTTATTTTATTATCATTTGCCATGTTGCAAAGCGGTGAAAGTGTTATGTCAGCTAAGGGAAACAGAACAATTGGAATTGTAAATGGGAAGGAGGATTACAACACAATGAAGGAGTCTTTTGGGGATATAATAAATGAAATAAATAAACTTGTTGCTACTGGAAAAGTAATTGTAGATGATCAAAACATAGACATTGAATTCTTCTTGGGTGGGGACTATAAATTTATCCTAATGATGCTAGGACTGAAAGGTGCAACATCAAATTATGCCTGTGCTTGGTGTAAATTACACAAAGATGAGAGGTGGAGAATGGATCAACATTACACTCACTTTAACAAACCTGAATTGTCCAGGTCTTTGGAAGAAATGCATGCTATGTGCACAAAGTCAAAAGATAACTATTGTTGTAATCAGCCGCCATTGTTTAACATTGATCTTGACCATGTTGTACCAGATGAGCTGCACTTGCTACTTCGTGTGACGGATATTCTTACTGAAAACTTGGTGCTGGAGTGCATTGATTGGGACAAAGAGGAAGAGATTGACTGTCCAAGAGGTTCAGTTCGTAAAGTTCACCTGGAGAAGCTAATCCAGACAGTTAGATCTTGTGGTGTATCTTTTTGATGTGTGGGAAAAGAGGGATGCTGATGGGAAATCAAGTGGCCATCATGATTGGACCAGCTTGCTGGGGTCAGATAAGAAGCGTCTTCTGGAAGAGTTACCTCAAAAGATGGCTGGGATTTTGCGTCCAGAGACTGTTGATGACATTATAACAATATGGAAAGGTTTTGAAGAGCTATATAAGGTAATAACTAACTGGAGCCCAGATGAAAATCCAACAGAATTATGGATAATGGCTAAGGACTGGGTAAAATGTTTCCTTTCAATGAATGGTAAGAGGGAGGGCTATGAGAGAAAAAGGATAACCCCCTATATGCACATCATGGTACAGCACTTCCCAAGGTTTTTAGAGCTTTATGGGTCAGTGAAGATCTTTACAGGACAGGGGGTGGAAAAGAATAATGATGTTGCTCGGAATATAGTTTTGCGAAAGTCAAACAAATGGGACTCGGCATGCGATGTACTTCGACATGAGAAAAGGCAATGGGAACTGCAGGATTGTGAAAGGAAACCTAGAGCTTACACTCAAAGTAATGAGTTGTATTGGGAGAGTGGGATCAGAGAAAGCAGGCAAAAAAGAAAACGAGTAAGTGCTAGTCAGCAATTAAATCAAGATGCTAACCTATCTAACCAGCCAAATGAGTGTGTGCCCAGTGTACATTCAGTTACTACCCATGACACCATCCCTACCAGTAGCGGCAGTGTGGATTACTCTAGATTAACAATTAAGGAATTAAGGCAAGAATTGAAAAGGCGTAATGCAAAAGGATATAGCAGAAAGAGTAAAGCAGAACTTATCAAACAATTAACTGAAATGTAAAAATAACTATATATAACAAACCATATATAAAACTTAAGAATAATAGTATATTTAATCTACTGTAGGAACTGTAACAGATTGTCGTACAAAATCAATTGATAATTTTTCAATTAACATCTGCCGACTTTCCTGAAGTGTTCCACTAGCCATGCTAAAACTTTTCGGTGACTTCTTTAAAAATGCCCTAACTTTAACAGGGTATTTTATTGCTACTCCATCACCAATCCTATCTAAAACTACATCCCAATTGTCTACAAATTCACATCTAATAAAATCGTTTTTTTCTAATAATAAATACTTGTTGTCCCTTGATTGTCTTCCCTTCCCATAAAATAAATATCTAAAAACATCATGCTCAAAATCTAAAATTAACTTGTTCCTGTTCTTTGACTTTAACTTTGTTGTCAGAGCCACCTGTAGAAAGTCGAGATTCCTACATAATCTCTCAGGTGGAATACATGGCTTGTTATAACTCCTGAAAAAGAAAATATCAAGTACACATTTAAGAATTTAATGTAGTGTACATGTTTCCAATTTGACAATTGTTAAAAAGCTTTGCATTATCAGTTATGCATCATCAATTGCAGCACATCAACTCATTCAAATATGCAGAGAGTGCACAAACATTGATAAGAAACATTACACTTTATAATGTACTGAATTTAATAATACTTAGTCACAAAATACCTTATGAGATCAGCAGTTAAATTATCTTCCTCTTCCCATGTATTTTGGAAGGCACTATATCCTTTCCATTTTACCAAGTATTCCGTCTGTGAAAGAAATAATAAAAAAATGTTATTCAACGGGATTTAGAATCAGCTGCCGCTGTAAAATACTATTAAATACACGATTTCAAATGCATGTATATAAAATATAAATTCATTAACATTTCCTACCGTATTTCGCACTCTCCTCTTTGAAACCAATCTCTCTACTGGATAAAACTCACGAGAAGCATTCCTTTTCCTTGATTTGAGAGATTTAGAGCCTCCCCAAAGTAAATCTCCCGAAGATGCATTGTGCATTTGAACGTAAAATCCCTCGTTATTTGCATATTCGCGCAAGCCACCCGCCATCTTTATGAATATTAATTAGAAAGACATGACGTATCTCAAAATCTCCGAGCCAACAAGCAAAACTGCTGAATTTATGAAACTGCGCGCCAGACCGCTGACTGTCACGAATTTCTGGCCATGTCTCTGTGTTTTCGTAAGAACACAGCGGCGGCACGCTTATATCTTTTGCTGTCGCGTACCAACAACTGGGATACCTGCAGATATCTCGCAGTGAAATTTGTAATTCCCATTGCGTTTAACGCGACGGGTTCTTATAATGCATGCATGACCTTATTTAACAAGCTCTGACGGACGAACACAGGCGAGAATTTGCTGAAATGACACTTGCGCGCGTCATCATATCCGCGAACATCTAGCTTATCTGGGTTGTTTGGGTCATGTTGAAAAATAACTGCAAATTCTTTCTTACTTTACGAAACCGATTTACTGATAACTGAAGTGCGCGTGGGTAATCAGTTCATAATGTGAAGGTCGAAATGGGAAGATGTTAGTTTATATATTTATAAACAGTTGTTGAATACTGGTGGTTGTAATGAAGAACTGTATTGCTTTCCTTTTGAGTTCAAACGTTGTTTTATATGAAATCTAAAGGAAGATGTGCGTAACATCTATTCCCCGTCTCATATGTAGACAGCACACACTTTTGCGTTTCATCTTTTGTAACTATATAATATAAGCACATGCAACCACAGTTATTAATCCAAGTAGCTAATATCTTGCCATGTGCTTCGTCGATGGCCGATAACAATATGTTTCACGAACATATATATCCTTCGACGAACTTTTGTATCTTCGGGATAAAATTTTCGTGGGAAAATATGAAGTTTTTCCCTTCGAGAAAGAGCAATTTGGTATCGACATGTCATTTCTTTCCACTTACAAACACTTGCATGTGCTTTTGTTGACAAGAAAAGCATGCGTGGACCGCACTTAAATGAGACATAAAAACCTTTTAAAATTGTTTTTGCGCGGCAAAAAATTTTTTGGTTGTCATGCCGCCATTTTTTGTTTGTTTTGACAAATCGACGGCGGCGACAAGTCCTTTATAAAAGATTGTGTGTGTTCTGTATATGCTTTTGTAACGATTGAAAACGACTGAGTTTTTATAGTTTCGTAGAAACGGTGGGATTTCAGACAAAGTTTGGAGGAAAGAACAGAGTTTCGTTTGTTTACATGCAGCATCTTCCTATTGTATTGATCATATCTCGAGGCAAACATGGGGTCTCTTGACTTCCCGATAAAAATCTCTTAAAAACAAGTGCTAAATTTATTTTAATAACGTACATATGGAAAGTGATTTACGATAGTTCCATGCATGTGAATAAATTCTAACACGCCTCATACTGATGAACAAAATACCGTGCGAACATGAGTTATTGAAACTAACCCGGCAAAATCTGATCGAAAACAACTGTTTAGGTTTTACAGAATATATGTCATTATACTGAATATCCTTTTGCATTTGCGCGGCTACAACTTAATTGCAGTTGATTCCAGATATCATTGTTCAGTTGATTCCAGATATCATTTTTAAGAATTTCACCGTGTACACATTATATCGAGAATATTTTAGTCTGATTTATGTCCACCTCAAAAGAGGGTATTAGCTTAGCTATGTAAAATTGTTATTTACGTGCATGCATGGATTAACTATACAGGTTCCAATATTACGAATGATACTAGGGTCCAACATTACTTATAATTCGTACCTCAACTTTAAAAGGAGATCGACTCGTTGTAACTCGGTCTTGATAAATTTTGTGAAATCTCTTTCCAGTGCAGAGATCCTTTAAGGTTAGTTGGACTTTCAAATGTTAAAGCTCCCCGTATCTCCAAAAGCTGCTATAATCCCCGGCGAATATCTTGCTAGACTATTATATTATCTTTCTATAATTAAAATATTACCATTTTATTATTTTACATAATTATAAAGATTTATCGCTGTAAATGTTTCCCTCTCATCGTCTCGCGATGCAGGATTTCCCCGCGAATAACCCGTGTCCATTATTTCCCGGAATCTCGCTACATTTTCTACGCTACATAACCCGGAGCTTGGTAGAATATCATTGACATTGTTATGAGAATTGCGCCTGCGAATGTCCACATCGAAACGCGATCGAAGACGACGGCAATGATGTGCCACTGTTCCTTGACCAAATCAACTTTTTCTTTCGTTTGAAAGTTCGTAGAAATAATTTCAAGTTTTTCCAAAATTTTCAAGACAACTGATTCATCATCGTTTGTGGTTCTGTTCATGGGAATCGAGTCTTTGTTCCCGCCAGGGTAGTTATGTGCATGACCGTTCTGATATTCATAACCTTTTCGAAAACCATTGCAATTGTCATGGTGCGAAATGTGTACATGACTGGATATATCAGGATGTTGAGGGATACCCACGCGATGATCATAATTCTTCATCAACTTCTCCACTGCTGTCTCATTTGCGGTTCCGTTGCCATGGAACTCGTTCCCTTCGTTTTTCTCCCCAGTCTCCTCCTGTCGAAATTTAACAATCATCTTTCCCAAGAACCCTCTTTTCTGAGTCAACTTTTTATAGCTTTGCTCCTCCTTTTCCTGCTTTAACAGAGCCTTGGATTTCTTGACTCCAAAGAAGTTTGCCAGGGTTCCTACCAGATGCCGCTTCATCCATGGTGGTACTTCGCTCGCAGTGGTGTGGTAGCATCTCAGGATGTAGCAGGTCACGATGAGAGCAAGGGCAATCTCGAACATGGCCGCCATGTAGAATTTTGCGATGAGAGGAATGACTTCTGATGTCGGTGGGATTGTTTCAGTGACCAATAACATGAAGACGGTCATCGCCAGGAGAATTGTGATGGATAAAGATATTCTTTCTCCTGTGAAGGAAAGGAAACTTGTGTTAATTTGAGGTTGGTTGGATCTGAAAGAGCATAGTAGGAGTTGAAACAGTTTTGGATTATCTTTTGAACGTTACTGGAACAAGATTGAGGCGGCGTGATTGGAACGTGATTGGAACATGATTGGGATATGATTTGGAAGAAACAGTGCCTGATTGTATTAGCCATAAATGGTGCATGATTAAAGAGCATTGATTGGGATGGGAGCATTGATAAATTGAATGTGACTGGGATATGATTGGAACATGATTTGGAAATGATTGAAACGTGATTGAGACATGATTGGGACATGATTGGGACATGATTGAAATATGATTTGGGCATGATTTGGACATAAATTAAAGTGATTACTGGGACAATTTAATGTGATTTAGACAAGATCAAAGCATGGATATAATTAGAGCATTCTGACAGACGAACCTGATTCTGGTGGTAGTGTAAATACGAACGTAATCAATACAGATATAACGACCAGGGGGAGAATCAAATTTGTCAAATAGAACAACGTTCTTCGTTGAATATTCACAATAAATGTTACATCTGGATACGGTTCTGGGCAACAGAAATAATGCAAGATGTTTCTTTTAACTGGAGATGATGCCAAATGCCATTCGGCTGAAGCAATATACATTCCTAAATCGATAGTTGCGCTTTCGTTCTGAACATCCAGTCTGTAACCGTCGTAGGTCCACGATCCAAATTTCAGTATGCAACTCTGGGAATCGAAGGGAAAAAACTCCACGTTGATCTTACACTTTGTCCTCAACATCACAGGCGATAACCAGGTGTTGAGTCCTTTGTCGTTTATTTGAACTCTCGTTGAGAGGCGGTCCAAGTAACCTCTGAAGTCCACATCTTCATCAGCACTTCAGGGTTAAAAATGAAAGAAGAATGAGAGTATAATGATAAACGAATCTTTTTAAATGAATAAAACGAATCTTTATACACATCGTTTGTCTGTTAATACTATATCAGAAACATGGGCCGTTTTTATTATTACAAAACAATTAAGATTCTGTGGCCATTTACTCGATAAAGGATCATAGCTAGGGGTTGAAGAGTCTTAATTTCGAGTGGGAATCATACTCAAGTTCAAATTGAAGCCAGGAATAGTTGTGACTTGTGAAAGATGTGTGAACTACCTTTCCTCTGGCATAAATCGAAGCTACGTCTTTGCGATTGCAGTGCAATGCTCTTGAGGTAAGAGTTACACCATGGAAATGTTCTCTGCTCATGTGTACTTACTTGTTATAAAGGACAATATCAGGAATCCAGATCTTTTTACTTGGAACGTTGATAGTTGACAGGTTACCATACTTCGTTTTATCCCATCGTAAATAAGGATTATACCATTTCTGGGGAACATGATAATAAATGCGCTTTTTAGACCTACAAATGGCCTCTCTATCGAACTAAATGCTGAACTAGGAAAATTTTAATATTTCTTTTTCCCACTCTCTTTCCATGCACTAAGTTTGGAATGCTCTTTCCACCTGTACTGATGGATTTTCCTAGTTTAGATTTTACTTTAATAAGAAATGGTCCATTAAACTAACTAGCTAGCTAGTTCTGACTTGGAGCGAGTGAACGCACTGATGACGGGTACTTCAGTCGTCTTTTACGTTATTTTATTTGCACTGTGAACTCACCTGTCGAGCCCAAACACTTGTGGTCATTATTTGGTTTTTTTCATCCTGCAAAAAAAAAGAATTTAGATAGTTGAAGCGATACATCCTTAGGCCTTGTTTTCATATGTCGTAATTCATCGTCGTTCTACGATCTATTGTCGGTGTCAGTCGGTGATCAATGAAGTATATAATTTCCTTCGATACACAAAAAAATTTATGCATCACTGACCACCGACAAATAGCCATCGTCGATGAGTTAGCGTATAACGTAATTAATTCATCGGGGATGTTCCCCCGATCCATTGTCGATGATCAAGGAGGCTGAAATTAATTTCTTCCGAAGGGTAAAGTAACTTATCAATGACCACCGCTGTTAACTTTGCCATTCAAAATCCGGCTCTAGCGGCAATCATCCTATTGGTGTTATCACCCTTTAGTTCTGCTTTCTATCATTTGAATGAAAAAGGTGTATGATAATCGCCCTCTTTCCCTGAGGTCTGGTCTGGATTACCCTAAGCTTGGCATATACGTTATACTCACAACGTCCATAATCTGGTGGAGTGACAATCCCATTGTCACAGTAACAGTGTCGCTGTCGTTCAACACTGGTCTCATGTCCTTGTCATAGTCTTTGAATAAGTGATCCAACAGCTCCTTTTCAAAACAACTGCAATCTGAAACTGCAAAAGAAGACAGAAGCTTTTACAAATTCATTCGTTTTTCATTCGTTTGCCTGTTTTTCCATAAGCGCAGAGACAGCTTGGTTGGCCGGATACATTTGAGTGAAACTAACCAATCTTCGCCTGTTTTGTCAAACTGCCATCAAACTATAAATATTTAACCAATTATTACTCGGCAGTACAAGTCGTACGCAGTCTTGTATTTCCGTTTCTCCCACCACCCACTATCTACGCATTCGGTTAAAAAAACCCCAGCGTATTCAAGTCTATATATGTGCATGATAACATTACCAGTATAACATCATTACATACGCAAATATCACCAGCTATATACAGCCTCGTTACGTGCGTCATTATAACGAGAAATATATACACGTCAATAAATTCTTGTGCCCTAATCTTTACGTCATGATTGCATGTGTATGTGTGCGTGGAATACAGTGAGATAAACTGGGCTGGGAATTTCTCTCGATGCTAAAAAAGGAGAGATTATTTCTATGAATATAATGGTTTACACGATCAGGCCCGTGGTGTATTTTATCTTCGCGTTACAATACTCCGAACTGATGATATGGCTTGACTTTCTTATAACTATGAGTAATATACTTTCTCAGGAGAATACTTAAATTGTATCTCGTCAAATGTAGTTTTTCGTCCGTCTTTATCTGTACATTTTCGTCGTTTCCAGCTAACCCGAATGCTCGCTACGATTCGTACAGCAACAACGGTTGTAAACAAACAACAAAACCCAACTGTTTGTATGATATTCGACCTAACGCGTTCCACATATTGACACCATCTTTTGCTGGCATCGAGGTCAAACTTCATCCATCATACAGAACATTTTCTGTACAACCAATGCAAGGTCAATTAGGCTTATTATTCTAGAACTCGAACTGTCGAACATCGGTGTTATTGAAGTTCATGAGAAATTTTTGCGCTCATATCATAAAATGGCTTTTTCGAATCAATCTTCGGCGTGGGGCTCGCGGAATCTTTTCAACAGGGATATCTAACAAAAACTTCAAAACGAAATCTTCGAAATTCAGTTGATTGAACAATCGAATACGTGTTTATTATGTACATGTAGCTCTTCTTCATCGAATGATAACGTTATTGTACGAACCATCGTTGGTTTTTTGAAATCCTCAAAGCGAACTTTTTGCATTGAAATGCTCTGATGCTGCAATACATATGCACAGAATGCGCTAAATGCCGCGTGATATATCCTAATTTACCAATTAGAAGACGACCTATGTATCCGCACAGAACAAATATACCGTTACCTATTTAGCATAAACTGCGCTTACCTGTCTTGAGAAGTATAAACAATAGTAAGTGGAAATGTGACTCGGCCATTTTGGAAGGATTCTCGTCTTTTAGTTAAACTCTGAGTATTTCGTGTGTTTTGTGCAAGATCTGCCTCAACAACTGTTATAAATGGACCAACCCACACCTGTGCACTGTCAAAATTAGCTTCTTATCAGTTGGCGTTCCCTCATGACGACTTCTGTCTTTTTTCCGACCGCCTTGGGGTGTCGATAGACGACCTATTTTGCAGTATTTTTTTGTGATTTTGCACACGCTTTGCTCTTAGGAAGGCTTTCTTGCAATTATGTAATAGTATGGTACAAGTAGCCGAGGCGCATCGAAATTCGTTTAGATAACTTAGTGGAATATGATATTATTATAACGATTGCGTATGCGAAATGTGTTTGCAATTTGTAGAATATGTGGTGAAAATCAGGGAAAATATGCGTGGGTTTTGTTCTTTTGTTGTTCTATAAGGCTCTGTTCCACATTTGATGGAAAGATTTATTGATTTCCGATGCTATTATGGAATAAAAAAATCTAACCTGATGTAATACACGTCAGAATGATTGCGGTATGTTTCCATAGCGACCATGCCATCTTCATGCTGATTGGACAATCGAGTCTCGTTATTTTACCTGGAAAAGATTTGGTAAATAATGAATTTCTCATCGGACAATATAGCCTCCATTCGTCCCAAATCTGCTGGTGAATAACTGTTAGATACCCTGATTTAACATGGCTCATTATGTTGTGTTCAAATCGTCCAAACTAAACTATTTTACAGAGTACATAGGGAAATATATAGTTACTTTCTAGTTAATCTAAATAAAAAACAACGGAAAGGCTTAGTTAAAAATTTATCTGACTCTGTTTATGCGTCTGACCGTCTTCCGCTTCGCTAAAATCGGCTGTTGCAATTTGTACTTAAAAAATTGATTTCCAATGAATGTTACTCAATTACTATAAAATTTTTTACCTTAGATTAAAGCTTCGGTTAATGAAGAGTACTTTTTGAAATGCTTCAATTGCTCTTCACAGAGAATTTAAGTCAAGATGTTCTTTCTTATATTTATAAGTATGTATAAGCGGTTTAAATGCATAAGCTTGTTCAAGCACACACGAGGCTATACTTTAATATCAACCGCACAGCACCAAATGTGCGTGAATTATGACATATCTTGAATGATGATAGATATTAGAGCTCTGAGTTATATTTCCTTAATCTCCTAAACCACTTCATTTACTGATGGTGGAGATAAGATAAAATTGAATTTGAAACAGCGAGAAACATAAACAATAGTAATTGAACATTAAACTTTTTTGTCGATTCTTTATGTACACTGGTGTATGTATGCATGAGAGATCCCACAGACATTACAGACCGCGTTAACAGTAGAACCGCAAAGAACAAAATCACACGCAATGGAACATAAAATGATAGCACTCTCCCCCACCCCCCCTGTTAGGTTATACGAGTAATAATATTTCGAGCCATGCAGCTGACATCACGCATGATATCTGCATGTAAACATTTTCAAATGGAGATTTTATCTGTTCAATTTTGTTCATTGATCAGTTTCCTATAATGAAAAAGATTGCTTGAACTATGAGAGATAGAAGAAGTCATTTCATTCTTTCAATTACGACATACATTATTTACATCTTCATTGCAAAATTTGAATAGATCAAGATGAAACTTATATATACTGTAGTTGCACGTCTATACAAGTTTGCCAACCTATATATAGGCTTTTTCGAGGGCTTTTTGCTCAACTTTTACTGTCCTACGTTGCTTAGTTATACATTTAAGATTGTAGGAAAGATAGTTGTCCTTCGTATAAGCGAAGCTGTATTTAACATTATAGACTTGTTACGAAGTTCATGGCGTTGACTTCAAATGTAGAACTATCCGTTCATTATGCAAACAAGTTTCGCGTCACTGAAATCAGTCTATGCATGATTACAGCGTCTATCGCGAAGCCAGGCAGATGTTACAAGCGTAAAAAATTCCGATATAGAATATACTTGTATATCATATTAGGCATGCATTTTGAAACTCACGAGGTGATTACATTTCCAACAACATCGGTGTTTCTTTTCAGGGTGCATGTTAGGATAAGTAGAATTTTAAGACGTGTTAAATTTGATGAATATAGAATTAGAACTTTTTCATGAGGCAATAGGATTGCCTTTCCTCTCATAGGGAAAGATCCGGGCTGCATGTGATCTGAAAGTTTTTAAAAAGCTTTAATCATATCGCCCATGGATCGGCGTCTGGTTTTATGCTGCATGGGCTGTTTACATCCAGCATTAGCAAAGTTTAGACGAAATATGACATGGAGCATTCAATATTCTAAATAGCATGTGCACAATCATTCAGTTTCATGAAGTATTAAAAACCGAAGTCATTCAAAATCATTTCATGCATGCTTAATTTTGGCTTAATAATCTCAGGTATAACTATAGGAGTATATGCATGCATGCATGTGAAACAGCCTCTAATATTTACCGTATACAACTTGAATGCCGGACAACACGACCAACATTTCTAGTACAAAACATTAGCTCTGTATAAACATTTCAATCTCATTCGAAATGTTTATACACAACATACCTGGCCCGCTAAAGTTGCACTACAAAACCTGTGGTCAAAACATGTCACTATTATATGTATTCCCGGGTTAAACACAATGTCCCAACCAGAAATGATGACTTTAAAAGCCCATAACCGAAGACAAAATAATACAGTCCTTATCTGTATCCTGTTGTATATTTATATATATACAAATATACGTCAGTTATTACTCTATAACTTTACGATTTAAAAAGCTGAAGTTATACCTTGTCAGTTATACGACATCTTGACAGGTATAATCGACGTCAGTTTCATCAATAATTGAAATATAAACGTTTTTCAATATATACGCAAGGCACGGTGAAGATTGCGCTTCTATATTATGTTGAACTTTTTCATCTACACCTCCGTTTTTTTAAAAGAAAACACCGAAGCCCAGGCCGAATCATTATAACAGGTATACGCCAGCCATACGGGGCTCCAGTGAAATAAAGCGAATGTATAATGTTGAATCACAAAATCCTTTTTTTAATACATTCTAGATCTATTGACTGGGAAGTCTGAAATTTTCTTTGTTAATAAAATGCAAATTGATGAATAAAGTTGACAAAGATTCATACACACACACTTATATATATTCAAGCATCTACTGATAAAATTACTTGAAAAAAACTGAAAACAGCTGTCGTTATGCATGTTTTATCGCCAAGCGAATTAAAATGGAACTGTTATACTTATATAGGAAACTTTGTACATGAGACATTATTATAATCTTAAGCTTAAATGGTATATCATACCTTAAGTGTTTGTACACGAGCCTCGATCTATTTCGTTTCGAGTGATTGGGATTTTATTTTTTTTCAATGTTTTTGTTGACCCCGACTGGATTTTTCCACTCAATTATTCTCTAAAGCATCCCAGCCAATGGTTGAAATAAACACTGTCTCCTCATGTAGTTTCATTTATGAACTCCCACTGATTTTCTAATTCAAAAATACACAGCAGCTTTATATTAAAATAGAGTTTATATTTGTTTTGTAATCCTGTCGGTAAAGATCAATTCGCCTCGCACATGACTAGTATAGACGTTTCTCAACGATAACATCTGGCCCCCCTGTTTGGACGTCCCAGAAGTACGCATGCGCGTCTTACGATTATACAATTGATCTCCAGATTCATTTTAAACTCGTCCACGCATGGCCATGTGGGAATTAGCGCATTAGAGACTATATATAGCTGAAATACCGAAAAGATCATATGTGCATTCGTTCATCTATATGTGTGCCTTATACATGCAGGCTTTTTGTATTTTATGAAAGATATGCTTGATGCATCTCAGAAATTGACGTAGTCCACATCTCTGTTAATTATATCAGCTAAGACATCTTAAAAATAGATATGAAAATGACGACAGTCACTATAGTGCTAAAGTACTTTTTTATAATTTAGCCCATCGCAAAAACCCACTCGCAATCTCGCTATGCGTGCTTGTAATTAAACTTTACCTAAAAGCATCAGTTTCATTGGATGAAACCCCTCGAGGCGAGCTTTTGGGATTTTGCCCGTTGCGATGAGGGGAAAAAAGCCTTAGTTCTTTCATAGAGGAATTATGCGCACACGGTAGCAATTCAATCGAGTGTTTTGCATGTTCGTTTTCATGCCAAACTGACAGTTTTAAACATAATTTATACAATAGAAGTTAAAGCTAATTTAACTGACATATTGAGCATATTTTCCCTTGGACCGTGTGGACAAGGCGTCAAAACGATAAAATAGACAAAAACAATTTTGAAAACGCTCGAAAACGACGCTCGTTCATCCCGAAAACTTACACAGTCATACGCGTACTTTGCCTATTTACCGCCATAATTACGAGCTACGTAAAGATTACGTCACTGTGTCTGTGAGAGAGCAAATAAGTGATTTAGGTCCGCTTCGATTCATTAAGTTTAATAGCTGAAGAGACGAAATATGTCTCGCAAAATCCACGTCAGTGAACTGATTAATTTCTCAAAATACCCGCGCGCACATGCATACATGAATAATGATCTGTATCAACATGTGTTAAGCTTTTGAAAATCAATTTCCAGCGATAAGAATCTAAGATTTTCATTTTGAGATGCCCTCAGGAAATTGCCAGAGCAGTTTTCATTATCTTATTACGTGCGTGCATGCTACAAACAAACAACATTCGCGTATATAATTATATATAGTGTGTATATATATATATATATATATATATATATACAATCTCTAAGTTTTGTATTAGCTGCATGCATACATGCATGTGCTAGTCAATATACATGTAGGATTCTTAGAGGAAAGCATTCAGTCATGTTATGTTACTTACTAATCTTCCTAACATATTCAAAAGCCTATGATTTCTGTCGAAGAAGTAGCTCAATATAGTGGCAATTATTTCGACTTACCAGAAAGTATAATGTTAATTGATTTTATACATTATACGTTATGCATTATAGGCTAGTGAAAAAAACTCGGCAGTCTATAATACAGTGAGGATTTCTGATGAGAATTTCCGCATAAAGTTTGCACGTTATTATTATGAAAAATGGCAATATTATATATATTATAAAACAATTCAGCTCATGCATATACGAAATATAACCCAGCAGTTTACCCATAAGATCTGCATGCATGAGAACGATAAATGAACAATATTGCATGCCTTTTTTTGTTGTTTTTTTTCTCAAAAGGCGTTAACTATATTACTTTATAAACGCTTCAGAATATAATCCATAAACACGCAGCATTGCACGTGCGTGGCTATATATATATACATATGGATATTTCTGCATGCATGCATGTTATTAATATTTTTTGCATGCGGTTGGTGGCTATTCTTGGTAAGAGGCAACTTTCAAGGGCGCAATGTTTCATTTTTAACCGTGCATCGGTAAACATGATCGACCTCTAACCAAATCAATTAATTCATCATCCACAGAGTTTTTGTTCAAAGCCAATTATGCAATGATATTTCTAAACTATAAGTTTGACACAAACCGCAAATGCAGCTCTCCTGCAGAGTTACGATGGATTTTGGCAGAGCTAAACTGGCTTCGATAACACTTTCAACTCCGCCCGGCCACATGTTAAGATAAACGATTTTATGCATTTATTCCATTCAGACTGAGCAAAATGACACAACAATTCCCTCTGAATAATGCATTGCCTATATATGCATGTAGCTGCATAGAATGAAATGGCTTCGATAAAAAAGGCAATGGTATAATTTTTATTGAATGAAAGTTTTTTTTATATATTGCCGCCAGACACCATTCAGTAACAGTTACGATATATCTCTGAGTGCATGGGCATCTATATAATGGTCTGCTTCCCGAGACATTATGTCTTCGAAGTTTCGAAGACATTATGTTTCGAGACCATCAAGTTTTGAAATTCAAAACAGCGACATAGTCGAAGATTAATTTGCATCAGTATTTTTGACTTCCACATGCACCCCTATAGATATGAAAGATTTATCAAAAAGGGGGCTCCGTATATACGCGTACACACGAAAAACCAGTCATGATAAATATCAGCGGAGATTGCCGATGAACATCGTATTAGAGAGATAAACTTGAATTCACTGACTGTTTCCTGAATTCCTTTTCAATAATTAATAGCCCGTCTCAAGTGCATGGCGTGCCAGTTAAGACGAAAATACCCAACATAAATGTTTAAGGCTGAAACATCTCACGTTTGTGATGTTTAAAAATGAGACATTTTGTCCTTTAAAGTTGCCTTTTAGCAAGAATAACAGCCTACCGCATGCAGAAATTGAGAAATATCCATATATATACCGATGCCCACTGTTGCGTGTTTACGATTATATTCATACTCAAGGGTTTGTAAAGTAATGTACTCAATGACTTTCGGGAAAAAACCCCAACATAAATGGTTATAGGGAAACATAATGAGTTCAAGATTGCGACATCTTATACGCTGAAAATTTATGATGACGGCTGCTCTAGGTGAATTGTGATCTTTAATTTCGAAACCAACAACTCGACGAAACGATAAAATTTTATATGAGAATAGAATTTCAAGTGCCGTGCTGGCCCGTAAAAAAATATCACTATTATTGTATTTCTCTATAGTCAGACGGGAAATCAATCTGTGATGAGTGGTTATAGGATGGATAAAGATCTGTTTACAATAGATCTCATTCTGTCGGATCCATTTCATTCCTGACGTATGGAATGTAGTCTGTTATAGATAAAGTAGACTAAATGCCCTTGTTGATTTGCTGCCATATACAATGCAAGTCAACAGACTATAAAACATCCTTCAAAAGCGAGTCAAATCCGACAAAATTGGATCGTTTGTGCAGACCGTATAAACGATTACATGCAAGCTTAATTAATTTTCTACACACAAGGTTTAATGCCGTCATGTCATTTTTTATAGCGTTGAACATCCTCTTATATATCTTCGATAAGTAACTACTTATTTGTTTTACCAATTAACCATATGCATGTATACAAAAATAACTAAAAACTTTGTTTAGAAAACAAATATCTTAAAGCTATCTCTATATAATATAGTTATAACTTTCGGATATATTAGCCCCCTGCATGAATATGCTTTGTTTAATAGCAAATAAAAGTTGCCCCTCGACGCGTTTGAAAGATATATGCATTAAGTGTCTATATACACAGACCTGAATGCATAACGCTTTTTACTGCGTACCATTTCAGGTAATATTTTCCAGTGACATTACAAATGTTTTGCCATTTCACCGGCTTTTCCCTCGTTAAACGATTAATGAGATATCTGAACGCGACCGACCCATGCCGTGTTTACGGTTTGTTAATGCGAATGCTAGTGTTCTTCGATGAAATTGTCTTACACCGGTTTAGAATTGATCTGAGTCCGATGAAAATACAATCATTGTTCAATGTTTCCCGTGAGTGAAACACTTACTTTATTTTATTTATTTTTCGACTGTGCATCAATTGTTAACATAACACCTGAAGATTTTCATGCTATAAATATCATGACTTACGTTTTTTTCAAAACAAGCATCTTGTATATTCCTTCCCAGTGTACGAGACTTTCATTTTCTTGGCTAGTATCGAAGTACAGCGACGTCAAATGGTATAAAGGACTACCAAAAGCTGTCGTACAACCATTATGACACGTTTTGCATAACTCTTCCGACGCACTTTATAAAACTACTTAACTCTTCGCCACCCAAATGAATTCTCTGGTATAGAACAAAGTCTGAACTCCGACTATGGACGCTCTGGAATTATAACATGTTACGTGAATATGGAAATTGTGGTAAAGATTTTCGTATAGCCTTTTCTCTCTCCATTTGCCATTTGGCATGCATTTGAATTTAAGGAAATATATCTAAACCACTTGTGCTAAAAGTATGTTTCTCTTTATACTGCGATTATATGCGAACCGTAAAACGTGAGTCCAGTTTATCCATTGCTCACCCTGCGAGTTTTTTATCTCCTCAAATAAATGTTGTTGTTTTTATGTATTCGCTTATAAATGTTGCCACAAATTATTAATTAATGGCCCGTTATGCTAAATTGCATTGTGGGGTGGCTTTTGAAAAAAAATATTACGGCCTTGTTTCCATAGTTAGGTTTCGTCACTCCGCCTTTGTGCATGGTGCGATGAATAGACATAGACAATAAAATAGCATACAATCTTTGTATCTTTCTGTAAACCTAAGCCTTGCATGGGATATGTTTTGTAGCAATATGAAACAGGGTTGAAGTAGCGAACTTGGCCTGTCAGTGTTGAATTCATTCCACGCGATATTCCTATGTTTTTGTTTTGACAAGAGTATCTTCAGCGGCATTGAAATTAAGTTCACAGTCAATCTTTTTTCAGCTTATTCTTTCTAACGACATTGTTTTGTAAACGAAATTATCTATTGCCTTGAAAGATATCGCCTTTGGAATTCATCTTAGTTCTACAAGCCAAGTTGCCGTTTAAAAGCGAGTCATACAAAAAGATATTCAGCTTTGCCATTCTGTGATAGGGTTTTTTGAAAAACCCAAATCCCCAGTTAGCAAGTTTTTGACCTCGTTAACACATAAAAGTAATATCGTGTGGACAAGTTAGATAACTTGGCTATATTACATCGCGGTTATTTACTGCTGAACGAATAAATGGAAACCACAGGCTTAAAGAGTCTTATGTGCATATGCCACCGGTTAAATTGACTTTTAAGTGCTTTGGTCCGTCAATTTCGAGCATTTAAGATATATTAATATGTATATTGTATAGGTTTTTCATCAAATTTTTGCGTACGTGTGCGTATGACTTATCGTCCGGCTGTAGGCTATATTTATAAAATGAAGCTGATAAACACTTATTTTCTGTGTGGAAGTTTAAAGACCGCCACGATATTACCCAATATTTTATTATTTAAATTTACGTCGTCATAATTAGTTTTTTCTTTAGAAATTGATTGTTTTCACAGTCGTTAAACAGCAGAATATTAGCATAGCGAGGCTATACACTGGATTATGTAAAGCCTCCATTTCGAAGGCATTTGAAACCAGTTTAAATCGTAGAACGTTTGAATATTTCTCGATATAAATCGGGTTGATCTTACGTTCTAACGAACAAGACTTGTGAACAAAGGAAGAGTTTTAATATTATGACACTATATCACATGAACAAAAACTTGTCATGAAGCAGGCGAAAGGCGATCATAATGGTTGTTTATTGGTGTTCATATTCGAATACGTTTGGAATCAGTTTGCACTGAATGGATTCAAAGTCTATTATCGCCTTTTTATTATTGTTTAAACATCATACTTAAACCGAGATTTGTGGAAAACCTAACAATCAGTCAGAGAGAATGAAATGAGAACCAGATAAACAGGTGAGTTCTATTTTTCGTAAAATTTTCTAGTGTGCGGTCAACGAACGACAAGTTGTTCTGAAAGCAAGTAAAACACGCATGCGTGTCAGGACACAAACAATCGAGGGCTCTGAATGCGAGATTGCCTGTGGCCTTGTTACTCGTGTGTAAAAAATATTAAACATGTTTGATATCAGGCGAATGTGTCGCAAATGACAAAAATGATATGAGCCTGGAGTTAGTTGAGATTCGACAAAGCGTGAGATGATTTTGAGGTATTAAAATAAGTGCAGTTATATAGTTTAAAACAATATGCGCCAAGAAAGACACATACAGGGATATATAGGGATATATGGGGTTATATATGACTGGTCGATCTAATCCATATTCCTCAAGTCGTGGTAGTCTGATCTGGGCATGGCAATATTACCCCGGGAGGTCTTTCAGGTGTATCATAGGTTAAATCACTTTCCATTCTCCTTCCGGCCGAGTCAACTTGTGCGGTGTTTCCCAACTTTTCGTACGGAATAAAAACCTGTCTGACACGTTGCGTGACGTCATAAACATGGTGACCTTCCTCGTCAACATTCCCCTGCGCATTTCGTAGCCAATCAACAGCTAATGGTCGGAAAAGCTGTAGTCTATCATACCATGAGCCTCGCGAAGGTCCTGTATTGCCGTAATCTCCTTCGTCGTTTACAACACCACGCGAGTGGCCTGGGATCGGGTCTCCATCAGTTGTCAAGTTTTGATAATCAACACTAGTACCAGTCTTTGACGTGCTTGCCATTTCATTGCAAGGAACAATAGCCACACAGGGCGGTAGTTCGCCGTTTTCCTGATCTTGACCACGGATTTGTTCAGAGGAAAATTTCACAATGGCGTAAAACGGAACTCCTAAATAGTGAATTGAAATGAAGACACGGTATTTCTACGCACTGAACATTTATAAGTAGTTTGGTTTGGCGATGCTCAAACGATTCATGATGAAGTCATGAATAATCTCCACGCCAGGAATTATTATTAAAATATTGATATGAAGACTATACCGAAATTGTCACCTTAATCTCACCTGTTTTTCTACGTCGTTTGCGACGAATAAAAAGATAGCTTAGGATTATCACGACTATGACAAAGGTAGCAGCAACGATGAAACCAATCGTCTTGGTATGGGAGACAACTGGAATATATTGATAAGCAGGAATAATTATCGTTCAAACTCTATTTGATATCACATGATACTCAGCACCACATGTACGAACTTACCCTGGCAAGGTTTCTTCGCGCACATTCGATTTTCATTATCCACTCCCTGCTTACTGCAGTTTCCACCATATTTTCCCGGGGGGTTATCACAGTTTCGTACCCAAATTTCAACACCCTGACCACACGTGGCACTACATGGCGACAATCTTGTCCAATTGCCATAGTTACCATCGACTAAAAATAAAAAATTCACTTCTCCAATCCTTGCATGATATCCAACGATATCGCTATGTCCCTAGGGTGACTAATCTAGAATTGACAGAGCTATTCTGACCTCTAACAGTAACACTGGACCAGATTCTTCCTTTCTTGGAATTAGTCAAGCTTTGCAGTAAAAGGATAATCGTAATCTTAACAAACATGGCCTGTTCAATCTCACCTGGACATGGTTTTTTGTTACATTTTCGTAAATCGATTGACTTTCCAAGCTCACTGCAGTTATTTCCTCCGTATTTTGGTTGTGGATTATCACAAGTACGTCGCCATATTTCCATTCCTTCACCGCACGAAACATTGCATGGGACATCCAAACTCCAGCTGGTGTAACCACCGTCAACTAGATATATGAATAAGGAGATACCTAAATATCCCCATCCCTGCTTTACCTTCAATTCATGTACGTATACCTCATGTAAGCCAAATCGTTTCAAAAACCCTGTATCAAGATCTATTCCTATATTGATTAAAGAGATTGCTTACCAGGACATGGTTTTGTCTGACATGGTCTATACTCAATGGCATCTCCTAGTTGACTACAGTTTCTTCCACCAAACATCGGCTCATTGTCACAATCTCGTGTCCATCAACATTGTCACAATCTCGTGTCCATGTTTCAAAACCTTCACCACAAGTTACATTACACACACTGCTCAATGACCAGTTGCCATAATTTCCATGAACTAGTAAAACGTTTAAGTTTCTTTTTAGATGAATACGAGTGAAATTATATGTGAGAATATCTGAGAGTGTTTTTAGATGACTTGTCATTGTTAACGGGGCAGGATTCGCTTCAGTTCTTAGATAATTCAAGATTGTTTATGATTATCATACCTGGTGTACATTTAGGGATATCGCAGTACTCCCATCTCGTGTTCCTATCTGTAGTAAAACACCAAGGTCTTTGTCCTGAGTTCTTGGGATTACGACAGTAATTCTTGGCGTTATTTAATTCTGGATATGTGGTGTTCATGGTATGACGATGTGGACATTGCTCGGTCCATGACTGACAAGGAATACCTGAAGCTGTCACTGATATGTTGCCATTGTAACTGCTCCCGTCTAAGTATAGACAATCTACATGGAAATATATGGTCATTTAATCTCTAGCAAATTATGGCGGATATCTTTATAATGGGCACCACTGCCCAAACAGTCAAAAAAACTCTATCCGTTGTTTTGAAATTATTTTATACCTGCATTGGTTGTCCACTCCGGAGCTTGAATTCCAGCTAGAAGAGGCAAAGATATGTTATGAACATTTTTTAAACAAACAATCCAGACAGACATTCTTGTGTTTATTGTTTCATTCTCATATCTTACCTGGAGAATCTTCAAGATCAATATACCAGCATTCTGGGGAGTCCCCAGCATTTCTATAAGGCTGTAGTTTGCAATAAACAAGTTTTTTCCACTCCGGCTGTGGATGTTTAAGCATTATAAACTTAGCATAAACATCCCAAAATTTTCCCACAAATACGAATAACATTAAGACATGTTTTCCGACAAATCTTTTGTTTTTTATACTCGCTCTGCGTTCCGTCACAATTCGGGAAAAAATAATGACAAATTGATGGCATAAAAGCATGTAAACACTTTATGAACGTGTCGTTGTCCACGTTTAATATTCTGCTTAATTTAGGCAGGCCAAGCCCAACAAGTTGGTCGTACCACGCATTGCCGTCATTATTGTTATAGCTTTGTTCATCCGGTGTTTGGTATGTGTAGTCTGACAATGTGACTCCATGATTCTGACAAAAAGGTCGGGTAAAATTTACCAAAGGATAACATCCACTTGAGTTGAGCAATGGCTCAGCTTCAGCAGGATTACACGTCCTAAAATTAATAAACAAATCAAAACACCCTAAACCATAACCATACCTTTTAACGGGTAAATGCGTGTGAAGATTTTGTGAGAACGCTTCAAAGTCATCAGTGCAAAAACTATGATGAAATTATGAGTACAACAGCAGTACAACATGAGTACAACATGAGTACAACAGAATTACCATGCAACATTTTATTGTAGTGAATGATGTCATTTCATCAATCTCGGCGAATATATTCCAGGCAGGGATTACTCGTTTTCTATGAGGAAAGAAGATGAAAGAATATTCGCTCTTTACCTGTTTCCATGTTGGATATGTTGATCATCTATAAAAAAAACATGGTAAAGCTCTCCACGTATTCCGGGATGTCAATGGACTTGATAAATTACCACGGAAGTTACCTGTAATAATTGGTCGTGAAATCGTCGCTAAAATCAGTAGAACACAAGAAATATTCATGAAATTAACTATTCTCTTCGGATATTTTGCGCACAATCTCGTGCAGAGTGCCAATGTTTGTGACATATCTGCTCAAATGTGTTGGTTTGAAGGTTTTCCAATGACTAAACGTTAGATTATGATTCAGTTATTTGAAAAATGTTAACAGTTCTATTTTAAAAACATTCTCATCCTCAAGGTTACAACTTCCTCAAAGCAAATTATAAAAGATTTCTTTGAACAGCAATTAAAGAAAGTAGCCGAGCATGTTTAATTGAACGCGAACATTTCCTCATCAAATGGAGTGAAAGTTCTTGCTCAGCCAATACAATACAGAAATACAGAACTTATAAATAAGTTTTAACAAAGGCAATGACAATAATTCAGTATAAATGCAATTTCGTATGATAAAAATGTGAACGACCATGCATCAAAACTACACTCTGACGAAATTTAAATACTTCACTAAACACAATTATAAAGTTAGCAAAGGTTTGAAATAACTCCGAAATCGTTAAGCTTCATATTTATTTCTGTTGGAGCATGAAAGTGACTTTATTGATTATCGATATATGATATATAAACAATGCTTCAAACTAGTAAAAGAATTAGACTAAAATGGATACGCCATTATTGCAAGAAAACGCACAACTAAAGAGAAAAAGTAATTCGCTTGTTTTCTGAAAAAAATTTGTCCTTGTTATTCCTGAGACGAAATAAATTCCTTTTAGACTAGGAAGCAACGCTTTTCATTTCAATATTTCATGCAATTTCAGTCATTGGTGCAGTCTTCCCTTGACACTGAGCTATATATAACCACTGGTGGTCTTTCAGGTGTATCATAAGTTGAATCACTTGTCTCCATTCTTTTTGCCGAGTCGTCCTGCGCGGTGTTTCTCAACTTGTCGTAAGGAATAGAAACCTGTCTGACACGTTGCGTGACGTCATAGACATGGTGACCTTCCTCGTCAACATTCCCCCACGCATTTCGTAGCCAATCAATAGCTAATGGTCGGAAAAGCTGTAGTCTATCATACCACGAGCTTCGCGAAGATCCTGTATTGCCGTAATCTCCTTCGTCGTTTACAACACCACGCGAGTGGCCTGGGATCGGGTCTCCATCAGTTGTCAAGTTTTGATAAACAACACCAGTGCCAGTCTTTGACGTGCTCGCCCTTTCATTAGAAGGAACAAAAGCCACACAGGGAAGTAGTTCGGCGTTTTTATGAGGCTGATGTTGACCACGGATTTCTTCAGAAGAAAATTTCACAATGGCGTAAAACGGAACTCCTAAATAGTGAATTGAAATGAAGACACGGTATTGCTACACACTGAACATTTATAAGTAGTTTGGTTTGGCGATGCTCAAACGATTCATGATGAAGTCATGAATGATCACAAGGCCAGGAATTATTATTAAAATATTGATATGAAAACTATACCAAAATTGTCACCTTAATCTCACCTGTTTTTCCACGTCGTTTGCGACGAATGAAAAGATAGCTTAGGATTATCACGACTATGACAAAGGTAGTAGCAACGATGAAACCAATCGTCTTGGTGTGGGAGACAACTGGAATATATTGATAAGCAGAAATAATTATCAATCAAACTCTATTTGATATCACATGATACTCAGCACCACATGTATGTTCTTACCCTGGCAAGGTTTCTTCGCGCACAGTCGATTTTCATGATCCACTCCCTGCTTACTGCAGTTTCCACCGTATTTTCCCGGGGGGTTATCACAGTTTCGTGCCCAGATTTCAACACCCTGACCACACGTGACACTACATGGCGACAATCTTGTCCAGTTGCTATAGTTACCATCGACTAAAAGAAGAAATGTTCGTTGTGTCACTTTTGTGATCCTTACGTGATATCAAACGACCATGCCAACGATCAGCGTATCCTTAGAGATCAATCCAGAACTGACAGAGTTCTTCCGTACGAGAAATTAGTTAAATCTAGGTTTCCTTTTGGAATTTGTGGTAACTTTACACAGACTATTCAGTGAACGAAAGTTACTCTGAGCTTAGTTCGTTTAATCCATACCTGGACATGGTTTTTTTGTACATTTCTTTAAGTCGATTGACTTTCCAAGCTCACTGCAGTTATTTCCTTCGTATTTTGGTTCTGGATTATCACAAGTACGTCGCCATATTTCCATTCCTTCACCGCACGAAACATTGCATGGGACATCCAAACTCCAGCTGGTGTAACCACCGTTAACTAGATATATGAATAAGGAGTGCATGCAATTCATGTACTTGTACCTAATGTAAGCCAGATCGTTTCAAAAACACTGTATCATGAACTATTCCCATATTGATTAAAGAGATTGCTTACCAGGACATGGTGTTGCTTGACATGGTCTATACTCAATGGCTTCTCCTAGTAAACTACAGTTTCTTCCACCAAACTTTGGTCCAGGATTGTTACAATCTCGTGTCCATGTTTCAAAACCTTCACCACAAGTTACATTACACGCACTGCTCAGTGACCAGTTGCCATAATTACCATGGACTAGTGAAACATTGAAGTTTGTTCAAGAATGGAGTTATAGAGACTTTAATGAATACTTTCCTGTATGCTTATTTTCCTTGAAATTTTCCTAGATGACTTGACATTACTTTGATAACGGGGCAGGATTGACCTGGTTTATGATTATCATACCTGGTGTACATTTAGGGATATCGCAATACTCCCATCTTTTGTTCCTATCTGTAGTAAAACACCAAGGTCTTTGTCCTGAGTTCTTGGGATTACGACAGTAATTCTTGGCGTTATTTAATTCTGGGTAAGTGGTGTTCATGGTATGACGATGTGGACATTGTTCTGTCCATGACTGACAAGGAATACCTGAAGCTGTTACTGATATGTTCCCATGGTAACTGCTTCCGTTTAAGTATAGACAATCTACGTAGAAATATATGGCCACTTAATCTCTGTCTAATAACTTATAGCGGATATCTTTATACTGGGCACTGCCCAAACTGTCATAAAAACTCTATCAGTTGTTTTGAAATATTTTTATACCTGCTTTTGTTGTCCATTCTGGAGCTTCAATTGCAACTAGAAGAGGCAAAGATACGTTATGAGCATTTTTTACACACAAAATGCAGGCAGACATTCTTGTGTTTGTTGTCTCATTCTCATATTACCTGCAGAATCTTCAAGATCAGCATACCAGCATTCTGGGGAGTCACCAGCATTTCTATAAGGCTGTAGTTTGCAATAAACAAGTTTTTTCCACTCCGGCTGTGGATTATAACGTATTATAAACTTAGCATAAAAATCCCAAATTTTTCCACATATTCGAATAATATTAAGACATGTTCTCTGACAAATCTTTTGTTTTTTATACTCGCTCTGCGTTCCGTCACAATTCGGGAAAAAATAATGACAAGCGAATGGCACATAAGCATGTAAGCACTTTATTAACGTGTCATTGTCCACATTAAAGAACCTGCTTACTTTAGGAATGCCAAGCTTAACAACTCGGTCGTACAATCCATTGCCCTCATTATTTCTGTAGCTTTGTTCATCCGGCGTTTGGTATATGTAGTCTGACAATGTGACTCCATGATTCTGACAAAAAGGTCGGGTAAAATTTACCAAAGGATAACATCCACTTGAGTTGAGCAATGGCTCAGCTTCAGCAGGAATACACGTCCTAAAATAAATAAACATTTTGATCAAAACACCATGCTGAAACCATATCCATACCTTTAATCGGTTAATGCGTGTGAGAATTTTGTGGGAAAGCTTCAAAGTCATCAGTACAATAACTATGATGAAATTACGAATAAAACAGCAGTACAACATGAGTACAACAGCAATACAACGTCAGTACAACCGCAGTACAACATGAGTACAACAGAATTACCATGCAACATTTTACTGTAGTGAATGATGTCATTGCACCTATCTCGGCAATTATAAATACCAGGCAGGGATTACTCGGTTTTTGCGAGGAAAGAAGATAAAAGCATATTCGCTCTTTACCTGTTTCCATGTTGGATATGTTGATCATCTATAAAAAAACAAAGAAAAACATGGTAAAGCTCTCCACGTATTCCACGATATTAAATGACTTCATAAATTACCACGGATGTTACCTGCAATAATTGGTCGTGAAATCGTCGCTAAAATCAGTAGAATACAAGAAACATTCATGGAATTAACTATTCTCTTTGGAAATTTTGCACACAATCTCGTGCAGAGTTCTAATAGTTGTGACATATCTGCTCAAATGTCTTGGTTTGAAGGTTTTCCATTGACTAAACGTTAGATTATGATTGTTTGAAAAATGTAAACAGTTCTATTTTAAAAAAACATTCTCATCCTCAAGGTTACAACTTCCTGAAAGGAAATTATAAAAGATTTCTTTGAACAGCAATTAAATAAAGCAGCCGAGCATGTTTAATTGGCTGCGAACATTCCTCAGACATTACAGAACTTATAAAAAAAATTTTACCAAGACAATGACAATAATTCACAGTATAAATGCGATTTCGTATACTAAAAATATGAACGACCATGCCATCAAACGACACTGACGAAAATCGAATACTTCACTAAACGCAATTATAAAGTTAGAAAACGTTTGAAATAACTCCGAAATCGTTTGGCTTCATATTTTTTTTCGGTTAGAAAATGAAAGTGACTTTATTAATTATCGATATAGGATATATAAACAGTGCTTCAAGCTAGTAAAAGAATTAGACTAAAATGGATACGCCATTATTGCAAGATAACGCACAACTAAAGAGATAAAGTAGTTGCCTTCTTTTCTGATAACAATTTTTCCCTGTTATTCCTGAAACGAAATATATTCCTTTTAGACTAGGAAGCAACGTTTTTTATTTCAATATTTCATGCAATCTCAGTCGTTGGTGCAGTCTTCCCTTGACACTGAGCTATATATAACCACTGGTGGTCTTTCAGGTGTATCATAAGTTGAATCACTTGTCTCCATTGTTTTTGCCGAGTCGTCCTGCGCGGTGTTTCCCAACTTGTCGTACGGAATAAAAACCTGTCTGACACGTTGCGTGACGTCATAAACATGGTGACCTTCCTCGTCAACATTCCCCCACGCATTTCGTAGCCAATCAATAGCTAATGGTCCGAAAAGCTGTAGTCTATCATACCATGAGCTTCGCGAAGGTTCTGTATTGACGTAATCTCCTTCGTCGTTTACAACACCACGCGAGTGGCCTGGAATTGGGTCTCCATCAGTTGTCAAGTTTTGATAAACAACACCAGAACCAGTCTTTGACGTACTCGCCCTTTCATTAGAAGGAACAAAAGCCACACGGGGAAGTAGTTCGCCGTTTTCCTGAGGCTGATGATGACCACGGATTTCTTTAGAAGAAAATTTCACAATAGCGTGAAACGGTGTTTTTAAATAGTGAATTGAAATGAAGACACGGTATTGTTACACAAAAATGGAGAAAATTGATTAGTTTGGTTTGGCGATGCACAAACGATTCGTAATGAAGTCATGAATGATCTCCGCGCCAGGAACTATTATTAAAATATTGATATGAAGACAATACCGAAATTGTCACCTTAATCTCACCTGTTTTTCCACGTCGTTTGCGACGAACGAAAGATAAACTTAGGATTATCACGACTATGACAAAGGTAGCAGCAACGATGAAACCAATCGTCTTGGTGTGGGAGACAACTGGAATATATTGATAAGAAGAAATAATCATCATTCAAACTCTATTTGATATCACATGATACCCAGCAGCACACGTATGTTCTTACCCTGGCAAGGTTTTCTTCGCGCACATTCGATTTTCATGATCCACTCCCTGCTTACTGCAGTTTCCACCGTATTTCCCGGGGGGTTATCACAGTTTCGTGCCCAGATTTCAACACCCTGACCACACGTGACACTACATGGCGACAATCTTGTCCAGTTGCCATAGTTACCGTCGACTACAAGTAGAAATGTTCGTTGTGTCACTTTTGGGATCCTTAAGTGATATCAAACGACGAACTGTCAGCGTATCCATAGAGAGATCAATCCAGAACTGACAGAGTTCCTCCGTACGAGAAATTAGTTAAATCTATGTTTCCTTCTGGAATTTGTGGTAACACTAGTCAGACTATTCAGTGAACGAAAGTTACTGTAAGATTAGTTCGTCTAATCCATACCTGGACATGGTTTTTTTGTACATTTCTTTAAGTCGATTGACTTTCCAAGCTCACTGCAGTTATTTCCTCCGTATTTTGGTTCTGGATTATCACAAGTACGTCGCCATATTTCCATTCCTTCACCGCACGAAATTGCATGGGACATCCAAACTCCAGCTGGTGTAACCACCGTTAACTAGATATATGAATAAGGAGTCCATGCAATTCATGTACGTATACCTAATGTAAGCCAAATCGTTTCAAAAACACTGTATCATGAACTATTCCCATATTTATTAAAGAGATAGCTTACCAGGACATGGTGTTGCTTGACATGGTCTATACTCAATGGCTTCTCCTAGTTGACTACAGTTTCTTCCACCAAACTTTGGTCCAGGATTGTTACAATCTCGTGTCCATGTTTCAAAACCTCCACCACAAGTTACATTACACGCACTGCTCAATGACCAGTTGCCATAATTACCATGAACTAGTAAAACATTGAAGTTTGTTCAAAAATGGAGGGAAGAGACTTTAATGAATACTTTCCTGAATGCTTATTTTCCTTGAAATGTTCCTAGATGACTTGGCATTACTTTGATAACTGGGCAGGATTGACCTGGTTTATCATTATCATACCTGGTGTACATTTAGGGATATCACAGTACTCCCATCTCTTCTTCCTATGTGTAGTAAAACACCAAGGTCTTTGTCCTGAGTTCTTGGGATTACGACAGTAATTCTTCGCGTTATTTAATTCTGGATATGTGGCGTTCATGGTATGACGATGTGGACATTGTTCTGTCCATGACTGACAAGGAATACCTGAAACTGTCACTGATATGTTCCCATGATAACTGCTCCCGTTTAAGTATAAACAATCTACGTAGAAATATATGGCAATTTCATCTGTGTCTAATAATTTAAAGCGGATATTTTTACAGGGAACTGGCCAAACAGTCATAAAAACTCTATCAGTTGTTTTGAAATTCTTTCATACCTGTTTTGGTTGTCCATTCCGGAGCTTGAATTGTAACTAGAAGAGGCAAAGATATGTTATGAACATTTTTACACACCAAGTGAAAGCAGACATTTTTGTTTTTATCGTGTCATTCTCATATTACCTGGAGAATCTTCAAGATCAGCATACCAGCATTCTGGGGAGTCACCAGCATTTCTATAAGGCTGTAGTTTGCAATAAAGTAATTTTTTCACCTCCGCCTCTGGCTGTGGATTATTAAGCATTATAAGTTTAGCATAAAAATCCCAAATTTTTCCACATATACGAATAACATTAAGACATGTTTTCCGACAAATCTTTTGTTTTTTATACTCGCTCTGCGTTCTGTCACAATTGGGGAAATTATAATGACAAGCGAATGGCACAAAAGCACGTGAGCACTTTATCAACGTATCGTTGTCCACATTAAAGAAACTGCTTCCTTTAGGCACGCCAAGCCTGAGAAGTTGGTCGTATGCTTTATTGCCGTCATTATTGTGATAGCTTTGTTCATCCGGCGTTTGGTATGTGTAGTCTGACAATGTGACTCCATGATTCTGACAAAAAGGTCGGGTAAAATTTATCAAAGGATAACATCCACTTGAGTTGAGGAATGGTTCAGCTTCAGCAGGAATACACGCCCTAAAATAAATAAACATTTTGATCAAAACACCCTAAAATTATATCCATACTTTTAATGGATATAATATAAATGCATGTGAGGATTTGGTGGGAGAGCTTCAAAGTCTTCAGTACAATAACTATGGTGAAATTATGAGTACAACAGCAGTACAACAGCAGCACAACAGCTGTACAGCACCAGTATAACATCAGTATAACAGCAGTACAATATGGGTACACAACAGCAGTACAACAGCAGTACAACATGAGTACAACCCGAGTACAACAGCAGTATAACATGAATACAACAGCAGTACAAGAGCAATACAACAGCAGTGCAAGAGCAATAAAACAGCAGTACAACAGCAGTACAACAGCAGTACAACAGAATTAATGCAACATTTTACTGTAGTGAATGATGTTATTTCACCAATCTCGGCAAATATATACCAGGCAGGGATTAGTCGGTTTCTGCGAGGAAAGAAGTTGCAAGAATATTCGCTCTTTACCTGTTTCTATGTTGGATATGTTGATCATCTATAACAAAACAACAAAAAAAAAGTTTAAAACTCTCCACGTATTCCGCGATATTAAATGACTTCATAAATTACCACGGAAGTTACCTGCAATAATTGGTCGTGAAATCGTCGCTAAAATCAGTAGAATACAAGAAACATTCATGAAATTAACTATTCTCTTCGGAAATTTTGCACATAATCTCGTGCAGAGTTCCAATATTTGCGACATATCTGCTCAAATGTGTTGGTTTTCCAATGACTAAACGTTAGATTGTGATTATTTGAAAAACGTAAACAGTTCTATTTTAAAAACATTCTCATCCTCAAGGTTACAACTTCCTGAAAGGAAATTATAAAAGCTTTCTTTGAACAGCAATTAAAGAAAGCAGCCGAGCATGTTTAAATGGCTGCGAACATTCCTCAGACAATACAGAACTTATAATTATAAATAATTTAGCAAGACAATGACAATAATTCACAGTATAAATGCGATTTCGTATACTAAAAATATAACGACCATGCCATCAAACGACACTGACGAAAATCGCGAATACTTCACTAAACGCAATTATAAAGTTAGAAAACGTTTGAAATAACTCCGAAATCGTGGCTTCATATTTTTTTCGGTTAGAAAATGAAAGTGACTTTATTGATTATCGATATATGATATATAAACAGTGCTTCAAGCTAGTAAAAGAATTAGACTAAAATGGATACGCCATTATTGCAAGAAACGCACAACTAAAGAGAAAAGTAATTCGCCTTGTTTTCTGACAACAATTTTTCCTGTTATTCCTGAAACGAAATAAATCCCTTTTAGACTAGGAAGCAACGTTTTTTATTTCAATATTTCATGCAATTTCAGTCATTGGTGCAGTCTTCCCTTGACACTGAGCTATATATAACCACTGGTGGTCTTTCAGGTGTATCATAAGTTGAATCACTTGTCTCCATTCTTTTTGCCGAGTCGTCCTGCGCGGTGTTTCCAACTTGTCGTAAGGAATAAACCTGTCTGACACGTTGCGTGACGTCATAAACATGGTGACCTTCCTCGTCAACATTCCCCCACGCATTTCGTAGCCAATCAATAGCTAATGGTCCGAAAAGCTGTAGTCTATCATACCATGAGCTTCGCGAAGGTTCTGTATTGACGTAATCTCCTTCGTCGTTTACAACACCACGCGAGTGGCCTGGAATTGGGTCTCCATCAGTTGTCAAGTTTTGATAAACAACACCAGAACCAGTCTTTGACGTACTCGCCCTTTCATTAGAAGGAACAAAAGCCACACGGGGAAGTAGTTCGCCGTTTTCCTGAGGCTGATGATGACCACGGATTTCTTTAGAAGAAAATTTCACAATAGCGTGAAACGGTGTTTTTAAATAGTGAATTGAAATGAAGACACGGTATTGTTACACAAAAATGGAGAAAATTGATTAGTTTGGTTTGGCGATGCACAAACGATTCGTAATGAAGTCATGAATGATCTCCGCGCCAGGAACTATTATTAAAATATTGATATGAAGACAATACCGAAATTGTCACCTTAATCTCACCTGTTTTTCCACGTCGTTTGCGACGAACGAAAGATAAACTTAGGATTATCACGACTATGACAAAGGTAGCAGCAACGATGAAACCAATCGTCTTGGTGTGGGAGACAACTGGAATATATTGATAAGAAGAAATAATCATCATTCAAACTCTATTTGATATCACATGATACCCAGCAGCACACGTATGTTCTTACCCTGGCAAGGTTTCTTCGCGCACATTCGATTTTCATGATCCACTCCCTGCTTACTGCAGTTTCCACCGTATTTTCCCGGGGGGTTATCACAGTTTCGTGCCCAGATTTCAACACCCTGACCACACGTGACACTACATGGCGACAATCTTGTCCAGTTGCCATAGTTACCGTCGACTACAAGTAGAAATGTTCGTTGTGTCACTTTTGGGATCCTTAAGTGATATCAAACGACGAACTGTCAGCGTATCCATAGAGAGATCAATCCAGAACTGACAGAGTTCCTCCGTACGAGAAATTAGTTAAATCTATGTTTCCTTCTGGAATTTGTGGTAACACTAGTCAGACTATTCAGTGAACGAAAGTTACTGTAAGATTAGTTCGTCTAATCCATACCTGGACATGGTTTTTTTGTACATTTCTTTAAGTCGATTGACTTTCCAAGCTCACTGCAGTTATTTCCTCCGTATTTTGGTTCTGGATTATCACAAGTACGTCGCCATATTTCCATTCCTTCACCGCACGAAACATTGCATGGGACATCCAAACTCCAGCTGGTGTAACCACCGTTAACTAGATATATGAATAAGGAGTCCATGCAATTCATGTACGTATACCTAATGTAAGCCAAATCGTTTCAAAAACACTGTATCATGAACTATTCCCATATTTATTAAAGAGATAGCTTACCAGGACATGGTGTTGCTTGACATGGTCTATACTCAATGGCTTCTCCTAGTTGACTACAGTTTCTTCCACCAAACTTTGGTCCAGGATTGTTACAATCTCGTGTCCATGTTTCAAAACCTCCACCACAAGTTACATTACACGCACTGCTCAATGACCAGTTGCCATAATTACCATGAACTAGTAAAACATTGAAGTTTGTTCAAAAATGGAGGGAAGAGACTTTAATGAATACTTTCCTGAATGCTTATTTTCCTTGAAATGTTCCTAGATGACTTGGCATTACTTTGATAACTGGGCAGGATTGACCTGGTTTATCATTATCATACCTGGTGTACATTTAGGGATATCACAGTACTCCCATCTCTTCTTCCTATGTGTAGTAAAACACCAAGGTCTTTGTCCTGAGTTCTTGGGATTACGACAGTAATTCTTCGCGTTATTTAGTTCTGGATATGTGGTGTTCATGGTATGACGATGTGGACATTGTTCTGTCCATGACTGACAGGGAATACCTGAAGATGTTACTGATATGTTCCCATGATAACTGCTCCCGTTTAAGTATAAACAATCTACGTAGAAATATATGGCAATTTCATCTGTGTCTAATAATTTAAAGCGGATATTTTTACAGGGAACTGGCCAAACAGTCATAAAAACTCTATCAGTTGTTTTGAAATTCTTTCATACCTGTTTTGGTTGTCCATTCCGGAGCTTGAATTGTAACTAGAAGAGGCAAAGATATGTTATGAACATTTTTACACACCAAGTGAAAGCAGACATTTTTGTGTTTATTGTCTCATTCTCATATTACCTGGAGAATCTTCAAGATCAGCATACCAGCATTCTGGGGAGTCACCAGCATTTCTATAAGGCTGTAGTTTGCAATAAACAAATTTTTTTGACTCCGCCTCTGGCTGTGGATTATTTAGTATTATAAACTTAGCAAAAACATCCCAAATTTTTCCACATATACGAATACCGTTTAGGCATGTTTTCCGACAAATCTTTTGTTTTTTATACACGCTAAGCGTTCCGTCACAGTTCGGGAAATAATTATGACAAGCGAATGGCACAAAAGCACGTGAGCACTTTATCAACGTATCGTTGTCCACATTAAAGAAACTGCTTCCTTTAGGCACGCCAAGTCTGACAAGTTGGTCGTACCCTTTATTGCCGTCGTCATTGAAAAAGCTTTGATCGTCCGGCGTTAGGTAGGTGAAGTCTGGCAATGTGACTCCATGATTCTGACAAAAAGGTCGGGTAAAATTTACCAAAGGATAACATCCACTTGAGTTGAGCATTGGCTCAGCTTCAGCAGGAATACACGACCTAAAATAAATAAACATTTTGATCAAAACACCCTAAAATTATATCCATACTTTTAATGGATATAATATAAATGCATGTGAGGATTTGGTGGGAGAGCTTCAAAGTCTTCAGTACAATAACTATGGTGAAATTATGAGTACAACAGCAGTACAACAGCAGCACAACAGCTGTACAGCACCAGTATAACATCAGTATAACAGCAGTACAATATGGGTACACAACAGCAGTACAACAGCAGTACAACATGAGTACAACCCGAGTACAACAGCAGTATAACATGAATACAACAGCAGTACAAGAGCAATACAACAGCAGTGCAAGAGCAATAAAACAGCAGTACAACAGCAGTACAACAGCAGTACAACAGAATTAATGCAACATTTTACTGTAGTGAATGATGTTATTTCACCAATCTCGGCAAATATATACCAGGCAGGGATTAGTCGGTTTCTGCGAGGAAAGAAGATGAAAGAATATTCGCTCTTTACCTGTTTCCATGTTGAAGATGTTCATCATCTATAACAAAACAACAAAAAAAAAAGTTTAAAACTCTCCACGTATTCCGCGATATTAAATGACTTCATAAATTACCACGGAAGTTACCTGCAATAATTGGTCGTGAAATCGTCGCTAAAATCAGTAGAATACAAGAAACATTCATGAAATTAACTATTCTCTTCGGAAATTTTGCACATAATCTCGTGCAGAGTTCCAATATTTGCGACATATCTGCTCAAATGTGTTGGTTTTCCAATGACTACACGTTAGATTGTGATTATTTGAAAAACGTAAACAGTTCTATTTTAAAAACATTCTCATCCTCAAGGTTACAACTTCCTGAAAGGAAATTATAAAAGCTTTCTTTGAACAGCAATTAAAGAAAGCAGCCGAGCATGTTTAAATGGCTGCGAACATTCCTCAGACAATACAGAACTTATAATTATAAATAAATTTAGCAAGACAATGACAATAATTCACAGTATAAATGCGATTTCGTATACTAAAAATATAAACGACCATGCCATCAAACGACACTGACGAAAATCGCGAATACTTCACTAAACGCAATTATAAAGTTAGAAAACGTTTGAAATAACTCCGAAATCGTGAAGCTTCATATTTTTTTCGGTTAGAAAATGAAAGTGACTTTATTAATTATCGATATATGATATATAAACAGTGCTTCAAGCTAGTAAAAGAATTAGACTAAAATGGATAAGCCATTATTGCAAGAAAACGCACAACTAAAGAGAAAAAGTAATTCGCTTGTTTTCTGACAACAATTTTTCCTTGTTATTCCTGAAACGAAATAAATCCCTTTTAGACTAGGAAGCAACGTTTTTTATTTCAATATTTCATGCAATTTCAGTCATTGGTGCAGTCTTCCCTTGACACTGAGCTATATATAACCACTGGTGGTCTTTCAGGTGTATCATAAGTTGAATCACTTGTCTCCATTCTTTTTGCCGAGTCGTCCTGCGCGGTGTTTCTCAACTTGTCGTAAGGAATAGAAACCTGTCTGACACGTTGCGTGACGTCATAAACATGGTGACCTTCCTCGTCAACATTCCCCCACGCATTTCGTAGCCAATCAATAGCTAATGGTCGAAAAAGCTGTAATCTATCATACCATGAGCTTCGCGAAGGTCTTGTATTGACGTAATCTCCTTCGTCGTTTACAACACCACGCGAGTCGCCTGAGATCGGGTCTCCATCAGTTGTCAAGTTTTGATATTCAACATCAACATAAGCAGTCTCTTGTGGTACGTCGTTTTCCTGAGGCTGTTGTTCACGAGGAGAACGTTCCGAGACGAATTTTACAATGGCGTAGAAAGGGATGCCTAGATTATTGAAAATATGTCATTGTATAATTTCTTTGTGACACCAGAGCCGAGATCATTAAGAAGTGATTAGGTTTCGCGATGGACACGATCGCGTTAAAGTCGTTTTCGATAAATTCATGAACAATATTAATCTCCACGCGAGAAATATTCATCATACTGTTGGTAAAGTAGTGAAATGTTTGTACAAAGACTTTGATAGAATGAAGAGCTGAACTTCAACTAACCTCTTCTTCCACGTCGTTTACGATGAATGAACAGAAAACTCATGATTATCACGACGATCACAAAGGTTGCAGCAACGATTAAAAAAACTGTCTTGGTGTGGGAAACAACTAAAATATTGCACAAATGATCATTACCCTATAAAGTGACAAAAATTATTCGTTCTATCCAAATTCCATTTGATGATTCCACTACACGTGCGATCTTACCCTGGCAACGTTTCTTCACGCACAGTCGATTTTCATGATCAATTCCCTGCTTACTGCAGTTTCCACCGTATTTTCCCGGGGGGTTATCACAGTTTCGTACCCAAATTTCAACACCCTGACCACACGTGGTACTACATGGCGACAATCTTGTCCAGTTGCCATAGTTACCATCGACTAAAAATAAAAAATTCACTTCTCGAATCCTTGCATGATATCTAACGATATCGCTATGTCCCTAGGGTTACTAATCTAGAATTGACAGAGCTATTCTGACCTCTACAGTAACACTAGACCAGATTCTTCCTTCCCTGGAATTAGTCAAGCTTTGCAGTAAAAGGATAATCGTTATCTTAACAAAAATGGCTAGTTCAATCTCACCTGGACATGGTTTTTTGTTACATTTTCGTAAATCGATTGACTTTCCAACTTGACTGCAATTATTTCCTCCGTATTTTGGTTCTGGATTATAACAAATACGTCGCCATATTTCCATTCCTTCACCGCACGAAACATTGCATGGGACATCCAAACTCCAGCTGGTGTAACCACCGTTAACTAGATATATGAATAAGGAGATACCTAAATATCCCCATCCCTGCTTTACCTTCATTCATGTACGTATACCTCATGTAAGCCAAATCCTTTCAAAAACCCTGTATCAAGATCTATTCCTATATTGATTAAAGAGATTGCTTACCAGGACATGGTGTTGCTTGACATGGTCTGTACTCAATCGCTTCTCCTAGTTGACTACAGTTTCTTCCACCAAACTTTGGTCCAGGACTGTCACAATCTCGTGTCCATGTTTCAAAACCTTCACCACAAGTTACATTACACGCACTGCTCAATGACCAGTTGCCATAATTACCATGAACTAGTCAAACATTGAAGTTTCTTTTTAGATGAATACGAGTGAAAATATATGTGAGAATATCTGAGAATGCTTTTAGATTACTTGTCTTTGTTAACGGGGCAGGATTCGCTTCAGTTGTTAGATAATTCAAGATTGTTCATGATTATCATACCTGGTTTACATTTAGGGATATCGCAGTACTCCCATCTCTTCTTCCTATCTGTAGTAAAACACCAAGGTCTTTGTCCTGAGTTCTTGGGATTACGACAGTAATTCTTGGCGTTATTTAATTCTGAATATGTGGTGTTCATGGTATGACGATGTGGACATTGTTCTGTCCATGACTGACAAGGAATACCTGAGGCTGTCACTGATATGTTCCCATTGTAACTGCTTCCGTTTAAGTATAGACAATCTACGTAGAAATATATCGCAATTTAATCTCCTTTTAATAATTTATAGCGGATATCTTTATACTGGGCACTGCCCAAGCAGTCATAAAAACGCTACCGTTATTTTGAAGTTGTTTTATACCTGCTTTGGTTTTCCATTTCGGATCTTGAATTGTAACTAGAAGAGGCAAAGATATGTTATAAAAAATTTTTACACACAAAATGCAGGCAGACATTCTTGTGTTTTATGTCTTATTTTTCATATTACCTGGTGAATCTTCAAGATCAGCATACCAGCATTCTGGGGAGTCCCCAGCATTTCTATAAGGCTGTAGTTTGCAATAAACAAGTTTTTTCCACTCCGGCTGTGGATTATTATGCATTAAAAACTTGGCATAAAAATCCCAAATTTTTCCACATATACGAATAAGATTAAGACATGTTTTCCGACAAATCTTTTGTTTTTTATACTCGCTTTGCGTTCCGTCACAATTCGGGAAATGATAATGACAAGCGAATGGCATAAAAGCATGTAAGCACTTTATGAACGTGTCGTTGTCCACATTAAAGAACCTGCTTACTTTAGGCACGCCAAGCCTGACAAGTTGGTCGTGCGCTTTATTGCCCTCATTATTGTTATAGCTTTGATCGTCCGGCGTTTGGTATGTGTAGTCTGACAATGTGACTCCATGATTCTGACAAAAAGATCGGGTAAAATTTACCAAAGGATAACATCCACTTGAGTTGAGCAATGGCTCAGCTTCAGCAGGAATACACGTCCTAAAATTAATAAACAAATCAAAACACCCTAAACCATAACCATACCTTTAACGGGTAAATGCGTGTGAAGATTTTGTGAGAACGCTTCAAAGTGATCAGTAAAAAAAGTATGATGAAATTAAGAGTACAACAGCAGTACAACATGAGTACAACAGAATTACCATGCAACATTTTATTGTAGTGAATGATGTCATTTCATCAATCTCGGCGAATATATTCCAGGTAGGGATTACTCGTTTTCTATGAGGAAAGAAGATGAAAGAATATTCGCTCTTTACCTGTTTCCATGTTGGATATGTTGATCATCTATAAAAAAAAACATGGTAAAGCTCTCCACGTATTCCGGGATGTCAATGGACTTGATAAATTACCACGGAAGTTACCTGTAATAATTGGTCGTGAAATCGTCGCTAAAATCAGTAGAACACAAGAAATATTCATGAAATTAACTATTCTCTTCGGATATTTTGCGCACAATCTCGTGCAGAGTGCCAATGTTTGTGACATATCTGCTCAAATGTGTTGGTTTAAAGGCTTTCCAATCACTAAACGTTAGATTATGATTCAATTATTTGAAAAATGTAAACAGTTTTATTCTCATCCTCAAGTTTACAACTTCCTCAAAGCAAATTATAAAAGATTTGTTTGAACAGCAATTAAAGAAAGCAGCCGAGCATGTTGATTTGGATGCGAACATTTTCTCATCGAAATGGAGTGAAAATTCTTGCTCAGCCAATACAATACAGAAATACAGAACTTATAAATAAATTTTACCAAGCAATGACAATAATTCACAGTATAAATGCGATTTCGTATAATAAAAATACGAACGACCATGCCATCAAACGACTCTAACGAAAATTAAATACTTCACTAAACACAATTATAAAGTTAGCAAAGGTTTGAAATAACTCCGAAATCGTTAAGCTTCATATTTATTTCTGTTGGAGAATGAAAGTGACTTTATTGATTATCGATATAGGATATATAAACAATGCTCTAAACTAGTAAAAGAATTAGACTAAAATGCATAAGCCATTATTGCAAGAAAACGCACAACTAAAGAGATAAAGTAATTCGCTTCTTTTCTGACAACAATTTTTCCTTGTTATTCCTGAGACGAAATAAATTCCTTTTAGACTAGGAAGCAACGTTTTTTATTTCAATATTTCATGCAATTTCAATCGTCGGTGCAGTCTTCCCTTGACACTGAGCTATATATAACCACTGGTGGTCTTTCAGGTGTATCATAAGTTGAATCACTTGTCTCCATTCTTTTCGCTGAGTCGTCTTGCGCGGTGTTTCCCAACTTGTCGTACGGAATACAAACTTTTTTGACACGCTGCGTGACGTCATAGACATGGTGACCTTCCTCGTCAACATTCCCCCACGCATTTCGTAGCCAATCAATGGCTAATGGTCGGAAAAGCTGTAGTCTATCATACCATGAGCTTGGCGAAGGTCCTGTATTGACGTAATCTCCTTCGTCGTTTACAACACCACGCGAGTGGCCTGGGATCGGGTCTCCATCAGTTGTCAAGTTTTGATAAACAACACCAGTGCCAGTCCTTGACGTGCTCGCCCTTTCATTGGAAGGAACAATACCCACACAGGGAAGTAGTTCGCCGTTTTTTTGAGGCTGATGTTGATCGCAGATTTCTTCAGAAGAAAATTTCACAATGGCGTAAAACGGAACTCCTAAATAGTGAATTGAAATGAAGACACGGTATTGCTACACACTGAACATTTATAAGTAGTTTGGTTTGGCCATGCTCAAACGATTCATGATGAAGTCATGAATGATCACAAGGCCAGAAATTATTATTAAAATATTGATATGAAGACTATACCAAAATTGTCACCTTAATCTCACCTGTTTTTCCACGTCGTTTGCGACGAATGAAAAGATAGCTTACGATTACCACGACTATGACAAAGGTAGCAGCAACGATGAAACCAATCGTCTTGGTGTGGGAGACAACTGGAATATATTCATAAGAAGAAATAATTATCATTCAAACTCTATTTGATATCACACGATACCCAGCACCAAATGTATGTTCTTACCCTGGCAAGGTTTCTTCGCGCACAGTCGATTTTCATGATCCACTCCCTGCTTACTGCAGTTTCCACCGTATTTTCCCGGGGGGTTATCACAGTTTCGTGCCCAGATTTCAACACCCTGACCACACGTGACACTACATGGCGACAATCTTGTCCAGTTGCCATAGTTACCATCGACTAAAAATAGAAATGTTCGTTGTGTTACTCTTGTGATCCTCACGTGATATCAAACGACCAACTATTAGCGTATCCATAGAAAGATCAATCCAAAACTAACAGAGTTCCTCAGTACGAGAAATTAGTTAAATCTAGGTTTCCTGGAATTTGTCGTAACACTCCACAGACTATTTAGTGAACGAAAGTTACTGTAAGCATAGTTCGTTTAATCCATACCTGGACATGGTTTTTTTGTACATTTCTTTAAATCGATTGACTTTCCAAGCTCACTGCAGTTATTTCCTCCGTATTTTGGTTCTGGATTATCACAAGTCCGTCGCCATATTTCCATTCCTTCACCGCACGAAACATTGCATGGGACATCTAAACTCCAGCTGGTGTAACCACCATTAACTAGATATAAGTCAAGAGGACTGAAATACCTATTGCATATGTTTTAAAAATTCTCTTATTCGGATGGTAATCTTATGAAAAAGCCCTCAAGAAATTTATTACAGATTTAGCTAGCTTACTAGGACATGGTGTTGCCTGGCATGGTCTATACTCAATAGCTCCTCCTAGGTGGCTACAGTTTCTTCCACCAAACTTTGGCTCAGGATTGTCACAATCTCGTTTCCATGTTTCAAAACCTTCACCACAACTTGTATTACACGCAATGCCCAATGACCAGTTGCCAAAATTACCATGAACTAGTAAAACATTGTTTGTTCAAGAATAGAGACTTTAATAAATACTTTCCTGAATATTTATTTTCCTGGAAATGTTCCTAGATGACTTGACATTACTTTGGTACCGGGGCACGATTGGCCTGGTTTATGATTATCATACCTGGTGTACATTTAGGGATATTACAGTACTCCCATCTCTTGTTCCTATCTGTAGTAAAACACCAAGGTCTTTGTCCTGAGTTCTTGGGATTACGACAGTAATTCTTGGCGTTATTTAATTCTGGATATGTGGTGTTTATAGTATGACGATGTGGACATTGTTCTGTCCATGACTGACAAGGAATACCTGAAGATGTCACTGATATGTTGCCATGGTAACTGCTTCCATTCAAGTACAGACAATCTGTGTAAAAATATATGGCTATTTATTCTCTGTCAAATAGGTAAGGCCTACAAATGCACAATACTGGGAGAGATCTACCACTGTTAGCTCACAACATTTTGTTCATGAGGGCTACTCAGACCAATGACAAATAGCACTATGTTTTAAAATTAGTTCCTATACCTGCGGCACTGCTTGTCCATTCTAAAGCTGGAATTGCAACTATAAGAGGCAACAATTACAATTAAACAGATTGTCCAAACACAATTAAGGAAAACAGACAGTTTGTTACTCATTACCAGTGTGAATACTACCTGCAGAGTCTTCAAGATCAATATACCAGCATTCTGGGGAGTCACCGGCATTTCTATAAGGCTGTAGTTTGCATTGTAGGAGCTTTTTCGTCTCAGGATCTGGGTTCCTAACTGTATAAGCCTTTACATAAACATCCCAAATTTTGCCACATATTTGAACAACATTAAAACATGTTTTCCGACAAATCTTTTGTTTTTTATACTCGTTCTGGGTTCCGTCACAATTGGGGAAATGATAATGACAAACTGCTGAAATAACAGCATGTAAGCACTTTATTAACGTGTCGTTGTCCACATTTAATATCCTGATCACTTTAGGCACGCCAAGCCTAACATATTGGTCGTACGCTTTATTGTGCCTATTATTGTTATAGCTTTGTTCATCCGGCGTTTGGTATGTGTAGTCTGACAATGTGACTCCATGATTCTGACAAAAAGGTCGGGTAAAATTTACCAAAGGATAACATCCACTTGAGTTGAGCAATGGTTCAGCTTCAGCAGGAATACACGCCCTAAAATAAATAAACATTTTTATCAAAACACCCTGAAATTATATCCACTTTAAGGGTAAATGCGTGTGAGGATTTTGTGGGAAAGCTTCAAAGTCATCAGTACAATAACTATGATGAAATTATGAGTACAACGGCAGTACAACATGAGTACAACAGCAGAACAACATAAGTACAACAGCAGAACAACATGAGTACAACAGCAGTACAACATGAGTACAACAGCAGTACAACATGAGTACAACAGCAGTACAACAGCAGTATAACAGCAGTATAACAGAATTACCATGCAATATTTTAATGTAGTGAATGATGTCATTTCACCAATCTCGGCAAATATAAACGATACTACCAGGCAGGGATTACTCGATTTCTTTGCGAGGAAAGAAGATATTCGCTCTTTACCTGTTTCCATGTTGGGTATGTTGATCATCTATAACAAAATAAGCAAAAGCATGCTAAAGCTCTACACGTATTCCGCGATATTAAATCACTTTATAAATCACCACGGATGTTACGTTACCTGCAATAATTGGTCGTGAAATCGTCGCTAAAATCAGTAGAACACAAGAAACATTCATGAAATTAACTATTCTCTTCGGAAAGTTTGCACACAATCTCGTGCAGAGTTCCAATATTTGTGACATATCTACTCAAATGTGTTGGTTTGAAAGTTTTCCAATGACTAAACGTTAGATTATGATTATTTAAAAAATGTAAACAGTTCTATTTTAAAAACATTCTCATCCTCAAGGTTACAACTTCCTTAAAGCAAATTATGAGAGATTTCTTTGAACATCAATTAAAGAAAGCAGCCGAGCATGTTTAATTGGATGTAAATATTTCCTCATCGAAATGGAGTGAAATATCTTGCTCAGCCTACACAATTCAGAAATACAGAACTTATAAATAAATTTTACCAAGCAATGACAATAATTCACAGTATAAATGCGATTTCGTATAATAAAAATATGAACGACCATGCCATCAAACGACCCTGCGACGAAAATTAAATACTTCACTAAACACAATTATAAAGTTAGCAAAGGTTTGAAATAACTCCGAAATCGTTAAGCTTCATATTTTATTTCGGTTAGAGAATGAAAGTGACTTTATTGATTATCGATATATGATATATAAACAATGCTTCAAACTAGTAAAAGAATTAGACTAAAATGGATACGCCATTATTGCAAGAAAACGCACAACTAAAGACATAAAGTAATTCGCTTCTTTTCTGACAACAATTTTTCCTTGTTATTCATGAAACGAAATAAATCCCTTTTAGACTAGGAAGCAACGTTTTTTTATTTCAATATTTCATGCAATTTCAGTCATTGGTGCAGTCTCCCCTTGACACTGAGCTATATATAACCACTGGTGGTCTTTCAGGTGTATCGTAAGTTGAATCACTTGTTTCCATTCTCTTCGACGAGTCGTCCTGCGTGGTGTTTCCCAACTTGTCGTACGGAATAAAAACCTGTCTGACATGTTGCGTAACGTCATAAACATGGCGACCTTTCTCGTCAACATTCCCCCACGAATTTCGTAGCCAATCAATAGTTAATGGTCGGAAAAGCTGTAGTCTATCATACCACGAGCTTCGCGAAGGTCCTGTATTTACGTAATCTCCTTCGTCGTTTACAACACCACGCGAGTGGCCTAGAACTGGGTCTCCATCAGTTGTCAAGTTTTGATAAACAACACCAGTTCCAGTCTCTTCTGACGAACTTCTTTCATTAGAAGGAACAAAAGCCACACAGTGAAGTAGTTCGCCGATTTCCTGAGGCTGATGTTGCTCACGGATTTCTTCAGAAGAAAATTTCCCAACAGCGTGAAACGGTACTTTTAAATAGCGAATTGAAATGAAGACACGGTATTGTTACACAAAAATGGAGAAAGTTGACAATTGAATTGAAATTGTCACTTTAATCTCACCTGTTTTTCCACGTCGTTTGCGACGAATGAAAAGATAGCTTACGATTACCACGATTATGACAAAGGTAGCAGCAACGATGAAACAAATCGTTTTGGTGTGGGAGACAACTGGAATATATTGATAAGCAGGAATAATTATCATTCAAACTTTATTTGATATCACATGATACTCAGCACCACACGTATGTTCTTACCCTGGCAAGGTTTCTTCGCGCACAGTCGATTTTCATGATCCACTCCCTGCTTACGGCAGTTTCCACCGTATTTTCCCGGGGGGTTATCACAGTTTCGTCCCCAGATTTCAACACCCTGACCACACGTGACACTACATGGCGACAATCTTGTCCAGTTGCCATAGTTACCATCGACTAAAAGAAGAAACGTTCGTTGTGTCACTTTTGTGATCCTTACGTGATATCAAACAACGAACTGTCAGCGTATCCATAGAGAGATCAATTCAGAACTGACATAGTTCTTCCGTACGAATTAAATCTAGGTTTCCTTCTGGAATTTGTCGTAACACTAGTAAGACTATTCAGTGAACGAATATTACTGTAAGCATAGTTCGTTTAATCCATACCTGGACTGGCTGGACATGGTTTTTTTGTACATTTCTTTAAATCGATTGACTTTCCAAGCTCACTGCAGTTATTTCCTCCGTATTTTGGTTCTGGATTATCACAAGTACGTCGCCATATTTCCATTCCTTCACCGCACGAAACATTGCATGGGACATATAAACTCCATCTGGTGTAACCACCGTCAACTAGATATATGAATAAGGAGATTCCTAAATATCGCCATCCCTTCTTTACCTTCAATTCATGTAGGTATACCTCATGTAAGCCAAATCGTTTCAAAAACGCGGTATCAAGATCTATTCCTATTATGATTGAAGATATTGCTTACCAGGACATGGTGTTGCTTGACATGGTCTATACTCAATGGCTTCTCCTAGTTGATTACAGTTTCTTCCACCAAACTTTGGTCCAGGATTGTTACAATCTCGTTTCCATGTTTCAAAACCTTCACCACAAGTTACATTACACCCACTGCTCAATGACCAGTTGCCATAATTACCATGAACTAGTAAAACATTGAAGTTTGTTCAAGAATGGAGTTATAGAGACTTTAATGAATACTTTCTTGAACACTTATTTTCCTGGAAATGTTCCTAGATGACTTGACATTACTTTGGTAACGGGGCAGGATTGGCCTGGTTTATCACTATCATACCTGGTGTACATTTAGGGATATCACAGTACTCCCATCTCTTCTTCCTATCTGTAGTAAAACACCAAGGTCTTTGTCCTGAGTTCTTGGGATTACGACAGTAATTCTTGGCGTTATTTAATTCTGGATACGTGGTGTTCATGGTATGACGATGTGGACATTGTTCTGTCCATGACTGACAAGGAATACCTGAAGCTGTCACTGATATGTTGCCATTGTAACTGCTTCCGTTTAAGTACAGACAATCTACGTATAAATATATGGCCATTTAATCTCTGTCTAATAGTTTATAGCGGATATCTTTATACTGGGAACTGCCCAAACAGTCATAAAAACTCTATCAGTTGTTTTGAAATTGTTTTATACCTGCTTTCGTTGTCCATTCCGGATCTTGAATTGTAACGAAAAAGATATGTTATGGACATTTTTAAACACAAAATTCAAGCAGACATTCTTGTATTTATGGTCTCATTTTCATATTACCTGGAGAATCTTCAAGATCAATATACCAGCATTCTGGGGAGTCACCAGCATTTCTATAAGGCTGTAGTTTGCAATAAAGAAGTTTTTCCATTCCCGGCTCTGGATGATTATGCTTTGAAAACTTAACATAAAAATCCCAAATTTTTCCACATATACGAATAATATTAAGACATGTTTTCCGACAAATCTTTTGTTTTTTATACTCACTCTGGGTTCCGTCACAATTGGGGAAACTATAATGACAAGCGAATGGCACAACAGCATGTAAACACTTTATGAACGTGTCGTTGTCCACATTAAAGAACCTGCTTACTTTAGGCACGCCAAGCCTGACAAGTCGGTCGAAGAATTTATTGCCCTCATTATTGTTATAGCTTTGTTTATCCGTTGTTTGGTATGTGTAGTCTGACAATGTGACTCCATGATTCTGACAAAAAGGTCGGGTAAAATTTAGCAAAGGATAACATCCACTTGAGTTGAGCAATGGCTCAGCTTCAGCAGGAATACACGACCTAAAATAGAAATTAAGCGTGAAATTGTCTTTTAAACATAAGTGCGACATCTGCAACTTTTGTGTTGGAAACATGAGAACCCATCGGTTTCATCTACTTTAATAAACGTCTCTGTACAATAATCATAATAAAATAGGTGGTTTACAAATGCCACCATCTTGGTTGATTCAAAACATGTGCACAAATAATTTTTCATCGTTGTTGCATTTTAATACCCGCCCAATAATACATCAGAGATGATAAGCAGTTACAAAATAATCAAGGGAAAAGTAAATTAACACAGTTTGTTCTCTTGAAAAGCAGAACTTTGTAGAGTCAACCAAGATGGCGCCGAATGTCTGATTATGACGTCATATGCAAACCAAGAATAGTGCAAAGATAATGGTGCAGAAGCATCAATATAGTCTGCCGTGTGATTTCATTGATAACATTATACCTGTTACTGCCGTGACGATGGTGTTCATCTAAAAGAAATCAAGCAAAAAATAGTACTCAAGTTTTACCACTTTACACTCTTAAGTATTCCAGGATAGAGAGTCAGGCATTTCATATTGCCATGAATATTACCTGCTATAGTTGGTCGCGAAATCGTTGTTGCTAAATTCAGTAGGAAACCAATAAAATTTACTAAATTGACGACTTTTGCTGGGAATTCTGTATACACTTTCGTAGACTTTGGTGACATATCTGGCCAAATGTGTCAATCTGCAAAACCGTGGTTTATCCAATTGCTGTAAACTGTTACATTTCTTAACTCATTACTCGTCTCGAACTAATCTCGTTCAGAAATGCACGACTTCCTGTAAGCAATTATGACCGATTTCGTTGAGCGGCAATTAAGGAAACCAGTGAAGCATGTGTGATTGGAATGACAGAAACATTCCTTCCAAAATGATTCATCGTTATTGCTCACAGAACACAAGACATTAGTTATCTCCCTCAGTTGAAATACAAAACCTTTAACAGCAGCAAAAATAGGAACGACTATGTCATGAAACGTGATTGCCGGGTAATAAATATTTACTTCAATATAAACACAAATATAAACTCATGCAAAGTGAGTTGAAATCGCACTGGAATCGCAAAGCCGGAGAGATACAGTAAATGTTTTTACAACAATCATGTTCACTAGTTAGTCCAGAAGCTAAATTAACGTAGTTACTTATAAGAATTATTAAAAATAAGACGCAACGATTCTCGTTTCAATATTTCAAGTAATTTCGAACGTCTCAGCTGTCTCCCCAAGACACTGACCTGTAACCACTGGGGGTCTTTCAGGTCTATCATAAGTGGAATCACTTGTTTCCACTCTTCTGGTCGAGTCAACTTTCGCGGTGTTTCCCAACTTGTCGTATGGAACAAAAACCTGTCTGACACGTTGCGTGACGTCATAAACATGGTGACCTTCCTCGTCAACATTCCCCCACGCATTTCGTAGCCAATCAATAGCTAATGGTCGGAAAAGCTGTAGTCTATCATACCATGAGCTTGCCGAAGGTCCTGTATTGCCGTAATCTCCTTCGTCATTTACAACACCACGCGAATGGCCTGGAATTGGGTCTCCATCAGTTGTCAAGTTTTGATAAACAACACCAGTACCAGTCTCTTGTGACGAACTTCTTTCATTAGAAGGAACAAAAGCCACACGGGGAAGTAGTTCACCGTTTTCCTGAGGTTGATGTTGACCACGGATTTCTTCAGAAAAAAACTTCACAATAGCGTGAAACGGTACTTTTAAATAGTGAATTGAAATGAAGACATGGTATTGTTACACAGAAATGGAGAAAATTGATTAGTTTGGTTTGGCGATAAACAAACGATTCGTGATGAATTCATGAATGATCTCCACGCCAGGAATATTATTATTAAAATATTGATACGAAGACTATACCGAAATTGTCACCTTAATCTCACCTGTTTTTCCACGTCGTTTGGGACGAAAGAAAGATAAGCTTAGGATTATCACGACTATGACAAAGGTAGCAGCAACGATGAAACCAATCGTCTTAGTGTGGGAGACAACTGGAATATATTGATAAGAAGAAATAATTATCATTCAAACTCTATTTGATATCACATGATACTCAGCACCACACGTATGTTCTTACCCTGGCAAGGTTTCTTCGCGCACAGTCGATTTTCATAATCCACTCCGTGCTTACTGCAGTTTCCACCGTATTTTCCCGGGGGGTTATCACAGTTTCGTCCCCAGATTTCAACACCCTGACCACACGTGACACTACATGGCGACAATCTTGTCCAGTTGCCATAGTTACCATCGACTAAAAGTAGAATGTTCGTTGTGTTACTTTTGTGATCTTTGCGTGATATAAAACGACTAATTATAACGATCAGCGTATCCATAGAGAAATCCATCCAGAACTGAAAGAGTTCTTTCTTACGAGAAATTAGTTAAATCTAGCCAGGTGTCCTACTGGAATTTGCTCCGGAACGAAAGTTACTGTAAGTATAGTTCATTTAATCCATACCTGGACATAGTTTTTTTGTACATTTCTTTAAATCGATTGACTTTCCAAGCTGACTGCAATTATTTCCTTCGTATTTTGGTTCTGGATTATCACAAGTACGTCGCCATATTTCCATTCCTTCACCGCACGAAACATTGCATGGGACATCCAAACTCCAGCTGGTGTAACCACCGTTAACTAGATATATGAATAAAGAGATACATAAATATCCCCATCCCTGCTTTACCTTCAATTCATGTACGTATACCAGTCATGTAAGACAAATCGTTTCAAAAACGCTGTATCAAGATCTTTTCCTATATCGATTAAAGAGATTGCTTACCAGGACATGGCTTTGTCTGACATGGTCTATACTCAATGGCTTCTCCTAGTTGACTACAGTTTCTTCCACCAAACATCGGCTCAGGATTGTCACAATCTCGTGTCCATGTTTCAAAACCTTCACCACAAGTTACATTACACACACTGCTCAATGACCAGTTGCCATAATTTCCATGAACTAGTAAAACGTTTAAGTTTCTTTTATGATAAATACGAGTGAAAATATATGTGAAAATATATGTGAGAATATCTGAGAATGTTTCTAGATGACTGGTCATTGTTAACGGGGCAGGATTCGCTTCACTTCTTAGATAATTAAAGATTGTTCATGATTATCATACCTGGTGTACATTTAGGTATATCACAGTATACTCCCATCTCTTCTTCCTATCTGTAGTAAAACACCAAGGTCTTTGTCCTGAGTTCTTGGGATTACGACAGTAATTCTTGGCGTTATTTAATTCTGTATATGTGGTGTTCATGGTATGACGATGAGGACATTGCTCTGTCCATGACTGACAAGGAATACCTGAAGCTGTCACTGATATGTTGCCATGGTAACTGCTTCCGTTTAAGTATAGACAATCTACGTAGAAATATATGGCAATTTAATCTTTGTGACTCTGTCTAATAGTTTATAGCGGAGATTTTTATACTGGCCACTGCTGAGACAGTCATAAAAACTCTATCAGTTGTTTTGAAATTGTTTTATACCTGCATTGGTTGTCCATTCTGGAGCTTCAATTGCAACTAGAAGAGGCAAAGATATGTTATGAACATTTTTACACATAAAATGCAGGCAGACATTTTTGTATTTATTATTTCATTCTCATATTACCTGGAGAATCTTCAAGATCAGCATACCAGCATTCTGGGGAGTCACCAGCATTTCTATAAGGCTGTAGTTCGCAATAAAGAAGTTTTTTCCACTCCGGCTGTGGATTATAACCGATTATAATCTTAGCATAAAAATCCCACAGTTTTCCACATATACGAATAAGATTAAGACATGTTTTCCGACAAATCTTTTGTTTTTTATACTCGCTCTGCGTTCCGTCACAATTCGGGAGATGATAATTACAAGTGAATGGCACATAAGCATGTAAGCACTTTATTAACGTGTCGTTGTCCACATTAAAGAGCCTGCTTACTTTAGGCATGCCAAGCCTAACAACTCGGTCGTGCGCTTTATTGCCCTCATTATTGTTATAGGTTTGTTCATCCGGCGTTTGGTATGTGTAGTCTGACAATGTGACCCCATGATTCTGACAAAAAGGTCGGGTAAAATTTACCAAAGGATAACATCCACTTGAGTTGAGCAATGGTTCAGCTTCAGCAGGAATACACGTCCTAAAATTAATAAACATTTTGATCAAAACGCCCTAAACCATGTCCATACCTTTAACGGGTAAATGCGTGTGAAGATTTTGTGGGAACGCTTCAAAGTCATTAGTACAATAACTATGATGAAATTATGTGTACAACAGCAGTACAATATAAATACAATAACAGTGCAACATGAGTACAACAAAAGTACAACAGCAGTACAACATGAACACAACAGCAGTACAATATGAATACAACAGCAGTACAAAAGCAGTACAATATGAATAAACAGCAGTACAACATGAGTACACAACAGCAGTACAATAGCAGTACAACAGCAGTACAACAGCTGTACAACATGAGTACAACAGCAGTACAACATGAATACAGCCGCAGTACAACATGAGTGCAACAGAATTACCATGCAACATTTTACTGTAGTGAATGATGTCATTTCACCTATCTCGGCAATTATATACCAGGCAGGAATTACTCGGTTTCTGCGAGGAAAGAAGATGAAAGGATATTCGCTCTTTACCTGTTTCCATGTTGAAGATGTTGATCATCTATAACAAGACAAACAAAAGCATGGTAAAGCTCTCCACGTATTCTGCAATACTAAATGACTTGATAAATTACCACGGATGTTACCTGCAATAATTGGTCGTGAAATTGTCGCTAAAATCAGTAGAACAGAAGAAATATTCATGAAATTAACTATTCTCTTCGGAAATTTTGCACACAATCTCGTGCAGAGTTCCAATATTTGTGACATATCTGCTCAAATGTGTTGGTTTTCCAATGACCACACGTTAGATTATGATTCATTTGAAAATTGTAAACAGTTCTATTCAAAAAACATTTTCATTCTCAATGTTACAACTTCCTCAAGGTCACAACTACCTCAAAGTTACATATATTATATACAGTCAAGTATTTAATATCCGCCTGTCATATCTTGTGATATCGTCGTTCGTATTGTCGTCGTAGTCGCATTCTTTGTCATTGACCACGGAGTAGAGCGTACGGCAGCTTCTTTATTTAGCTAAACTGAATAATATGTCTTTTTTTCGGCTAGCATCAGCCATTAAACTCAAAACGTTCAATGCCATCAGCTTGCTTCCTTGCTTCCCGAGAGGGCTGCTCTGTCATTTCAATTAGCTACACATATGCTTGACTGCTTTTCTTGATCCTTAATTGCCATTCAAAGAAATCGTTTATCATGCATTGCTTTGAGGAAGTTGTACACTTAAGGCTGAGAATAGTTTTGAAATAGAACTGTTTACATCACTTGAAATTATTACGAATTCGAAAGCAAATTCAGTGCACGTCAGAAATTAAGGCTTTTCATAGTTCTACAGGAAGACATAGAAACCTTTAACCTTGGCAGACGCATTGGGTCGTTATGTCTCGAAAATTCACGATGTGCATGAGAATATACGAAGCGCTTCAAACGAAAATCTTCAACTTCATGAATATTGCTGGTATCCTACTGATATTAGCGACGATTTCACGACCAAATGACGCAGGTAACCTCGGCATGGTAATTTTACAACGTCCGTTCACACCGTGGAATTACTGGAATACTTGAATAGACTTACAATGCTTTTGACTTGATTTCTTATAGATAAACACCATCTTCATGGCATCAACAGGTATAATATTTTCTTTTGTTCAATCGTCCGTGCTTTTAAAAAAAACAGTTATATTTATGGAGAAACCATGAGTTAACACTTGTTGATACTATGGCCATCCCTTTTGTAACTGCAGGTTAAAATAAATCATCAATGCAACTGGCATCGTACTGTAAACAACGTTTATATTCCTGGAGTTTTGTACTTTTATATTTTACGGTATTTTTTACGGCCCTAGCTCTTATTTTAGGACGTGTATTCCTGCCGAAGCTGAGCCATTGCTCAACTCAAGTGGATGTTATCCTTTGGTGAATTTCACCCGACCTTTTTGTCAGAATCATGGTGTGACTTTGTCAGACTACACATACAGAAGGCCATATAAACAAAGGCAGTTCAATGATCAAGTCAATAAAGAGTATGAGCAATATGTCAGGCTTGGTTTACCAAAAATAGGCAAACTCCTCAATGTGGACAACGACGCGGTGATAAAGTGCGTACATGCTTTAGTGCCATTACTATGCCATTTTTATTTTCCAAGTTGCGAAGGAACCCGGAGCAAGTATAAGGAGCAAAAGATTTGTCGAAAAACATGTCTTAATCTTATTCATACATGTGACAAAATTTGGGATTTTTTTGTAAAGGCTTATACGATTAAGTATTCAAATACTAAGACGAGAAAGCTCGTACAATGCAAACTACAGCCTTATAGAAATGCTGGTGACTCCCCAGAATGCTGGTATGCTGATCTTGAAGATTCTGCAGGTAATATGAGAATGAGACAATAAAAAAAAATGTCTGCCTGCATTTTGTGTGTAAAAAATGTTCATAACGTATCTTTGCCTGTTCTAGTTACAATTCAAGCTCCGGAATGGACAACCAATGCGGGTATAAAACAATTTCAAAACAACGGATAGAGTTTTTTTGACTGTTTGGGCAGTGCCCAGTGTAAAGATATCCGCTATAAATTATTAGACAGAGATTAAGTGGCCATATATTTCTATGTAGATTGTCTATACTTAAACGGAAGCAGTTACAATGGCAACATATCAGTGACAGCCTCAGGTATTCTTTGTCAGCCATGGACAGAACAATGTCCACATCGTCATACCATGAACACCACATATCCAGAATTAAATGACGCCAAGAATTATTGTCGTAATCCCAAGAACTCAGGACAAAGACCTTGGTGTTTTACTACAGATAGGAACAAGAGATGGGAGTACTGTGATATCCCTAGATGTACACCAGGTATAGTAATAATTGAGAATAACGATTATCTCGTCACTGAAACAAGTGGTTTAAATAATGATTTTATTAATTTTTCACTCGTATTTATCATAAAAGAAACTTCAATGTTTTACTAGTTCATGGTAATTATGGCAACTGGTCATTGAGCAGTGCGTGTAATGTAACTTGTGGTGAAGGTTTTGAAACATGGACACGAGATTGTGACAATCCTGGACCAAAGTTTGGTGGAAGAAACTGTAGTCACCTAGGAGAAGCCATTGAGTATAGACCATGTCGGACAGCACCATGCCCTGGTAAGCTAGCTACATCTTTCTTGAGGGGTCTGTCATAAGACGTTCAACAAGGTATATAGAAGCAAGCAGTGCGAACAAATCTCGAATAAACGTTTTTTAAACGATGTTACTTCAACTTATTTCGCAAATGAATCAAAGCTACACGCGAAGAAAGGTATTTCAGTATCTTTCTTCTCGTATTTTTAGTTAACGGTGGTTACACCAGCTGGAGTTTGGATGTCCCATGCAATGTTTCGTGCGGTGAAGGAATGGAAATATGGCGACGTAATTGTGATAATCCAGAACCAAAATACGGAGGCAGCAACTGCAGTCAACTGGGGAAGTCGATTAAGTTAAGGAAGTGCGCCAAAAAGCCATGTCCAGGTGAAGATTAAACTAACTACGATTATAAACATGACCAACTTTCGTTTCCTGGATAGTTTGTCGTTCTCCAAATTGTTTTCTAGAGGTTTTCTATAAAAAATTATAAGGATTAATCATTAAGGATTTTTCAGAAAGTAATCTAAACTAAATTCATTGATGCACAATCTACTGCGAAATAAGTTCTAGATTGATCACCCTAAGAATACTATGGTCTTGTTCATATGGATACGCTGACAGTTCGTTGTTTACAAAAGTGACACAACGAACATTTCTTCTTTTAGTCGATGGCAACTATGGCAACTGGACAAGATTGTCGCCATGTAGTGCCACGTGTGGTCAGGGTGTTGAAATCTGGGTACGAAACTGTGATAACCCCCCGGGAAAATACGGTGGAAACTGCAGTAAGCAGGGAGTGGATCATGAAAATCGAATGTGCGCGAAGAAACCTTGCCAAGGTAAGAACATACGTGTGGTGCTGAGTATCATGTGATATCAAATAGAGTTTGAATGATGATTATTTCTTCTTATCAATATATTCCAGTTGTCTCCCACACCAAGACGATTGGTTTCATCGTTGCTGCTACCTTTGTCATAGTCGTGATAATCTTAAGTTTATCTTTCGTTCGTCACAAACGCCGTGGAAAGAGTGGTGAGTTGAGGTCTCGTATTTTAGTATGGACTTCGTACAGTCCATTGCTTCAGTTATCCCGAGCGATATTTCTAAATCAGTGATTATAATCTGTATAAAATGACTCTTCGTTTCATAGCTATCATTTTGCCTTGATTTGATTCCCTGCTGCGCCAAACCAAATCACTTCTCAATAATCATAGCTCTTGTGTAGCTGTATCGTCAGTTTTCGTTTAAATTCTCTAAACGTTCCTTTTTACGCCATAGTTAAATTTTCTTCTGAACAAATCCGTGGCGAACAACAGCCTCCGGAAAACGACGAACTATTTCGCTGTATCGCTCTTGTTCCCCAAGAAGAAGGGACGAGTACATCGCAGGAGACTGGTACTGGTGTTGTATATGAAAGCCTGACAGCTGATGGAAACTCGATTTCAGACTAATAACAATATAATCATTGCATAAAAAAATAAGTGGTTTAAAATTTTATGACCTATTAATTCGTTTTCATTTGCAAACTATCTATAAAACTCTGGTTCACTTCTTTGAAACTAGCTGAAAGAGGGTTTATTTTACATAGCTTGTGGTCTTTCACACGTTTAGAACAATAGTAGCTGTGATAAAAATAAACTTTTAAAAAAATTGAAGATGCTCGAATAATCTATTTCATATTACCTAATACGTGTATAATCGGGCACTCCATCAACAATAAGAACATGTGATGTGATGAATAATGACCTCATCTAACCTGTCGACTTCCCGTGTGAAAATGATACCCAGAATAGCTGTTTTTTTAAGTTTGTGTCTATCGCATCAGGCCTATTTTATCTAAAACTATGCTCATTTCCCTCAAGAGGCTCAAATAGATGCTTTTGTTGTTTTCTTAAGAGGAAATCGAACGTTTTGTACAAGGAAATGGTATAAGATTTGCGTTAAACAAACAAACGAAATTATACTTTCAAATGATAACACATTTTTGAGTGCTTTTCAAATGCCCAAGAAGGAAGTCGGATGCGCCGGTGTCATACCATTGCGGAAGTATATTTGATCTCAGCAATTTAGTTGCTGCTGCAGCGTGTGAAATGCAATTTGGATTCGAACAGGATGATAGGATATTGAGTCGAGTTTGCTTTTAAATGTGTAACCTCATTGGGCATTTCAGAGAGCTGGCAACTCAGTGAGTTGATAGGAAATTTATCATGAACGAAGACCGAACGTATCTACTAAACAGTGTTTGCACTGGGTTCATTTTAACATGGATCTTTTCAAATGTCGCAGGTATATTATTATTTTTTAATCAGTTTATTTTATTAGCTAACAGCCGTCGGTCAGTGCTAGTCACTTAGTTTACTGTATATGTATTGTCTATTGTGTTTACATATTTTTAACAATACGTTCTTATGATTCAGAGTCACTAAGTATATATATATAAGGTCAGAATGGTCAACGTTAGTTCACTTTATTTACTGATATTATTGTGTGAGCTCGCCTTACTTGGACTACCCCAATTTATCGTTTTCTGATTCCTTTGACATTATGACGTATGCAATTTTGTGGATCACCGAGAAGTATCATAATAAGTTATTTTGTAGCACTGAAGTATGTAAGCAAATTGTTATCGTGCTGTCTGTCCCGGCTAGCTGTAAAAAGCACGGGATTAACTGGATTAGACTAGCCAAAAGCCCCAAAGCTAACTTCCTGCGACAATTCTGATACGTACGTCTAATAGGATATATGCAGGACAACAGTATGTTATGTGCGTGCATACGTACGTATCAAAAATACGTTCGTTGAAAGCAGCCGTTAAGTCTTAAGTCCTTACTGTAGTTATAGTTATTACCGCGAAGATAGCGGTCGATGTCCGTTTTTCCAAATTCATGAGATGTTTACTGATGGGAAATTGTTTGTTAGGACAGAATTCGGTTATTATCTTTGTTACGTTTTTCCCAGCTATGCTTTTTGCATGGTAAAATTAAATGTGCATTCACGATTTCACATTGTTTTTGTTTTCTCGACCAGAATGTAAAACCTTTCTACATCAAGGGTCACGAACGCGAAGGTTTGTTCTAGCATCAAAACCAAGCAGTTTCGTATTGTAAATATGTATTTTTTCAATTCATTACTCTAGGGCAATATCACCGGGAAAATGATGCCAAAAGGTAAAATAATCTTTTTTCAAATTTCTAGGCAGTTACGGTAGGGAAAATATCATTTAGCAGGCATGAGAGTTACTACACCTTACTAGGTCTAAGTACGAAGCGGTTATCTTTTTATAAGAATTAGGGAGGCTGTCCCGGATGCATGATGGATATTTGAAGAGATGTTGACGTGTGCATGCAAGCTTTTGCTTGGCTTCGACTCTTGATGTTATCAACCCATGACAGATTCACTTACCGGCATCTTATTTATGCTGACATTATCTACAGACCGTCAGGATCAGCTTACTGCCCAGGATATGGTTGACTTGCCAATAATTATACCTGCGGTGGATCAATTTAAATTTGATTCAACAACATCAAAATCAGCACGTTTATTACTTTCCTATCCTTCAACTTCAAGCGACAACCTAAAATATACAAAAAGACTTAGTAGTTGTGTTGATTTGATAAGAGTAGTTGATTTTGAAAATTGAAACGTTATCTTTTTTAGGGAATGTATACCAGCGCATACTGAAGCAGTTCTTGCCAAGCCAAGCTATTGCCATCCTTTGAGGAAACTGAACAGTCCCTTTTGTGCTGCACACGGAATCAAACTGGATACATACGTGAACACAACCACAAACGATATGCAATATTGGAACGACGAGTTGAAGGGATACGAAGAAACGTACAAAAAACTGTTTTTCGAAAGGCATTTAAGTCCACAAAACGTTTCCGACGAATGTGCGAACCAGATGCGTTTCATTGGATGTTATTTCATGTTTCCCAGTTGTGATCGCACAACGGGTACACTCAAACCGAGACAGATTTGCAAAGAAACATGTCTTCATTTTTTGAGGGAATGCAGTGTGTATTTTAACGCTTGGAAAGACATTCATTTGTCGGGATCGCCCGGGGATAAGGATCTGCTCAATTGTTTGAAACAGCCGTCTGTAACCGCCGGGGATAATGTGGAGTGTATAGCCTACGCTAGGAACAAAAGCTCAGAAAGTCACGGTATTGTAAAATTTATTTCTCATATGTAGTGCTATTTTTGATGCATTGTATAAGGTTTCTGTATGATGTACGTCATATGAGAAAGGCTAGAGCCTAGAGATGCTTTGTTATTCCTTGTGATCAGCTTCTGCATGTCAATGGTGGGATTTTATGGTCTGTCAACCGTTAACGTTTTAAGACGTAGCTGTAAAGCGTGAGAGTATTTCAAAACGTAAACATCAGGAGGCGGGTTGTTGTTAATCTTTAACTATAGTTATAGTGGCTGTATTGGCCAGCTAAGTCGTTATTTTGACGTAAACTACGATTTAGCTACTTATAATATATCGCCATGCAGTGAATGTACCAATATTTGCTGATTTTCTTTAGATTGCCTTTTCCTAAACGGAAGTAGTTACAATGGGAACATATCAGTGACAGCCTCAGGTATTCCCTGTCAGTCATGGACGGAACAATGTCCACATCGTCATACCATGAACACCACATATTCTTATCTCAATAACGCTAAAAATTATTGCCGGAATCCTCAAAACTCAGGAAAAAGACCTTGGTGTTTTACTACTGATAGGAACAAGAGATGGGAGTACTGCGATATCCCTAAATGTATCAAAGGTAATTGTTTCAACCCCAATTGCAATTACAAGCGCGAGTTTGGTTGCTAATCGCCTGAGCATAGTTTTCAAACTAACAATGTCAATTTTTCCCATTTCATTATTTTCGAACTGCACGGAAGACATTGTGCATCGCTAACGTTAAGAAATGTTTAATGCAGTTGCATGTTTTCATTTACAGTGGATGGTAATTATGGCAACTGGTCATTGAGCAGTGCGTGTAATGTAACTTGTGGTGGAGGTTTTGAAATATGGACACGAGATTGCAACAATCCTGAGCCAAGGTTTGGTGGAAGAAACTGTAGTCACCTAGGAGAAGCCATTGAGTATAGACCATGTCGGACAGCACTTTGTCCTGGTAAGCTGTCTTCTTAATTAACAAACTCCATGTTTCTCATTAATGTCTAAATTTAAGAGCTGAGAGCTTTTCAAAGACAGTGATTCTGCAGTAAGTTGGATCTTCCAGTCATTTATCGACGAATGCCCCAATTTTTTTTCATTTTCGTAGTGGATGGCAATTACAGTGACTGGAGCAAAAGCAGTGGATGTAACGTTTCATGTGGACGAGGTGTTGTAACCTGGCGTCGTGTTTGCAACAATCCGGCCCCAAAGAATGGCGGTAAAAATTGTACTGCTTATGGAAAGGAGATAAAATATAGAATTTGTAGAAAAGGAAAGTGTCCAGGCAAGTTTCCGAAAGAGTAAAACTTAAAGTGAAAGTCGGTTTGTTTACAATACGATGCACTGTCTGAATATCTAACACTATTTAGGTTCGTTACGCCTCTAAATCAATATGAACTAGAGTTTATGTTAAGAAAAAATAAGTAACATGCGAAATTTAGGCGATTTTCACATCAGAGGTTCCTCACTTGTTATGAGCGGAACGGACTTGACTTCCACTTTAAGCCTTAGTGTAGTAGAGATTACTTGTGACTACAGTTGACATCGTCTTTGAATTTATACTTTTCTTTTGATTAATATTTGTTTTCGTTTTTTTTTTTAATTTAGTTAACGGTAACTATAGTGATTGGATTAGATCGACTTCCTGCAGCGTGACGTGTGGCGTAGGGTACGAGATGTGGTCACGGACTTGCGACAACCCAAAGCCCAAAAATGGAAAGGATTGTTCTCAATATGGAAAAGACAGAGAGAGCAGACCCTGCAACCTGGGACCATGCCTAGGTTGGATATAAAGTTATTTGTATGCTGTTGCAGTTGTTGTTGTTGTTGTTGTTGTTGTTGTTGTTGTTGTTGTTGTTGCTGTCGCTGTCGTGTTCTATCATTGTCCTCGTCGTAAAGTCATTCATACTTTCTGCTGTGGTTATTCCTTATCGATATTTTTTGGGATTATGCATTCTAGGATCGTCAAATTCCAACATGATCAGAATCACATGCGGTGTTTGCGCTGTGATTATTGTGGTAGCTGTCAGTATTCTCCTCTATCGCAAAAGAGAAGCGTTGATGAAGCGAATAAAGCAAAGAGATAGTAAGTTCTTATGATTTTTATACTTCCCGTTCCGCCGCTCGAGCTGAAATTTGTGATCACAATTGTCAAATTTGAAAGAAAATCTCAACACTTGTACTAATCTTTGCAGGTAGCTCTGATTTTGCTATATATGCAGAAATAAATTTTATACCTCGTAAACCAGTAATTCATAATTATGAAGAAATCGACCCCACGAACAAGGTTAAGATCAGCACAGATAAAACAAGCATATCGCTACAAGGAAGCTCTGGAGAGGGTATTTACGAGAGTATAGACAACAACCTAAATGGACTGTCAAGCGAGATGCCTAGAGCAGTATGATAGATAACTTAGCATTAAATGTGGTATAACCAGTGAACTCTGATAAATACAGACACGCATGTCTGAAGGCGAATTTTGGCTTCACAAAAACGATGAGGAGGCATCGTTCCAGTTATTAATTTTTTAGAGTTCACAGTTCACTTGATATAACAAGAACAACCAGCTAGACAAAAACACTTCGACCTCGACATTTCGACCTAAGGGCCTTCGTCAAGTGGTATAACGAAGGTCGATAAGTGTTTTTGTCTATTTTAGGCAGTTGTTTTACCACATTTGATGTGAGGTTCTTTGAAGATATGATGTTGTATATTTAATTTATTTGATTCGTCATCCATCAGGGGACGGTTGTATTAAACTGTGATTAACTAACAGGATTGACCAATGAGAATCGGGTATTTTTTACTTATAAACTATGACATAACTACTCAAGATGCAGAGGATGGCTAAAACAGATGGGACACCTATGAATGACAAAGAAATGCTAGAAGCTTAGAAACCCTAGGCATGGATAGATAAGTAAGGCAGGTAAGCACTAAGGATATCTATGGAGCCTTAAGGGTAGCAGAGGAGGGTCAATAAAGTATCTATCCACAATTCTTGAATTCATTCCCGAAATAACGATGGTCCTTGTGTGGAAACCAATGCGACATTATCATTTGCATACATGAAGTATACATAATCCAAATCCAAGATGGCGGAAAATTTTGAAAAGACGGAGGAAACTAGACATCAAGGATGTGCGTTCTTTTTGAAACGTAAAAACAGATATTGTAAAATGATTCCTGGGAAAAGAAACAAATATTGTGGTGAACATTCATATCTTGCCCAAGATAACCAAGTAAGAACGAGTTTTGGTATAAATATTGTGCGGAATTCTGTGATATATGGAATAATTGGTTTGATAGCCAGGCATAGCCTCTTCATATAAGTTGGTTCTTGCCATTAAACTTTGTCTTCTATTTTTAGGGCATTCCAGCGCGAAAACGAATTCCTTGTCCACTGGATACAAAGCAGTGAGAATTCAATTTTCTAATGAATTTTCTATTCACAGGATCTCATTGATTCACAGCATACAGTATCTCCAGTGTGGAAAGTTTGTATCGCGCAACCTAGATATTGGGCGCGCAATTTGATGTCTCCTATACATTTACTAGTATTTTTTTGAAATCTAGGTTGCGCAGTTTGCATACTTTCCAGTCAGGCAGTATCTTTCATCATTCACACAGAGAACTGTCAGAGACTATCTATATACTGTCATACTGTTTTCTGACATTCTCAAATGATAAACTACTATATACTAGGGTAAATCAGTTTTGATTTTTGGCACTTCATTCGATGTAGGTAAATTACTACATTCACTTGATGTAGGTAATTTACTATATACTAGTATATCTTTTGTCATCTTGGGCAATCCTCTAGTTACAAACTATATACTTTCATAAATACAAAATAGCACAGTCTGTATTATTCATTATCTACAGCACAGTGTTTGAGGATCAACTTGAGAAACATTTGAAGAAATGCAATGTTACTAAGAAGAGAAACGTTGTAAGTAAATGAAATGCAATTTAAGTGTGTGAATGTACCAATTTTCTGGAAAGAAACAGGCAAACAATCTGACCCAAGGTATCACTTGAATGACTGCACAGAGATCTTCAGAATTCAACATAAAAAATCAAAAACGATTTGTGCAAATGTTGAGTTATATTAAGATGAGAGTTTTTAAATGTAATCAGAATTGCCAGTTAGATCTAGCCTGAGCTGCCAGTCAATCTCCATTGCAGGAATATTATGTTGCAAATATTAACAGTGGAATTTGCCATAATGAATCATCATGGGAAAAGGTAAGAGAATGATATTTTGTACAGTACTTTTGCCTTTTGCTAATTCAATCATTTTTTCATTCTTTTGATGAGCAGCTACCTTTAAGGAAAATTCCAAAAGATGATATCCAAAATTGTATAGACAGAATCAAGTTATACTTTGAACAAGGTGAGTCTTTACGAGTCTATACTGCACACATATTCTATGCAATGTTCGAATATAAAAGTATGGTGAATAAAGGGAACGGTTTTCTGTGTAGGAAATGCTGTTGATATCAAAACCTCTGTTTTAACTGAACAATGTCTTGAAAATGAAATAAACAACACCAGTTGTAACCATGCTTTGAAAAAGCATTTACACCAACAGGTATGTCAAATGGTACTGGGTATAAGATCTTGCACATTTTGCTTGTAAATTACAGTAGAATGGAATGAAATATCCTTTTTTGTTTCAGTCATCATTGATAGGAAATTTAAGAAATTCAGAACTTTTAAAATCGGATTCAATTTTTGTTGAATTTGGAGCAGGACGGGGTAAATTAGACAACAATACTTTTTTCAAATATTGTGTCATCACTTGGTCAGAATTAGGCCAGACTTATCATAAATGAAGTATTAATAATCCCCTGTCTCTGTAAATGTAGGTTTGTTATCACATTGGATACAAAAATCTATGAAAGATGAATCAAATGTGGATTTCTTGCTTGTCGACAGGGCAAGCACGCGATATAAGGTAATCTTACGTGGAAAACAAACAGTTAATTAATAATATATATTCAAGGCATAAATAAAAGGCGTTCGTATCTTATTGGTTTAGGCAGACTCCTACCACCGTGGACCAGAGCAAGGACCAAGTTTTCACCGAATTCAGATTGATATTGAACACTTAGATTTAGGTAAGAAAAATGGAATTTACCATATAGAGACAGAGGATGCTGCAATCCGCTTCATTCATGGATATCAACTTATATTCAACTTATATTCTACAATCTTTATTAATGTCATACTGCATGTTGTCTTTGGTAGATAATGTGCCGCTTATATCCAACAGTAAACAAGAAGTAACTGCCGTCAGCAAACACCTGTGTGGAGCTGCAACAGGTATGGAATGGAGTGGTGTGGTGTGGTGTGGTGTGGTGGGGTGCGGTGTGGCGTGGTATGGGATGGCGTGGTATGGTATGGTATGGTATGGTATGGTATGGTATGGTATGGTATGGTATGGTATGGTATGGTATGGTATAGAATGGTATGGTATAGAATGGTATGGTATGGTATAGAATGGTATGGTATGGTATGGTATGGTATGGTATGGTATGGTATGGTATGGTATGGTATGGTATGGTATGATATGGTATGGTATGGTATGGTATGGTATGGTATGGTATGGTATGGTATGGTATAGAATGGTATGGTATAGAATGGTATGGTATAGAATGGTATGGTATGGTATGGTATGGTATGGTATGGTATGGTATAGAATGGTATGGTATGGTATGGTATGGTATGGTATGGTATGGTATGGTATGGTATGGTATGGTATGGTATGGTATGGTATGGTATGGTATGGTATGGTATGGTATAGAATGGTATGGTATAGAATGGTATGGTATAGAATGGTATGGTATGGTATAGAATGGTATGGTATGGTATGGTATGGTATGGTATGGTATGGTATGGTATGGTATGGTATGGTATTTAAAATGCAAATATAATACAACAGAGTGGAATATTTTAACTCCAGTCTGAATATCACTGTGTTGTTCATATCTTGTAGATCTGGGATTGAGATGTCTACTCAATTCACCTGACGAAACAGAGTGTTCTGACGACAACCCAGACAGAAATGAAGCCAGGTGTGCTTAGCCTCCTATATTGAAACAATACATAGTCCTGTACATACTAATACTCTCAGACACTCACTAATTTTGAATCTAAGTCACCATGATGGTATTTGGCAGAGGTTTTAATAGAGAGGCAGAGGTTGAAAGATTTTTCAATGCTATTGAATAACGAAAAAAAAAACTCTCTTTGATCAGCAAGAATATAATTTCTGTGGCACAGTCAATAATATTAACTAGATCACAGATTTGAGGTAAAACCAAGTCAAACAAATTACATGAAGTATACTTAGCACTCTTCTTTTTAATAAAACAATTGTTTTTTTCTACTTTAGATCAACAAAGAGACTAAAACTTGGCGGCAATCGTGTGCGGGGTCTTTTGTTTGCATTGTGCTGTCACCACTGTTGTTCTTGGGCTAGCTATGTCGGGAGAACATTTTTGGAAAATCTCGGTTTTACTGCGTACGACTTTCACATTCTGTGCTGCCTGAGCAGTTGGGCTACCTGTGGCAGTCGAAAGGAAACACGGGCGAACGCTAAGAATGATACCCAGGCCTCTGAAAACCGTACGACGTGCGAAACAGTGACTGGGGCCCCAACTGAGCTGACTGAGGATACAACAGGGACAAGAGGGGATGACCATGAACATAGAACGATAGAAGTCGATGAAGGAAGTTGTATAAGGTGGGTGAATGGGTGTAGGATGGTGAAAGAAGCACTTTATAGAGTAGAGGCGCTTTCCTTTGGACGGCAAAAATTTTCAGACACTTTCTATTGTATTTTAGTATAGAAAGATAACCAATGATATTATGCTTTCGTTTAACCATCCCAGCATAATTTTTTCCCAGCATTGAAGCTATAGTTTAACAGAGTCTAAGCTAGAGTCTCATCACCCTGGGATACTAATCGGTCTTGCAAGTTCCATAATAGTCGCTCCCCTCGATCTGTGTTCATCGTTCCAACACATTTTCGTTTCTCACAGAGCTTTAGGATTTACTAAGAGTCAAAGCGAGGATATTGGTCGTCAAAGTAAACGTTTAATTGACGCTGGACGAGTCTGGTATTTGAAACAATTTGATTTGGACGCTTCTCTTTTTTATTATGTCGATCGGTCGGTTTCGTTGGAAAACATCGCCATCGTCGCTTATAACAGAAGAAGTAATTTTGAAAAAGAGGTAAAGATTTAGAGTATATTTAGAGTCATGTGTATCATATCACCTTGCATCATCATATATCTATCATATCTCCTTGCATCGTCATATATCTATTATATCCCCTTTGATCATCATATATGTATCTATCATATCCCCTTGCATCATCATATATGTATCCATCATATCCAACGAGTTCGGGTTTAACTAATTTTCGGCAATTCCACGAGTGTTTACAAGAATACAATTCAATTAATGAAAAAAAACACACACTCCGAAAAACGTAAAAAACGAATGATACACGAGCTTTAAAAATGAAATGCTTCTGCGAGAATTTTTGACGCTATCTAAAATCTTACCGTAGTGTATATTGGTAATGTAATAGCGCTCATAGACTATTTTGCAATGAAAAACAACAGCACCGAGTTTTGCATTTAAAGTTCATTTATTGCAAAGACTTTCGCGAGTCTCTTGCCTACATCTGGCGCGTTCCTTACTCTGTGTTTATATTATACTGAAATAAGTATGATAAATTACGTTAAATATCACAAATAGGCCTGGGAAGAGCAGGCGAGAGGCTCTGTCAATCTTTTCCGACATATTGTCGTCATTGGCACCTCCATTTGCCGCCACTGACCTCACACTCGGGTGAACTGGAGTCTTTCTTTCATCCATGGAACCCCAGTTCCAGTGCTCCTGAAATATGATACAAATAATAGTGCTTTGATTCCATGAAACACTTTTCTTAAGCAAATGTGAGATTCATAGTACCTTTCGTGTGCGCATTAGGAAAAGGGACTGGGAACTGAACTTCGGCTCCAGAACTTTGGCAGCGGAGTTCTGTCGCAGTTTGTAGAATTTATAAACGATCAGGGATTCGATGATGGATCCCATTAGGAAAGCCAAGCAAAAGTTGAAGTAGTAATCGATATATTTTGAATACGACACCTAAAATTAGTTCGAATTTAAGAGGGAACCAGTTGATCTAAGTTCATGACGTCATGGGGTGAAACGTCATGAACTGAGCTATATTATGTGCCTGGAGTTATCTGTCTTCCTGGTTTAGAGTATAAACTATAAATGGCGTGGAATTGAGATTATTTCTGCTTCCTCTCTCTTGCTTTCTATCAACGCCATAGTTTACCACTGACCTGTATATATATCACTGTATGTGCTGTTTACCTTTGGCATATTCGTATTGAGAGATCCTTGCAGTAATACAATGGTCAGAACCAGTGTTACTCCAATTGATATCCTGTCTCCCACACAATCCGCTTCGATCCAAAAGCACACCCAGCTCAACAGGACAATATATGAGCATGGCATATACTGCTGTAGTATGTAATGGCCAACATCCCTCTGAAATCTTATGGCAACAACGAGGTAGTCATAGTGACCTAAAAGAATACAAGTGGCATTCTGTGAGAGGGTGTCTGTATTTGAGAAATTGAGGTTATTTGTGAGGTTTCTGCACTGGAGAGCTTTCTGCATTGCACTGGAAAGGCTGAACTGTCTTGATCAATGTTAGAGAAACGTATTTTGTGCTGAACTGTTTGGTAAAGAGAAGTCTGTATTAAGAGAACTGCTTATATCAGAGATATGTCTCTTTTAGAGAACTGTTGGTATTAGAGAACTGTTTGTAGTAAAGAAATGCCTCTTTTAGAGAACTATTCGTATATAAGAGAGCTGTTTGTAGTAAAGAAATGCCTATTTAACAGAACTATTGGTATAAAATAATATACTCGTGGTAAAGAAATTCCCTCTTGGAGAGAACTGTAAATATTAGAGAACTGTTTGTTTTAGAGATATCTCTTTAGAGAAGCGTCTGTATGAGAGGTGTCGGCTCCGATGAATGTCGATTGTACCAAACGGTGTTGACAAACCTCCGATGCCATAGTTAATGATATCCTGTCGTGTGTCAATTTCTGTGATAGTATATCTGGCAAGCTTAATTTTCGGACTGATTTGAACCAATGGATCATCGAGCCATTTCCGCCAACTGAGAGCCACATCGTCTCTCGTGTATTTATCTGCAAATATATGTTACAATGATATTGGTAAGGAATGAAGCACCCATGAACTACATCTCATGCAGCGTTGCCTAACATCGGAAAAAGCGGAAAGTCAAATATACCGAATGCATTGGTATACTCACAAGAGCCAAATTGCACACTACATTCTTGCTCGTCGAATGGAAAGCGATACAGCACCATGAAACAGCTCACTTTTGCTGTAATTCTAAACGATAACTAAATACGTAGACTAAAGCTTTTTTTCTTACTGCAAACTAGAAAAAAATTGCCTCGAAAAAATGTTCCTGTCAAGCGCCGTGTTTTCCAAGGCAGGTAAACACTAGAAAACGATCGATTTGCGTGTTCTTGAGCTAGAAGAATTGGAGTTTGGTGGGAGAAATTTGAAGTGTGGCTTTAAAATGTGTGTATGCGATGTTATCATTGAATTAAAAGTTGAATTTATTCGGCGTACCTTACACTGTAAAACAGGGATCCGTTTGGCCAAAGTCGTAGCATCTCATTCTTTTTCGTTACCATGTGAAAAGATGCGTGTTTGCTATTTTCCATGAAGACATCTGGTACCCAGACCTGCTCTGGTGGTTCGACCAGAATGTGCTTGTCAGTGCTGGTGCTGTTAGTTAAGTGCGTGAAGTTTAGCCGCGGGTCCGTCCAAATCAGACGGAGGTAGAAATCGATATCAAACTCCTTTAAGAGAGAGGTTGAAAAATGTACTCTGTCTGACAATACAGGTTTATGATAGCTCAATTCAGAAGGATATAAAAGTCAGGGGGATGTGGAGTTTGTTTCAGCCGAAAAATTTGCACATAAACATCTTTCTATCAACGCACAAACAGGTTTTCTGATTAGGCACATCAAATTACAAGGTGAACGCTTTTTCCCTAAATTATTGTTCCACTTGACAATTACGATGTAATTTGAGGTCAGCATCAGGTTAACAACACTCATGCAGACGTGTTAAATACCTACCATGTTTTCTTCGTCCAACCCAGACAATGTGTTAAAGTAAACATTAAGACCAAGATTCATCGGCTTTTCTGAAAGATGACGCAAGAATTACTTCAATTGTTAAAAGACAACTAGATTTGATATTTTATTCAATAACCCACCTTCCTCGTCAGGCCTCACCCGTTTATCGTACTGATCTTGTAGCAACGTTGCAAGTATCGAAGATGTTCTTGTCTTGTACAACCTACGACAATTTCATATATGTTCATCCTTCGAAATCTCTGTGGCACTTCACTCGATGTCGAAGAAATTGTGGGTAATATTTAAGGTCTGTATTTCGAGTGGAAATCGTCCACATCTCAAGAGTTAAGACCACTCGAGATGAAGTACTTAATCCTGTGAAATCTTATTCAGAATCTTGGTTTCTTCATTACTATATGGATCATTATGGTCAAAAGATGTGATTTCGCAAGCCGGCTTTTACATACTGTTTTTTCTCAGTACGTTGCCCACCTCTTAATGTTGGTCCCTGAGGCTGTACCTTCTCCGTTTGTCCAACCACCATTGTTCGGTTGCTTCGCCTTTGGAACGATGTATTTGGTCCTTAAAGTACAAACAAATGTTCGTCGTATCATCAACAATTATCGTATCATCCTAACTTTATTACACCAGCCGGTTTATGCTCGGACGCTAAGACATCTCAATACGTCCATGCTTGCTTGCAATGACATTAGTCATGATGCATGGGCTTGATACGAAAATTTAGCAGATTTTTAGTATGAACCTTATGATATAAATTGTAAAGAAAGTAGCGTAATATTTAGTAAAATTTATCATGCGGTTAATGGAGTAGATTTTACGCAATCGTTCTAGATCTTTTTTAAACCGTAGAACTATCATGCATCGGGCTGGTATACTGTTATATCTCGACTTCTTTAAAGAATTAACGACCTCTCGTTTGGTTGACTTTCAAAATTATCTTCATGTTTGTTTTTCCCGTGAAACTTATATACACTGAATACATTTGCATGAGCAACCATGAATTCAAGAGCATGAGTTTGCTGGAAGAAAGGTTATATTTTCAGGAGACTTTCGACTGTTCTGACCATAAAAGAAATAAATTAACTTACTTTGTTGAGAGGCATAAAGACATCTGCATGAGTCCCAAAACCAAAACAGTCCTGAGCAATTTTCGCCTCTTCATTCTACCCGATAGAGCAAACTGTGTTTTGCTGTATTTTTTACCATCTCTCTGCTGGACTCTTGACTTTATGGCGCATCGAGTCGGCCAGTATTGTGAAACGGGATTTTAATATCCTTTTTTTAAGTGGGGTAGTTTAGTCTATTTCTTTGACCTGTATAGATGGATTTGTTTAGAACAGTTACGGCCATTGTCTTTGATTGACAGGCTGTTGTTTGTGAAGGACAATTGTGGTGTGCTCGTTTATCGAGTTGCTTCATGAGAAACGTGTGAATATCACAAAGTAATGAGACTTGGTGTTTACATAAATCATTGTTTTACAGTTTATTTTCGTGTAAGGAACATTTTGCACATGACTTGCCATCGACGGGAATTGTATGATAAAGAAAACTTCAGTGGATGGCTCAGTGATAGTTGCGGCTATCTCAGACATGACAAATTGTTTTCTAATTGCTGTGATCAATTGATTGATTGGATATTTTGACCACGCACAATCAGTTCTTTCTGGTTTGTGTTCTTGATTGTAATCATAAGATCTCATGCAACCTAGGTCTGAGATGCACGGATGAAGATATGTTGCACGGCATTGTTCTGCTTTGTTGATATTTTCCCTTGCTAAACGTACCCTAAATTGAACGAGAACGATGAATATTGAAAACGAAACACTACTCTTTCGCTGAGGATATCGCTCTGCGCAAGAATTATGCTCCCCCCCCCCCTTTTTTCCACCAAACCCCACTCTAATGTAGGTCAGGCTTAGAAGTAAGAGAAACCAGATTATCCGTTTAAATTAGTATCATTGAATTAGTATAACTGTATAAGTTGGAGCTAATATATGAAATGTTTATATAAATTGCTAGAGGTTAAATCATGCACTAGACTGACATTCTCATCAGAATACTAACTTAGTTTTACCGTTTACAAAAAGTCCAAATTATCGTTTTCATAAATGTTACCCTATACCTATTGTTTTTACACTGCTTTGCCCAAATTTCACGATTTGAAAAGGGCCGTTGATAAATGATCAAAAGCTGTTACATTTACCAGACATTAGCGTTAATGTGAGTCTTAAGATGTGAAATGAAAGTGAACCTGTCTTTCAAAGACGTGGAGTTTCGTCACCAGTCCACGTGAGCTACTCGGTGTAGCGTGCTCCACTGAAGATAACAATTGTGGAGATGAACAGGACAGCGAAAAATGTCCCGAAAAATAAGGTATTGAGTATCGAACCGATCTCTTTCCATTCCCCTTGAGCTTCATCGATTAAAGCCTTTTTCTCGACACGACTCGAGAGATGCTGGAACATCTTGACAATACTGGACATTACGGGGCTGCTGGTATTATGAGCAGCGGTCGATTCCCCAGAATCCTTCTTGATGTTGTTCCAGGAGGACTGAGGCGAGCGATGTCGGCAGGTCGGATGGCCATTGTCAACTTGAGTGGCGTCTTCTGGGTCAGGAAATCCTTTTTGATTCTCCTCAGACGTTTGCAAATTAAGCGCCATCTCTTCCGGATTCTGTCGCCGCTTCTTCGCGCATTTCCGTACCCACGAGGTGTTCCGAAGCACGAGACAACCCAAATACTTTCCGACGAACAACGCGACCCATTTCGGAACGGGTTCTGCTTTCCCCTCGAACTTTATGGCGACTGAAGTGCCGAACAATGAAAGAGTCATGATCAACATCGCGACGCCGATAAATTTGGTCAACAGGGGGACGGTTGTCGAATCGGGTGGAAGGTTTTCGGTGACTATGTACAGCGTAAATAACATGGTCAGCAGTAGGCTTATTGATAATGTTATTCTCTCGCCTGAGGCAGGGGGGATGTAGAAGGTCATGAGGGATAGGAAGGATAAAATCACGCAAGGAAATATGAGATTTATTATATAGAATAAGCTTCTGCGTCGTAAGACAAACTCGAAAACCAGACTAGGGTACGGATGTGTATTGCTGCCGTAAAACTTTACCTGGAAGGATGAACAAAGATTGATATATAGATATACATATTGGTAGTGTTCACCCAAATTGTCCCAAGTTGATCTATATAGTATACCATGGATAGTCTAAGAATGTTCCTAGCTGTGATCCTGGCCTGACCTCAAGTCTCATCTCGATCCTTATATTGTCATCAATTACCCCGAGATATCCCTAAAACAAACGCAGCTGACCTGTTTATAAGCCGACACTGACTGTATCTTCCACTGGATGTTCTCCAAGAACTGGCTCGTATCAATACTGAGGTTCTTGTCAAGTACAACGTCGATGACATTACCCGTGGCAGTCCACGACGCCATTTCTACCTGGCATTTCTGTTCGTCAAACGGGAAGTGAGTACTGTCGATGTTGCAGGAGGTGGAGGAGAAATAGGGAGAGAGCCATCGACATGCGCCATCGCTGCTCACCTGAACTTTCGTCTTGATCTTGTGATAAATCAACGCGTCCTGACCCTCTTGGGCACTGAAAGAAATGGAGGAAGTTATCTATGAATATTACAGAATACCTGCATATTACAGACAGTAAATCCGGTTAAAGCTGTATCTGCTTAAATCGACCATATTTTCATCTCTAAAGTCTCGTATTTCGACTTCATGAAATTAAATCGGATGGAGTAAAGCATTGATGAAACTTTAAAGTTCATTTACAAAATGTTATTCGGCTTTGCAGTTTATTTCTGTCTGGTACTCGTTAATTCTCATAACTAAATTATTCTTCTGCAATTTTCACACGAAGATAAATGCATAGGGCATCTGCGTGATAGATTTTACTCCTGACAAAAATCTCTGAATTTCTTCATAACAGTTTACAGAAATGCTGTAAAACTCCAAATGAATGACATTAATGTCATTTTCTTTCAAGGACTAGAACTCGGAATTTCTTCACCGTAATTATTCGAGGATCAAATACGTATTTCCAAAGCTCACCTGTTATACAGAGACAGATCAGGCAGCCACATTTTGTCGGCTTCAACATTGAAATTTTTGATGTTACTGAAATCTGCTTCGTTCCACACGAAATTTTTATCATACCAATACTTCAAAGGAAAAACAATCAAACTATATAAGAGAGCTCGTTCGAAAATCTCAGATAGAAATAGTTTACAGAAGAACTTCGTGGCTTTTGTGAACGTACGCGAGGTAAATGATCATTTCTCGTAACAACACCTGTTCATTACGAGCATTCAATGATGTATTTAACAAGTTATATAGGCTTACTATTCTCAACCAAAAATACAGCGTGAGAACTTGTTGTCTTTCGTTCTAAAATGGTAAATGAACACGATATGTCAGGAAATGTCAAAATTCCTTGCTTCAAGGCAAAAATATTTCGCTATATATAGTTTGAACAAAGTGTTTTGCACTCAGTCTAGAACAGCACTTACAATCTCAACAATCTGTCTAACTGACGGTTGGATTCTTATCGAAAGATTTCTGTTCGGTTCTTCTGCAGGCCGGACATTTTTGTCGTAGTTCCTAAATAAGTGTTCAAGAAGCCTTTGCTGTTCGCTCGCCAGGGTTGGCCGCATGACATCCACCTTGATTGGGTTGGTCTCATTTGACTTAGTTTCTCTCGTATCATTGTTTGAAACTGTTCTGTTTTCTGAATAAAAAGAATATAAAAAATTTAGGCGGAGAAGCATGAAGAAACTTTATACACTAGGAGCTTAAAGTATACCAAGAAATGCTTGCAGTTTGGGGATTTGGAAGTAGAGTACTTGGTATAACCTGAATATTTAAGTGCAAAATGAATAATTAAATATATATATTTTGCAAATATTTTTCTTTTACAAATTCCTAAAGGCTAAACTCGAATTTCAGTACAGCACAATAGAATTGCATGCTATTCCCATATGATTTTTCGATACGATGATCATTGATCTGAAATGCACAGTTTCTCTTATCATCAACATGTGTGTCCGAATACATACAAACTAGTTCACCTTGAAGCGTAGAATTGCTGTCTCCAAAAACTCCTAAAACTAAGGTATACATCAAAAGGTATCCAAATGTCCAATGCATTGTAAATCTGCTTCAAGCAAAGTCTTCGCCGTCCAAGGACTTTGAATCAATATGATCAGTTTTAAAATGGTTTCTCTGTCTTCCTGTCAAAGTTATCTCTCCTTAGTATATATCAATCTCTTGACGTTCACTGATTGTTGTTTTGGTCTCAAACCATAGCTGACGACTTCGTAGTGGGAACCTCAACTATATGACACACACGACGTATTTGTCTCTCTCGCTCAAACTGTGCGAGCAAATCAGGCATGGTTTTGAAAAACATGTTCGAGGAATGTCCTCTATACGCTTGTCCAGAGTTTGCGCGGATGAATTTTTAATGACCCCTTCTTAACCGCTTGTAATTCGCGACGGCTTAATCTGTGGTTTTATTGAAATTTTCCGCTACGGTGTATTTAATAACCTTTTTGTATCCACTGATGCATTTTATTGTCGGATGTTTTGCGCGTTTCCCAGTGGAAAAGGTCACATATATTCTCCATGATGATTTATTATTTAATACATTTAAGGCAAAGCTATATTCTCTCTTGCTGTGAAGGAATAATCGTGCTTAGGTTGCATTGTTGCTTAATAATTACCCTTCTGTTCTCATGTAATTGTTTCAAAGTGGATATATTTTGCATAGCGTGTCGCGTCTTCAGGAAACGAAAGAAACCGAACCTGCGTGTTTAAAATAACTTAGCCATAATATATTTCATGTATTTCGTTCCGAAAATCATCACCAGATATTCTCTCAAGATAAAGCTTGTCATTTTATACTATGCTTAATTCTCTCAAAAAGCATTTTAACAAAATTTCTTCTCTTTGAAATAATGCAATTTTTATTTTTATTTAAAATCTTCGATTGTAAGCAACGCTATCAGAAACTCATCTGCATTGTGGCTGCTTGTTTGCAAAACCTCTCTGGCGTAAGTTTAGTGAAATAAACAATTCTCAAGCGATTGTTTTGAATCTCTTTGCGCGAAGCCCACACGAAATTTTCCCTTCTATTTCATGCATAATATATTATACAATAAAACATCAATGGCTTTCTGTTATAAACGGCAAAACCTTATAATTTGATTTAATTTATTTTTTATTAAAAATTAAGAAACGCTTTGTAGTTTTCTATATTGCACAGCCGTAGCAACGATTCAAACATAACATGTCGGTCGTGATCAAAAGATTGGAGGCTCTTGCCGATACAATTGTAACTATTAATGAGGTATTCAGAGACCTTTAGCGGAGGTGGGGTCCTTTACTAAAGTATTTTACATGGTTTCATAAATAACTAAAAGCGATTCAATTGTGATGCTCGCTATTAATTGTCATCCCACCAAATCTGAAATTAGTTCAACGAATTGAAAGAAAGAAAATGAAAATATAGCAACCGTTATGAGGCCAATGCAATTGTTTTGTCGTGGGAGACATAAGAAAGTCACTTGGGCAGGTAAATTACTCGAAACGTGCAGATATAGAACAACGGTTTCATAGCTTGTTGAATGGTTTCATAGCTTGGTATTTAGTGCACTGCTCAGAGGTCTCAGAGGTGTTGGCTAAATTCTTGCCGGAATGCCCGAGTTTTAGTTTTCCTTGCTGATCTTGTTCAATATATATATTTGATTCTCTTCAAATCCTACCACAATTCCTTAATTCGAGATTGCTTGATTTGTTCTATGCCTCAAAGGCTCTTTCACTCTAATCTGAGATTTTCAACATTTATTCTGTTCCTTCTTTCTCCCTATATAAGAACTAACCCGTAGACACTGACGACTGAGCAACTCCTCAGTGCGATGTTATCTGCGTTCTAAACCTACCAATTCCCTTTCCTCAACTTTAGGAGTTTGTTGAATTCAATTAGCCTTTCTCACGATGACGTTTTTGGGGTATTTCTAGATTTTCTCAAACGGGTTTAAAAAGTTATAACAACATGAAAAGCAAGAGACCAACAGACCACTTGAAGAATAACTCCAGCCTAAAATTAAATACTGTGGCCGTTATGAGGTCTCACGCTTGCGGTTTTGAAAAAAAAGTACCCCAAAAATGGCGGCATACTCGTCATCGTGAGAAAGGCTAATTCTCAATTCCTGCATGGATGAATAACGCCATAAGATCTGCATACAAAATTCAGATTCTTCGCAATAATATATACGTGGTGATTATATTTAAAACCAAAGCATCATTCTACCGAGATAATTTTATTTCATTACATGTAAGCAAATATTTAAAGCATACAATTTCGTTGACTATGGTAATATACTAACAACCAGCTTCAAGATATCTAAATATACGTTTTCAACTAGTTCAACCTAAGTCCTATATGTCAACAGCGAGATTAAAAAATCACTTAGCAGGATAAAAGGGGCGTAAATCCTCTGGCTAAAATGCATATACGAATATTTTCAGCATTAAAAGTAAAGTTCTCCAACACCGTTCCACGCTGCATGCATACGCTTAGCTCGTTCAACTATTATAATTCGGGATTGCAGTAAGAATTACAAGCGAGAAGAGAATAAATGTGAGCAGAAATACGACAAAGAACAAGCGATCCAGCACGAGAGCAGCCTTCTTCCAATCATGACGGATTCCTTCCTCTGTTTCATCGTTTTCTGCTTTCTTCGAGAGCACAGAGAGATCTTTGTGAATGGATTCCATATCGGTCTTCGGGTTTGATGTGATCTCTTGTAGTTGTACGGTGTTCGTGTTGGTCGTTGCCTGCGGGTATTCCGCCGTCATTCGATTGTTGTTCACGTTGTAACTCGTGGACGAATGGGTCTCGACGTACGACACTTCAGAACCGTTTGCACAGAAGATTTTTCCGAAGCAACGCACGACTAGAGAATGCAGCCAGCGTGGCATCGGGGTGTCGTTGTGGTGCCAACGTATGGTGACGCACGTTGCGACCAAACACAGCGCAATCTCGATCATTACCGCCAAGTAGTACTTGCCTATGAGAGGAATCACCTCCGAGGTCGGCGGCATTGAGTTGGATACCATCAGCATGTACACGGTCATCGCTAGTAAGACGGTGATCACGAGAGAGATGCGCTCACCTGAGTCCACTGGGAGATAAAATGAGAGGAAAGCCAGCGCCGCGATCACAGCGCAAGGAATGATGAGATTCGAAACATAGTACAACATTCGACGTCTGACTCGCACGGTGAAGATGATGGACGGGTAGGGTTCATCGCAGCACGGATAGAAGTCCTCGTGGCGTCTGGCTTTTACGTCGATGATGTCCCATTCTCCGTTTGTGATGAAGTTGCTGAGATCCGCCTCGGTGTCGGTTGTATTAACGTCAATGCTCACGCTGCTGTACGTCCACGAGCCGAACTGAAGGACGCAGGATTGTTCATCAAAAGGAAAGAACTCCACATCAATTTTGCATTCGCTTTTAAGGATTATCGGAGCTAACCATGTGCAGTTACCATCGCTGGTTACAATGACTTTTGTATCAAGGCTTTGGTAAAGACTTCCAGTGTTGTCCGCGCTGAAATTGGAATAGTTTTGGGTCAGATTTGTTCGACGTGAATGGCCTCTGTCGAGGCTTCGTAGTATACTTGACAGTGCTGTTGTAGTTTTGTTTGTTGTTGATTGTTGATGCTGTTGTTGTTGTTGTTGTTTTTTGTTGTTGTTGTTGTTGTTGTTGTTGTTGTTGCTATTGTTGTTGTTGTTGTTGTTGTTGTTGTTGTTGTTGTTGTTGTTGTTGTTGTTGTTGCTGTTGCTGTTGTTGCTGTTGCTGTTGTTGTTGTTGTTGTTTACACTTACGTGTTGTATAAGCACATATCAGGCACCCAAACGAGGTTTCTGTCAACGTTGATGGAGGTGATATTCATGTAGTCTGATCCTTTCCAGGTTAGCATCGGGTTGTTCCAGTATTGTCGAATCCAAACACTGAGGATAACCACTTGAGTTTTTTCATGCTAAACGATTAACATAATATGCACAGAGTCATGGATAAAAATACTACAAAAAGGGAATGCGCGCTGTGCGTAATAATTTATTCAGAAGAGGTAAACTACCGACTAAATGTTCCTAATAAACATCTCCATTTCTTGTCACCCACTGCGATTGTTTGGAGTTTTATTGATTGATGGATGATTTCGGGTTGAATGTGTTTATTGGTCAATTTGTTTTTAAGACCAACTATATCTTCGTTTTTGTCATTGCGATTAGTTTTACTTCAGGGTTGTAACTATCTTTAGCAAACTCGGCCCCAAATTGTTTCTCCTGAAAGCCTAGTGCAGGTTGCTTCGTTTATCTGCCCAGGTGTGGAAAGGCCATACTCTAGAAGCTACGTCTACGGTGTGAAAAGGTCAATGGAGCCGAGGCGTGTGGTAGAAGAGACAAGTGATTCATCAACCACTGTGTCAAGTTTGCGTGTCTGAAATATGGTGCATTCTATTTCTACAACCGTCTTATAATCAACTTTGAAGATCTACTCACAATGTCCATAATTTGTCGTATTGCAATCTGCAACTTCACTTTGACGGACGAGTTCTTATCTTTGACTGGCAGAACGTCTTTCATGAACACCTCTGATTTCGGGAACAGTTTCGCCATTAGTTGTAACTCTGCTTTGTTCACAGCATTTGTGGCTAAGATGAGAAATATTGACATGAAGAAAAGATCATTTTATAACTGGAAGGACACATTGCCTCATTCTTCTAAATCTTCTAAAACAGCTATTCCTGCTGTTTTATGTAAAAGATGTTCTAAGGAATTAAAAACTTGTAAGCCTGGAGTGATTAATACAGTCATAAGATCTATATTGATTTTGCATATGACTGAAATTCATCAGTTTAAGAGATGAGATTAGTTCGATTTCAGTTTGATGATAAAAAAGGTGGAAGAAAGGACATTATTTCTTTAGTTTTTCCCTCTTCATTCTTAAAGCCTTTCATTTTGATTGAAGCTTGACGACCTTTGAAGTTGAAAGAATATGGCTTTTGTATTCTTATAACTGCAACACAAGATCATAGCGCTGTATGGTCCCCCTATCAGTACCTAGTTTTTGTATTTGAAAGCTATTTTAGCATTGCAACGCTGTGCTTTTGATTGCTCAGAGTAAAATGCGATCCATCTCAATATTCATTCTGACATCTCTTCAATCAATACCCCTCCCATACGGTTTCCAAACGATACTAAAATTACCTTAAAGACTGTGCCGCTCTGCGGTCAAACGCCACAGAGGGTACCCCCTGTTAGGCTTGCGCTGTTAGATACACAAAGAGTATTCACGAACACTTAAGTCGAACCAAATGTTTTGAGAAAGAAAAAAATAATGTATTTTGATACGATGATATCAAAATGAGGCACATTGAGCATTTTGTAGGATGATTTAAAAGACAAATTTGGTAGGATTATTGCCATTTGATCATTTTCAACGAGAACAGATTGTATAGAACTCATTCGATGCGTTTCTCAGTTGGCTATTGACGTTTCGCCGTTCAATGTTTATGTAAACAAAATGCAAATTCGCGAGATATTTTGCTTCAATTTTAATACTGTTATAGAAAAATTCAATAAACTATAAGAAAATAAATACGCAAGTTGTAATGTAATCAGCATGCATGAGTGATATTACTTTTTTTATTTTGGACTTTTTTTTATTTTGGAACATTAAATTTTTACGACATGCATTAGATATTAAAAATAAAAGCTTTTAGAGCTGGAAAGCTTCAATGTTGCTGCAATTTTCTTTATTCACGATTTTCGGGATCTCGATAAAGCCAAATGACCTCTATATATATTGACTATATTGATATGCGTCCATCTGTTTGTCTGTTAAATCATCAATTGATTTCAACTAGGATGGATGTCTGTACGATGAAGTTTATTTCGTTCATTTATAAGATGAGATTCTTCTATACAAATCAGCGTTGTCAAGGAAAATTGTATGTTTACATTCTATTTTCGTGCTCAAAATTTTCCGGGCATGCAAGTAATATTTGCTACTTTTTCTTGCGTGTCGAATCTTCCGAATTTCTGTGATTAGAGATAAATGGAGTTGCACTGTGAGGCTAGTTTTCTCTTCACGATCAAATTTGCAAGAAACATCTCTGGAACTTAGGTTTGAAATCATCGGTCATATATTTTTATTACCTTTGACATAGCTTTATCTTCGTGAATGCGATTTGAATTTGATCTTATTATATCTAGTTAGACATAAATTTTTAACAGTCTTCATAAGTTCAACATCTTCATTTCTTACCTCCGACTTTTGTGCTGTACAAAAACATTACAACCAAAGTGCAAAAAGCGACACCTGGTACAATACTTCTATGTCTCATATTTCTTCTGCCACTTCCCCTCTTTTTTATTAAATTCCCTCTTCTTCTTTCCTCTAGCGTGTTTTATTACCCGCCCACAGCAAACAAAGCTTGCTTGCTTCGCTGTTAGCTAGCTCGATACTAGGACCTCAAGTTCGGTACGTCTTGTACTAACTTTCCTCGGGTAGTTAACTGTGAATGCCCTACGTGAAAAACGCCAAGCCAAGGGCAAGTTGAGGGAACGTTGTACCCGCGTGCATGGTTTATCACTGAACCTGTTGATGTTCGATATTTGCAATAAGTTGCGGGAATTTAAAATAATTGAAGCCCTTCTCACCCCCAGGGGGTTAATAAGCACGAACAGGCTCTAAACCAATGGCAATTAGGTGTAATCAATGGACCGGAATTATTTTTAAGCGAAAACTGTGAGCCTCGGAGAGGCATTGAAAAGTATGTGTTCTTGAGCTGGTATTTCGTGTAGACTATATGTGCATACTTTTTTGTTGAAACTTATCCATAGTAATCCTAGTTCGTTTAATTTTGAAGCAGCTTCACATTTGCGTTAAAGATCAACACGAGCTCTAAGTTATTCTTAAGACTTAAATATTTCGTATGCTAAAGAAGATGCTATCTATGCAAGTCGAGTGTTGCTGGGCTACAAACTATATAACCCTATAGTTTACTTTGGAGTCATTTTTGTATGTTTGGCTACAGATAATTTGGCAACATTTCGCAAATAATCGAAATTATGATCGTTGTGTTTCTATGGTTAGAAGTGTGTTTTCATTTTGACTTTTTGTCTTGAGCAGATGTTCGTGATTAGATCGAAAGAGGCCGGACTTGATGAATTATTAAACAAGCATCCTTGAAGTTTTACAGAACTGTGAGAATAATAAACAAAATACATTATCGGCGAGACGGGAGTAAAAATCAGTGCCAAAGAATGTAGTAGTCTTTAAACCTTCTCTCGGTCGAACATACATTTTCATCTCGAATCTCACCTCAATTTTTGTCAATTCATAACTTACATATATTGCAAGCCATAAGCAAACAGGAATATAATTGTATTTCAAACTACGCTTCAAGACATATATTTGCTGGGACTGGTTTCAAATGTGTGTCTCGTGTGTTATTTCCTATTTCGCGAAGCTTCCCTTCGTGCATTCAGTTTAGGCTTTCGGTCAGTGAAGCAGCTAGTGTAGAATACAGGGGGTTAATGCAACGTCTTTCTGTACGCCTCGCCTTCAGAATCCGTGGCTGTCCACAGGATAAGAATCACCGTTATTATGAACATTAAAAGGAAAAATACAAAGAAAAAACGATCAATAACTTTGGATGCGTACTTCCACTTCTCTCTTCGACCATTCACCTCTTCGTCTTCTCTGATCTTATTCGAAATGACAGCCAATGATCTCTTGGCACTGCTGGTGAAACCTGGATCGTCTTGTTCAGAGCACAAGGCAATGGTCTCTAGCTCCATTCCTCCGTCCGAGATGACATCATTTTCGTCCAACGCACCGTGTCCCCTCTTACCTCTGCTGCAACTCGCATAACCCTTTCTGCATTTGGGTCGTTTGAAAAGCAACACGCTAGCTAGATGTCCGTTTACAAAACGATAAATGTACTCGGGCATCGGGCTTTCATTGTAGTACCATTTGATGACGACAAAGGTAGCGACAAGGCAAAACGCTATCTCGATTATACAGGCCAAGTAAAACTTACTCACCAGCGGTATCACCTCAGAATTTGGCGGCATGAAATCAAAGATGAGCATCATGTAGACGGTCATCGATAGCAACATTGTGATAACCAAAGCGATTCTTTCGCCGCTTTCGACGGGTAAACAAAATGATAAAAAGGCCAGGAATGAAATAATAACACAAGGAATGACCAGGTTTGTAAGATAGTACAGTATTCTGCGTTTCATCACGAACTTGTATAAGACAGTTGGATATGGCTCCGGGTAATAACCGACTCTCTCCGACACGATTACCTCCACGATGTACCAGGCTGGATTTTCAACAAACTGGGAGAAAGGAAGGTTTTTCGTGAGAGGAGCGATGCTGATGTATCGTCCGGGGTAGGTCCACGATCCAAACTCCAGTTCGCACACCTGATAGTCGAAAGGGAAGAACTTCACGTTGATCTTGCATTCACTTTTCAACTGGATGGGCGCAAGCCACGTCGTATTGCCGCTAGAATGAGTCTTGATGGCCGTGTCTATTTTTGCTTTCAAGTTTCCTGAGTCGTCCAACCTGAAGTGAAAAGAAAACTCGTTTACTTCAGAGCATTTAAAGCCGAACCGAACAAATTTGTCTGCGAAATTTTGTCTGCCTAGTGCCTATCACAAAATGAAATCATTATAGCGTCAAGGTTTTTCAACGTGATAAATTGTCGCTATCAAATACATTAGCTGGGACATTTATAGGGAAGGGCTAAACTACGTGGCAGATCTACTGAACCATTTGCGCTATCTTTCCATCGAGGACCAGACTCTGTATGTCCATAGAAATATTGTTGCCAGTCATGAAGAAGTGAAATTCGTCACCGATCGTTCTCCGAAGTTTATTCCAACGCCTCTTCTGCATGCACGATACTCACGTGTTGTACAGGCAGATATCAGGAACCCAGACACTGCCTGGTCGAAGATGCACGTGATCAATGTCCATGTGATCTCTCGGTTCCCATCGTAGCATCGGATTGTTCCACTTTAACATCACCCCGGTATAAATCATCATAAACTGACTCTTCTCATTCTGAAAATACGGAAAAGATTGGATTGAACTAGGCTAGTTTAGGGCTATAATCGTAGGCCAAATTTTTCTTCCGTCACCTTGTTTGGGTGACATACTGGTTCATCTTGTTTAAAAATACGGTTTTGTGGGCTCTCTGTGACATATGTCAGCCCTTCGGCAACCATGGCCCTTCAATCGAGATAAACTTCGTTTTATTACAGAGAAGGTACTAGTTTCTGCAATACTGAATACTTAAACATAGACTTCAGCTTAAGCTATTGACCGTCAATAAGCTATCCAATCGACAAGTATAAACAGAGTATTCAAGGCTCCATTATACTGAAGTAGAGCGAATGTTGGTCCAACGTCTGTCACATTAAGTTAGTCATGTCAGGCTGTTTCATTCTATCACCTAAAATTATCAACTCAAAACCTAAACCAGCTATAATTTAGTTTCCTAATTTGACCACAGTGTTTAATTCGAGTCTTATGTCTAGAGTATTATGATCTTACCACTTCAACCAATCTCCGCAATATCAACTGAATGGTAATTTTCACAGGCTTATCAAAGCTCACCATGGGTAGAACTTGTTTGGAGTAGTTCCTCATTAGGACATTCGTTATCAGGTCGAGTTCAGCTTTCTCACGAGAAGTTCCTAAAATTCGGGGGGGAGAAGATGTGGCGTCTTTGCTTGTTGATTTCTATAGATTATAGAAAACATCACCGCAAAGCAATACAACAGAAAAGCATGTTGAAATAGCCCAGATACTCTCTAGACAGAACTGCCTCTTAAGAGCTGCCTCTTCACGAAAAAAATCTTACCACCTTCCCCCCTTGCGTTCGCATCGTTCCGGCGTCCCTGATAAAATGTTGTTGTGGTTGCCCCTAAACGTTATGCCGTGTCGATATCTCAGCTTGCAGCCGTGATCTCCGATTCTCAATTTGTTGAAACTAATAGTCTTAATCCCGTACATCATTTACAACATATGGACAGTCATGTCATGCTTAGAATGAACCAAATTTGAACCAAAGTCCTAAATTTAAACTAAGGTATTATCCTTTATAAGAAAACAAAGTATTATATGTAGCCGTACTGTCTGTGTACTTTCAAAAAAATCATGCAGTTCAACTGAGTTCATGCGGTGAAACGTGAAAGTTTGTACACTTTGCAATTAACAACACGACTTGGTAGTATTGTTAGCCGATATATCGCTCCTCCGTGTTACCAAACAAGCGTCTGGCTCAAACAGAGAGATTTAAACGGTGATATAGGCAATTATTTAAATCTCATTTCGTAAGGTTTGCTTGTTCGACATTAGTTTGCCTTGGAAACAGTCATTCATAGTCTGAATGACTAAACAATCATTCATGGTCATTCTAGTCTTACACATGCTTCATTCATAGTCTTACAATTTTTTCACTCACAGGAGTTTCTTCATGTTTCACCCATAACAAGCTCACAGCTGAAAACCTAATCCATATAATGTAGTAAATGTATGCCTAACACTCGATTTTTCAAATTACCCACTACTTTACACCTGCCATTAAGAATATCTCCTTTAGCAAATTATTTCCCAAGCCAAAACTTCATGATACCTAAACACCGAACTAATTGATGTTCAAGATAACATTGTCCTAAGGCTAATCCATCTTCAAAGCTTCTATACAAGGCGCAAATTTAATTTATCATTTTTTTTATTTCAATAGTCTGATTAAGCAGGAGGGCGCCGCTTTTGAAAATCCAAGCCATCCATGTTTGTCTGGAGAGTTATTCGTGATAGGATGAAATGTTCAATTTCAAACCAAATTATGAGGCAAGATAGACGAAGATTGGATTCCTCGCCTCTTGTAACTGATTTTTGGTCCAAATTTTAACGAGGCATCCTTATACGGCCAAAGGTAACTTTCATCATCATACAGACACAGTGACACACTGTCTCCTGAATCTATAGACCTGTGTTTGCAATGAACGGTATATATTTTGGGACAAAACAAAGCGCGTTACCTTTAACACATCTTTAGGCTTTACTCACACGCAGATATATAAGAACTCTATTCAAGAAGCTACCTCACACTCATTGAAGATGACATGGAAATTCTGTTCATATTGATCAATAAGATAGTCGTTTCTTAATCAATGCATGCAAATATTTAAAGGTAAAGCATTGAAAATCGAGCCCCTTTTGCAGCGGAAAATGGAAATACCGTTTTGGAATCCTTGCGACCTAAATGAGATCTACCACTCAGCGAGTTTGAGTGTGGGTTTCTTGGTTACAGGCAATATATAGATCGTATAAGTATCCCCTGTAAGTACAAATTCCATCGGCAATCTGTATCGGATACTAATTCAATCAAACGTCAGCCCTGCACAGCGTGTAAACACAGAAATTATAACGATAAATAACGATAAATGCACTCACGCCAAATAGTATCACAATATAAACGCATTTACTTTAAATCTATCGCTGCAAACTTGGTGTTTTTTTCACCTTACCACTTGTTAACTGTGACCAGATCCCAAGGAGTGCACAAATCAAGGTGAACCGCTTCATATTGTTAATATCCAGCATACACTTTTCTGCATAGGATCTGCCTGAAGACCGTTCGATACGCGTAATCCTTTTAGCGCGCTTTTAATGTCGGCCGCGTATCTTTGAGTTTGCCCGCATCGCTTATGATAATTGTAACTTTAATAAATGCATTGTTGTGGTTTGACAATGACTCATGGAAGGTCCGTCCAGTTTATTGGCACAAATGAATTGGTCGAATTAAAGACGGGAGAAAAAATTTCATAATACAAGACCATGGTAACTTGGAAGACTATGCAAAATGTCCGTTATTTGCTTAGAATGATCTCAGGGAAGCTGGATAGCGCTATGCATCGGATGGTGATTCTTTCAACTTTTGTAAAAAAGTCGTCGAAAAAGCTGTAAAATTACAAATTTTGGGCTAGAAAAGAACAGTGTCCGGTGAATAGCGCGCTATTCAGCTTTCGTAGTAGAATGGGCTACAAATTACAATTATATTAAAAGGATTCATTTTGTGAAAATTCCCGACAAGCAGTATACTTGTGGTTTTCCAACAATGGCCATAGATTTGGAACACAATGGTACTGTGGAATCTAGTTTTCTCGGTCTTTGTGTAACACCATTGACTTATCTATTCTATAAACTATTTAAAATGACAATTTTCCAAAATCTTTGGAATGGAATGGTAAGACCACCCCCCCCCCCTCCCCCCTGAGCAACATTGACGTTGTGTTCTGATCTATTATATAGCTTGCTCAACTCGACAGTTCTACTTGTATTCACCATTAAGTGATCTCAATCAAATCATTTGGTAGGTAGACCTATATATAGACTACATATGATTCTTGGTAGCATTTATATGCTATGATTATTGTACTCTGTCAGAAATGAACTAATTCGGAAGATTTAGTCCCATAAAACCAAACTGATTGACCTGCTCAGCGTAGGAACCTGCCTGGGAAATTATTTTGGTTACTTAGTCTCAAAACATTTCTCAGATATTTTGACATTAAATAACAATCTGAGATAATAAAACACCAATGGTGAAACCATTACATTATATCAAATTTGAGTTCAAAGTATTTTGTATAACTGTGTTTACAAAAGCGAAGCTAGAATAACATGTTTCTAGAGACGAAGAACATTAGAAAATACTTATATCAGTAGGGCATATTAACTTGAGTATAGGCTCGCAACTTTAGGACTGATTTAGAACCTAAGATATCAAGTCTGCATCACAGATGCATCTAAGGAGATACATACATTGTTACAAGTTGTTTATTTATTTATTGATATTCACCTATGTTTTCATAACAATTTGAACATGTACAAGCAAAACATTACAAACACTAAGACATGATACATTCTTACAAAAAACGTGCAACTGGGGAAAGGAACAGGACTTGCACAGGATAATTGATGCCTAAACTGAAGTAATTAACCACATAAATTAGTTGAATTATCTAGAAAACAATTATATATGTATCAAATTATATATTATATTATTGTGTTATCTATAATTGTTTTCAATTGGAGCTTTTGGGAGTTTAATTCTAGCGTCTTATTAATAGGTATGATTGGTAGTAATGCTTCTATATTGCTTGCTATATTTATATATACAATATGTATTATGTATTATCAGGTCAGTGAAGTTTCAATGAAGACAATTAGACAATAAATAAACTGTTCATGAAATACTAGGAGACCACCATGGCACCATCCATGTTCACTGACTCTACTCCCTGTTGTTGCAAAAATCATGGCTCTTCTTAAAGCTGAGGTATTTCACTTTATTATAGCCCATCTCATATCAACACCTATGCAGTTTCTTTCTTCGTTTCTGCTATATCATCTTGTATATTACTTTGAGCATGACCGTTATCATCAATGTTTTTGTCCTTTATGTTATTTGAAAACGCAATGATTCCTGGAGCAAATATATAAATTCCACTCAGCACACCAAGAACACTCGCCACCGCTATCTGTTGTAGAGGAAGATGAGAAAAAAGCCCCATATTTTGAGCAAAATTGATCAAAACAAACCAGCAATATAAATATATATGAATAAGGGGGTAATTTAAGAGGGAACAAATGTACGCATGCGCTGAATGGACTTTAGCATAATAGACCAACTTTTGATTTAGGCAACAAAAACGAAAGTCGAAGGAAACATTGAGACTTGAAGGAAAACAAACTCATTATTTCCCCGATGTGTTGCGAACATTAAGTGTTTTGTTATATAGGAACAAAAACATACAATTACACGACAATTTCATTTCAAAAAACTTTGTTATGACAAGAAGCGGGCAACAATTTTTCACTTGTTTCCCTGGCGGGAAACATTGCATTTATTTAAAGTCATGTGACTACGAATGAACCAATCACATTTAAAATACACAGCACTTCACAGCACCTATGTAACAATTAACTTTATATTGACCTCACTGATTTCTCATTAACCTATGCTTACGGCATATTACGAGCATTATCCGAAAGTCGGCCGAACAAAATCAAACATTTGAATGATTTGATGACCTTTGAATCTAAACATAGAAAACGACATTTTCCTGGTTCAAATTTTACGTTTTTAAATATTTCGTATTGAGTCTGGGACAATTGAGTTACTGCAATTAGAATTTCAAGTGTTTTCAAGTTAAAATTGCGTCTTGAAGTGAATTTTGCAAGCAGGAAGTGAACAACAGGATGGTTGATAAAAAATTGACGACAAATGATGGTGGTAATGAGATGGTAGAGGTTGATACCAATGTGATGGAAGTGGACAATGAGGGACAACAAGATGCCATAAATAGTGGGTCATCAGAAGAAAATTCAGAGCAAGTCACTAATGAACTAACACAAACAGATCACTTAAACAAAAAATTGTTACAAGCTTTTTTGACTAGGATTAATACAACAAATGAAGAGGGCACTGTCTTGGTTGAGACCCCAGGCAATTCTTCAGATTGGGTTGATGAGTCTACCTAAGAACTTATGATTTATATTATGATGTTGAAAATCTAGGTGTGTCATTGTAATAAAAGATCCATAAACATTAACTCAGTATTACATGTATATATTATACTTAAAGCATGATTTTCATCTATGCTGGTCCTTGCAAGCATGCACCTCACTCAATATAACCAACTTTCTACACCAATACCATTTGTCTTAAAATTGCAAGCGAGTTTCAAATGTTTTTGTGTGTGTGTGTGTGTGTTATTTTATAGTTTCAGAAATGCCTCATAAGCATGTGCTAAATCAAATTGCTTAAAATGTTTTCAATTAAAGGTGATTTCCTAACAACATTTGGGTCTCCTAACCACCTGTCATATTGTGGTATATCTGTTGGCACAGATAAGAGTGTGTACAAAGGTATGACAAAACTAGAAATGCTGCTTAGAAATATTTCTAGCCTGTTTAACTGCCTTCTAAACAACATTGATGTGTGCAATTTGATTGTCTTCTCATTCATTTACAGTTAAATCTACTGCATCTGTACTGCATTGAGTGAAATCATCTTAATATTTGGAATATTTCACTTATATTTGGACACATCAGTTTTCAAATTTTTTAATGGGCGAAATATAAAGAGTACAGCTATGCAATGCAGATAAAAAGCTTCTTCTCAATACAAGGAATCTAATTATGTGTATTATTTAGCTGTGGAACCGATGCAACTTCAAATATAATTCCAAACAATTGAATTTTTGGAATTTCAGCCACCATTTGAATTTGGCCATGTAGGGACTGGGCAGAGTATATTTTCAGGGTGGTTGTTAGTCGATATTAATTTTTATTCAACAATTAATTATAATTAAAAGTTATAAAGCGCGAATTAACATTTAAATATGATCAAATGCCCGCTGAATGAATCACGCTAAATATTTTGTCTTTTTGGTGAAAGTTATTATTTTCAAACGCTATTCAACTGGTCTCATTTTGATGCTGCAGCCTAAAAGGCATTATGCATAACCCTTATTTCCCTAGGGTATACTCTCAGTCTAGTTTATAATACAATTGAAATAATTGTCTCGATTTCCACCATTACTACAGGACATCCAATTATTCCCGCAAAAATCCCCTACGTCTACAATCTTCCTCTCAGTGGGAGGGGTCGTGGTCTTGGCCCGGATTATCGTGACCTTTGTCTCGGGTGAACGACGTTTCGGCGGTCTGTTCCGGTCGTTCGCGAAGGCCATCAGTTCGACTGATGCTATAATGAAAAAGCAATAAGGACTATTGTAAATATACAGCTAGCAGGATAACCTTCTCTGTATGTCTAGAACTGGACCCAACTCTTTCGCGCATACTCTTTGACATTCGTAAAAGATTGCGCCCTACATGATGTTTCTCTTGATCTGATCTTGTTATACCTTCGTACAACCAGTCCCCGGTTTTGTGCTATCTAGGCGAAGGGGTCAGGACTGAAGCTGGAGTGAGCATGCATGATATTTATTATTGGATAACCTGTTGGAAAAGTTCTTTACGTTGCTTAAAGGAAGTACTTACACTTGTCCGTAGATAGGATTGTCTCCACGTTTGAATGCTGGCTCAAGTTTTTGCCTGTAAGAAGAAGAGAGAGGTTGCATGAAAATTGATTAACTTTCTAGTCAAAGACGTCGCTCTTATCATTCTTTTCAATAATAAATTATCGACACGGATGAATCGATATTACCAATGCGTTATCATCAATCGATATTACCGATGCATTATCATCAATCGATATTACCAATGCATTATAATAAATTGATATTATCAGTGGATTATCATCAATCGATATTACCAATGCATTATAATAAATTGATATTATCAGTGGATTATCATCAATCGATATTACCAATGCATTATAATAAATTGATATTACCAATGCATTATCATCAATCGATATTACCAATGCATTATCATCATTATTACCATCAGCTTACCTGCGGCGTTTTCTGACAAAAATGACAGCAGCTATTATGGCAATGACCACCAAAGCAGCAACGATACATGGGACTACGATCTCCAATATAACATTGCTGTCCTCCGTTTCCTCGACCTTAGCAGGAAAAACGATTCTCAATTTGCGTACATTCCCCAGCATCGCACCTCCAGATACGTTCAAAAACTCCACAAACAATATGACTTCACTCATCTTGGATGGAAAGTTGTTAAACTTCAGATGAATCGATGTATTCCATTGGCCTTCCAGGAAACTAAGCTGACCTCCCATTGGGGAATAGGTGAATGGAATGCTGGCACCTGGTTGGCTGGTGACAGCCCACGTGATGTTGATGCTACCCGTAGAGCCCTTGCGTCGTATAATGTTGAGGATCATCTCACCGCCATATTGCTCGGGGTCGTAAATGATAGTGTTGTTGTCTCCCTCGAATTTGGCGTGTTTTGACTCGCTAGTCAAGGAATCTGAAAGAAACAGTCGATATTGCTTGTTAGCGTATTAGAAAAGTTATTTTAAAGCACTTCTAAATAAGCCTCGTCTTTGACACCGTTTACTAACAAGTTAGACAGATATATTCCTGTGACGAAACTGAACCTTCAGGAAGAGCAACTTAGAACAGATAGGATCATTCTGTATAAGTAAATTTAGCAATTGCTACGTTAAAAACAAACCATTGATGTCTTTGTGAAATTCTATAATCCCGTTCTCCGCTTTGAACGTCCAGAATAGTGCAAATTGAGTCAAATGACAGACGTGGACTTTGAGAAGTTTTGCTGCGTGATCGATGAAGCTCCATGGCTCAGGGCAGGTTTTCGCTGCATCGAACCTAGAAATTGTAAGAAAACAACATTTAAAAGCTTGTTTTCACAAGTACATATATTCGATAAAGCGATTTAATTCAACACTCCGAGCAAATAATATTTCTTATCCATACTTACCATGTTTGATTTTTAGTGTCCCATAACAGCAGCACGGGGTCGATATCATTGTTAGTTACTTCATTGCTGACAGTTTTCTTGTTTCCTTTTAACATTTGATCGACGTCGTAAAACAACGAGATGGTAATCGGTTTCTTGAAACGATATTTGTCTTGCAAAGTATTGTTTTCTGGTTCGTAAGCTTTGATCTGGAAACTGTAGTTGCCCAATTTGAAATGCTATTGGTAAAAAGGAAAATTTTAATGCGGACTTAAGGATCCAACCTTGAACTCAAACGTGGTGGTCTAGTGTAGGTAGTATTTTACAATAAGCAGTCGTGATTTGTGACTGAACTACCCAGCTGAGAAAGATATCTCAAACGTGGTGGTCTAGTGTAGGTAGTATTCTACAATAAGCTTTCATGGTTTGTGTCTGAACTACCTAGGTAAGAAAGATTTCTCAAACGTGGTGGTCTAGTGTAGGTGGTATCCTACAGTGAAAACAACGACTGTGTCTTTCTTACCTTTGGTGGTTTCATGACCGCAGGATCAACAACTGTCGTATTATCGTCGGTTCCATTGTTCAACTCTTTTTTTCCAAGACTATAAACCTGAAATTTCACTTCATCTTCGACGGCTCCAGAGGGAACATCTAAAGTTCCAAATGTATTACCAATACCCGACTCCTTTTCTCGTGTCTCGTTGGAGTTCACATTCATGGTATCGAAGAAAAATGACCCGGAATCATTCTTCGCAAAGACAAATTCTGTCTTTCCAACCACGATGCCATTCGAGGAAACAGGCTCAGACTCCAATCCTGCAGCGTTTATGGCTTTTACGGTGACGTAATATCTATTCCCCTTCACAAGATCTCCGTGTTTGAATTTTGCATAATACGCGGCGCCGTTTCCGATCTCTTGAAACTCCCAGAGGTCGTCAAGTCCCGGAGACGAGCCCCAGCCGACCTCGTACGAAACTATGCCGCTCTCTGGATCCTCCGCTGCCCAGTTGCCAAATATGATATTCGTGAATACCTAGATAAGTCACAAGGATCTCTCAATTTTAACAATTATTTACAAAAACGGGCGTCGTGATGTAGCATTCTAACATGGGAGAGGAAAATTTAAAAGAAAACTTTGATATATTATGCACCTGCAATAAATCAAAAAAAAAATTCTAAGTTGAATGTAATTTGAAAAATTTGTATATCAATTGTCGCGGAACCAACACTGAAGGTTAGAATTCACAACAAAATTTTGGTTTGAGATTCGTCACAAAACTTCTATGGAAGCCAACTGACCTGGAAATCGATATCTGGACCGATCAGTCCATCTCTGACGTAATGTATAACGGGTGGCGTGGTGTCGATCAAAACGCCATCAGTTGATTTGGCCGTACATAATCCAGCATAATTACATGCCAACACTGTCACATAGTAGGAATCATTGTGCTGCAGCGACAGTCCTGTCAGAGTCCGGTTAGGATGGTTCGTTGCATTTTCACACCCCATGATGTCATCTCGAAGTGGCCTGGAACCGATGCACCAGAACATATGTTCAATGTCACTCTCGTTGTCCCGAAAATCGATCCAACGAGCACTGATGGACGCGGTGTTGTTCGTGAAATCCAAATCAGTTTCCGAGAAACTTCGGCTCGAGCATTGGTGCTCGGAACTCAGCGTCGTATTCGCGGAACAGTTTCGGTTTTCGTCGCTACCCAAGCCGTCGTAGACCGACCCAGGTTCGGGCGAGGTGTTGTCCAGAGAGAACGGAAAGCTGTCGGAGGTAGTCGTGCGCCCTGAAGCCGACTTCTGAGTGATCCTAATGTAATAGCTCTGCTCTGATCCAGGAAGGTAATATCCATCTTCACCAAAGCTCGGCGCAGACTCGGTGACGGTACGATTAGCTCGATAAATATTCTGGCGTATTCTACGATTATTATGCAACCCACAAGGATATTTATCACAATGTGAAACCCTGAATCTAAGATCCTCCGAGTTTTCCAAACAAATACTCCGGCTACAGTTCACACATTTCTCCTCAAATCCCGGGTATGCCTCTTCCCCATCGCCACAAGCGACACACTCCACTGTCTCTTTGTGTCCAAGCTCGGACACCTTCCTACGTACGAAATTCCGTGAACAGACTGACGTCACATACACGCGTCCAGTCCCCGCATCCACGTAATCGCTCGGCCACGTGTGTAAACCTGGACTGCCGATCACAACGTGTCGCCCTGTGATTGCAACGGATGCCGTTGCCTTACCATCATCAAAACGAAGACCATTTTTAGTCAGCACTCTTCCGATCTTTGCGCACCTGTTCCCAGGTTCATAAACACCCAACTCAGCTCCGTCGTGACCCTCAAACATGATACCGATTGCAAAAACACTGGTATTACCTTCAAACACGTCGAAATCTCCACTCAATTCAACAAGTACTGAAAGAACGTGTTCGCATCTTCTCACCGCAAAAGCGGGTAGTCGCAATTCAAAAACTTTCAATGTTCTGTCTGAGGTCGACAGAAGGAATAATTCATTTCGCTCCGTTAAGTAGATATTGTCTGGAACTTCATTGTACAATTTCATGGAAAGAACTGTGTTATTTTGCCATGAACCGTCTGGAATTCTTGTATGTACATATATTCCAGAACCTACCACCACTAGGAAATCTTTATTCATCGAGACGGCCTTTCCAAACGACGAGTCGTTCTCTTGCGATCCCAGTACTTGTTCCAATCGCCAGATATTAGAGTCATTTCTAAATATAGCAACAACGCCGTACCCATGTTGTGGATGCCTTCCGCTGACAGCAATCATTTCATCACCGTCGTAAGCAAACTCCTTTCCGACGTCTTCCGAAAAAGACCATCGGTCGTTGTCGGCACATTGTTCGGGTGGGCCTGTAGTCGTCTGGTTGCAATTAGTTATTGTTAAAATCCGTGCACTTCGAGCTAGATCTTCAGTATCTATTTTGTACAAGAACAGTTTTCCGTCGCCTGATATCAAAGCAATATCTTTGAACCCTTTAACTTTCACAAAACTTCCATTCATAGTTGAGTTGAACGTTACTAAAGTAACAGGTGTGCTTTCATAGGATCCTTTCGAGAAAACGTATGCAGAATTTTGAGATGATGCTATAATTAAGCTGTCTTTCAAAGAACTCACAGACGAACCGAATTCCTTTGTTTCTCGAACGGGTTTAATTTGTTGATCAGGGTAAACTGTACGGGGCTCCTTGTTCGTCCTTTCACAGCAAACATCAGCGTCATCGTGTATATGAGAATGATCAAAAATATGTCGAATATCAATCGTTTCGTTTCGTGTTTCATTGGCGCCGGAGGTGATCCTGTAAACGCTAGCTTGGACGGTAACTCTGATATGTTGTTTCAAAACTTCATTCGCATTCGGGTCCTCTAGGTTTGCTTTGATAAGAACGCTGAATGGATCAGGAAGGAAATACGTATCTTCAACCAAACTTCGGGACAAACTAGGAATATTGATGAATTCCTGCCATCGTTTCTGTTCCGTACCAACAAATGCATCCGTGGTGTTTACCTGGTAGAAAGAGAATAGATAGGGGACGTTAAGATGTCGGAGTTTGGCTAACGCGCGCAGCTTGCTTCCCCTTAAGTTAAACCGGCAATGTAGACAATGATAAAGTAAAGCTATTTTAGTTTTTTCCCTGGTAAGAACTAGCTTTCGATATTAACCTTGACTAAGCGACCTGCTAAGGCTTTCTGTGTAGCTGAGCGGAAAATGCAGAAAAACAAACTAAAGAATTATGCGAAACTAGGTTTGAACCACTGCCTCCGAATGTAGACACCTGAAGGATAATAGTGATCAATTGTGGTAAATGATGGTTACCTGTGCAGCTGGTGGTGCATCAGGTACTATCACAACCCCATCTCCGAAGGAATCTCTACACAAACCATCCTTGTTACAATGTTTGATCACCGGGCGGTATTTCCTGTATGGTTTAATCTTCTCCCCACTGAATCTGATGTGTTCCTTTCCTCGAGGAATATCCACGAACTCGTAAGCAAACGGCTCACCGCTCCATATCTGATGCAGCGAATCACTGATGTTCAAGTCTTCTTTCGGCTCGGTTAATGCGGCCTGGACACGAGAATATGACGTTACGGTGCTGGGCGACCACGTGACTATAATCCCTTCGGTGTCGGTTTGGTAATCTATATCGGTCATTGAGTGGTTCAAGTTAATCACTTCAGTAACACGGAGCTCAGCAGGGAAGCTCTTCACCGGGTTACATGCGGCGGATTCGAGCACTGCTTTATTGCCAACACCATTGGTGATTCTAACGACAACTCGGACACTAGTTAGGGTAGAAAGTGAGGGGAAAACAGCAGATTTCGATAGTAGATTGGTCGGTATTTCTTGCCAAGGTTGTATGTTGCACAAATTGTTTATGCTCTCAACACACCACTCGATCAAAACAATGCCAGATTCTTTGTCTTCATGTTCCAGCCACGAGGCCTTGATCAAATCACTTGCACAAGAAATCGTTATTTGGGCACTCTCTTTCGTATCTAAAATAGAAAAGTTTCAAAAGGCAATTAGTTAGTGTGTCGGTCTCTGGCTGTTGTGGACTCATGGTATCTTCTGTAGTAAACCTGGAACAACAAACGATTATCTTAACTGGAATCTTATTTGGAGAAAAGATAATTCAACAATGGCAAGTCAACAATTACCTGTTTTAGTCTTATTGCAAGATCTTTCCGAGACCGCATTGACACAGATCTCGTCCAGATCAGACGAAATGCCACTCATTTGTTTTACTGGTAGTGGCGGAGTGACGTCAATCTTTATTTCATTCGACGTTGCAAATGCAGACATTCCTGCATTGTTTGTTGCTCTGACCGTGACGTAATATGTCTCCTGATGACGTAATTTGTGGCCAGTGAAAGTATAATTCATGCTCAAACCAACGGACTGGAACTCAATCTCATCACATTCCTCTTGTCCTGTGCCGAGGCAGACTTCGTATTGAGAGATATCTGACTCAGCATCCATGAAGTCCTCCCATCTGTAAAAAATACTTTCACTCAGTTTTACGCTCAGGAAAAGGGAAATAAGGGCTCAGTAGGTTGATTTTATAGCATCGTTACTCCATCAAAAGTTTCACTGCTGTGCTGTATTAGATAAACAACAAAGGATCCTTTCTGGACCTCTAGAAAAGCCAGTTTTAAGACTGATAGGGCACCCCGCTGTCTATAAAGTTGGATCAGAGATTTTTCTACTTTCAAGTTACCTTGCCGTGATCTGATGGATATCGAAGTTACTTGGTGATGGAACGACAATCACGACTCGCCCAGACACAGGTGCTGTTGTGTCAACAGTGAATCCATCTGATGTGGCATCCGTCCTTAAACCAACCACATTTATAGCACGAACTATAATCACATATTCTCTACCGCTCTGCAACTCCGTCCCTGAGGAAACGTGAAAAATGATCAATTCTTGTGTCTCTCCTGAATAACTATTGGAATAACAGCCTCTTGGACTTAAACAAGAAGCCAAAATTTAAAACGACCTACCTGATAAGCTTATGTTGGTCTGAAGTCCCGTGTCGGAAAACGCTGTTGGACAAGCTGTCATATTTTCTTTTTCACATAGAGCAAACTGGTATGAATTAATACCACTTTCTGGATCTTCAAATTGAGACCATCGAGCGTAGACAGTGTCACCACCTTTGAGATAATCAACATCATCACCTTGACCATCAATAACCATCCCAACACGTGGTGGTGTGTAGTCAACTGTAACACCATCTGATACCATCACAGTGGTCAAACCTGCGCCATTAATTGCTGTGACTGTGACGTAATACCTTTCCCCGTTTTTCATTGGTTGCTTCAGATACGTCGATGATTTAGTTGCGGTAACGTCCAACGAGGTCCTGGGACGCAGGTCGCATGATCGAGGCCTGGATCCGACACACCACGTGAGGGTGATGATGTCACTCTCGGGATCTTCAACGTTAAACCACGAAGCAGACACGTGCGTGCGACTTTGTTGGTAGTCAATATCTCCGGCTTCTCCAGAGCCGTCGATAACATCACTCAATGGTGGAGCTATAGGAATGAGTATAACGTATGAGAGACAAATTGGACTACAAGAGTAAACATTTTGGATTTGGTGCAATTCAATAAGAGTGAAGCTAGAAATCTTAGTAAGTAAACTTACCCGTTTTGTCTACAGCAATAGGTTGCGAAGCCGTGAGATTGGTAGAAATCCCAGCATTATTGGTACTTTTTATCGACACAAAATATTCTTCACTGTGAATCAAACTCAGATTATACCAAGCGTGACTCGCCGTTCTCCCGGCGCTAACCAGGTTGGTTACATCACACAACAAAGGTTCAGTACCTACACACACCGAATAGCCACGGATTCCAGTCTCGAGGTCAATGAAACCATGCCAGCGCGCAAGAATGGCAGAGGAAACGAAATCATATTGCTCTCCCAAGGGGTTTAATGCCATGACATCCCCAATGTCAGGTTCCGTTGTATCGATAATAAATGCAAGAGTATTAGCAGATGAGCTTAGACCAACTGTGTTTGTTGCTGTGATGTTTATGACGTAACTCTGACCTTCCGTGATCTCTGGCTCTTCAATACACACCGATGTTTTGTTGTTGAGACCCCGTGCAAGGATGGGACAGTTGTGTTTACTGTGCTCCAAGCAAAGTGAAAAACGATAATCAACGATGTTTGTCTCACTGTCAGTAAACGTGTCCCATGAGGCGCAGATTAAGCTTTTCGAGGTCAGGTATATTCTGTCGCCTACCGTTGAGCTTGGTGATGTGATTTCCACCTGAAAATATAGATCAGACCTTTGTTGTAAGTAAAGAGAAAACTTAAAACCTTTCTCGTTGAAAGAGCTGCAAATTTTATCTTTCTTCCAAACTTTTGTTACAAGGTCCAAAGTATACTTCAAGAGTGTTTCTGAACGGTTTCCAGCGGTATTTCTGTGTCTCCTATAGTAACACTAAAACAGGCTATTACGAACGAATATAACTAGTTTAATTTGGGTTCCTACAGTAGTCGCACCAGACCAATATTGGAAAGGAGTTTAAACGTAATAGAGCGGCCCATTAAATAAATAAGATGCAACTTACATTCCCTGGGTTAGGCGGTGTGCTGTCGACCAATAATCCATCTGAATAGACTTCCGTTATCCCACCAGCTTTATTGTAAACTCTGAGCGTGGTATACACAACCACCCCGGAACTTATAATAGGCTTCACTTGCAACCTTAACGCAAGCCCACGGTTCACTGTAGTCAGAGGTAGTATATCACATGACCCTTTAACGGTGCCGGCACAAATGACGTATTTCAAAACTCCGGATTCCGGATCGTGGAATTCATCCCAGTTGGAACTAACGTACGAATCATGCACAGTCACATCAATATCGGAACTGTCTCCATCACGAACGCCTCCACCAACAGGTGACGTCAGGTCTATGAAAATCCCGTTTGAGCTTGCGAAACTGGTTTGACCGGCTCCGTTAACGCCACGAACAGTTGTATAGTATGTCTCATTGTGTGTAAGATTAAGGTTATTGATCAATGCTTTCGTGGTCAAGCCAACGTCCTCAAACCCACGAACATCGCAAAGACCTGAGTTTGAGCCAATGCAGATCTCGTAGCGGACGATCCCGCTTTCTTTGTCTTGAAAACCTTTCCAACTTACAGAAATTTGTTCAGAGGAACTTTGATATGCTTCATCCTTTAAATACGCATCACCATCGAACACCATGCCAGATTCGGGCGGGGTTTTATCAAGAATGAAGGGATTTGAGAAGGCCGTTGTTTCTAGTTCAGCATAGTTTGATGCTTTGATGACAAGATTATACTCCGTACCCGGATCAATTCCAACGTCATTTAGGAAAATACTTGTCTTCAAGCCAACACTCACGAACTCAGATACGCATTTTGAACTCTGACTTGCCGAGCAAACCCTCCACTGGTACGTGTTGATTTTGCTCTCCGGATCTCCAAAGCCTTGCCACGAACCACGAAGAAACTGCCCTTCTTGTAAGAACACCAAGGCATTCTTTTTTCCGACCATGACTTTCCCTGTCAAAGGTGGTGTGCTGTCTACCATTATCCTACCCGAATATGCAATAGACACTAAACCTGCGCCATTTTCTACTCTAAGCCTCAACATAAACACGGTCCCAGTTCGAAGTGGGTTGGGCAGATCTAAACCTAAATTCTCAGAAGATGAGTCGACGGATTTCTCGGAAACTAAATCACATTCATCCTTAGTGGTAGTGGCACAGAGGGTCACACTTTTGACTTCACTCTCCAGGTCAAACACCACCTCCCACCTCCCTGAAATCTTGTACGGATTGGTTAAAATACCGGTGACAGTGTCAGGTTTGACGGGGGTGGTGGTGGTGGTGTTAGGCAGACCAGCGTGAACATTGGTAACATGATTTGGAAAATTCAGCTTCACAGCAATGACGGACGTTGCCGAGAAGCCTTCAATCACGGGGGGAGTGGTGTCAACGGTGAAACCGTTTGAAGACGAGGTTGTTGATAATCCTGCTCCATTAATGGCGGTTACTGTGACGAAGTAAATCTCGCCTTCCTTAAGTCTTACTTGTGTTGTTGCGTGAAGCTCCAATTTTACTGACGTTTGGTTGGTAACGTCGCACGAATCTGCAAAACAATAAAATTTTGCAATTTCACTATTTTTCCTTTCAATACTGAGTTGCTAAGTCGGCGTTTACAGAGATCCACAAACGCGTTCTTCCTAAACTCACCTGGCGCAGAGCCAATGCAGTACAAATACTCCACCACGTCGCTTTCGGGATCCAGGAACTCGCTCCATGTCGCCGACACTCGATTCGTTTCAATTTGGAAATCTACATCACTCGTGCCATTCCCATCTTGAACCGCGCCTGGCGTTGGCGACAACCAATCGACGATCACTTGTGGTGACGTCATGCTCGTTTCCAGTCCCAGCACATTCACTCCGATAACTGTGATGAAGAATGACATACCGTGAGTGAAGTTAAATTTGATTTTCGCAAGGTCCATCGAATTTTGGCTTCCATCCAGTTTAGTGAAGGGGTACAAGTCATCGGATTTGGGTGAACTGCCGATGCCAAAGTGGTACTCTTTTATTGCGCTTTCCTTTTCTTTCATTGCCCAAGAAATTATCGGGGGGGAGATATCAAATACATAAATTACCCGGGTACCACGCGACCCACCGACTTTAAAACCCTCGGCAGTAGGCCCCGTTCGATCGACAGTGAAGCCATCAGATAAGGCCGATACTGATTGGTCTCTTTGGTTCGACGCCTGCACTTTGACGCCGTACCGCTGACCATGAAGAAGCGATATACCATGGAACCGATGTGTGGATGTTTTTAGAGGAGGCTTTACACGAGCCAGCGATGTTGTGCAATTCAATTGGTTAGCGGCGGTCACCTGTCCGTAACACCACGCGTATTGCTCTAAGCCGTATACAGGATCTTTGAATCCTGTCCAGTGAAGCCAAACAGCCTTGTCGTCGAGTTGGAAGTCGATATCCCGAGCCAGCGGTCCATCGTATACCACACCAGCCGTCAGTTTGCCCAGCTTCACCAATACTTCATTTGAGCAGCTTGTGGTGGACAGACCAGCGCCGTTGGTGACACGTATACAAACATAGTATCTTGTGTTGGTGTAAATAGTTTGACCTCTTATAACGTAACCATTTAGAGTACCTGTTGTAAGACACAATATTAGTAAAAGGCAAGAGGTTTTGTTTAGTTGGAATTGAGGTATCAATGATGCAGAACATTTTGTCTAAGTTCAAAACTACGAGACCGTGCCAAACTATCAGACTTATCAGAGAGAGCAAACGAAATCTAGGCAAATTAGATTACACTATTCTGGCTATTTCGTCCTTTTTGATGCTGCTCTTCTGACCAACCTGGCAAGCTGAAAAATTAGCTTAACCACAGTTGAAATTGAACCCGGACCATTGATTTCTCAATGCAATACTTTTCTAATCTATCAGACCAATCATCATGGAAACCAGTAATTATTGACTGAAAACAAAAACATCAAGAATTATACCTGTAAACTTGATTCCTCTGTAAAACGCACTCCCCAGCACTTTAGTTTTTTCAGCAGATGAACCTATCGCCCAGCTATACCCCCTCACCCCGCTTTCTTGGTCGAAGAAACCGCTCCACTTCACTGTGAACGAGGCACCATCGGTGGTGTTCGGATTACCATCGTAATTCGACGGCACTGCGAAATCGGCCGACACTCGACCGGCAGAAGGAGGAGTACGATCAACCACGACACCGTCAGATACGAACGACGTAAATCGACCGGCTTTGTTTGTAGCTTTGAAGTAAACATAGTAAGTCTGACCGAGTTTGAATGGAATCCCAGAAATGACGAGCTTTGAAGAATTGTACGAAATTTCCGTGAAGTTTCTAGGATTTTCGACATCGGGTGATGTATTCAGAGACCAAGACAATGACTCCACGCCGCTCTCGTAGTCAACCAGTTTCCAAGTGATTTCAATACTTTCACTTTGAACTTTAAACGATGCTGCAACTTTGCTAAATACGGGGGGAGTAGTATCGACTATGACGTCTGGTGTCCAGTACTCTCTCGCAAGGTTTACTTTGTTCGTGGCGCGCAGGCCGATTTGATAGCGTCCGCCATTTTGAAGTTTGAGGATCCGTTTACCAGCGCCATCAACGACCGCGAGGGTCGAGAGCGCTGAGATACCTTTTATTTTATGAAATGGAAGAATATATTGAGAAGTATTGCGGTCTTTAATAGCAAACTGGTATGTGTTTACCCCCGTCTCTTGATCACTACACTCAAAGTGAACTGCGATCTTTCTTGTCTGACCAACAAAAATAGTCTCAGATCCATCCAATGTTGTACCGTATACATTTACACACACTGGTGCCGTGCCATCAACAACGAAGCCATCGCTTACTCCAGTCGTATTGAGTCCAGCACCGTTTTGAGCCGTCACCGAAAAAGCATACCTCTGACCGTGTTTCAATTCGTTTTCTTTCAAAGCAATATTCGCGCTCCGCTTATTCCCGGGTATTTCCGACGGTTCTACGACACGCTTTCCATTTGCAATCTCGTGGATAGAAATTGTGTATCTGGCCACGTGACTTTCTGGGTCAGTAAATTTCCAGTTTGCACTCACGTGAGGGCCGATCCCAATATAATCAACATCTTTGTGAGCGCTGATGCCGTCATTCAAGTAACCAAGCAACGGTGGCGTAGAATCCATAGTGACGCCATCGCTTGACAATGAATTTTGTAGACCAACTCGGTTGACGCATTTGACAGTCGCAAAATATCTATAGCCTTGGGAGAGAGTAAGATTCTTTAGAGTGTACGAGGTTTGGTATGGTAGTACACGCCGAAAGCTTGCAACGTTCTGTACTCCAGGCTGAGTTCCAAACCCGACGAATGTCTGAGTCAATCCACTGTCAGGGTCGTCGCATTTCCAACGTACAGCTAGCGAACTCGCGTCATTTGTATAGTCAAGGTCTTGGTGTGCGTCAACTCCGTCGGAAACTGGTGAAGAGAAAGTAGGCGGAGTTGAATCGACTAATACTCCATTGGAAGTCGCGATCTTGCTGGGAACTCCTAATGTATTGAATGCTGCAACTCTTGCATAATATTTCACTCCATTTTTAAGTTCTGAGACAAGCAAGTTTGAACTGGCAGACGATGTGACCAGACCAACATCAGTGAAAGGTTGAATATCTGAAGTATTTTCCGAAGTACCAAAAGCCAGCTCATAATGATGAATCGAAGTCTCGTTCTCATAAAAACCACTCCAGCTTGCGTGCAGTATGTTTGTCTCACGTTGGTAGACTATGTCTCTTCCGCCTTGGCCATCCGCGACTCGTCCGCTCACCGGAGGACTGGTGTCAACTAACACGCCATCTGTCCAATAGTTACCAAGGTTACCTGCGTTGTCTTTCAGCTGCAGCAGTGCGTAGGAGTTTGTCCCTGATTGAAGGTTGATATTTGTAAACGAGTAGGAGTGTAGAGAGTTTGGGATTTTCACCATAGGATGGATATCACAATTTTTAGTGTCTTGGGTGGAGCTGAGGCAAACTTTGGTCTCATCAATGCCGGAAATGTCCGTCACTCCTCGCCAGTGCAATCGGAATATTGTCGGAAACGAATGATACTGAGCGTCTTGCGTGCTCCAACCGTCCAAAACGTGCGCAACTAAAGGTGCCTCGTTGTCGAAAATTAGTGGCGGTGATGAGGAAACTATGAATAACCCGGCAGAGTTGACGCCCTTTACTGAAATGAAGTATTTTCGTCCGTTTTCTAAAGTTGTTGGAGTTTTTGCTGTCCAATTTACACGAATCACATTCGATACAACATCAGGTTCGTGGGTTGCAAAAGGTACGACATCGTCACCTCCGGGATACGACGACACTCCGAGACTGTACCGAGCAACGTCCGATACATCTTCGACCATTTCGAAGTACGCCGAGAAGACGTGTAGTTGGGTTCGCGTGTATCTGATTGGTTGATCTTCGTTACCATGGTGAAGCTTCACCAATTGAGGTGGCGTGGCATCAATGATGAATGATTCTGATATGGCATTCGATCGCACTCCAGCACGATCTTCGGCCTCCACAACGACAGAAAATACACCATTTGGCATAACCACGTGTAGACCACTGATCACAACACGGCCCACGGTCTTGACGGGAACCAATAACTCAGCGGTATCGAATGAAAGGACAGACAGTCCAAACTGTTTAATTCCAGAATGTTTGTCGTAGAAGCTTAATAAGTCGCAAGTATCGGCAGCGAATTGCTTTTTGGCTTTGTCCGCTGGACACCACTGCCAGCGGGCCCATGCTGCTTTGTTTATCCACGTGACTTCCAGAGGTGGACCAGTATGACCAGCTATAACGGCGCCCGTGTGGGGAGGTATAAAATCGACCATAGCGCCATTGCTGCTACCATTCACGCACATGCGTACTCGGTTACATGCTATCACTGTTACATAGTAGGTTACACCACTTTCCAAAGCACTACTGCTGATCATAGCTCGCGTGCTCACACCATTGCTTCTAAATGCTGATTGATCGTCAGATCCCGGACTTGTTCCCAGACCTACAAAGTATTCTCCGATTCCGCTTTCGGCGTCCGCAAATGCGTTTTCCCAGTGAGTTGGAAACACATCAAAACCTGAGCTAAACTTCTTGTCTATCCCTTGATATCCATCTCTAATGTAGCTGGGTAACACCGTCGGTCCTGTTATATCAATGAGTATCCCATCTGAGGACATTGTCTTCACTAGACCTGCGTTATTTCGAACTTTTATTGTGACGTAATACCGAACCAATGACGTAACATTCACGTCAATAAAAGCCACCCACGTGGTCTTGCTGTCATCAGATATTCTACTTGCGAGCTGCCCAATGTCGACAAACGCGTGGACGTTTTCCCCGCCCGGGTAAGTGCCTACGGCGGCACGAGTGGTCTGGATACCACTTTCACCGTCATAACACGAAAACACTGCAGTGAGGTTACTAAGCTGCCGTACAAAATCTTTGTCTATTACGTCATCAAAGCTTATGACGTCACTCGGTGGACCGCTGCATGCCGGGATTGTATCGTCAGGAATAATGCCTGAAACGTTTACCGTAGAATATAAACCAGCGGCATTTGTTCCTTTCAACACAGCTGTATACTTTTTCCCAGAAATCAAGTTCAAGCCGTCGAGCAACGGTGACGTTTGAGTCAGCGGTATTGTCTTAAAAGGTACGACCACATTTCCGGTTTCTTCATCAACAAGCTTCCACTCGTAGCGCACGACGGGACTTTCAATATCTAAGAAATGCTGGAACTTACCGGAGATTCGTCTTACCGAAGGTACAAATCCCGTACCGTCTTTACCCACCGTGAAGTCACGTGGAACTGGTGGAGTCGTATCTATGGTAACGCCATCACTGCATGCCACTGTGGCCAATCCCAGGAGGTTTACAATCTGCACGCGAATGTAATATTTCCCGCCATTAGCGAGCTCGAGTCCAGTCTTTTTAATGGTATGACTTTCTCCGATCTCTCTCATACTAAGAATATCAGCCTCGCTTTCAGACAAAGTGCATTTTGGTGACGATGATATCCCCCATTTGACACTCGACAAATCCCCAAATGTTCCTACAAAACCGTATTTAACAGCGAGGCTTGTTGTATCCGATTGGTAATCGATATCTCCCGACGTTTCACCATCGTGGACGAACGTTATAATCGGAGATCTTCGCTTGGCTTGGAAAACAGGGCAATGTGCAACTGGACTTTTTAATCCAAAACCATTATACGCGTAAACTGCAGCGTAGACGGAACGGCCGTGCATGATATCGAGACCTGAAACTAGCAAGCTCTGTCGTTCGCCGTGGATGGAATAATGGTCATCACCAGACCCCCTTATCGACCCTATGATGACGACGTAATTCTGAATCTTTGTATCCTCGGTAAATTCACGCCATTGAACGAAATACTTTTTATTCCCGACCTGCTTTGCGCTACATACTCCAACACCGGGGGGTGTGTTGTCCACATCACGTTTGCAATTACTGAACAAGGTCTTGTGAATAGATCTAGACGACCAACTCCATTCCGCAAATGTTTTTTTCCTGCACCAACGGATTTGAATACGAATTCTAAACCATTTCTTTACTCGGATTCTTATGCACAATCTGAATCTGTACCAAAGGTAGACGCGAATGGACAACGGCGTCATTTGCATCTTGAGTTCCAAACACGCGCGCAACGGCCATTTATCGACGCGCACAGCAAGTTCAGGGATAAGGTAGGTCTCCAGTAGTTTCGCCTCCACCGTCACACCCCCTTCCACGATCAGCACCACCAAGCTCGCCCCCGCGTATACCGTCACCCACGCCCCTGGAATGATCGCAAGACGGACCTCTCTATCGCGTAAGCACAGCGAGATTCTGTAGTTTGCATAGTAATAAGCATCTGCCCCGAAATAGAAATAAACCGGAATTCCAAACACTGGAACGATGAAGCCGATTTCCGGAATTATCGGAAAGGAACCTGAGAAATGAAACAGAAATCAGTAATTCTTGTAATCCCATTTCATTTCAAAAATACAAAAGCACAAACCTGTTTTGGGCTCTCCCTCCAAGTTCCAAGAGCAGGGGACGCTTTCAGTTGTTTGTCGTCGAACCCTCCTATGTACCTCAAGTTCTTCGGTGTACACATCGGTATCCAAAGCTTTCTCCAGAGCGCTGCGCTTCCGACGTTGCCCGCATATCATTTGACCGATGGGAAATAAACGCTTTGCGGGTATAATCCAGTCCCAGGCTACTTTGAGGTAGACGCAGTTCTCCGTGATGTCAAAACCTGTTGAGAGAATCGGTACTTTGAATTTGAAAAAGCGGTCCTCGAAATCGCCTGCTATCCGCTCGATCTTGTCTTTCTCCGAAAACGTTCCGCTTGAGAATGCGGTCACGAGGTGTTCTGAGTCCACAGCCTGGATGCCTTCCAGGCCAGTGGGTGTTCGCACAACTCTATGGAGAGTCGATTCGTCAAGAACTCCCGTGTCGACTTTATGGAATTCCAACTTGCATTGGAAGCCAGCAACCAGCGCGCACTTGGCCACCGCTGCATATTTTACGCCAAATTGTCTCACAATCGCGAACCCACGCGTGTGCTGTCCCGTCTCGAGTGTTTGCTTGTGCAGTAACACGCCACCAAACGGACTTACGTCATAGGAATGGACCTTGAAACTTCCACTGTCAACAACCCAGATTCGACTGTCTCGACTGTCGTAAGAAAGCGAGGTTGCTTGATGTGATAGCGACTTTGTTTTAGCAATATTGATGATGGATGGCCTGCTATTTGACATGCTGTTACGAACATCAGATAATTTTACGCCATACAGATTACTTCCACTGGTTGTCCAAATGAACGTGTTTTTGACAACAGCAAGGCCTCCCATGTCACCTGTGAAAGGCTGACCGTTATTCTGAAGTTGAATGATCTTTGAAATTCGACTACTCGAAGATCTTATGTCGACCACGACCAACAGGGAAGCTTTGTCGGTATTGGAGGCAACGCCGCGCATGCCCAGGATCACTTCATTTTTCGACAATGGCGCAATGCTGCGCACTTTGTAGTCGTCGAAGAGCCCGGGTACGAGCCACTTGCCTGACTTGGAAAAAGACGACAGGTCGTCCAAATGCGGGTATTTCCATAGGAAAACAGTTTTTAGGTAAAGTTTTGAAGATCTGCGGAGTAACCTCAGGCACACGTCGTTCGAGCAATACGAGTATTGGTCCCAGGGTTTATATTCCCGGATATCCAACCCCTTCTGACGTAGTTGAATCGTATTCAAAAACGAGATGATCTTATCCAGAAAATTGTTCACTTCGTCCGAAACTTTTTTCACCTTGTCTCCGTAGTTTTTGAGTTTGTTGTCAAAAATGTCGGTGAAGTCCGCGGTTTTTGAAAGCACGTCTAAAACGGTCCCCTCTAACGGGCCAACGACATTTTGAGCAACTTTTGTGAAGTCGGTCATAGCGCCGACCACTGTATCTACGGCTTGTAAACTTGGATTAATGAAGTTTGATTTCTTACTGAGGTCGTACGACAAACGTAGCTTTTGTTGAACGTTTTTTAAGTTGTCTTGAAACGGTTCAATGTTGTCGGAATAGATGCTTTTTAGTTTACCAAATACTTCTTCAACAAGTGCTTCTATTTTCTCTTTCGTCTCCTTCGCCTTCTTGATGTGCTGGGCAAGGTTTTTGACTTTCTTAACGAGGTCGCCAACAGATCGCTTTTTGACCTGGGTGAGCAAACGGATGAGGTTTTGTTGAGAAATAGAGCATGCTTTGTTTGGTAGGCTATGGTATGTTATGGTCAAGATATGGTGTGCTCTAGTGCGGTATGGTATGACCCAGTATGTCATGCTACGGTATGGTATGGTATGTTATGGTCAAGATATGGTGTGCTCTAATGCGGTATTGTATGACCCAGTATGTCACGCTATGGTATAATATGGTATGGTTTGGTATGGTCAAGATATGGTATGCCCTAGTGCGGTATGGTATGATCCAGTATGTCACGCTATGGTATGGTATGGTATGATATGGTATAGTATGGTATGTTATGGTCAAGATATGGTATGCTCTAGTGCGGTATGGTATGACCGTATGCCATGCATGGTATGGTATGGGATATTATGGTTAAGTATTGCATAGCCAAATATATGAGGACAAAGCAATGAAAGTTAAATATAAAAAGCTGGGATTTAAATACTTCACAAACCTGACTATCCTTTCCAGAAAATTTCCCAGTAATCTTGCGGGCCAGATCCTTGATCTTCATCACGTCATCTTTCAAGGTAAATTCCTCCACCAGAATTGAAATATTTTTCACCTTCTCCACGACACGAGAGACCTCTTCCACGGCAACCTGACACGGTTCCAAACTTTCGAACAATTCTTTATTATCAAACTTCTTTTTCAAAGTGGTTATCTTCGTCGAAACGCCTTGAGCCTGTTTCGTGAACGCCTCGGACAAACACGTTCCTCCTTTCACACATTTTCGTAAACTCAACTTCTCCCATTCGTCAGGCAGAAGTTCCAGAAACGCTTTTACCTCCGATCTCAAATCTTTGTACTCGCCATAAGCTTGCTTACCAAAGGCCTTCGCACCCTTGCCACATTTTGTGATGATGTTATCCAAAATAAACTGGATTTCGGAACAGTTTGGTAGTTGACTGACTTCTTCCAGAATCGGGGAGAAGTTTTTGGAGAATGGTTTCATCTCTACCAAGACAGCCTCAACCTCGCTTACAGACTCGGAAACCTTCTCCAGTTCCCCGCGAACGCGTTGTAATGGCTCTTTCAATAAATTCAATTTGCCAACACCTTTAGATATCAAAGCGTCTGTTTCTTTCGTGACGAAATCTCGGAAAGTTCTGAAGAGGTTATCCCCTTGGATTTTTTTAACGGAATCCTGAGCTAGTGTGTGGAACTCGTTGCAGAGTTTTCGCAGCCTGTCGTCGAAATCCAATTTGAATTTCCTTCTTATGTTAAGTTTCTGAACTTCGGTTTCCCATCGTGCAGCATTCGTGGCGAATTCGTTGACCTTATCGGCGGACCGACGGGCTTTCTCGGCGTGCTCCGGAAGATTTTTCAAGAACTTCAGAACATCGTTGATATTCGTTGAGACCTTGTAAACTCTTCTCAAAAATTTGTTTTCGTTTTTAAGCAAGGACAAGAATTCCTCGAGCGTTTCCGCAACCCGGGCAAATTTCCCCAATCGCTTTTGCAAGTTCTTTTTTTGCCATTTTTCCACGTTAGTGACGACAGTTTTGAAGCGATTCACAAGACTTGTGATGCCTTTGGAATTGCTTGTAATGAAGTCAGCCAGTTCCTTGACAGCATTCTCGGCTTCCGACTGAATATCGTCCAGAACTTCGCCCGATAAATCTGCGGTTTTGTGGCAAAACCCTGCCAGTTTGTCCGTCGAATTACTCGTGAACTCCGCGACATTGTCGGCCAGTTCTTTCACGTTTTCAAGCGAGGTTTCCAACTTCGTCAAAAATTTGTCTACGAATTTCTTTGCGGTGTTTGAAAGGTTTTTCTGAAGCTCATCTATAAGTCTATCAACGAACAAGGTGACGTTAACAATTTCCGATATAACCATTTGAGCCTCGTCTTCGATTCGTCGGATGGCAATTATTGTTTCATTTTCCAAATTTTCCCCAAATTCTTGTAATTTTCCAGAGGATTTTAACATAAACCCTTGAAACTTGCAAACCTTCTTAAGTGCTTTCTTAGAAAACTTAGCAGCTTCCTTGCCTAATTCTTCTAGGAATTTTGAAGTGTCACTGAAGTCCAAGAGTTTTCCATCTTGCAGCCCTAAAATGTTCTCAAACTCCTTCATAATTTCTCGGAACCACTGGGCGATGTTCAATCCTGTCGTATTCCGGAAAAGGTCTGGGTCTATGGATCCTAACTTGATTCTCAGATTTGGTAGGAAGTCTCGGAAAAACTTTTCCAAATCAACGTTCGGGCCGTTCAGCTGCTGGAAGATTTCCGCTAAATAACTGAAAAAGTTTCGGAGTTTCGCGAAATCTGGTCCGGAAAATTTGATCCTAAAATTGAACCTCACTCTCCAATCGAACGACAAACCAAAGTCGAAGAGTCTACTTCCGCCAGTCGTAAGACCAAATTCTGGAAGTCTAAGCCTGGGTAACTCGATCTTAATCATATCTCGGAAGACAGAAAGCATCTCCAAGAAATTGTTTCCGAAATTTATCAAACGCACCGTGACAGTTTTGAACTTATCCAAGGAAATTGGAAAACGCAGGGTGATTTTGAAATGCAGCATGCCGAAGAAATTTCCAGGGACGTTAAACCCTAATTTCTTGAAATAGTCTCCGACAGCATCGCCGATCGAATCGAATCGGCCGGAGATATGTTTTAGGAAGTCTTTTATGTTGAAATTTCCCGGAAAACGGGGAAGCTCAGAGGCAATTCTCGAAACGAGATCCACCAATCTGGTCAGAAATTGAAATCCTTCCGCAAACAGGCCATTGGAAAGACTTAGGTTTTTGAGATTTTTCAAAAGCGTGTTGATAAGAGTGGCAATTTTTCTCCAAAATCCGTTGGCACGTAAAGCGTTCTTCAGAAATTTTCCAATTTGACTGAAAAATCGTCCGAAGCGTGTAGCTTGGATAGAACGCTTTAGGAATTCAGCAGCCTTTGTTATGAAATCTAGAAAAGCATTTGAGTCTAACGGAAGATAGTTTTTCAATTTGTCGATGAAGTTTTGGATGTGTTTCGTGAATATGCTGGTTATGGAATCGGCAGCGGCAAGAATATCGTCGGCCGTGTCGGAAATCGTGTGGATTAGGTCCTTTGGGATGTCGTTCTTGAACCGCGCCGCCATTTTGAACGCCGCCTTGCCGTTAATGACGTCAAATTGCCACTTGATCACGTGTGCACGAAGGAGGGCTAAATTATCCATGTCTACCTCGAACTTCCCGCCAAATATCGAGATCTGTAACTTCACTTGGTTTATGAATCTGAAATAGATAATGCGATTATATCGAAGCCTTAAACTCTGGTCAAACAAGGCTGGAAGTTAGTAGATTACACAGCAAAGTAAGTTTATGGCAAAATGGAGTTCTTATTGAAGATATTACAAGAAATATGGAACATTCTCCTGAAAAGATTTCAATTTTCACCTTAGCCTTTTCTTATTATAAAAACACAACTTGCTATTTTGAAAAGTTGATTTCCCCTTTTAAAAAGTCGCCCAAGTTTGTTTTTCTTGCAGTACAATACAAACCTCATGATGGCCTCAGCACCAGCTCTTTTTCCTCCAAACGCCTTCCTCCATTCGCGCCTAGGTCCCAACGCGAACTCCCTCGGTCTCAATGCTGGTATAAGCGCTCTTTTCTTCCTCTGTATGGCTGCCCTTCGCTTTCGTAGTTGTTTGATTGTGTGGTGTGAGTCATCGCCATGCTTGTTCAAAAACTCCGTAATTTTCGAGTCGAGCTCATCACCCTCCTCGGCGGACCAAAGTGCGTCCTCGATACCCTCACGCATGTCGTCTGAAATGTTCTGTCGACGTTCCAGGAACACTTCGATGACGCCGGTTTTTACCGTCACGTGTTCGTCATGTTTCAGAGCCCGCAACAAGTGATGGTCAGTGTCTTGGGATGGAAGCTTGCGCAGCGCGGACACAGCGGAGTAGCGAATCCCAGAGCTGTCGTGGTCCAAATGACGGACGATTGTATTCAGAGACGATTCGTGACCCAAGTTGCCAAAAGCCCATATATGGTTGCGAAGGTATGTCTCGCGTGATTCGCTTTCGTCGTCATGGAAACGTGCGGGATGAGTTTTAAAACTCCGGTGTAAGTGTTGAGCAATGTCATCGGACAGGGATCTGTTGTAACCAGCCTCGTGGACACGACGAACCAACCCAGACATGACCAGCATCGCACGAACTGTAACCTCATCGCTCTTGCTGTTATTTTTATGCAGAGAAAGCAGAGCTTGTAAAAGCTCCGGGTACAAAGGTCCGGCCGGGATAAAGAATACCGCCTCGAGAAGTATTGAATGTTCTTTGTCATTTAGAGGCCGAGGTTCCTCGGACAAAAGTGCCCGGGCTAAAACCTTCTGGGTCTCGTAGTCTCCTTTCACAACCAAAGCTCCGACCAATCCGGACCATGACGAGAAGTTCCGATGAGATCTGGACAACGTAAGCTCGGCAATTGTTCGATGAGTTTCGTCGTCTGTTCGGGCAAGATAATGAAGCTCTTTAATACATTGCGACAGCTCGGTTTTCTTCACGGAGGAATCCGAATAACATCGAAGCAGCTCGTAAAATGTTCGGGTAGGCTTCGCGAGATTGCCAATTTTCGACCAATGCAATCGATGAACGTCTGTATGAGTCAGGCTATCTTGTTTGAGATTAGCCAACGAGATGGCTGGATTCTCGTCTGTCAGCGACCTTTCACTCCGTCGAGGCTTTCGTGAACAACTTAACATGTCTAATTGGCTCTCTCCCGAGGCTTTGATATCAAAATTAGGTTGGTTTTGAAAATCTGGGTTACTCAAAGGGCGTTTAAACTGATTCTTATCATGCAGATGGGAGAAATGAGTTTTCTTCACAGATTTAATAACATTGTCCTCGATCTTCACAGTGGAATCATAGCGGCTCTTCACGTGTTGTTCGCCTTCCACAGGACGCCCATCCGCGTGTTTCAAATAGTCCTCACCACTCCATTGTTTTGTGAAGTCAGCGTGAGTATCGTTGCGATGGGTGACGTCATAGTAGGTGACGTGGATACCGGAGTCATCTTCCTCCTCAGTATTGAACGACGTCATCTTTACATCGGGATTGAGTTTCAGGTGAAAAGCACTAACCACACCTGGAAACACAAGGTGGAATTAATGATCTATTCAGAATGGATGATTTTCGTAATATTTGGCTGTTTTTTCTGTTGTAAGATTTGCGTTTACCTTTTTTTATTCCGATAAAATCAGATGAGTCATCATGCGGGTAAAACACATGTGTAATTTCTCCCTTTGGATCTTGAACAAAGAAAAATGGCTGGGATAGTTTTTCCTCCAAATTGTGGTCAACGACGTGCTTGATTGTTCGTCCGCCTTTTGAACGAATGACGCGCGGATGACGTAATTCAAGCTTCGTGACGTAACCATCATTCTCTGTCGTGTGACGGTCGAGCACTTCCAAGTTCACCTGAAAATGTTTTGAAAAAGTGCCTGACTGTCATTTCTCTATAAGTCTAATTTTCTGCACTTAACTCTTCTACCGATTCATTGTTACTGCCGAAAAAAAAAGTGATCCAAACCAACTTTATTTATACTGCATAGCTCTTTCATTTCTAAACTGTTCTTCCTAGGGATCAGGTAAGGATCATCTCTTATTCATCCAGTGTTACTACAGGAGGAAACCTAAACTAAACTAACTTTATACTGGATAGTTCTATTAGTTCTAAACTGTTCTTCCTAGAAGTCCAGTAAGGATCATCTCTTATTGATCCAGTTTTACTACAGGAGGAAACCTAAACTAAACTAACTTTATTTATACTGGATAGTTCTATTAGTTCTAAACTGTTCTTCCTAGAAGTCCAGTAAGGATCATCTTATATTGATCCAGTTTTACTACAGGAGGAAACCTAAACTAAACTTTATTTATTTATACTGGATAGCTCTATCAGTTTCAAACTGGCCTCTCCTCTTAGCACAAGTGCTGGTAAGAATGAAGCAATGATGGCTCTATCAGTATTGAAATGTTCTTCCTGAAGGTTCAGCAAGAGACAGAGAATGAAAGTGGAAGCATTCCACTCATGTAGATGGACATTTCCCGGGATGGCGTGATCATGGATGAAAGTGTTTATTTCACAAGTTGTCTGAAAGATGACACACTGCACGTCAAGACAATATAGACCATGTCACATAGCAGAAATTTTTCAACGTCAATACTTATGCATCGAGAGGACAGGATATGAAATGCAAGACAAGAAGATATTGCGGAGAGGGATCCGCCATAAAGTATCGCAATTCCTTTGCCCTTGAAATGTACACGGTCGAGTAAGCCTGGAACGACATTTGCCCGGATGGCGTAAGTACTGGCTACGATTGCTTATGTCAAAGCCAGTTTGAAAGATGAGAAACGGCACGTCGCCTTTTCAGTTGAAGTTAGCTTCTCCGAACAGCACGGTTTTAACTGTTGGCTATTTTCCAAATCAAATGATGCCCTATCTTTTGATCTGTGAATTAAGCTAGTTTGGGAAAATTGGGATGGTTATATGCTAGGTTTTGAGACGCTAGACTATCAGAACATATGGCACATTTTCGTCTTCTCTGAACTTGTGGTGTTATATTATATAAAACAAAATAACGCGAAATGAATACGTAACACTTTCAAATCCCATCATAAACTTGGTTCAAATTAGTGAAATGAGGACTTATTGTCTTTTTAAGCATATAGATCTATTCTGCCAAAAATGAAGAGGCCGGGTTTTGCCTAAAACTGAGTTCCCTTATTATTTATAAAATATGATATTGCTGGATAGTATGATATGACACGACTTGTTTTTTCAAACATGACTCGGATAAATGCTTGAAATATAGGCACGACACACGGACACAAACAAATACCGCCATCAGCTGAAAGTTTTTTTGTTAAATGATTTCAGAATTTCATCCGGAATTTCAAAATAGATGGGTCTACGTCTTTTAACGAGTTGGGACGTGTTGTTTGAAAACAAATAACTTGCTCCACCGCAGGCGCGTCATAACCAACATTCTTGGATGAACATCACCTTGAGAGTATTTAATATTTTTAACGCGTACAATAATATTCATTTATCAACGCACAAAGGAATTTGGTGGGTTGAAAATCAGAATTATATAAATTATTCAAAAAGTGGCTGTAGCTATATATAAAAATACATCAAAATATATGTAAACATGTCAATATGCAAGCGACTTAATGACCGTATTTTAAGCTCATAAAATCCTACAGGATTTCGTAGGGATAAAAATCTGTCAACTTCTGGATGCATATGTCCATTCAAACTGCATGATAGTCCTGTTCGTGTCGGCTATTTGACCGAGAGGAAATTATAATATCATTACTGCAATTTTTTATCACAAATTCATACAAATGAAAAACAAATTATTTAAGAGACCTTTGTACTAGTCCATTAGATATCGAAACTGCGGACATACAGGTGTATGAAATAGTTTTTTTTATCTTATTTTCAAGACTTTTGTTTCTGTAATCTCACCACGTTTATTCGACTTTGGTAAAACGATCTTATTTATCACAGACAAGGATTGTTATTGATTTTTGACGCACCTACGCGCTCGCTTGCCCCAAACATCTGACACCTCTTGCAACACCTGCTTCAAGCAATTTGCATAGCTGGTCGAAGCAGGCAGGAAATCCTTGTCTCAATGGGGTCCTTACAACACTCACATAGTAATATCAGTTGAATGTGCTAATGGTCTTCCTTGCCGACATCCCTTTCGGTTCATCGAACAAAGTTTTTTTTTCAATATAACAACATAAAACAACAACATGCCTATATAGCCATTATATTGCTGCATGACGATACTTTTACATCGCGTTCGGGGAAATCCGAATTAAAGAGAATCGTCATAATGTTCGTGGAAAAAGGAATGCGGAGTTAATGATATTGCGGGTATTGGCGAAATAAATAGACCTGTTTTTTGAGCGATTATACTTCAATTGCAACTCTCTTTCCTATGAAAAGAAAAGCAGGATGTTTTGTCCTGACATTGAGGAAGTTTCATTGAGGAAGCTTATAATAATTTGACTACCCTTCTGGTAGTTATGTTTCCCACGAAAATAAATGTTGCTGCATTACAATTTATCATAGGATATGACCGCCTACGTTTCTTGGTAAAGTCGTTTATCTGTATAGAAACTGTTATAAACTTTTTACCACGAATATTTGGGTAATTTTGTCAATTAGCATCAACAGCATGTTTGCGATCATGAAAACGATTTATTTACATCGTCATAGTTTCAGATTCTTTGAAATCAGCAAATAGCTTATTCATTGTCTTTGTCCTGAGTTAAGATGGCGTAAGAGCTCTTCCCCAAAGCTAAGTTCAAACTATTTTGACTTCCTTCAGCTTTCCGACCTTGTTTCACATCCTGAATGTTACGAAAACCATTTTTTTTCAACTGAGGTCAGTTATTCAACTTATTTTAACATCGATTTGCTAATTGTTTTGGGCAACACATTTGGAGCAAAAGATTGCGCATATTACCGTGACATATGCTAATATATTTGTGATTATTCAGATACTTAGAATAAAGAGTATATGGTTACTAAGAGATACTTTCGCATGGCATATAATTTATCTGAACTGCCGCTCTCGAGAGTTTCGAGTCGTAAAATTCAAGTCTCAATGCAGCTAATCGGAATTTCCCTTCAAGTTGTACATGCAGTCAACAGTGTCAAAAACTCAGACAGTTTCCTTTAAGCCGAATTTGACGTGATGTCTCAGATCTGTGCATGGATATAACACTAAATTGAATTGGCTTCTGTTCTATACAAGTTTATTCATTTAGAAATATCAAGTGACCCATTAAACATACCTTTGTTCTAGCCCAAGCAGGACGCTATCATTTTGAATACAAGTCGATAATTGATAATTATGGCAATATATTCGACGCTACCAATGAAAATTGTTTATTTGAATCGAATTGGGGGAATTGCCGGGGAAGAAGAAAGATTATTTATCAAGACAGCAAAATATTTATATTGTATCGAATGACTTCAGAAGAAAATTTCAATGTTGAAGCTACGTTATGCTTGGCTTAAAAACACTAAAATAATCGTCAAACCACATACCCTTGCGTTGATTTTAAAGTTCAGTTCTTTTGTAGATCTTTCTCCACGATGTGTATGGACTTCAAGGTCATAGTTGTAGCTGCATTGCTGTCCTGGATAGATTTCCAGATGGGTTACTGCATCTGTCGAATAGAACAGGGAAAAAACTTGTACGAAGATCGCCAACAGATGCATTTTGTTGTCGTAAAAAAAGGACGAATATTTGTTAGTTGCTACTCCATCTTCAGAGGACGAATAAGCGAAAATGATTAGCAAGTGATGTTGGCAAATCCTGACAACAAATGTGAGAGGCGTGTGCTTCCTGTTTACATTTTCTACACTCATTATGTCAAAGGACAAAAGATGCTGAGGTTGACGTAAATACTTTCGCATCTTGTGGGCTGGTTGCAGCAGATTTCAGCTTGTCGTTTCAAAAAGTTATCGATTCGCGCAACCACGGAATTCGGGAGCTGCTGAGCTCCTCTTCATAGATTCAGCATTACGACAGACAAATTTGGGAAGAATATAATTCGTCGGTTATTGAGAAGAGTTGAGAGGTAAGGATTTGGAAGTTAAATAACAATAGTGATATAAAAAAATACTTTTGAAATTATCGTGTTAAAAATGACTCAGGTAACTCATGCAATACCTGCGCTGAATATTTGATTCAAATTTAAAATTTTGTGATCTTTTACTTTGTGAGTAAAGAAGCCAAGCAACCTTAGCTAAGGCCGCAGGCTTCCCCAGAAGATTTTCCTCTTAAATGACACAAGGGCAAGGCATGGTGCGAGAGGGTTTCAAACATTTCTATAACAGAGCTATCTACAACTGGAAATCTTAAGAATATATATATATATATATATATTCTGGCTTCCTCGGAACATTACCCGAAGCGGGATTGAACAAGAATGGGAGTTATAATAGGAGAATTCTCTTAGTTTTCATCAACTCTAATGTTTTTGATTAAACGATTATACAACTTAATTGTAAGTTATTTGACTGTATTTATACTATGGCGTCGAGTGGCAAAACTCTTTGCACCTCTCCATGCGTCTACATTAGCATTTAAATTAGAAACTTCGTTCTCTTTTGGTCTCATCAGCATGTAAACATCAGCGTTTTATCAGAGATCGTGAATAGACACATTTCAATCTGGATTGTAAAGTTTATTTACTATATAAGGCCTATGCCTTTAATATTTTACGACTTCCTCTCTACACGGAAGCTAAGCATTTTCTCCTCGTATTTCTCGTTTCAAACGCAATATACATCAGACATTAAATAATCATTAATTTCCTAATGAAAAGCAGTGGCGGAGAGATGAATTGACGAGAACCTCACAACCGCTCCAATAAGCTAAGTATATTAGTTAAATACCAAATATTTGTCTGAAGTGCTATTAAGTAATTTCTTGTCTCTAATTAAACACGACTCTATGAAGAAAGCCGGAACTGTCAAATAGCGTCGTTGCTGACGTCAAATCTTTAGTCCTACAGGGAGGGCTCCTTTAATGGCCCCTGTTACGTTTATATGGAAAATTTCCAGCCCTACCAGGCGAGATCTCGGGTAGTCAATAGCGAGATCTCGCCTCGTAGGGCTGGCCCTCCTCTCATATAAACGAAACTGTTCTTTAGTATGGATTTATGGTAGAACGCGCGATCTCGCTTGCTAGGGCTAGCCCTCCCGGCTGTAGGGCTCTTATAAACAGCTCCTAAGATGAAGAACAAAATTTTTTATGTGAATATTATATTTTATGCCTCCTGTCATATTCTCAGAGAAATATACGAATATTTAATTCTTCTCTTTTGGCATACAGGGTGTAAAATAAAATCATAATTGCTTTCTTTCCGATTACAAAATATCGAACATTGTTTCACGTGTGGTACGAATGGCTGGTTGTCTAATGGCATGTAGTCGTGAGTGCGTGTCGTGGTCTGGTCAACGTGGCTCACTGATGCATGTGACAGAATATTTCTATGTGTGTGCAGACATCAATGACCGATTTGTATTCAGAAAGAAACGACAAAATTATTTCATTCATCATTAGCTCTGACCGGAACTTCCCAGACAAAATGCGAACACATGCCAGAAATATGATATAAAATAAATTCATAAAAAAAACAACAATAAATTAATGTCATCATTAAACATTAATCACATTTAAGCTCTTTTTCAAATGATACCAAAATTGACCCCGCAGAAGACAAATATTTTGTCAGGTTGCGACACTGCAGGGGAAGAAGAACTCTGGTTATATATAGGGTATAGTATCGCAGCTCCTCGCAAGAATGATTTTCATTGGCTGAACTTTACAATACATTTCTGTTTCAACCAATAGCATAGCTTCGTTCTTTAGAAAGCATACAAAAGCAATATCCAATTGGACGAAACCTTCCGAGCATTGCGACATGTCCCTATTTGTAGATGGGGGAATCTTTAAAGTACAAATATTATTATTTTATAAGCACTTAAAATTTCGAAAGAGCGACGGCGATGATGCAATGGATGAAACAAATATGAAATTCTAGCAGAGGTCTTAATCTTAAAGTTTTCCGAAGTTCCAGACTGCATGTGTGTCTCTTTGTGTTGTCATATAAATAAACCCTTTGCATTTTGAAAAATATCCCAAATACATGTAAATTTTTTATAAATTCTCTGTAAATTTTCCACACTTTCTGTTTGGCGTCGTTTTAAACGATTTTTCTCGTGCGGAAACAAAGGAAACTATAAATTGATCATATATTAATAGCATAACTTGACAGAAGTCTAAAATATGACTTATTGATATGATTACAATTTGACTTTAGGTCATTTCGTCAACAGGAGCCATTACTGTTTGAAAATACTAATCGATCTGACGACTTACTGGCCGAGTAAGCGAAAGAAACCCAGCACATAGCAATGAAGCTCATCTTGGTGTGTCTCGCGTTTTTGCTTTTCCAACATGTCAGCGGGTGGCGTCGTAGACGACGACGTAGATCACCTCCCCCCACGCCACCACGAAACTGTCAGGTAGGACCATGGTCTGGGTGGAGTGCGTGTACTCATCACTGTGGCAACGCAGGGACACAAAGACGAACAAGGGGGAAGACTGTGGCCGAATGTTGCGGGGGGACGTGTACGGCTCATTTTAGCGAGACGAGGGCGTGCAACCGAAACGCGTGTCGTAACGGAGGGAGACCCACTCATGGCCATTGCATTTGTAACGCGGGGTGGACAGGCACTTGCTGTGAGAGGGGTAGGTAGCTAACAGCTTTCATTGCTGTTTGATATAACCACTATCACCTGAATATAGTTCTGTGTGGCAAAAACTCAATAAAACCAAAAATCAACCAAAATCTTAATACTAAGCTTCTATAGTATCCAAGGTTTCCCAAATGCTAGAGCCGTCATACACAAAATATGTACCGCTATCCTCATTACCACAACCAGCGTCAGAAACATTCTTCTAAACATCCACCAACTTTATCGTTTCAGACGTCAACGAATGCCTGAGAAAACCATGTCAGCACAATTGCCACAACGTTCTTGGGAGTTACACGTGTAGCTGTTATTCATGTTACACTAAAGTTGGAACCAAATGTGAGCTACGACAATGCCGTATTGGGAACGTGTGTTATCCCTACGGTAGAATAAACCCCGGAAATAAGTGCCAGGTAATAATAGATCGTATTTATTAAACTACTCGGACCATTAGTAATCTTTAGGCCCTGTTACACGGTGCTATTTTTCTTGCAACTTGCAATGCAATTCTACTTTTGACAGATGTAAATTTGCAACTACGAAACTTTTGTCTTCATTACATTCCATGGTCGCTTCTTTTACTTACATATTAGACCTTTCACCCTAGTTCCAGCTCTTTAATTTGTCGTTCATAGGATTGTCAGAAAGGGAGAGAGACCGTCTGGACCAACAACAATGCCTTGTCGTGCAGTGACGGCAACTTGTGTACAAGAAATGATCGCTGCGTGAACGGCGCGTGCAGAGGAACTGCATTCACGTGCAGATCATGTGAAAGCTGCGATGGAAATGGATGCAAGATTAAGCCTGGTTACTGTGTGATTGACGGGAGATGTTATAGAAACGGGAATCTCAGGCCTGGAAAACCATGTCAGGTGAGGAGGTGGTGATGAGAGAGTGTGTGCTTTAGGTAGGCGCGAGGGGCAGAAAGATTACGACGGGGAAAGGTCTGTAAAGGCTAGTTTCCACTCAGGAAAATTCTCCTTTGGATCGGAACGGACAGGAAAATTTTCTTTGTCGGTGAGTTCTCAGGCGGCGTTTACACAAAGGAAACTTTCCTATCCTGTCCGATCCAAAGGAGATTTTTCCTGAGTGGAAACTAGCCTTAAGGAAATGCCGAATGAGGTGGGAAGGCATGAATGAAAAAGGAGGGAAACAAAAAATTCAATGAACCACAGAATCTTTGGAATGGAGCGCAATGGAACGAGGAGAATAACATGACGCAAAATTATTTCTCATCGACATTATTGATAGGTTTCTACTACTCATTTTTTTTGTAATCCGTGGCGTAAGACATAAGAAATAACGATCATATTCGTCCCTAGCAATGCAACAGTAACAACCCCACGAGATGGACGGCGAACAACAATCTCAAGTGCAGTGATAACAACGTGAAAACAAGGAATGATCGCTGTGTGAATGGAGAATGTCGTGGGCAGCCTTACACGTGCCTGCCATGCCAGGATCATCACAACGACGCGTGCAGACTCAAGTCTGGGTATTGCATCATCAAGCATAACAATGTGGACACGTGTTATCGCGCCAATACAGCAAAACCTGGAAACCCATGTCAGGTAGGATTTATTTAGAATCGGGTTATACACACTTATAGCAGGATGATTAGGGAACGCAGGTGGCGCATGGGGATAGCGCACTGTCTCATTAGGGTAAAGCGGGATTGAGAGAGATTGGTCGAATATATTGCAACTGGTAAGAACTTATTTTCATTGTATTTTTAAGTGGTGTCATCCAGGTACAACGACATCAGCTTGGACGAACAGAAATGGTATTTCTTGTGATGACGGACAGAAGTGCACGCGATCCGACAAATGTACAAATGGTCAATGTGGTGGAATCAGCTTCAAATGCAATTCATTGTGTCAATATTGCAATGGAAATGATTGCAGTTTACACACAGGTTTTGGATATGTGGCGGGGAAGTGTACCTGTAAAATAGCAGGTTGGTAAAAAGTGTTCTTTCTTTTTCTCTCTGAGCATAACGCTTGGATGCTGTAGAGGGACTGAATCAGTAAGAGGAAATCCACACTGGATCTCATCTGGTTTTAAGGAAGAACAGTTTAGAACTAATAGAGTTATCCAGTATAAATAAAGTTAGTTTAGTTTAGGTTTCCTCCTGTAGTAACACTGGATCAATAAGAGATGATCCTTACTGGACCTCTGGGAAGAACAGTTTACGACTGATAATATTACGGATCTTTGATAACGTGCATAATATAAATCTAAATTTATATTTCATGACAACAGGTAAAGATTACAACCATCAACAACTTAATCCGAGCAATGAATGTCAGTGGTGTGATTTGTACCACAAAGCTTCCAAAGCTAGTTCTATGTGGGCGAACAGACCCGCGCTCGCTTGCAATGATGGCAACGCTTGTACCAAGCAAGATCTTTGTAACAACGGTCGATGTGTGGGCAAGGCATACAATTGTAGATCATCATACCCGCAGTCCAGTTGCATACATCGTTCCGAGTGTGTGGGCGACGGTACATGTAGGGATATCATGAGAAACAAGGGAACAATATGCCAGCCAGCTGTGGATAAGTGTGACCAGCCTGAAAGGTATACATATAGTTAGATAGTCACTGAATCACTGAAGATGATTACTAAATATACTAAAAACGTTTCCTAGCCATGTTTCTGAAAGTTGGACAAACGAGAAAACATTTCTGCAAAACTTAACAATTGATTAATCGTTTCCTCCACAGGTGCAATGGTGTGCTGGGAACATGCTCTTCAAGAATTGTTGATAAGATTACACTTTCTTCCGGCCAGATTGTTCTAACTCTTCCAAACTTTGCAAATGCCATCGCCTATCAGTCAACCACGGATAAATTGTACCTCAAACTGACTGGTTTCACGGTCACCTGTGGCGCTCTCAATATTAAATGGTCTTTATTGAAAAGCAAAGATAGCTGTGCTCTTGGGAAGAACCCAGGCAGTCTGACAAACTCGATCAACCACGTCCTGAGCGGGTTGACTCTGAGAAACAGCGAGATATATAAGGTTGTCGTCCAGGCTTATGATATGCGCGGACAATCTGGGCTACCTGTGTGCAGCAACGCGCTTACCATAGATACCAGCAAACCAAGCGGAGGATGGATCCGCGATGGCCTGGGATCCAGCGACGTCCAATTCCAGTCAAGTAAAAAGATCAGTGCAAGTTGGGGAGGCTTCAAAACTACTCATGGCATAGCGAAATACGAAGTGGCTGTGTACAGCAAAAACAATCCCCTACAAACATTCACCAACGTCAATCTTGCGGCATCCTTTACAAAAACCTTTTCAGCGATAACAGATGGTAGTAAAATCGTCACAAAAGTTAGGGCATTTACAAAAGCCGGGCTGTATTCAGAAATCTTCAGCAATGGTGTGACCGTTGATACATCCAATCCTACACCGGGAAAGGTGATAGATGGGAACTCGAATGATCTCAAGTATGCGAGCTGGACTGCGACCTACAATGCAAGCTGGACGTCGTTCACGGATCCCCACGCACCTATTGTTGAATACAAATTGGCTGTGAAACGAAAAAATGCCGGGTTGGTTGGATCCGGGTTTACCTCGGTGGGTTCGAAACGTGCCGGTAGCATATCGGGATTAAGACTAACCTCTGGGATCGAATATTGCGCCATTGTTGAAGGTATGAATGCTGCCGGACTTAGCTCCCAGGCTACTTCCGATTGTCTTCTCATTGACCACGATGCACCGCGACCTGGAACGGTCAACGATGGAACCTCGGGGGATATCGACTACCAATCGGGAGACAACGTATTCCACGCGAACTGGAATGGATTTAGCGACGGACAAAAGGGAAGCGGAATTGCGGAATATAGATACAAGTTGACGGACAAAAAGACCAGCCAAGTTATCACTCAGTGGGCATCTTCCGGTCTTCAAACGAAAGCTACCATCACTGGGTTAAACCTTGCAAATGGCAACACGTATTTTATCACAGTACGGGCTGTTGATAAAGTCGGCCATTACACGGAGGCGAGTTCAGATGGCATCTTTATCGATACGACTCATCCAGTTTATACAGGTAGCATTAGCGTTCAGGGCGAGACAGCTCAAAAGGGTGGAGAGACGTTGGTTTATATCAGAAGCAAAGAGTCAGTGACAGTCTCCTGGCCCCAGTTTTTGGACGAACATAGCGGAATGCTGAAGTATCAGTGGTCAATTGTCGAGAAAAATAAAAAGCCTTCGTCGTGGAAAGATGTCCCTGGAGTGAATTTAGCTACAAAGGCAGTTTTAAGGTGAGGTAACACTCGAACGCCGGAACCTGCTAAAAATCTGAATGCCTGTAACTTATATTATCTTTTGTTTATAACTCATATCTTGAGCTTACAAGATGTTGTTTTTTGGAGTATGTTTTTCTTGCTAAATTGCATGATATTTTTCACTGTAGCTCGCTGTCGCTAACAAACAACAAAGAATATCAACTCACAATACGTGGAATTAACAACGCAGGACTTTACGCTGACATAAAATCACCCATTATCATCCCTTTAAGTATACCAACTAATCTCGGCTCGGTCTCGGATGGCGAGGACCCGACGACAGACATCGACTACCAAACAAACACCTCCGAAGTTCACGCGACGTGGAAAGGTTTTGAAACGCCGAGCGTGAAGGTTCGAGCGTACTTTTACGCAGTCGGCAGCTGCATAAAAGGAAACTATCACGTCACCAATAACCAGTTTACACCGGTTAGTCCAGCTACGACAACCTCGCTTGAAATGCGAGAACTGAACTTGGTCAACGGTCAGAAATATTGCGTGAAAATCAAAGCAGAGAATCTGGCCGGAGTTCAAACAGAGGCTGTCTCCTCGGACGGATTCGTCGTGGATGTGACCCCCCCTGATCTTTCACGGGCGATGGTATTAGACGGTAGTGGAGATGATGACATCGATTACCAATCAAGCAGGGGGGAGTTGTCAGCAACGTGGAAAGGAATCCGGGACGATGACTCCGGGATACATCATTTCGAAGTTGCTGTCAGTCGGAATAGAGTTGGTGCGCCAGATGTGACGTCATTCAATGACGTAGGCCGCAATACGTCAGCTAAAATATCTGAGCTAACTTTGAATGATGAAGTGTATTACATTATAGTTTGTGCTGTAAATAACGCCGGATTGAAGTCATGTTTAGCGTCTGATGGTGTCCTCATTGATCCAACTCCGTCGACGTCTGGTGTGGTGCATGACGGGATACTAGAACCGGATGTGCGCTATCAGTCGTCGACAAAGAAGATGAGCGCAAACTGGGAACGAGTGTGGGATTTGGAGAGCAGAGTAGCGCGATTTGAATGGGGGATTGAGAAAGACGACAATGGAGTTGTGCTAGATTTTGTCAATGTTGGTCTTCAAACTCATGTAACAAGTCACAAGACGTTACCTCTAAAACATGGACATAACTACACAGTGGTGTTGCGTGTTTATAACAGAGCTGGTGGTATGCGAGAATTGAAATCAAATGGTGTCACTATTGATACCACCCCTCCTGTACCAAGTCACATTACGCTGGGATCTGAGTGGCGCTTCAACAAGGAAACTGGTACTTACTATACATCCACTGCTTCAGGGATATACGTGACTTGGAAGGACTTCAAGGAACGCGAAAGTAAAGTATGGTACTATAAGTGGTCAATAGGGACAACAAAATGTGGCACCCAGCTTCAGCCGCTTATCAATATTGGCTCATCTACGCGCGCAAACACGACCGGAAGTGAGTTGAACTTTCGACCTGGGACGCCGTATTACGTCACTGTCGTTGCGCGAAATCGGGCTGACCTCGTGTCACGTGCTTGCTCATCACCACTGCTTTTTGACTACACGCCACCTATTGCTGGTCGCATCCAGATAACTTCGCGAGCTGGGGTTGAGAAAAGCTATTTCAGTTCTACGGAAGATCCTCCGCGTATGGGCTGGTCCGGTTTTTATGACTTGGAAAGTGATATAGAGAAATATAAGATCTCCGTCGTAAAATCAAATGCATCTCTGAAAAATTATGCTTTTAATTCTAGCAACGCCCTTTACGATGTTCCCCTCGGTAATTTGTCTCCAGGAACAGGATATTCGGTAGTCCTCAAAGTCATTAATTATGCGGGACTTGAAACCGCAGTTTATTCAAAGCCGTTCGCGATTGATGACAGTCCGCCATATTACACTGGCCGCGCTCCAAGACAGGAATTTCAATCCGATACCACGTCAGTTGAGATTGCTTGGGAACCTTTCTCGGACAACGAGAGTCCCGTAGAATTCTACGAAATCGGTCTGGGAACAAGCGCACTGCAGGACGACATTCATGAGTTTACCAGAACTGGTTTGCGCACATACGTAAAGCTTTCTGGCTTGGATCTCAAGGATGATCAGACATATTATGTCACAGTAAGGGCAAGTAATGCAGCCGGGCTAAGAAGATCGCTTCTTTTGAAAGAAATAGAGATTGATAAAACTCCTCCAACTGGGAAAAACGACAGTGTGAAAGATGGTCTTTCAGGGAGCGACGTTGATTTTATAAATTCAAATGATACAGTTTCCGCTACTTGGGAAAACATAGAGGAACAACAGAGTTTTATGAGTTTGTTTGAATACTGTGTTGGTACCACGCCGTACAACTGTCTCATCAAGTCGTTCACTCAGATAGGCCTCAACAAATCGTTTCAATGCGACGACTGTAGAATAAAGTCAGACATGAAAGTGTTCGCAAGAGTTCGGGCAACAAACGCCGTCGGTTTGTCTGCCATATTTGTTTCTGATGGCGTAACCGTTGACTCCAGTCCTCCCGAAATAGGCCGTGTTCTTGATGGGGAAAGCGCGGAAAGTCCCGACGTAGAGAAGGTCGATCGTGATTGGTTACCCACAGTCACGTGGTACGGAGCACAGGACATTCAAAGTGGCCTTCGAGATTGTGAGTGGATCATCGTGAAGCATGATGGTAATGGAATGTCAATCGCTTATGTAAAGATGCTTGATAAGGTCAACATAACTTATAATAATCGTCATACAGAAAGAGCCACTTCTCAACTAGAATTAGCGAAAAATGCCTCGTATGTCAATGCAATTCGCTGTTCGAATAACGCTGGTATCATTCATTACCAGTACTCGAATGGTTGGTCTGTAGTCGACGAATGGCCAGTGACATCATATGTTAACGATGGGCTCGGATCATCTGATTTAGAATATGACGTCACCGGCAAAACCCTTGGTGCATCATGGGGCCAATTCCACGGAGATTCCAAGGACCCGGTGATCCGATACGAGTGGGCAGTGGGGACTTTAGGGACACCTGATGATATCATGGATTTCACGGATGTTGGATTAGATACAAGAGCTTCGAAATCACTGACTGATGGCGAGATCGTTCTGGATACCGGTGTGAGGTGTTACGTCACAGTGCGCGCTACGACATTGAGTGGGAGGACTAGTAACAAATCGTCAAACGGATTCATCGTTGATACGACTGCACCGACAGTTGGTGTTGTTAAAGTGTCTCACAAGATTATAAAACAGGAAACAAATGAAGTGGATTACACCCTAACTTGGAGTGGTTTTAGAGATTTAGAGACGGGGATAAGAAAGTTTGAGTTTTGTCTGGGTTATATCAAAGATGTTTGCTCAACCGTTTTGACGACTGCCGGCTTGGACCAACAAGGAACTGTGCAGCAGTTCACCCCAGCTGATCTAGCTACGCCATTCTACGGTATTGTCATAGCAACAAACAATGCAGGCTTGACAACGATCGTCAGTTCGGATTCGATCAAGATTGACTTCACCCCTCCCATTCCTGGGACTGTCATTGATGGATTGCACAAGGACTTGGACAACATCGCAATCGATACCGCCCTAATTAGCACATGGTCCGCATTCACCGACCCAGAGACTGGTATCGAGAGATGTACGCTGACCGTGATTGAGAAAAGCCCTAAAAACGAAGACTTCCCTGTTTTAAGGAAACTCGTCAACGCTAGTGGATCCATAACTCATAAGTTTATTGTAGTCCCTGGCTTAAGATATGTATCTACCGTAGAATGTAGAAATCCTGACGGCTTTAAGACTTCAGTGTCGTCTGACGGCATACTTTGTGATGGAACTCCTCCTATCGTGGGCTCAATATTTCACAGAACCGCCCAAAACCAAAGTTCGGAAAGTGATTACCAGTTTTCGACGAGCAATCTCGAAGTGTACTGGAACCCTGGCCGCGATCCCGAAAATGGAATTCAGGAGTATTTGGTGGCCGTGGGTTCTGGAGCCGACCGCGATGATGTGCGCGGGTTTTTCTCAGTTGGCATGGCAACTGAGGTTAAGATCGTGAATCTTACTATGAACTCTGGATCCACATATTACGTCACATTAGAAGTCGTAAATAACGCTGGCATGACGTCACGTGCTTCGTCGAATGGCATTACCGTGGACGCCACACCACCAGTTATAACTAAGGTATGTAGCTATTATTATTTTTTGATATATCGCATTAAAAACAAGCAAACAATCTGTTCGAAAACATAGGAATCGGTCAGCTTAATTCACTAAGGATTAGACCAAGGATTATATGAGTTTTTCTCCTTGGTTCGTTTAACCTATAATCTTCTCCTTGTATCACTCCAGGTTGAACTGCAGTCATCTCGAACAGCACCAGATCTTATCGGTCCAGGTGATTACCTTAGCGGGGAATGGAACAGTTACGATGGTGAAAGTGATATCGACTTTACTGAATACTGCTTTGGTACAACCCAGGGTGGTTGCCAGGTAGCAAACATGCAACGTGTCCCTGGCAACGAGACTAGCGTTACCTGCTTTGAATGCACTCTAAAACACATGTATACCTACTTCATGACTGTGCGAGTTTGGAACAGGGCGGGACTATTCAGTTTGGCCCACAGCAAAGGGGTGACCGTAGACTTGACCCCGCCAACATCTGGTGAGATTTCACTAAAACCCCTCTATATGCCTTGTTTGGAAACCTGCAGACTGGGAGCAACATTTGGAGGTTTTATTGACAACGAAAGTGGAATTAAGGATTGTAAATTCAGGATAAAAACAGCCAACGGGTCGAGTGTCACTACAGCGCAAGCAACAAGCACTAAGAATCGTTTAATAGCAAGTAACCTCACACTCAAACATGGAGAAAACTACAAGATTACAGTCGTTTGTACGAATAATCTCGGTGAGAAAAGCGAGGAAGTTGACTCTCAGCTAGTACGAATTGATAACAGCCCACCAGAAAAGGTACGTTTGTCACGAGTTTACAGGTTATCGGGTTTCCCAATTTTTAAGAGAGTTCTTCAAGTTTAATATTTCCTTGTTTGTTTCACTTCAGGGATTTGTTATAATCAGTCCTGATCGAAATCACGACATATTACGTCATCATACGGGATGTCACTTCCTCAACACGACATTGCGCGTTTACTGGTCGGGTTTCCATGACGACGAATCCGATATTGCTGGATTCAGGATCGCTATTGGCCGAGCCCCACTGAGATATGACGTCATGCCTTTCCGAAACTTCGCCATCGACTCCGAGGCTAAATTCGATTTAAATGAAAATTATGGTTTGTCCAAAGGCGACACGATATTCGGAACAGTAGAGGCAACGAACAAAGCAGGACTTACCACCAAAGTTTCGTCACCAGCCACGCGACTTCTCTCTGATAAAGACAGTACCTTACTTAACGAAGGAGATTTCCAATGTGTAAATGTTTGAACTTTGAAAGAAATGATGGCTTTAGGCCTGTCGAGCTTTTCATGTGCTGAATAGAGTGCATATCACTGCAAATGAACTTAAAGAAAGACTTCATGATAACATTAGGTTTGGCACATGAAAAGTTCAACGTCTTAAACGGGTTATACTTAAGTACAATTTGTTTTAGGAATATTTATGTTTTGTGTATTGGTGGGTTTCAGATTCAACGATCATAGAATCAGTTATCCAGTGTAGTTGTTCACCAAGTTTTTTTTGAAATTATTAGCGGCCTTGCAACGTTAGCCGAAAAAATATTCTCCGGACTATTTCAATTAGATATTAGGGATTTTAGGACGCATTTCCAGCATCTTTTTCAGTGTAAACTAGTTATTTTATAGGAATGACTGGAAGCAAATTGATTGCTGAAATATTTAACGTGCATTATCTACGTTGAAAAATCAAATTGCCCAAAGAATAAATAACAAATAAATAAGAAAATGCTCTTGATGTCTCACCCAATACCATAACATCACATATGGTCTTCCTTCGCTGGTATATATAAACAAGTTCGAATTAATTCAGTAAAAAATCGTCAGACCTATCATACTGTGGACGGAATTTTCTGCATGTTCGATTGTTAATCCAAAAACACCTTTGCATTCACAATGAAATCGTGCACCTATTTGATACCAGAAGATTTTGATCATCTGCGAAAGCAAAGAAATTATATCATCCTGCTCGCTGTCATATTGGAACGGTACAAAGATAAAGCGCACCTGATGGTAGATCTAAAAGCCAGTTGTCTTGAAGTGAAAATGTTCGTCTTTTCATGCTAGTGCAATAAACGTTTGCTTTTAATTTCGGTCAATTAGGCCTTATCGAGGTAGTTAATATGGACGAAAGGTATAATTAATTTTAATTATGGTAAATGGTTCTAATGAGCTATAATTAGTAACTTACTCATTCACACAAGATTTGCAAGCGTTTAGGTTCCAGGTCCCTGCGCACAACATGGCCGCGATAACAAAGCGAAGTGCACAAGGCGTTTTGTATATTTAAAAGTGTGCTTTTAACACGTTGTTTGCTATTTTATTTTCAATTTTACCTTGTTTCCAAGAACCTCAAAGGTACTTTTGCTTTCGTACTCAAATTTAGAAAGATATGTGTTCAATATTTGTGTGGTTTTGGGCATAATATGCACTCTTTTTTTATCAATTATCATCATCGGGGACCGGGAGACAGACTGACAGTGTGGCATTCTCAGATGACATTTGTTTGTGAATTTCTTTTAGGAATATTTTTGATATGTTTTGAAGAGATGGTGTTTTAGTCAAGCTGGTCAATCACGAGAAACATCGTAAGTTTTAAATACTGTTAAATGCTATCATTAGTCTCTGTCTGGCAGTCTGGAATCATAAAACTTCGAAAAATTTTATGCCTGCTGTTTACGGCCCCGTGGGAAGATACTTGTCACTTTTGCAGAGAGAATTGTTAAGGCTATCAGGATTTTTTGCTTTTTAACACATGCTGATTCAGGTGCTTATAATACCCCCTTTTTTATGATATATTTATTTCATGGAAAGGCCATTTACCAGTTTATATCGCAAAGCTGTGGTTTTTCAACTTTTTTGGGATGAGGCCTGAACTGCACACATCGATTTGTTAGCTAGTTTCAGTATCAATTTAGATGCTAATGGCCATTGTTTGGAGTTGATGATTGCACATCATGCTGATCGGCTGATGTTAGCTATGTATATTTTAGATATAATACAGATCTTTGTCTAAATTACACTAAAATATTTCTGTGTGTGAATAGAGCATTATTGATTGAACTATTGTGGTGCATGTGATGAGGATAAAATTTTGCTTAAACTTGATCAAATTCCAAGAAAATTCTCTCAAGGATCGAAGATAATGTATAGTTGTAATCAGACCAATGTTTGTGCGGCAGAGTTGATTGCAAATATTCAGGATTTACAAAGTGAGGTTCTTGAGTTCTTTGACTCAGTAAGATGTCTACACCATTGGCTGACTTCATAAGAAAAATGTGAACTCCTTGTATCATCTCATCCTCTCCAGTTAACTTTTGAGCTCAGTGGCTTCATTTTTTCTAATTCACTATGTGCTCCTTATTATAAACAGACCCTGTTAGTCTGATATAATTACTCCAGTTATCTTTTGAGCTCATCAGCATCCAATTAGAAATATGCTTCCATGCACTCCAGTTATTTTTTAAGTTCAGTGACTTTATTCTTTGTACCTACAAATATGCTTCCATGCCCTCCAGTTATTGTTTAAGTTCAGTGACTTTATTCTTTGTACCTACAAATATGCTTCCATGCCCTCCAGTTATTGTTTAAGTTCAGTGACTTTATTCTTTGTACCTACAAATATGCTTCCATGCACTCCAGTTATTGTTTAAGTTCAGTGACTTTATTCTTTGTACCTACTTACAAATATGCTTCCATGCACTCCAGTTATTGTTTAAGTTCAGTGACTTTATTCTTTGTACCTACAAATATGCTTCCATGCACTCCAGTTATCGTTTAAGTTCAGTGACTTCATTCTTTGTACCTACTACAAATATGACTTCATGCACTCCAGATATTTTCTAAGTTCAGTGGCTTCATTTCTTGACCTATTTGTATGCAAATTTTGCACCCCCAGCGACAAATCTATCCCATAACTCCAGGCATTGTGACCAATATATTACAATTATAATATATATTATAATACAATTATACAAAAATTTATTATGCTGCATCATGATGCTATACCACTCCAGAAAACGTTTGAGTTCAGTGGATAGACTTCTCAAAATGAGAAAGCAACACTATGAAATGGTGTATTGTGTCAGCTTATTGGCAAAACATTAACACATATACACATATATGAGATGTAAACTCAAAATTAGGGAGCGATATCGGTGTCGATCGATCTCCAGAATATCGTCTCTTGTGCACAAGACAAGTCAGATTTAACCATTGCGTAATTTGAGATGCTTCATTGGTGTATCCAAGTAAATATTGCGGAGCCAAGTTAATGACTTGGCAGCCTAGAGGCACGCTCAAACACAATGAGTGAATCGAAACCAATTCCTATGGCTGAAAAAGCATCTAACCCCCAACCAAAGGCAAACAGTTTACCACGTCAAAATACAACGGTCCCAAGGGTATCCTCGACACCAATATTCAAAAGAAATTCGTCAGGTTGGGGTACCGAACTTCGGCGAAGAAGCGACTCGCTGTTTCATTCTACAGAACATCTTGCGTCTCCCATAGATGAGACAGACTCGCCTCGAATAAGGTTCAGTTCGTTATCATCCGAAGAGGAAGAAAGACGTCGTCGAACATCCAGCACAACTTCTCCTGATCAGCCGAGGATAGACGCGTGGTTAGAATGGCGAAGCAGGAGACGGAATTCAACGCCGGCCGTGAATTACAGCAGTTCGGTTGGCACTTCTGTGTGAAAGATGACAAGTTTCCCCCGTCAGAATTTTGACATTGAGCTCATGTCAAGATTTAACAAAACCGTATGAAATTCATAGTTTTACAATGGACTTTACGCGTTTAATCTAAACTCTTCAAAATCGATATTCGTCAGTTGAAATTACCGGCAACTTATTTGATGGTGATGGTAGAGAGCGAAAATGGTGGAAAATTTGACGATATTTTTGGCTTTCTCGACATCCTCGCTTTCATAAGAGCATTGTCGTTTTCTCATGGGTATATTCCATAGCTCATCCAATACTGAGGTGAAGAATTTAGAGAGTATTAATGGTAGTATGAACCGACTTAGGATAAACATTCAATTCGATTGTCAAGTGTATCGACTTTGTAATTAGAACTTCATTAGTATTATTGACTCTATTTTTTTCTGGTATTCGAGATTTTATTTGCGTCCGGGAATGCGAATATAGAGCTGTCGTGCTTTGCGTCTGAGTATAGCTGTTGAAAATGGATCGACATTTTGAATATAGACCTATAATCTTCAATCGCGATTGTTTTGATAAATGATCCCTACCGTGACGTCAAATTGTGGTCAGACAATGCACCAATATATGCTGCGTGTCTGATACGGTCATATGTACTTGTAATTGGCAAGAATATTTCAATCTTGAATCTTCTGTTGCCTATGAAAAAAGTTACCTTGGGGTGATAAAAGTGAAGTGGTATATAGTGCAAGTGTATATTTGCATCGTTTCAACGCGTTTCAATGGTTCATTTCCGTGTGGAAGGGGGTCTTCATTGTGACAATATTACGCACACGCATTGTTTGGATAATCCTGTGATATAGCTGTCAACCAGCTATTTCGTGTCTATTTATAATATCTATAAGGCTTTATTGAGAGACCGGTTAGAAATTTTAATATTTTTTTTATGAAAATCACGGCCCTTGAATGACAGGATGTGCTTCTTCCCAGATTTAATAGTGATGATTAACGATGAGTAATGAGAGATTAGCAAGTTTAATATCTGTCGTTTAACAAACGTGTTTATGCAGAGCAGAGTAACAGGGGAGTGGGGGTAAACAGGGATAAATGGGAAGCAGAGTAACTGGGGAGTGGGTGTAAACAGTGGTAAATGGGGAGGGAGGGAGAACAGCCTAACAGAGAAGAAACGCAAAAGCGCACAAGAGAATCATGAAGAAATGAAACTTGTGTTAAAGAAAATCTGTGAGTACTGGTCTCGCAAGGCCTAAATTAGCAACAGTCAGCACTCAGTCAGACCAACAGTACTGCATGCAATGGTTAAATGGAATTAAGAAAGGTGGAAAGTGAAACACTGAATAAAACATTGCAAAGCAGTAAGTACTAGACTAGTCAGGCTAGTATTAGTAGCAACAGTCAGCACTCAGTCTGACCAGCGGCACTGCAATGATAAACTGACATTGATTGAAGTCGGAAGGAGCCGTTTCAATGTGCCTGAATGTTCCTCCTTCTCTTCAACTGCCGCTTTAAATGCGGCAGTTTCAATCGACAAATCACCAAGCATTCTCAAAGCCAATATAACTCAAAAGGAAACGGATGGAAATATTTATAAACGCCCTCATTCCAGATGACGTTTGGTTGATTTAAATACAATACAAATTACCAATAATTAAGACCCACGTTTTTTAAAACGGAACAAACTCTCAGGCTCAAAACAAAACAACTTTCCGCCTAGCCAAAACAAATAATTCTCTACTTTCAGCCAGGGCTGATGAGATAGCCAGGCCTTGCTTTATATATATGGAAAATGGTTCATGTCTTCCTAGTGATCTACCTTCTTAAGATAAATCCAGCTTCGTCGTTGTTTAGTCATTATTTCTCGACATTTCTTGCACAATTTTGAGCTATTTCGTATATTGGTATTCTTGACCTGAATATTAGCGATGTGCAAAACATAAGGCGCAGATGTTTCATATGGACATATATGGATATACCCTCGAGTTCACAGCCATCAACCGTGTTTCCTCTTAACCCGTACGTTCTCCGAGGATCAATCATCGCGCCTCGCAGCTGGTGCTGTGACGTCGCAACGTTCAACCCACATTAGGTCCACGTGCTTTGGGACAATAGGACATCGCAAATTACCTCTAATGATTATTTTGCTGGACATATCAGCCTTAAAATGAAGATCTCGATTGCCATCAAGTAGACTGTCAGTGTCCTAAACTTTGAGATTCCTGGCCACTCGTGTCTTTTATGCACGGGAAATCGTTTGTCGAAAATCGACTGGATTGATGTGTTGATATTACGGTGAAATCGCTGATTCGAACATGTTTATGAATGTTTACAGCTATAAACTCGACAGGGGGTTCCATCACAGACAAAGAGTAAAGAGATATCATATTGAAAGCACACATAACTCAAATTCTAACCTAGCTTGCCTCTCAACACTTAACCGTCAAAATAAACGATCTGAATTCATGTATCTAATAAATAGTTTGATTTAATCTATTGAAGATCGTCCCCCGACGTCTAGGCCTTCATTGCATCGCTGTCTTTTACGGATGCTAATTTTGGATGGCTTTATTTCCTTTTGAAACTAATTTTCTACCGTTATTCCGGTATAAAGACATCATACGCTGAGCCAATTTTACGTCGCAAGAAATCTCAGCTAGGCTAACACAATTTCTACCTGATAATTTTTTGTTTTTATAACTGAAATCAGCTTTGTCTTCTATCATTATAAACTGCAATATACGGACATAAAAACTCCCAATGTATTTCTTGATTTGCCTCTTGATTTGCCTCTTACGCGGTCTCTCTTCGGCTCCATATTTGTTTTCCATATTTGTTTTACAATAAATATTTAAATCACAATTTTGAAGTACAGATAGATAGGATCACAATATTGACGTCTGATCCCTGTGGCTGCTAAATCTCACGGATTGGCTCAATCCTACTCGATGGAACTTTTGACATGTTTGCGTTTGGCATATTTTAAGCCAAGTTTCGCCATATGCGCACGGTTGGGATGAAATTTTAGCTTTTTCCCGTCTTGCGTGCGAGCGGTTGTGTTTGGTTTTGTGGCGACATTAGAGTAAGGAGAGGATACGACGACGAAATTGTTGGAGTAATTTTGTTATCTCCCATTGTCGTGGGCAAATGGACTGAACTCGTTTACTTGTGGATTCTTTAGCTACTGGAGTCGCGGATCCGTATCATCCCAACCTTGCTTCCCTCGCTTCTCTGCAATGTCTACCACCTCACATCTTCTTCTGATCTCTTCATTTCATAATATCTCCGAGCAGCTCTCCTTCATCTCTTCTTATTACGCGTCCATATCATCTCAACCTTGCTTCCCTCATCTTCTCTGCAACGTCTACCGCCTTGGAACTCCTGATCTCATATCTTCCTATTCCATGTCTCCTGTTCCACGCTCCTTGACAATCATCCGCGTCCTGCCCTACGCCAAATAATCGCACAGCCAGCGATATTTTTGTGCCAAATTTTTATAGGTCACAGGTCAATGGAAACCGGCCTGTGATTGGTGGAAAATGTTAAATTGATAAAGTCGTATTTTTGAAGAGCACTTGATTGTGCTACAGGCTACATCAAACATCAGCTCCAAGAAAAACAGTGTTCTTTGCATCTTATGTGTATCTTTATTGTGGCCACATTGTGCCGAGGGTGGTTGTAGGTTATATTGTCTGTTTACGACGTGATTTCCTGTAATTGTTTTCGGCTGTGGCTTCGCTGACGGACGTCATTCGAGACTGGGGGAGCATGAAGTAATCTCACAAAGGCTGGACTGTGGGTTTTTTGGTTTCGCGTGCGTAGAATAATATCGACATATCCACTGCCTCGAGGTAAGCGATTTACTGGAATGAAAGACCAACGCTTATTGCTGTATTCCACATATTACCCTGCCTAATTTGCTCTATATTCAAACGCATCATTATTAGAGAGAACATCGAATGTCTCATATGTGAGATAAGAGACTTAAGACTATCATTCTGCATCTTTCACGCTTCGTCGTAAAACTGAATACGAATCGATGAAACCCTGATATATTCGAACGCGAATTCAATATTCATGTCGAATGGTCTTGGGTTGTTCACAAAACGACGTATGTTCGTGATCCAAGTATGATTAAGTCATCTGCAATCCCGTGTTTCGTAGGCTAAACTTAAGTGTCCATTCTTAAACCCTCGAGTCGAGAAGATCTCCGTATAAAAACTTCACCGCTGTTATCTTAGATTTGGATATATATTCCAGTCGAAATGGCGGTCATGAAATATTTCACACGAAATGTATGTATTTAAATGATCGTACCGTTCAGATAGTGCCCACAGCTGGAAGCAACAATTCATAATATTTATATTATAAGCCAATACTTGCCATGAACATTATCTAGCTACTCCCAACCACACGTTGCCCTCGTGAAAGACTATCGTATATTTAAAACGAGTCCATTAAGACACTAATTGTGCTGGACGCGTTATGTTTATATTCTAATGATTATTCTCCACGCATCTGCAAGCTTGAAAGCTCTTGTCTATCGCTTCGACTTCTGCACGTCGTGGACAGATATTTAATGAAAAAAACATTGAATTTTAATACGATAATGTTTATTCACAGCATATTACGCATTCCCTGTAAACCAAATAAGTTTATTCAAAAGATTTCTCAGCTAATTTTAACATACGAATACTGTCTATTAACTTTTCCGAATATCATTGTGCCTACAAACAGGAAATGATATTTTGTTAATAACTCGAATTGGCTGCAAGTTTTGGACCCAGGATTTATAATTATAATTTACAGCCTGCCCACGGACAAAAAAGCTTTTCCGTCGTTTGTATGTTACAAAATGCTTCATACCTGTTTTCTTTTGTATGGCCCTTTATTTAGCATTGCTATCCGCATCTGTGATGGGTTTGTGTAATTCTTTCAACCTTAGGTAATTCTAACATTATCATACAATCATTTTTACCCCAGCTTCGTGAAATTGGTCTATTATAAAATCGACTATACACAAATTTAAATATAGCCCTCAAAGCTGTCGGGAAAATATCCGCAAAATATCACAAGCATTTCCATATTCACACGGTCTCGCTCCTTGGAAATTTTTACACTCTATATCATAATATCCGATGTGCTAATGGAGAGATTATAGCCAACGAATTAATGACTATATATAGCCGGTTTTTGAAATTATTTATTACGCTTGTCTCAGTAATACTGTTCGGGCTTTTTTTCGAGTGTACTTTACAGTATGTTTTATGATTTTTGAAGTGCAGAGCTCTCTCAAAGATAGCCATCAAACAACCGTACTTGGAAATGGAAATAAGCTTGAAGTTTTCTTACGTTGAAATGTGCCTACGGGAAATGGAAGCATTGAACCTGCCCTCGTTCTTAGTCAAACGTTATTATCATCTTTGTTGATTTCTATTTAAATCTCTACTTGTTTAGCAAGAAATGAAACACTGGATTCACGCTCGTTGACTTTTTTTTCATCAAAGAAGACGCGCGTGAAATTGTGAAAAAAATCCCGACCGGATTACCCCCTATATCATGGGATTCAGTCAATTGCCTTGAGGCTAGTTTGCGTTGCGATGACATGCAAATTGTAGAGAAAAGCCTAAAGATAACACGCGTATTAATTCTAGCCTGGTTACGTCTTTGCACGTATACGTGTTTACTCTCCGAGTACACTTATGTCGACATGAATGCCAAGCCGCGTTCTGCGAGAAATTTGCTGACACAGCTGTCCTCAGGCTAATAGTTTATTCATTATTCCTCAATTCCAGGCAATTTAAGTTCCTCGTATCCCGCAATGCGAACCAATTTGCTGCTTAAAATATCAGTTTGAGGTGGCAAGAACCCACACAGCTTGCGTCCTGAAGTCAAAATAGTAGAGTTTATCATTTCAGACACAGCCGCTCCGCTTCGTCCGCCTCGCGTTGCTTATTCTTCTCTGATCAGCAAGGATTTTTTGTCCCATCTATCCTTGTTCACAGCATATTTAAAAGCCCTCTTGAAATTTCACCCGTTTTAAAACCCCTGAAGTTCTATAATAGCTTTTTTGTTTCCCGTCGACTGGAGAACTCGACAGGAAATACAATCGTTGATTACAAACCAGATATCTAAATACATGTGTGACCGACCGGCTGGTTTTTCTCAGTAGAGTATGGGAATAGTGCCGTTGCTTGTGTAAAATCTCATACATCGAGAGGAGAGTCGGACCAACGATAGATTCCGACCGCTAGGATCGTAACTGATTTTCGCAGTTAGCACTCTTTTGTTCCGATAGATCTTTGATTTTTGCCCATATTTTGGTAGATTTAAGAAATTTCCGGACATATAAAATGAATTTTTGAAGATTTTAACTATTTTTAGGAAATAGAGCATTCGGGACAATCTTTGTATAGTTTTCTCATTCTCATTTTAGACCAAAAAAATACTCTCCGAAATTCGCCATCTTCTTCGCTATTTTGAATTTAGTCCAGTTCTATATTGTAGAAACTGTACGAAACAAACATGGCGGTCGCCCCGTGGGTATCTAGATTTTTTTTACATATTTTTCAAATATAGACTTGAAAGATTATCGTCTCGCATGTTTTGAATATCTTTAGGCTAATCTAAAAGGCTCTTTCTCCCGCCCACACGCTCGGCTGTCTACTGAGACGCGTGCCAACGTCACAGATATCCTTATCAAGAATATCAACATTCACTAATCAATAATACCCGAAAGACCGGAACTTTTTCCCGCCCGTACTTCCGGGGCAGCAGTTTGGCGAATATGATTAGGCATTGTTTTTCTGTTGGGTAAGAATTGTCAGTTTTCGTACTATACCCAGCGGAATGCCAGCCATTTTAGGTGGAAATTGAAACGTTCAAAGCGTAACACTCAGTGCTTGTTTTGCCAACATTAGCCTGTCTCAAATCGGCCAGTTTTTAGCCGTACTCTAGACTTTCGTAAGTACCGAAAATACTGACACTGTTTTGTTTTTGTTATGTAGAAACTACGTTTTTTTCTACGCTAAAATCATTCAAGGATTTGATTCAACATGGCTCTTGTTCAACTACTATGGTAACAAAGACGTGTCTCAACAATGACGGTCATTCCCTCGCGTCCTATTCACAGTTACCATTCATATGACAAGACGAAAGAGATTTTCGCATCACGAAAGTGTACCAACAGTGGCTATGATTCTGGATACCAGACTCCGGCGAGTTGCGCAAAATCCACGTGTCTCAGAGACACTATAAACCGCCAAAATGATTCTTGTATATTAAGTCGAAATACCGCTGGAAATCGCGTTGAGAGAACCTTTAAAAGTCGAACCAATTTAAGTAATGTTTCAGCCGCTGTTTCTTGTTTTGATAGTAAACATACCCGCGCTGTTGATGTAAAGCTTCCATCTAAAGACTGTTCAGCGAAATGTCAGTATCAAAAACAAGATTTTGAGCGCTTTGAAAATGGAGTAAAGTGTTTCAAAGACTTTCATAAAGAAGTTCCTGACAAATGTATTTCCGGGAAGATGTTCCAGACGGGTTATAGTGAAAAAAGACCCTGGAATACGGGATTTGATACCGGAGTTTTATACTCTACGGCGTTTGATATCCTGGTTGTATTCCGTATAGACTTTTGTACTTGTGTTATTTTTTATACAAAGTTTGGCGTCTCTCTTTCATTCACGGGTGTTTGTACTTGGGTAAGAGTGTCTACGGAAGTTCGTAGCGGGAAGATATTACCGGGATTATGCGATAAGTCGGAGGTTTGTAACCGGGTGATTAATCGTATGGTACAATGTTCCTGTAAGTATCGTACGGTTGGTCGAAGAAAGGAGGGAGAACAAAAGAATGGGAAACAGAAAAAGAACGAAAGTGGAAGCTATGGCCGAAAGAGTGAGAATGGACGAAGTAGGAGGACGAGCCAGGGTAACGGGAGTTCCGGTATGGAGGGAAGTGGGGAAGGATCTGGGAACGGGGAAGGTTCAGGGAAGGGGGATGACTCTAGTGATGACGACGATGATGATGATGATGATCAAGATGATGAAGATGATGATGACGAGGAAGAAGGAGATGATGAAGACGAGATCGATACTGACAACGTTTCCGCAATGGCAGAGGATGAAGCTGAAGAAACTACTAATGGTGGAGAAGAAATGGTGAGTTCAGCTACTATATCGGGTGGTGTTGTTGACAGGGGTGGATGGCATGAGGTGTGGGTGATGGTAGATTTAATTTTTAGTGGTCACAGAGGTGGATGTCATACTGCAGGTTGATTATGGTGTTTACATACTGTAGGTATGTGTGATGGTGAGAATATATTGGTTAGCTTAAGGGTGGGTATGATGGTGGTGATGAAATTGATTGTTGTTATGGTAATTGTGATCATCGTAGATGTGTTGGTGAATTATGATTTTGCTAATGTTAATGATAATAATGCAATAATAAGCAATCTTGCCAGTTGAGAGTACAAATGAACAATCGTGAATGGTTTTTTAGCTTGGAAACTGTGGCAAAGTGACATCAACGACACTGGAGATACACACCACTGGCCTGAAAGATGACGTGGCTAATGATAATGATCAGAATGCTGTGACGTCATTGATCGCACCTGCAGAACCAGGAACACCAGTCACTCTGTCGGGTGTGATTTGGAAGGAGACAATGGGAGGTAAGAATGGGAGAGATTGCTGTTGAGTTTAGGAAGGAAAGATAGAGTTAGTTTATATTTTCAAACAGGGAGATACCAGTGTGGGTAATATCCTTAAAACTGCTAAGAATACTTGATAGACCGTAGATTATTTCTGAGATATGTGTGACCGCTTTCGAATATTCCCTGCAACCCGAGAAATTTGCTTTGAAATTTGTTGAGCTCTGAAATGGCGGAGCCTTTCTGAAACATTTGAACTGACATTTCAGGTGTATTGGTGGTGAACTTGAAATGGCGGAACAAGACATATTCAGGCAGCCTGATCGATCACTCACGCTACGGCTGGGCCAATCCAAGGTAGTTAAGTACAAGTCTCGTTACTCATTACTCATTACTGATTGCTCTTGATGTTGAAAAGTTGAAATATTAGGTCATCCTTTACCCTGATGTGGCAGTGGTAGGGCTATCCAGGGAAGGCGTGTAATATTGATAGTCGATTCCTGAGTTTACACTGTCATGTTTATTTTGAAAGAAACCTAGAAGAGTCTCAAGAATGTGATTTATCCAGCACTAGTCGGAAAGGCAAGAGAGGAAAACACAAGGAGTCAGCGTACACTGGAAATCCGTTGTCACCAAAAATGAGCGGTAAACGAAGTACGTTTACTTCTTTCTTAGTTTAGTTATCGCATGTCTATGAATAAGAGCAGTTTAGAACTGATAGAGCTATCAGTATATATAAAGTTAGTTTAGTTTAGGTTTCCTCCTGTAGTAACACTGGATCAATAAGAGATGATCCTTACTGTACCTCTAGGAAAAACAGTTTAGAACTGATAGAGCTATCCACCAGTATGAATAAAGTTAGCTAAATTATCATTAGGTTCAAGATTTCATCGCAACAAGGGCAAACATAACAAAGAGTCGTCCACGAAATCAAAAGCCAAACGAGGTTCAGACACAACCGAGGAGGGAACGAGAACTAGACGAAGGAGTTGTACGGTCAAGACTAGTGTTTCCCCCAGTCCCTCACCGACCCCGCTCATTGAATGCCCCGAGAGAAACTGTAATAAGAGATACAAACATATAAATGGCCTGCGGTATCATCAGGCGCATGCGCACCTTGATAACGCGGATGATGGCGATGACAAGGATTCGTATGACGAAGATGACATGAAGTCCCTGGATCTCAAGGAACCGCTTTCCGCTAACTCCAAGTCGTCAGGCTCCGATGACGTAAAACCGCTAAGCCACAGGAAGGCCAAGAGCCAAAAAGCAAATTCTAAAACTAGCAGCGAAGTCTCGCTTCCTGACGAGACCGTGCAGAACGGCGAGAAATTGGTTGTCAAGGAAGAGCCTCTTGACAAGTACGAGGACGTGGATATTAAGACTGAGGCGAGGTATGACGTCACGGCGGAGCCTGAACCAATGAAAGTTGAGGAAAGTCCAGCAACGACGAAACCTAATATATTGGAAGAGGCCGTCAAGGTTCTGTTCGCCGAGCCCGCGGTAAGCCAAGACCCCATTGCTTCTTCGGGTATATTTAGCAGGATGACGTCACAGGCTATACTAGCTGCCTCGCACCCCCCGGAATATAAGTACGTTGACTATGAGCAAATGGACGAGGAGACTGTGGGCGAGTACGGGGAGAAGTTTGAGACGAGTGGTGTAGCACAAGAGATGGATGTCACTGTGAAAGGTGAGTTTGATTATAAACTAAGGTTTACTTCCTACTTGCTTATGCATTCACTCTCTTTTGCTCGTTGAGATTATTGTCCTTTTATCGGCGAGTTTACAACACAGCGTTTTAAATTCCTCTCATCGCATTTCTTATTTTCTTACTGAGAATATCCATAAAGAACGTTTCCAGCAGGGGTCGGTTGTATAAAACTCTTTAACTACATTTTGCATAGTTAAATCCTAGTTAACTCAGAAATGCACAACTCTGATTGGCCAATTCTGTCCTTAACTACAGTTAAAAGTTAACTATTCTTTTATACAACTGGCCCAGAATGTTAACTTACTGCCACATCAGTCGTGAATCGGTTTCATTTTCATCTGTTTCTTATTGAAAACAAATGAGAATGCCGGGGAAACATAGGAAAAGCCTTGTAACTGTACACATTCACTCAATTTAACCTTTCTTTTTAGAAGAGGTTATTGACGAGGGTCACGCCGGGGTGGCAAAGATTCTATCATGCAAGGACGAATCCACAGAAACCTTTCAACTTGAGAAGGCTGAGTTACGTTTTAATGGCGCAAAAGCCACCGAGCTCACTGCCGAAGACGCGCCGAAGTGCACCGAAGATGACAAAACAAAATGGCTCCCGGAAAAGTCCGGGAAACCACGCAAGGGTGATGTCGTGAGTGTTTCTAAGGAACAGATCAAGACGTCAGCAGCTGAAATCCGCTCGCTACCAGGCTACAAACATTTTCGTCTCCCGCCAAACAACAACTCGGCATTTTTGACCCAACCGAGATCGCTGACCTTGGACACGGGATTGTTGGATTCCAAGGACCCACAAAAGGGTGGAATGCCTAAAGACGCACCCAGACAGGAGAGGGCGGGGGATAAATCGGATGGGACGATGGTGTGGAAAATGCAGGGGGTGCCCCTGGCATCTTCAGCCTCGTTTCAACTTACATGCGAAAGCAAAGGCCGCCCAACCTATTTAAACGCATCCAGGGTAACCACCAGCACTTGGGTACCAGAGGTTCATCCTGCCGTCTTGAACAAGATGACTGGTGGCGGCGTTCCTGGGCAGGAGGTGAGCCTTTCAATGATACTAAAACACCTTGAAGGCCAGTTCCTTTAAGCAAGCTCTGTGTATGATTCTTGTGTTACAACAGGTTCTGCCCGAGAAGCCTCTTCTTCCCCCACGTGAAATCCCTGAGGCGTTGTCACCACGAGCTCACGAGACTGCAGAAGAGCAAGATAACGAAAGAACGAAGATGGAGAAAGGGGACGACGAGAGATCAAAAGGGACATATAGTGGTAAACCAGCCAGAGCAGTTGGGGTTGCACACCCTTTCAACGCTGAGAAATCTGAGGGTGAATTTGCGCTCGGTACTGTTGGGAATATTACCACCGGTATGGCTTGTTCCATAGTTTCATTGTTCATATTTCAAATAGTTTACGTTTGTCTCCACTCCTGGGGTTAGGGAACGGCGATGCAAGATGTCACTCATCAAAACACTTTTTTTCAGACCCCGTGCGTGTGTTGTACTCGAAATCCAGCAGTCCCAAAACGTCAGTCGATCATACCCATCCAGATATGACAGAGGTTAAAAAGGTCAGAGTTGAGAAGACCCTTGAAGTCCCTGTTGGTGAGGTCGTTCCGCTGTCCAAGACGAGCAGATCTGCAGTCACCATGACCACTGCTAGAGGATCTGTTATGGTTGGCACTGGTAATCTCAGCGAAGTCCGTGTTTCCGTGGCAGGTATGTAGCTATGCCCCTTTGCACTCAGTTCTAGCTCTAATAATAATAAACTATGAAGTTGATCTATTTGTTGTCAATTTATTGAATTAGATCTGTTTGCTACTGTAGTTCGCTGAGATATTCATAATAATTTGATTTTAAGATGATCCACGAGTTCCACGAATCATCGCCCCTTCTCCTCCACCCAGAGACCCCCAGCAAACGTACACGCCATCTTCAGGTGAGCGTTCATCACCATGGCGACCAGGCGGTGGCGTCTCCCCATCTCGAGATCATGAGCCACGATCACGTAGTGACACTGGCCAGCACTATACTTCAACGGAAAGTAATTCCTCGCGAAAGCCTTTCCGACGTTCGCCCGTCCCAGACCACCGCTCCCCGCCTTTCAAAGGAAGCTATCTGTCTGCCGATATCGGAAGAAAGACACCGGAGAAAGATGCCGCGGACAGATTTCCCTATCGAGACAAGAGGTTGCCATTTCGAAACATGGACGAACGGTTGACCCCGAAAGATTCAAGTAAAGGTGTTATAGAAATTGCTCACCGAAACTCACCGGGTAAAGACATCCAAGGAAGTTTGCACCCTCCGCGATCAGACTCCCCGAGAAAAGACACACCCAGCACATTTCACAGATTAACTACGGGGTATAGAGATTCAGAAAGAAGCTCCCCTTACGGCGACTCCCGAAGACATTACGACAAGTCACCGATTCGAGACCGACGATCTCCCGCTCATCAACGACGCTCGCCGGAGATGGTCGAAAGAGGCATTTTCTTAGACACTAGTCCAAAACCCATGATGGATCCCACGCGTCATTCGCCATACAGAGAGCGTACTGTGAAGCAGACTGGGGAGAGCGCGCTGGCGTCACCAAGAAAGGCCTCAAGAAGTCCTGGGGGAGAATCAAGGACAGCCGAGGTCTCGCGTGGATATCGTACAAAGCCCGAAGTATTGACATCAAAAGAGACAGGGGACAGTGTAGGATTACAACGAACAATACAGGAAAATAGGGTGAGTTTATACATGGTGGAAATGCACTCAAAGACCATTCAAATATCAGTCAACGTTTAAGACTTGTGTGTTTAAGAGAATCCTCCAGCTTCAACACCTATCAACTCCGGTTCTTGTTCGATTTGAGAATTGTTATCACTTTTAAGTTCCACCTTCCTTCCCCGGTCATCATTTGAAAAATTCCAAACTTACTAACATCCTTTCTTGCGCAATCCCCAGCAGTTTCAACGCATGTCAGAAGATGAGGCACTGCTGACCGCGGCAAGAATATACCAATACCAAGCCGCCGCTGCAAGTTCGCAAGATCCAGCGGCAATGGAAAACTACATGATGTACTTGAGAATGTCGTTTGGGCCTGGTTTTGACCCCAGGCTCATGCCACCTTATTCCATGATGACCGCGGCTCAGATGCCATTCTCCATGCTCCAAACGGCGAAAGAAAATACCGCGTCAAAGGTCGGCAACAAACCTGCGAATTTTTGCGCCCTAGAACTGTCCAGTATAGTGTAAATGAAGTTAGTTTAGTTTAGGTTTCCTCCTGTAGTAATATTGGACCAATAAGAGATGATCCTTACTGGACTTCTAGGAAGAACAGTTTAGAACTGATAGAGCTATCCAGTATAAATAAAGTTAGTTTAGTTTAGGTTTCTTCTTGTAGTAACACTGGATCAATAAGAGATGATCCTTACTGGACCTCTAGGAAGAACAGTTTAGAACTGATAGAGCTATCCAGTATAAATAAAGTTATTTTAGTTTAGGTTTCTTCCTGTAGTAACACTGGTTCAATAAGAGATGATATAGTATAGAACGGATAGAGTCATCCAGTATAACTATATGTTTGCACTTGCCTTGATTGAAATTTAACATTGATGTTTTCCAAACCTAGGATGAAAAACCTAAGGAAGTACCTGACGATATTCGTAGAAAAACTTCCATCCAAAAAACCGATGCATTACGCAGTAGGCTTGAGACATCTGAGACTGAAATGTTGGCCGGCAAACGTAATGCTGAGAGAATGAGCAGTTCTCGAGAGAAGACTGGATACGAATCCGCGTCGATAAAACGAACAAAAGTGGCTGAAATGAAGGGCGTTCATGAAATCATTGACGAAAAGGAAGGTGAAAGAATGCATTTGAGGACTTTGGAACAGCGTGCCTTACAACAAGCAATACAGCATAAAATGGACGCATGCATGTATGTTTTTCACACAGATTTTTAGTACTTTTAGGAGAGATTTTTCTCTTGCATTTTAATCGTTTTCTTCTTCTAGTCTGCGAGATCTAGATATGCATTTACACGAAATATTTTATACGTTTTTAGTCTTCAAGCTGAGAAGAATCCAAAAATCAAAGCAGAGTTGAATCGCTCGAAGCCGCCATCATCCAGCAACACCTCGAGATTAAAACAAGCAAGCCAGGAGTCCCGTACGATGACTAAACGAGAGGTGAGTGTAGAATATAGTGTATATATCTCACGGTTAAGCTCTGTTTACACGATCCAATTCACTTCTGATGGATGTTTTATAGTCTGTTGACCAGCAATGTATTCGGCCGCAAATCAACTAAAGTCAATACTGTAGTAACAGACTACATTCCATACGTTACAAGTGAATTGACAGACTGGATCGTGTCAGGCCTTATAACAAAATAACTTCCTAATAATGAGGTGCCCAGTGTAAGGCTAGGTAGCCCAAGAAGTATATGTTTATATATTGTTTTATATATTACGATCGTGCTCAGCACAGTTAGGGTTAAGGTTTCGCGTTTAAGATTTGAAAAGGACAATGTTTTATCGATTGGCTGAATATTTTGAAGGATAAACGTTATTCAAAGGACGAGAAGTCAAGAATTTCGCCCGCAAGCATTTCCAGCCACGCCAGCGGCAACGACAGTTCGATGACGGCCAGAACAAGGAATCCTGACAGCAAGTCATCAGTGCAATCATCTGGTACTCCATATCTGGACTTTGTCTCCGCACAAAGCCTACCTGCAAATCATGCATTATCGAGTAGTTACGAACAAGCCTTGGCTATGCAAGGTATTTGATTTTTGGCCTTTGATGGTCCATAAAGCGATCACAAACTTCTCTTTTGCAACGATGCCTTAAAATCTATTTTCAGGCTACCCACCCTACATCATGCCCTCGCCTTTCCACTTCGCCCCCGGAATAATGATGGCCAACCCAGCCTTGGTTCCAGGCAGCCAACTACACGACGCCGTCACAGCTCGCGGGCTGGACCCAAAACGGGATCCTACACGCAGTACCTCATCATCAAACGATCGCGCTCGTCCCAGGGATGAAGAGGAAAACGATTCGAGAGGCGAATCACGTGAATTTAGCTCGAAAAAGGAAGTGCCGACCATGCCTCGGATTAACCCTCCGACTCCCCCACCGACGGACAAGGACAGGCCCAAAGAAAAATCACGAGGAGACCACGAGGAGGGGAAACAACGCAGCAAAGATTCACTTCATGGTTCCCAGTCATTGCCGGCGAATCTAACCTACCGCCGGGGGGATATGTCCGGTGGGGTATTAGACCAGGCACAATTTGCTCAGGTCTTCCCGGGTATGATGTACCCCGGGGCGCAAGGTGCCTACAGGCAGCCATACGACCATCCCTTCAGTAAGTAAAATCTCGTAGTTTTGTTGTGATTATCTTCGTTATTCGATGAACTAACTAGTTCGTTTCTCTTTTAGTCCCTCATCCACGAAAATGACGTGCCAATTTTTAAACTGTAAATGTTAGCGCCATTGACACGATTTCTATTTGACTCCTTGCCTGACTTCACTCCCATAAGCCACCCATGACATTAAGAAGCGAATGGTAGAATTATTTTATCTTTTTTAAAAGAGCGTGTTAGAGAATATTAAATTTCAAATAATTACTTGTTTTGCGTCGTGGATAAAAATGAACTTTTATTAAACCATACTTATAATATACAGTTACAAAATTTCACAGACATGCATAAAACTTTGAGTGTTCGAGAAGTTGAAAGCTTTTTTCACTTTTATGGCTTAGAGGTACTAAATTACTGACGGTGGAAAAGAAAAAATGATATAGCTACAACATTCACGTCAATTTGATCAGGTTTTACCTGCTGAAATTCAGAAAAAAGTATTCTATACTAGTCTAGCGTACAGCGGTCTCTCGTCGAATTCGTACTTTATGGTTTCTTTAATCAACACGTCATCGCTTGTGATATAACTCACATTTAAATTCAGACATAATTGACCCTACAAGAACACAAGGAGAAAGATAGAGAAACTTTCACCATAGATAGATCAACAAGATTTTCATTTGAATACGGTTGTGAATTTACAAATACCTCAAGTCTTTGGAGATTGGATAACTTTAAAATGCTTTCATCTTCGGTGTATTTCTCCGGCATATCCCTATCACCTTTACTGATTTCATCCACACGGATACCGTTTATCGTCTTGAAAATATCATTTTGATAACTGTTATTTTATTTATACTGGATAGCTCTATCAGTTCTAAACTGTTCTTTCTAGAGGTCCAGTAAGGATCATCTCTTATTGATCCACATTTACTACAGGAGGGAAGTTAAACGAAACTTTCAATTCCTCACAATAATTACCTTGTTCGGGGGAATTTGAAAATGTAAAGGTTGTAAGATAACATCATCGTCTTCGGTATCAATGCGCGCTCGAATAAACATCATGTTTGAAAATTCAGCATCAAATCGTAGCGTGACTATGACTTCATCGTTCCGGTAGATTATCACTGGGCTTTTTGGAAGCTCTAACAATAAATGCGAAAATATTTCGAGAAAAAAACAAGGTATCCTGTACATAAAGGTGAATAAGCAAAATTGACAGTTAGCAAGTTATTTGAGGGAGATTTTTTACCAACAAAGAAGGAACAAACTGAGCTCCTACATGGAGCCTTTGTGTGGACTTTTAAAAAACAATTCTTCATCATCTTACCGTGCCCTCTCTGCCAATGAAGAGCCTGGAGCGAGCGTTCTTCGTTTGAAATGACCTCATCACACAAACACCAATTTTCCGCCAAACTGCTGTGGCGGTAAACCATTTGTATGTGACCTGTAAAGCTGTCGTATATCTGTTCCTCTCGCACGCCTATATGTGGATAGAAAGTAGAATACTTGATTGAACCATCCAGAGGATTTGGGTTAGGATTAGGTTTAAGGTTGAGCCCAAATCCTAAACGAATCCCAAGGATTAAATTTGTGTACTTAGGATTTACTAAACATGGAGTTATTACGGGAAAATGTCATTCAAACCTTTAGCAACATCTAATAAAATTTGCTCGACATTTTTTTCTCGTCCAAGATGTTCCAAAAGATGCATCGCAAAATACCCGTTCTTCTTCAAACGGTGCTCGAATACCCGCCCTTGGGAACAGCTTCAATGGAAGAATATAGAACAATCTTTCAATAAATTTCGTATAACTCCAGTACTACATAAGAGCAGTGGTATAGAATACCCACCATCCAAAAGCAATCACGACATTTTCCTGTTCAGCATTGAGACCGCCTGATGAGATGGGATCTTTCACCTCTTGATTTACTGGACTAATGAAAAGTAATGAGAGTTTGTGTACTGTACAGTCAGTACTCAGACCAGCAGTACTGCAATGATCAACTAACATTGAGGAAGGTTGAAAGAGAGCCACTGAATAAAACATTGCAAAGCAGTCCTAGTCTACTTAGGCTAGTTTGAGTAGCAACGGTCACCACTCAGTCAGATTGATTGATTGATTGATTGATTGTCAGTCAGATTGATTGATTGATTGATTGATTGATTGATTGATTGATTGATTGATAGTGGTTAATTTCCAATATAACCAGGGAGCAGCGTGGCAGCGTCTTCAAATGACTTAGCATCAAATGTGGTATAACAACTGCCTAAAAAAAGAGTTAGTCTCTCCTGACGAAGGCCCTCAGGTCGAAACGTTGAGAAGTGTTTCTGTCTATTCTAGGCAGTTGTTATACCATATTTGATGCATACTGGTTACTTTTTGTACTGGATAGATCGACTCTGAAATCCTTCCTGGGGCTTATAAAATAGGAAATGATATCTAAGACCTTACGAAGCCTTTCTTACGTTGTTCTGCAGCAATCGAGTAGCAAAACTTTAAGTTTAGCTTCTCTTTCTTGCAAGATCTGAAGCACCTCGTTGGCAGGCAGGTTTTGAGAGCAATCGTACTTCTCGTCAGCATCGATTGGCATCAGGTAGCTCTTCCCATTCGTCTCGAAGCCGTGACCAGCAAAATAGAACACCGCATAGACGCCTGGGTCGAGGAGTTTAGCAAATAATTGCAAAGCTCGACGCATCTCATGCAGTCGTAGGTTTACCAGCGAAATAACCTACCATAAAATAACGAGAAAACTTCAAATTGGATACTCGCTTGGCTAGGAATAGAGTTTATGTAGTTTTCTCATATAGTAACGCTGGGCAGAGATTATCCTTACTGGACCTCTAGGAAGAACAGTTTAGAACTGAAAGAGCTATCCAGTATAAAAAAAGTTAGTTTAGCTTAGGTTTCCTCCTGTAGTAACACTGGTTTAATAAGAGATGATCCTTACTGGACCTCTAGGAAGAACACTTCAGAACTGATAGAGCTATCCAGTATAAGAGATTAATCTGTGGAAGAATAGTTTAGAGCTGATTAATTAAGCTATTCAGAAAAAATTACGTTGAGCCTTCACCAATCTAATCAAAATGGAACAGTGTGAAAATGATCTATACTGGCTTTCAAGGAGGCATTTCAAACTGCTAGAGTCAATCGCACGTACCTTGAACCCGATGCTCCGTAAGACACCTGCAATATCAGCAACATCATTTGTGGGGTGATACAACTTTCCTAGCTTGTCACAATGGTCATAATCCTTATTGCCAATGAGCAATGCAACTTTGTCACAAACTAGAACGCACAAATAGCTTCGTGTTTACAAGTGATTCGACTTCTCGTTTAATGGTTGGTGTGAAAATTGTAAGTATAAAGTCCTCATTTTCTTGACATTGTTCATCAATTCTGTCTTTAGACCTTTTTTTTCTTAAACTAAAGGGAAATGTGATACCTTCTTGAGATTTTTCTGTGATTTTCATTGCAGAAGTTGCTCGTACTGAAATTAAAATTGGAACAATGAAGAATTGAATTCAGACGAGACCATAATAATATTATATCATCATTGTCAGGATACTGCTCTGGATATAAGTCGACGCTTAGTTGTAAATCGACAAAAGGAATTGTGGCTAACCAATCAAATAGTGGGCTAGCCAATTGAAGATGCATGGCAGATCAACTATTACCTTTCCCCTCTGTTATACGGACATTTGCACATCGCGAGTTAACAGAAACAGCATTGTTTGATACTCTACATATATACATTCCCTGATGGTCCTGTGAAACCTGAGATATCACCAAGTCCCTGGACGTTGCTCCTGGTATTTCTTCCTCATCTTTTAACCACTGGTATCTCGGGTTAGGATCCCCGTCACAATCACATGACAGTGACAGCAAGCTACCATAAGACAGGGTGACAGATTGTGGATGAACTGTCACAAATGGTTGGCAATGTGGATCTGAAGCACAATAATCTAAACAATTAAATATTAGATTTCATACTCATCTCAGAAACAAGAGGTTGTTGTTACAAACAATAAGGTGATCTTAATTAGTACCAGAATTTGTTATACCATCATCATCACCAACACCTGGTTCTCTATTTTCCTCAGGAGGAACAGTGGTCTTATTCTCCTTATTTCCCTTGACAGTTTCATCTTGTTGTTTCTCTACAACAACTCGAATCCACCTTGAAAATTGATAACCTCGAACATTCGCCACTCGACAAATATATAAGCCCTCATTTAATGGATTGACTTTTGTTAAAGAAAGTTCTTTGCTAGTTTCATCCTTGAGCTGCTGTCTTTCTTTAAACCATTGGTATAGCAAAGGTTGTTTACCCACAGCTTCACAATGTACCACTACATTGTCACCAACTGTAAGTTGTATTTCTGCTGGAGGTTGAATAATGATAGAGGGTGGTTCTGTAATTGCAGAACAATATTGCATAAATATTTGTGTTTTTAATATGTTTTAATGTCACTGCAAGGTATATAAAAAAACTAAGCTACCGCAATCACATCAATTACATGGCACATTCGTTCAAATTACCTCCCATAAATAAGTCTAAAGCTTTGTTAATGTTCTCATCTTTCTCCAGACTCTCCAAGATGTCAATAAAATGACAAATTTGGACTTTCTTCTTGCCAAGTTTTTCAATGAGTTTCAATGTTGGACTTCCATTTGTCTTCAAGATTTCTAGCCTTAAGGTTTCAAACTCTCCTTTTGCAAATTGATAAACATTCTTTGGTGTTTTGGCCACAAATGTCTTCCAATTGGGTTCCTTCAGGCGGTCAAGCAACTGGGCTAGGCGGAGTTTCAAGTCTTCTGGGGTTGTGGCGATATTGTCATTCATTTTTGGATAAGGTCTACACAAGACATATGTGTTGTCAATGAGTGTCAGTAATTTAGAAGGATATTCACTTTCCATTGCTTCTTCTTGGCAAATGTAATGTTTAGTTTCTTTGTTTTACTCAAAAAAATACCAATAACCTGTTCCTCAGCTGATCGAGAGGCCCTTTGTAAAACCCTTCTTTAAAACACGAAAGTCAGAGTTATAACCCTACATATACTGTGCTGTGTGGGTGTTGGATTAATACCCAAAAAATTACCATTACATAGAATTTGTAAGGTTTTGTATGGTCTGTGATAATAGTATTTTAATACTTAAGTTGCCAGATGAAACAAGCTAATATGCATCATAATAAAAGACGTAACTTTCTTATACCTCACCTGAAATTCTTAGCTCGCCTACACGTGAAACACAACTGTACAAAACTGTAAAGATTACATGTGTACAGGGAAAAAAACCATGGTTGTACTGTGCTAATGTACTAAATTTAACTTTGTTGTAATGTGCCAGCCCAGACTTCACTATCAGAAACCGATAACATCCGGTTTCCAAATAACAATTCACAAAATCATGACGGGTATATTCCGGGAAGATATATATATATATCATAACTGTGAATCGTAATATCGAATATTCGTACATTCTCAATCGTTTCCGAAAGTATATCAATATTTCCTACCTTCCAAAGCTACGCTTCTTTTTCGATTTCCATCTTTTCCGATCCCCAAATCTATAGTTTTCCCTTTTAAAAAGGATGAAAAATTAACATGGCTTTGACAACCCGGGGGTGTTCAGCTTAAATTTGCTTTTAGCCACAAAACAGGAAGTTTAAATGCTAATTCTAGATACGTATTAGGAAAGGAACTTCAAGCTTTCTACCGAGAAAAGGTAGGAGAACGCGTCGTTTCGTTTCACGTAGATTTTATTTGATTAGATCGCTTTAGTCGATCTGGGAGGTAAGTTCTTTATGATAAGATAGACCCTGAGGTTGTTGCAGTCAGGGATTCAGGGGAGGCGAAGTTTATATATTGAGGAATGCTTGGTCTAATTTAATTTCTAACATACTTCATCAAAATATAAACTTGAATCATGATGGTTGTGTTGAATATTTGTGTGATGGTTTTGATAACGGTGTTGAAGAATTGATTAGGAAATCAAACATCTTAAAAGATCTAATAGAGTGTAAGATTCAATTCATGACACAACCAATAGCCATCCAGATCAGTAAAGGTTCTTGGTAAAAGAGCATAAATTGATAAACATACAAAGTTTATGGTGAATGACCCAGAGATTTCTCTTATTGCCAGTTGATTTAGCTGGTTGTAGGTATTTAGAGTAAATTGTTGGTAAACTCTGTCAACACGGTACCGGAACTAGGCATTGGGAAGAAAGCATTCTAAGAAGTATTCTTATTAGGGTATTCCCCGTTGATGTATTACAAACATCAATCCTTGTTTTTTCAGAGAAATGACAATGGACATTAATACACAGTTACGTAAACTTCCTTATGGCACACTGAGCAAATTGGATCAATACTTGGAGCTACCTAGTGACAAGGATTGGAAAGCTCTTATAGCTGTAATGCCTTCAGATCGATACACACAGGGTCAGGTACTAAATAAGTGAGCATACTTGGTAAAATAGGCCATGCAAGCTGGTGCAGTATTGGCTTTGAATTTAATGAGTTAGTCCATTCACCTCATAAATAACACACCTGAGCTAGTGGCCGGCTGAGCCAATTTGATGTTGATGACTGTGTTAGGACCTAAATGAATTAATCAAAACTATACTCATATGTGCTCAAGGTGGACATGATACAGCACAATGGTGGTAAAAATGGAACATCGTGCACCAGTATTCTAATACAAGATCTGGGTAGGCTGTGTGTCACTCTGAAAGAACTGGGATGGTGCTTGAAGAAGATTGGAAATTATGAAGCATTAGAAGCACTTGGTTGGCCAAATGGTATGTCATAACAGACCACAATATCAGTATTTGAGTAGCATAAACTTTGTATTTGAGTAGCATTCCTAATGAGTTTCACGGATATGTTCCTTGAGTACCCCTTGGTATTTGCATTATACCCACTTGAACCCCATTTTCATCCCATTGCGCTCAGCCCACAATGTGATTGTGTGCTGGCTTTTTTGTATTTTCAGTTGTTCACACTGGAGGTCCATGTCTGCTCCTTTGCTCTCCCAATGTGTTCCCTAATGTTCCTAATGTATGCTCCTTACCATTCCCAATGTGTTCCCAGATATTCCCTTTGTGCTCCTCTGCATTCCCAATATGTTTCATCTATGTTCCATTTTCACCTATCTCATTGTTTTCTACTGTTTTGTCTTGTGCCATTTTTGCATTCCCAAAAATTAAGTTCATCAAAGACTCCGTTTTTTCCACGCGATTTCAGGGATTAATATCAGAAAAATTTCTCTCCGTAGAGCCCGTCGTTATTAAAACACAGCCAGAATGCGACCCTCTACGAGAAGGTGCCTATTTGCTTCTAAAGGTGGAAGCATTCGGCTATCCGCTTCCGAGCTACCAATGGTACCATAATGGGAACGAGATTCCAGGAGAGATTTACAACGAACTAAAAATTGAAAAAGTCACCATGGCGGCAAACGGCACGTACAAATGCATTGTCCAAAACGTTGAAAACAAAGTGAGCACGAACGATGTTACTGTGCGTGTAATGAGAGGTAATGTAGCTAAAAGGTAGACAGGGATACCCTTATAATGGAAATATTTATTATTGCTTTTGTAAATCTTCCTGTAAAGCCCCAAAGATCGTTCTCGTATTTCTTTTCAGTGATGTGAAACAACTTTTTTCCAATCTAATTTTGAAATCACGGGTCAATAATGTTATGAACTGGAAAACAGATAAATGCATGTGAATACGTAAACGCTCTCTCAAAATCTTTCCGGTTCATAAGAGAACGTTCTCTCAAAATCTCTCCGGTTTCCTGGCGCTTACTTCCCCGAAGTGTCAATTCCTGGAAAGCGACGGCTTCCCTAGTTCCTGAACAAACCACGTACCCTAAATCCAGAACTTTTAGAAAGCAGTGTTTTGCGTCACAGGTCTACATTCTTTAAATTTCATTTTTTTACAGTCGGAGGTCAACGAAGACCAGATCCTTCAGGTGAGACAAACTGGACTCAATACATCACTGGACAAACTCAATACAAGTCCACGTCGACGTCATTGGTCGATATATACAATACAATTTTCCACTCTAAACGAACAGTCTCTTTTTAAAACGTTCAGTCTAAAGGCGGTGTTACGCTATGCAACTTTCCTTGCAACTTGCAATGCAATTCTACTCCTCAGGCATCTATAATTGACAAATACGAACATTTCTTACGATTTTCTTAGCACTTCGAACACTCTTTACAAATTAACAACCCTGAAAATTATAATTTCATTGCAAGTTGCAAGAAAAGTTGCATAGTGTCTTAACTGCCCCTTAACTGAGCTGAAATATTTCGATGTGAATTGTTGAATTTTTATTGAAAGTATATATTTAATGCATAAGATGTATTTTCACTCTTTCACAAGATGTATGAGGGTATTTTTCATCCTTTGCCTATCCACCGTTTAATTACAAACTTGATGTTTCGTTTTGTGCAGTTAATTGTAAACCAGAAATAGTGGTTCATCCCATCTCTGCGAAAGTACTTCCTGGTCAACCGCACGCTCTGCACTGCCAGGCGACAGGACAGCAGCCGATGACTTACAAATGGTATAAAGGTGATCAACCTTTGATGAACACGAACAACCCAACCTTGGTTTTCCCCGCGTTCGGGGAACAAAACGTTGGTGGCTATTGTTGCAAAATATCGAACGAATTTGGCGCTGATATCAGCGAGGAAGCTGAGCTAGACCTGGGTATGTTAGCTACCATTTTATTCAACCTGACAACTCATTTTTGGATATACCTAATTACCAACGAGTTTATAGCATTCCCGTGCAATAAAAACGTATTTCTAACTTAAACACGCCTCTGTTAAAAAGCTATTAAATTATACATGGATATCGTTCATACATACAGTGTATCCTCACACAGTGTTCCCTCGTATATCGAGAACTTGGACTTAAATCTCTGTCATATAATCTCTGTTTGTTTATCGAATCTCATATCAACTTTTACGAAATCGACATAATTTGTCAGACAGGATATTCTTATCTTTCTTATTTGTGCTGTTGTTGCATGTATTATTCATGCAATTTATTTTCGTCCTCTTTTAGAAATAGTCGATGGCCCAAGAAATGCTGGTAAGTGCATGTATTGCCTGTATTCAAAAAGCACACTCACATTCATTGGGTGTGACATTGGAATTTTGTTATTACTGATTGATGAGAAAGTTCTGTATTAATCAGTGGAAAGATCCAAGGTAAAACACTGAAACTTTGTGAGAAGATTGAGATCTCAATGAGTTTGAGTGTGAGTGAGCTTTTAGAATACAGACGTATGTGTTTAAAATTTAATATTTAAAAACTCTTTCCTGGAGAACTAACTATTTCATCTCAAAGTTTGCTTCAAGATCGATATGACTCAACCGGTAATTTCTCGATCATTTCAGCCAGCGATAAAGTGGCCTTTTTGATTGGTAACCAAGATTACAATGCAGTATTTCACGAGGCACTTCAGGGCCACGGCCGCCTTCAACACACTATTGCGGACACAAAGACCCTGGGCTCTTTGCTTCATCGCGACGACATGGGATTCAACGTGCTCTCGTTTGGAAACTTGACGAGGCAAGAGATGCTGCGAGGCATTGAAGAGTACGTCAACTTATTAAGTGAAGACTGCTATGCTTTCTTCTATTATGCTGGACATGGTTTTGAGTTGAACGGCAAGCACTATTTGTTACCCGTGGATGCACCCGCCGACTGGAAACAAGAAGATGCCATTTGTGTCCAGTGGATTTTGGAGTTGTTGTGGAAACCGAAGCCGAAAATGACTGTGATTATTCTGGATATGTGTCGAATAAGGTAGGTGTAGATTGGCTCGGTTTTTCAAACACGCTTAGGACATGCTACTCTGAGGGCGGTTGTTCGAAAGGTGTTTAGCTTAAACGGTGGTTAAGTTTTTACTATAATTTTATTTGCAGTCCTACGGGCAATGCTAATTTCGAGCATTACGACTTCCCGACTGATCTTCCGAAGATCGTGTTTGGATTTGCAACGTAAGTATTGAAATGACTGCATTGCCGAAATAGAAAGCCATTCTGCAGTATTTAATCGATTATATCTTTTGTTATTCTTTATGAAACTAGACGAATTTTTTTAATTATGTTTAGTTATAAGAACTATAGCTCTGAAATAAATTTGAAACCGAAAAAAATTATGGAGATATTAAGAGAGATATTAAGTTGTTTCAACCGAAAAATTTATTTCTATATATTTGACAACTAGCCTCAGTCCTTTCCCGCCATTTCAGATCACCCGGATTAGGCGTCCTCCTACCAGTATTTTCCAATCAGTTAATTCATCCAGTTGTTTTCGCAGGTGTTCGCAGTCAGAGGCCTACGAAAGAGTCGACGAAGCAAATGGGATATACATGAAACACTTAAAGAAGCATGTCTGTCGTGATGAAAAGATCGAAGATATTCTACATGCAGTGACCACAGGTATAGGATATGAAACTCTCGGCTCTCCGAGGCCCGACGACTTAGACTATCGCGAGATGACGTAAGCACTTTCAATGACGTAAGAGTTAAGCCCTGGGCAAACTAGGAACATTGTTGCCCAAGGTTGGCAAATACCAGGAAATTCATAGGAAATGTTTTTTCTTGTTGTTGACTGCACACAAATAATAATATTCTATCACATTTACCACCTTGACATGTTCACTTAAACCTATGTAATATTTGTTATTTTTCCAGACGTTGAACAGGATACATTAGGATGCGAATATACTGAACGTCAGCGCCCTGAATACATGACTATGGGGGGCGGCTATTACAGTTTGAGGGATCCCATTGAAGCTAATGGCAACCGCAGTGCAGAGAGATGGCTCCAGGCACACAGTGAGTGGATTATTTCTGGACTGTTTTTACTAATTCCTGTAGAGTCCAGTAAGGATCATCTCGTATTCGTCCAGTGTTACTACAGGAGGAAACCTAAACTAAACTAACTTTATTTATACTGGATAACTCTATCAGTTCTAAACTGTTCTTCCTAGAGGTCCAGTAAGGATCATCTCTTATTGATCCAGTGTTACTACAGGAGGAACCTAAACTAAACTAACTTTATTTACACTGGATAGCTCTATCAGTTCTAAACTGTTCTTTCTAGAGGTCCAGTAAGAATCATCTCTTATTGATCCAGTGTTACTACAGGAGGAAACCTAAACTAAACTAACTTTATTTATACTGGATAGCTCTATCAGTTCTAAACTGTTCTTCCTAGAGGTCCAGTAAGGATCATCTCGTATTCGTCCAGTGTTACTACGGGAGAAAATCTAAACTAAACTAACTTTATTTATACTGGATAGCTCTATCAGTTCTAAACTGTTCTTTCTAGAGGTCCAGTAAGGATCATCTCTTATTGATCCAGTGTTACTACAAGAGGAAACCTAAACTAAACCAAATTGTATTTATATTGATGGCTCCGTTAGTTCTAAACTATATTTTTAAAGGTTCATGCTTTAGATTTGGAATAACTATAAAGCATCTTTTTCAGAGCTACCTGAGAGAAAGATAATTGAAACTCAACAAGATGGAGTCAAACTTGAAGTGAATTTCGAGCATTCGGACTGGTTGAGTAACTCAGTTAACATATTCGTCAGAGTGGTTGATCCAGGAGTCTACGATTTCTGTCACGCTTATATAAAAACTGTCTCACCTGATGTAAGTTATTTTCAGAGCTCGTGGTGAAATTGTGTCAGTACTTACAGTACGAATTTCTTAAATTTCTAGGAATTGGAAATGCATTTTGAACAACCCAAAAATATTAACGTGAGTTTAATTTCTTTTGCCCAGTCGCCAATGACAGCATGTAAACCATTCAACATATAAATTAGGCATGTATTTCTTGTTGACATAGTCTCGAAGCTGGCCAGACAAGTGTTCGGCTCCGCCATGCCGTTCTCAGCATAGTGAACTGTCAACAGGTTCTGTGTTTCATTTGCAAAGATTAGATGTAAGTATGATTAATTTTTCGCTTTACTGATATATCAGATCAGCATGGGTAATACGAGCTACACTACACTGACGTAAGCACTAAGGCAACAACCTAAATAGCTAGTTAAGATTTTAAAATACGTGATATCACGAGTGTTGTTGTGAATATGATGCTATCCTTTGACTTGCATTTAAGCTGTCACACTACAAAACGTTTAGTTATATGATCAATTGGCGATGACACATTCATTTGCAACTACGTTTTAACGCCATTACACGATGAAAACATCACTGACCGCTTGACCACAACTTTCCTATACTCGTTCATTTCATTATTTATGGTATAAGTTTGGGCGCTTTCAGTTCGACCATATATTGCGCTTATTTTCCAGAAAAACGTGACCTTGACTATAGCCCTGGACTGCGAGGGAAGAGACGGCAGAAATACGAAATACGAAGTCGTAGCATTCTCGCTTAGGGATTTTGGTCTGGCACAGATATTTGGGAAAGAATGATGGTGACTCAAGCGCGCTTCAAAACCTATCGCCTTACCGTTCAAACTTACAATATAAACGACTCATAATGTTCGTATGGGGATATCGAATTTTCAATTCCATGCCTTTTAGCAAATACGAAAAGTTTTAAAACTTTTTACTTAGTGCAAAATGGGCCATTGGATGTACGTATAGTGAGAACATATAATTTCTTATTCATTTGTATAGTAAAATGCACGTTTCAGTGCATGCGTGTGCAAGTTCGGTGAATTCGATCGATCAGCTTACTTTATTCCCGAAAGAAAAGAGTCATTGTAGAATTCTTCTCAAGAATTCCTCTTCTAAAGATATCTTCTAAATATTCATCTTCTAAAGATATCTGTTCTGATTTTGGCAGCATCGCATTGCCATCGGAATTCAATTCTCGATCTACAAATTTCACAATACAAGACTTGAAGGTGAAAGAGTTTCTCTTACAAATAGTGTGTGGTCTTTTAAATAGCTTTGAGCTATATAAGAATATTACTGTTAAGCGGTCAATATAAAAATTTGTGACAAACCTCATTCGTAATGGTTGAAATGCTCTCGTAATTAAGCTAAGGCCCAAATTATATCTCTAAATAACAAGGTATATAAATTCCGATTGGCAATTATCATATGAATCTCATTTTTCTTTTCAAAACTAGCTGACAAAAAGTGTTGAAGCCACTCGGAAGTCCTTCAGCATTCTTTCAAAAAACTTTTTTCATGTTAAATTCTTTATCTTGAGTATTGTGTTATACAAAGAATCATTTTGAAACAAATGACTGCACGAAACACTTTACTGGTTCATTGTAGCAAAAAGTATGCGGAACCCATATTTAATATTAATGCCTAGTGAAAATATTCATCATATAATTGAAATTCAAATTGCCAGCAATTGTTACGAAATTAAACTATGTATGAATAATTGAGAATACAAATGCCTGGCTGGACTTCATTCCCGCGAAGAATACCGTTAAAGCTACGCTGCAAAGCATCGATTTCCGTATCACGTAAAGAAATTTAGTTTAAGGAATTTATAAATCGACACAGCGAATTGGAACGCTGCGAAATTTGAGAGTGGTCGGTAAGTGTAATTTGAAACTATTCTTTACGTGCGAAGATGAAGCGATATAAACAATTTAAGCATACTTGTAAGCGCTTCCTGACCAACTAAACGGATTTTTACAACACCATATTACTAACAATGGATGGACGTTTTTACTTAGAGGAAGAAATTAACAACAACGGTACGTAGTCTATTAGATGGTCTATGAAAATTATATTTATTTTCCTGTACAAATATACTGCTACGTGTGGAAACCAAAATGTGGCGTTTATTTACATTTTTCCGTGACGTTGTTGGCTTGTGTATAAAAGTACAACTTTTACGGGGAATGTGACGAATGAAATCCCAAAGGCTTAGCGAAGATGATTTCCCACATACGACGTACGTCTTCGTTGGAACGAAGAAAGAATATCATTTATCGTTCAAAGCTCTCGGTCTTAAAAGTCTTCTTGTAGCGAAGCGGATGTCGTCGTTCGTATTATAGTATCATGCCTACTCTAGCATTCGAGTTGAATACACAAAGATTAGAGTGCCGATCATATTCGCAAATGCATCTGCTGTTCCGTATGTGTAACGCCAACGGGCATCTTCAATCGATTGTAGCGCGCTAGACAGTGAATATTGCAACATTTTACTTTCTCCAAACGCCTGAAACTCGCATGAAAGTATAGTTAACAGCCTTCAAAATTAGGTCTCGTAAAAGGCCCTTGCTAGCCTAAATAATCAAGTTGTATATCAAACAAGGATATATTTGCGATTTTGTTAAACTGTCTCCCTTGCTAAACTGTCTAGAAAGATTAAACCACTTGAACACGGTACACAAACCGACGTAGTTTGCCTATAATCGTGGTTTTCACAGATGGTTCACGCACAAAATAAGGTGGATTAAATGTCTGAGTATTTAAAAGCAGTGTATATATATATAGCTATATATATATATATAGGATTATCTAGTTTTGGGAGTGGTACATTTCTTTTTTCTTTATGCTTCATGGACCAGTCAGAATGTACAAACGTATATATAGCTATATAAATATATTGATGTGTGTGCAGAATATTTTTGATGAAGCATTTTAAAATATCTTCATGACTGAGAGTAGAGTAACGATTTTTTCACGCTGCGCTCGAAGACAGCATCCGCTGGATGCTTACAACAAACTCCCAATAAAACTCGACTACATCTTGCGAGTATATCCTTTAAAATGCAAACTAGATAACACAATGCTTCACAGCCAAGACATTCGTGACAATTCACATGCCTTAGTTCCTCGTGAACGACCATTTATCAAAAGCGAAAACAGGTGTAAATTATTCTCGGTAAAAGTGCTAGGAAAACATTAGATCAAGCTTAAAAAGACATGCTCTGTCGTCACATTATACATTGATATACTATTGCTTAGGCGAGCTCATCTGGTAATCCTGAGTAATACAAACAGAACGTTTCTGCAAGACAGCAACCTTTCATCATTTCTGTGACTTCTAGCTTTCGTCAGGACTATACATGTTTCTGCAAGGTTTCCGTGTTGCATATTCTTATGCCGGTCATGCACAAGTTCTGCTTGACTGTATTTGAACAAGATTTTAAAAAAATATTGCAATCTTTGGTTGCGTTTACCACATGAAATGAAATTATTCGGGAGTGTATTATTTTGTGGGTCAGCCCACGTTTTGGCACGCGCGTCGCCAAGGAATTCAATATATTGTGTGTATAAAACATACTGTTTCTAACAAAAATATTACAACCAAAAACTCCCACACTTGCACAAAAGGTGTAAGCTCTCAATCAGAAGTCGCAGTAAACTATATTCCTTATCCATGTCAAGCTTAATCAATCGAAAAGCTAAATCGTTCATCCAGATTCATCCAAACACGACTCCTTTGGCCGTCTGCAAACTGTGGTGGCAATTTAATGGTAATGTTTCCCAATAGTATAGTCAAGAATTTTAATTTTATACCTCTGGGCTATTGATGATATCGCTTAGATCTTGTCATTTTCGTTGCTAATGTGCAGTCGCCCGGCTAAAGAATCATTTGAAGTATCTTCAAATATTTAAACAGTCTGGGTTATCTTTGCAAAGTTTTTTATAGCAATAAGTCTCGAGTCTCGACCGTGAATTATGCATTTCCGAGTGCTGCTGACAAAACCTTATCAGTTTGGACATGCAAAGGTTTCAAACGAATTTTATCAGGGGACTGACGCATTTTTAAACACACGAAGACGTTTCATTGCCTTGATGAAAGTTGAAAGAGAAAACTTGTGAAGGCGTATTGATTGAATAAGCAATATTCGGTGTTTATGGTTTTTCAGAGTCGCCACTGAGTAGTATATATTAACAAAAACGTCTTCTTTGTTCTCAAGGTAAAAGCTCTTCACCTTGTCGTATGTAATCGTTTGAATTTGACGTGGCAACGTCATATTCGGCCACTCAGTGAAATCTATGTTTCCTAAAATTGACGTTGATTGCATTCTTATAACCACGTCGATTAACATTTTTTTAAAAAAACAGTCCAATTTACAAATATTTAAAATCCTTGCATTTCCCATTTAGAGATGGCTGTGAGAAGATCGCGTATTCCAATCAGCGTGGAGCTCACTGAATCAGCCGTTCACCTCTGGGAGTTCCTCAAACTTATCGACAACTATCCGTGGCTATACGAAGGTCTCCACGTCCACAATGCCGTTCGCCGCTACGAGGTGTACTGGCTTCCCCTGGTGGCGAAAATCGACCCCCGCTACCCAATGGCGGCTCCCCTCGACATAGAGTGGGTATGGTACGTTCACATGCTTTCCCCGTACGCTTATAATCGTGACTGCCTGCATCGTTTTGGTCAAGTCGTAAACCACCGGATCACGACGGCAAAAGATCGGAACATCGGCTTGAATAACGCGCGGGAAATATGGGAGAAGGCGTTTCCTAAAGAAGAGTTCAGCCTCGACCTTACAGCCCCTCCTAAAATCACCGACACCTTCACCTCCAAGTTCTCCTACGACCTGTTTGCGGCCATTTTTAGGCAAAGGTTCTTTAACTATCAAGTTGCTCTAAATCATTATCGGGACTTGAAATTTCTCGAGAAGGCAACAAAGCGTTACAAGGATTATCTTCGCGGTCGACTTGAAGATCCTGGTCTCATGCTGAGCGGATGTTTTGACATTCAACTCATCTGGCATGCGCATCTCATGCACCCGATCTTATACCGTGAGGATACTCGGCAGCTCTTCGGAGAGATGCTCGGTCATTACGACACCGAGACGGCCGAAAGCGGAGTCGTGTCTCGGAACGATCCGCCAGTGCGGGAAAAGAGCCTCCCTCCGAAGGCCATACCTGGCGCAATGTACCGGGGCGAGAATATCATTTGCACGCGGGAACAGATACTGCTGACGCAAGACCTGGATCAGCTGACCATGAGGATAAAATTATTAAGAGAAGACTTTCTCAGTACGGTGTTAATTGCGACAACATTGAGGTCGCGTGACCTCATGCTAAACCCGTGTTGGTTCAACCTACCATCTCTCTCGTTGTCCTGTGTAAGTACGGTAATGAACATTTCCCAAGGGAAGAACATAAAGAAGTATGACGTCAGGGTTGTCCATTCCCTCGCCCCAATCCTCTCCGCGGTCGAGATAATGCACCCGAAAGGCTATCTGGTCGCGACGGCGCATACCATTGCGGGCAAACAGATTCCGATGAAGAGTCAACTTGGTGAGCTTGGACCGAACACGTGCGCCTACACGCCCGAGGCACGTGAAAGGGCCATGCTCATTCGAAGTCAAAAGGATTGGGGCATTTGCGTCGGCCGTTGGATGGGGAATAGCGAGTCGGGACACTTGGCAATCTCATTTTATAACATGCAGACGAACAAATGGCAAACGGTTAACCAATCAAATTCTGCGAACGCTGAATTCGGTATTTTTGAAATTAGCATATTCGACGAGACAAAGTCGGTGTTCATTAATCTAGGTACCGGAGATGTGACCGTACCTTATACGGATATCGCCACGTTCCTGCCGGAGATTATGGCCTTGGCTTATTCCATCGGGGTTCTTTATGTCCTATGTCGGGAAAGAACGCGGGAGTTTTACCCGGTCGAACCTTTTCTATCGAACGACATGAAGTCTTTACAGCCATGTCCGTTTTCCAAGGAAATCCGTGCATCGCGGGCGACGAAACGGGATGGTATATTCTCGAGCAAGTCCGGCGGTAAAAAATCTATGTGGCTGAACCGTGACCCGTATGTTTCCAGTGTACTGCTGGCAACTGGTCGGAACTGCCCGTGGGCTCCTTCCAACAGCTTCTTGAAGTTCTACCACGAGAAGGTTCCAGCTGTTTTTGAGAGTTGTGTTTCAGGATCGAACGATGATCGAGCTCCGTTAGATGCAAAGCTTGAGGTCGAGGAACTTGTAGAGTATCTAGGGGTAACTGGTGGTAGAAAGAGTGGTAGGGGAACACACCGGGATGAAACAGATGGCAGACGAGCTAATCAGGGGTCAAGAGCAACAGCCGATAAAGAGGAGAGTCAGGAGACGCGCAATGGGAAGTCTGGTGGTAAAAAGGGTGATCACGGGACCCGCAAGAAGAAATCTCGTAAAGATAAGGAGGGACATAAGGGTCGTCATAAGGACGATCTTACGAATGGCGGTTCTGGACTTATGGCAGCTCGTGACCGTTTTTCAAATATGCAAATTAGCGGTCGGGCGGACGATTTTGAAGATGAATATTACAGAGAACCGCAGGACCCGAATGATAATGAGAGCGTTTTTGTATGATCATGATAGGACATTTTTAGTACAGTCGAATGTAGTTCAAAATCCTGGTCATTTTGCTGGTTAAAACACCCTTAAAATGCAATGTGCATGATAATATGGCTATCCAGGATACCTTCATGCATGCAATAGTTTTTTTTATTCGTAGTTCGTAGCAGAAACTCCATGCAGTTTGGATGATTACTTTACTTATTCAAAACAGTTATTTTTAGTACTATGCTTACACAAATAATCGATCAATGTTTACCCCTAAGGAAACAGGCAAAATAGCCCAAAAATGGCTGATGAAAAGGGATGATTCTAAAATATTTTAGCCACGGAGTTTCCAAATTATATTTGTACCGATCGTCCAAACAAGTTCCAGCAAAATCCAAGATTATAGAGTTTGTAGAAAACGTATGTATATTTAGAATGAAAACTGAGATAGCTTTAGATCCAGCCTTTAATTCTTGTGTGAAAATTCGGCGTAGCTGGGTCGACAAAATGCCTTAGTCATTCATTAGGTTCATTTCATCATGGAAATTGTACGTAGTCAATATTAAATATTGTTATGTGAAATTTCATTGGATCGTCAACTGTATTTTTAGCGATGTCGATAACGGAGATCCCCGACAGCCATCTCCGCCCAGTCAAATTGTTACGTAATTGATATTTCAGCTTTTGACGGGATGTTAGGCGCCAAGATATTTGTATGGTGCATGAAAGACTTTCAGACGAAATTCGGAAGCAACATCTATGTCACCATGGTTGTATTTTAGTCATAAGTGCCCAATCACTACCTTGTGCTTTATTTGCAAGCACTTGAATTAGCGGATGACATGCACCAAGAAAGTTTGAGGCCCTTGACACTGAAGCACTTAAAAAGATCGCTTATAGTTTCCGTAAAGCTAACATTTAAAAATACAAAAACAGTTTTCAACAACACATACGGTTGTTCCACTCTAATGCTCGCTTCAGACTGTCATAAAAAGCTGGACAAATCGATAAGAAGACAAACGGTTTACAAAAAGAAATTAGCGAAGTTTATTCAGAAATTTTGTAAGGTCTAACAGAACAGTTTTATGTTGCTTTACTCAAACCAGTTTCAAGTTCTCGAAGTATCTTATATCAATGGTTTATCGCATCATCGGAAATCATCGTGGGAACTCGAGTCATGATACTAAACACGCAAAGTTGCGATTGTAAAAGCCTTTTTAAGTACTGTGTGTGGGATTGTATAGCTATGGCTATTCACCTGCCCTTACGGACACGACGCCCAACGTCACAAAGCGTGGGAATAATTCATTATTCAAAAATTTTTTTATCTTTGAACATGCCACATATACATGGCATGTCTTGAACATACCAAATTGTCGGGCCGCCTCGTTTGTCATAGAGAAAAGAAAATATATTTAGTGTGTAATATAATATAGCTGTGAAATCGTCAGATATAGCCAAGATATCTTTTTGCTTATAATCTTATACCAAGATATCTTTTTGCTCGACATTCTCTCGCAAATTTTTCTACACGGAATTTCTGTTTGGGCTGATCAAAACTCCTCTTATAGATAACTCCTTAGGGTTAGACAAAGCATTTCCCAAGTGCATTGATTAGATATATATATCAATGAATTGGGTGTCTGTGGCAGAAACAGCACTGAGCAGCGCTGATTCAAGATACTTCTAGCACTAAAAAGATGGCAAATAAAGATGGCGTGTCGTGCGAATCCGGAAAACGGGGGTAAATGAATTTCAATTAGGATGGAGCCGTTTGGCGTTTGCCAAATCTTTGCGTTCTACAATCAACACGGAAAATATCGTGGAAAATGCCCTTCAACTAACTACATTTCACATGCTAAGTATTTTTTTGCCTAACAACAACACGATGCAGCATAGCTGTGTGTTTTTGATGGCATATTTATTATAGCTCTTCATTCAATTCAGGAATGTGCTACTAGCTCAGTGGGTAATCGAAAATTTTGTATGAAAGAATGTGTCGCGTACGTAAATGCAACTAAAATAAAGACCCTCCTTAATTGATATGAAAATATATGCAAATGAATTATGCAGAAGTGTCTAGCACGTATACCCACGCAGTAGAGAGCAGGTAGGAATCATAAACAATTCTTCCAGCGGGCTTTAAACAACTGTGAATTTGAAAACGTTGAACGTAAAGGGAATTGACTTCTTTGCCAATGCTGACGCATGCTTGGCGCCATTTTGTCCTCTAAGCAAAAGCATATTCAAGCAGTGGTCTCTGACAGCAGTACGATATTCTAGGTAAGAGAATAGTTGGTAATAAAATATTTGTAGATTTTATTAACTTAATACATCGGTACATTTTCAAGCCGTTCAGTTATATTTCTAGTTGTATTACAAACCTAATCTTCTCGAGTTCTCGTCTAAACATAACGACGAACGGACCTTTCAAAACCAGCAATTTATGCTGTACAATATTTCATCATACACTAGTTTGAAATTGTAAATTGAAAGGTGGTTAACTTTAGGCCGGACCTGATCAAAGTGCTGTATAATATATTTCATTTTTTCATCCAAACGTCGTTGAAACTTCGGTTAAGATTAGGATTTATGTGCCTTTCTCTTTTTTGTTGTTCATGGTAAAAGAACAAACTCGTGTGCGGATAACTTTAAAGAAGAGCAGGTTATAGCACGTCAAGTAATAAGAATTTCCACGCAAAGGATGCGTTGTAGAATATGTAATTGTTTGAATTGAATGCAAGCCAAAATTCTATTTGTAAATAACATTTTGTCGACGTTCAAGCAATTTTAAATAATACGGGTCTACTTTATTCAACTCCGTTGTTGGTAGACTATGAACTATCACTTTATTACACGGTATACGAAGCAGTGCTTAATGAATATTATGTCAAAATCATTTAAGCTTGAAATCGTTTTCACTTATACAAGCTTTTTATGACTCAAATACAAATGAAAACACTTCCAGTTCCGTCCTAAAGCCATTTGTTCCTATGCAATGGAACAAAATATAGTCGGAGCCACGTTCGTTCTCAATTTCAGCAAAAGCATCAGGTGTGGTCCTGCCAATCATTCATCACTGACCTAGCTCACAAAACCTGCAGAACCATCCGCCCTAATGCGTATCTGAGCATGTTGGGAACTGATATACACATTGAAGTTAACTGAAGTTTCGTTTAATTACGAAATGAAACTTTCAAACGCAGGAAGTTTCACTTGAGAGCGGAAATTTTCACCTGGAAGTGGTAGTCTCATCTCACCGCCATAGTGAAATCAACAGGGACGATTTCAATTCGTCCCGTGCAAGGTCCATATCGAAAGTCAGAATGAAATTAGTTTTGATGATAAAAGAATTAAGCGATTTTGATTACATTTCTTCAAATAACATTGTGTCTGTACAAAGCTAATAGCTTATACGGAAAACGTTTTCGAATACCATTCATGTGTCTGCGTGCATGATGCAGCACAATACAAATATTTGCACAATCGTGTTGACTCGGGCATATTTGTGAAATCAAACAAGCAATTTTTCCCCATGCAGCTATTAAAACAATTAATTCACCCAACCAGAGGCCAGAACACGCCGTGTCGACAAAAATATGAAATTTGAAAGTCGAGACCACATAACTTAAAAAACACATTCTCAATAATCCTATTGACTATTGTAGCTGTAAAGTTGGTATCAAATGTGAAGGAGCATGTCTTCGACGTTTCCTCTCATTATTTTCTTGGTTTTTGAGCAAAGAAAAATTCCGATTAATTAAACAGGCGATGTTTTGTCTTTCGCGCGTTGCTGTTAATTTGAAAAATTTCGTTTTAATAAACCACATGCGTGTACCGCGCTGCAGGGTGCAATTATTTCAAACGTTTCAAAAAATGCTTGGGAAATCCAAAAGGGGGGTGATTAGCGTGTGAAAATACATGAAAACAACGGGAATTATCAATGTGGGAAAAATAACTAAAGTCTAAAGATATTCAGCAAATAGGCTGACAGTATAGCATGCATCATTTTAATGCTTATTCAGTCTGAGAATTCATATAGGGCCTAGCTTTGCATGCATGTTTTATTTCATTTTGTGATTATCTTACTAGGAGATACTCCTAAAATTAAAGCTTTGTATGTACATCGAATATTTTCAAGCATTTAATGCTCAAATTACATTCATTTTGATTCGCGGAAAACGTCGTTATTTTCAAATTAGCGGCTTCATGAGGTATAACAGCAGAGAAGTTCGGCAGTTGCGACTGAACCATCTACACTACAGACAGCTTAGCGCTGGATCGTTAGAAGTGGCCCCATGATGATCTCAACACAAAAGCTTATCGTGTAGCGAATGCCTGAAGTTCCGTTGAGTTGAGCGCCATTGTGTGAATATATGCACGAAACTAACCCACGATTAACTCGTGTTTCTATTTCCGGGGTCTCATGCAGTTAATTAAACTCGTGACAACATTGTCAAACAAGTTATTTTGAACCCATTACGATTTACGAACCAGGAAATCGTGTTCACAAGATATGAAAATGCATTGCTTTGAAGAAATTGAGCTATGTTATCTAATTGCTATGGTTTATTCCATATTCAGGCGTTTTTAATGTGCTGTAATAGAGCCTTTTGAACGTTGCGGGCATTGAAAAGTAATTATTGTTTCAAAAGATGAAAGATATCGCTACGTTACACACTATGTATGCAACATGGCCTGGTCAAACAGCACTAGTACTTCAGTTAGGATACATGCAGTTAAGATTTTTTCTAACCTAAATTTAAATACATCATATAAGCATAACTACTCTATATATGAGATCATTTCGTTATCCGGATGTTTCGAGAATTTTCTGTTTTGTTGCGAAATATAAAGATACACAATTGCCAACAATTTCATGATAATCTATTGAATACTTCTCGATAATAAAAAAAAGAATTCCAAGTCATTTTTGGGACAAGGAAGGCTTCTCTTGCATGCATAGCATTCCTGAGAACTCGCTTCACGATGTATCACAAACTCAGTGCTATATCACGTACGGTTCACGGTTATTATTATTAACGGTTTTTGAATAGAAGAAATTTATCAAAAATAGCTACATTCCAGTACTTGCTGTCTATTCAATTAAATTAAGATATCCTGCAGTTCAATAACGTGAAATTCTAGTTTGAAAGATTACCTGAAGAATGCAAAGAATACGCCGAAATTATAAATAGAAGCATTTTGTCTGGAATTTCTTTTTTTTACCCAAATGACCGAGATTTGCTCATTTTATCTCTGATAGAAACAAGCAATGTTTACATTGCGAAAAACCTCGTCAAACCTCAATCTCGTCGAGGCAACGCTAGCCCTCGTAGACTTTCTCAACGAAGTCGATGCCTTGGGTTACCTATACCGAGGCCAGCTTCTGGCAAATGCAATAAGACGATACGAGCATTTCTGGCTCCCCATGGCCGCCAGTGAAAACACGGCGCAAATAGCCGCTCCATTGGATGTCGAATGGGTCTGGTACCTGCACATGCTATCACCGCGCGTCTACGATAGCGATTGCCAGAGCCTGGTGTCTAAGCTCGTTGATCGTAAGGTTTTTACCGGAGAACAAAAAAAGTTCGCGTTAGAAAAATCGCAGGAGATTTGGAGACGGCTTTACCCAAACGAGCCTTTCGATGTCGACCCAGGCCGAGTCTCTCAAATATCGGCCGCGCAATCGTCGGAGTTGTCATGTGACTTGATTCGCGCAGCCGCAAATCAGAGAAATTTTTATTACCAAGTCTCGCTGCCGCATTATTCCGATCGTAAGTTTCTTGAAAACGCTGTGAAACGATACAGGAGATTCCTTCGGCTTCACTCCAGCTCGTCAAGAGAGATCTTTGTACCCACGTGTGACATTGACCTCATTTGGCATGCGCACCTCGCAAATCCGCTGGCCTACCGTAAGGAGTGTTCGAAGTTATTTCAAGGAACGCTGGATCACGACCACGAAGATCACGTGGCACGATGTGACGCTCCGTCGGTCTGCGCAGCCGCAATCACGCAAGAACGTTGGACGATGACGTATGGGGATAGCTATGTTCTAACAGGTTAGTTAAAATTTATCTTACAAGGATATACTTGTACATAATCTGGTGATTTTGTAATCAACTTAATCGACTCTCACTCAGGCAGTTTTTATTGCCAAAGTGCAAATTTGGAAAGCGTCCATTGCGGTTGATAACCGTTTACATATAATGGAGCAAAACAAAAACCGAATTTCTGTTCTTAGGTACATCAGTGAGACGAGAACCACCTCAACCGCAGGGCACGTTGTCTGCAGATGCCTGGAAAGATCTGGCTGCACCTATCTACAACCTGAGGTTAGTTAAGGTGGAAGTAAGCGATTTTCCAGCGGACAGCACGTATCGTTTATCAATCAGCCAAAACTGCGGATTGGAACAGACTGTACTTGCGGTAACTGGAGCGTCATCGTGCGCCAGCGATGATGGACTTCTAGCTTTCACGTCAGCGGCTGTGAACGCAGACGCTCCAGTGATGTTGACGGTAAAGGTGACCCTAGCGGATACCTCGAAATGTAACAGCGTTCCTTTACTATTCTTCCCGGAATCCTTAGAGGCCGTCCTCAAGGAAAATGACGTCACTCGACCCAAGGTTTCGAAGCGCGACTTCAAAATCATCCCCCCGTTGGCGGACTCCGCTGGTAAGGTTTCGCTGACGTTTCAGATAATGCCTCCGCAAAGGACTGGTAACTATTCCCTACACGTAAACCAATACGACAACGTGATTGAGGTCCCGGATTTAGCTGCGGGCGTTGCAAACCCGACATCAGTGGCCGTTCCGTTTATGAACGAAGGCCCTTGCAAAGTCTCGTTGTATGGCGTCCATTCCTACACGAGTAGCGAGGTGTTCAGGTGCAGAATAGCGGAACCAATTTCCTCTCTGCTATTAGCTGTCGAAGTAACAGATCTGACCGGCCGAATTATATCCTCCAGTCATTCAGTCTCCAAAGGAGAGTTACCATTCAAAGAACAAGTTGTAAAACGCCTGAAAGATTTTCCTTACACAAAATCAAAATATGACCCAAGGTTGTTAATACGCGGTCGAAAAGACTGGGGCATATGTTTTGCTCGCGCCACCTTAAGTTCGCGCGTGAAGTTGTATCTGTATCACTTGGAGAGCGGAAAGAAAGTCGAAATTGAACAGCCCTCTAAGACCTCGTATAGGTTTAAGCTTGAGAACTCCAAGGAGTACATTGACGTGGACACGATCTCCGGGAGCATAACTATTCCCCGGGATATTAATGCCGTCCCGGAGATATTGGCGCTCTGTTTTTCGCTGAGGACATTGAAACAGTTTAAGTCTCGTCATGAGTCGCAGTATTTGTACGAGGACTCGCGAGATTCACGCCGCGCGAAATATGAAACAATCGCACGATAACATCACGTGTTCACCACATGAGTGATCACGTTGATCACTTTTGCAATCGATTACTCGACAACAGCAATCAATTTTATTGATCACAATAGCATTCACAAAATGAATCAAAATGAATCGAGAATATTTTGCCAAGAAATAATCTCGAATTTAGTTGGGAATTAGATTTATTAGATCAGTATTGTTCATATAATAGTATATTGTTTATTTTTGGTATAAAAAAGATATTTAAGTACGTTATTCCATATAACCTAAGTAATATCTGGTGATACTATGAACACTCATCCTTATTTTTCTGCATAAAACAAAGTCGCCAAATAAAATTGATATTTATTGCAATTTGTGTGTACTACGGTGTGCGGCCATTTGTCTGAACCAGCAAACTGTGAGAACCTCGATAAAAAACTGACAGAAAAAAAGACATTTCAAACATTTCTTTGCGTTTCACTATTTGCCCAGCCTCAGGATTGATATTTTTCTGCCTAGAAAAATGCTCGTCTGTACGAGGCATAAAATATTGTAGTATTGAACTGGAAAGTCAAATTTCAAAAACAAGAAACTGTTTTGCTCGCGTGGATTTTCTTTGCAGTTACTCGGGAATAGTCTCAAGGGTTTTATCCGAGAGTGCAGGTCGGGACAGGTTGAGTATTTTCAACACTGCTTGTTGTGCTAAAGTTTTCTTTTGTAACGTCTTTCGGGGAAACCTTATTCTTCAAGATTGCATGCGGTATTGCAATCTGTATGTTATTAAATCGTCCTTGTGTTTGAACTCTGCTATCTGGTGAAGGATCATGCTCGTGGCTGTCCTTACAATGACAAAACAGCACGCAAAGCCTGTACACCTCTAGTATGAAAAACAAACCGTTCTTCACCGCCAGAAATACAATCATATAACCAAACGTCTTGTAGTAGGAGATTATGAACAGTCTCATCACCAAGTATGGCGCGTCTTGGAGTAAAAGCCCAACAGTGATGCTCGCAAACTCTCCAAAGGCTGGTTTCACGTTCTCTTCCTCATCAAACTCTCGTTCGTAAATGTTCAACGACATACGTTTCACGATATATGAGGGTAGAGACGATAATCTTCCGACCGTCGGTTGCACAGGCTTCGGCTCATCGCCAGAGATGAGCTTATCAAATGCGACCGCGGTATTCAGCGGAAACTGGAGTAAACTCCACGACCACAACACCAAGACGTACGTGATCATCTTTTTGTCATAGCTGACCGCGTTGATATTGATTATATCAAAGAATTCGATGATATCCGCTGCGGATGCCATGTTGATGAGCAACAATTGGGATAGTTCGTCTCGCGTTAGTTTCCCCTTTGGCATCATCCATCGCCCGAAAATCATCACCAATAGGATTGTCTGCTCCATGACGTCAGTTATGTTCTCGAACCAGATCTCTTCTTGCGGTAGTGCGGTTTCCTAGAAAGAAATTGGCATCGGTGTGGCATTGTTAATTTAAATTTTCATGTTTATCATATTATTGTGTAAGAGCCAATCATACGCACTTTGAAAAACTTTTTATGCTAGCTGGAATTGAAAAGAGTTTTGTTTGCTTATTTACCTATTAGGACACAATAAAAATCACGAATTAATCTCAGTCTGCATTTAGCGAAGGAAAAAAGAAAAGTTTAAATAATTTAGTTCAATTTAAAATCCTGTAGCTTCACTGAATCAAACTGTTTGAATGAAGCAAGGTATTGTAAAATTCGCAGGAACTGTTAAACTCTTTCGTATGGTCGTTTCGGAATGGATTGTATATCGTTTACTGACATGCATGTACACTTACCCCTTTCCGTTTTGATTCAATTCGCATGTCTAACAAGGAATATTCCAAGATATAGGTGCAAGGAACGACTGTTACTAAGTGGAACAATAGACTGGGACAAATCCTTTAAAAAAAGAAAAATTGAAACCAACTGAACGTCTTGATTTGTCAATAGGGATCATATGCAGTTGTTCTCAATCAATCGCTACGCAGTATATCTAAAGTTAACTTTTTTTATACTGGATAGCTTTATCAGTTTTAAACTGTTCTTCCTAAAGGTCCAGTAAGGTTCATTTCAAGACCAATTCTATTTTACGTTTCGTTCCACGTTCACATGACAACCAAACGCACTCAATCACAGGAACAAATTCAGCGTGAAATCATGAAAATCGTAGCCTATGTCTGCATGGCATGGCTGTTTGAAATCTTACCATTTATATTCCTTACTTCTGCGATAGCCAACAGTAAATATAGACTCGACCACAAGCGGGAACAAAATGGCGGCAAGCCACCAGTATTTCTTGTCCTCTTTGATGCTGACTACAAGATAAATAGCGAAGATTGCGTGGCCTGTCAAGAAAGCTCGAGCCAAACTCGACTTTACGAACACAGAGACAGGCATTTTTGAAGGGCGAGCGTTGAGGAATGAAGGAGAACAGGATCACGTTTAATATGATCTTCTCCCATCAAAAAGTCGACTGTCGTTAGCACAAGGCATTAGTGATTATTTGAGATGAAAAATGAACTCATGGAAATGAATAAAAAACCTTTAATGAATGTCATTATTGGCACTAACAAATCAAAGCAGCTGCATGCAAATAATAGTGGTCTTACTTTTCATTACTTCAAGATTTCATTCAAATCTCTGCGGCTTAAACATTTAACAAATCCGTTTAAAGAATTGATACAACTCGAGATACCTATTTTGCAAAATCTGTAAGTTTCACTCGCAATAGGGAATGTCTTTCAAATAATTTTATCGAACAAACTTTCTGGCTATATATTTGGTTAGTCATTTTGTGTTGACAGAAGGTGTTAAAACTAATATTGAAATAGGACGAGACAGGGAAATCAAAATGAATCGTAATGAATGATATTTTCAAGGTGTTGCCGGCGTTGAAGGAAATATCGGACATTGATTAACGGTCATCTCGTTCTGAATTGAAAAACTCTTCTGTTCAAGCCCATGAAACGCAGCTGATACGCGTTGGTACTTCCTTTCTAATCTTGTATTATCACGAAATCAATCAAAACTTTATGGATCTTTCTTGAAAGGTAGATGGAGTTTCCAAGCCGAGCTGTGTTGGCATCGCTGATACATATAAGTTTGCAAGCTGAAGTAGTGTTTTTTTACAAGGCTTGATCGCACGCGTAAATATATCAATCTAATGCGCTGTTGTGGCCAGAATTATTAGGATGAAATCACATTCAGCTAATGAATGACACTATTTTTAGCAACCCCATACATCATTAACCAACACAGCTCTCGAAATATCGCACGAGCAACCAAAGTTCAAGGCATGTTTACTGCATGGCAGTTCAGATTCATGCAGTCATTTTTCCCGCGCCGCGCATGCATGTGTATGATTGGACATTTTCTTTTATCTCAAATTTCAGATTCTATGAGCTTTTTTAGCGATGCTTTTTTGGACCTCTTTTAGAACGCTAAAAAATTCACAAAATATCCGTAAATGACATTCGTTTTTGCGTGATTCCAGTGTCTGTAATTGAAATTAATATTTTTTTATTGGAGTTTCTTTTGATATGGAAAAGCACTGGTAATTTATAAGCGACATTACTTCAAACTTAAACCCAGACAATATGTAATAGAATATGACAATGACCTGCCACTTTTGCATCGAATATTAATAAGTTCGCAATTTCTCAAGGACAGTTTAAACAAACACAAGTTTATTAATATTTAGTTTTATTCAAAAACGTCGCGATGTACATACGACATAAACAAACAAGCATAAAGTCGTACATGTAATTAATGTAAACTTGTTTCAAAGCTTTTCCGTCAGATAAAGTTCTGCAAGGTTATGTACATTTCAAGATTACGTTTACCCATCTGGTCTAACATGTCTCCTGCACGGTTTTATTATATACGAGTTCATGTTTAATTTATTTTATAATTTTTCTGTTAATTCGGGAACAGCCTGCAAGAGAATGGACAGTGCAGAATTATGCTCCGAAACAAATGAGAAAATCATTGCGAACAGTTCAAAATAATAGCTGAGATTTACTCACTTTAAAGAGATCTTGAACTAGACCATAATCAGAGACTATACGAAACAATAAAAGTAATTTTTATTATTAAGTACAATTAATAAGGTTCTTATTAGACCTGTCGAAAGTCTCAAAGATTTATAAAAACTGATCCTAAACTATGCAAAGAGAATTTTTTACCTTGGAATATAGGTGCTTCGGGGTCTTTATTGATTGCTACGATGACCTATGAAGAGGTTTTGAGAGCATTTTTGAAAAAAAATTAACAAATCAAAAATGTTCAAAAAAGATAGCGCGATCCTTATAGCTACCTTACTATCCTTCATGCCAGCAAGATGCTGTATAGCGCCAGAAATGCCCACTGCTATATATAATTCCTACAAAGAAATTGATTCAAATAAACTAGAGTCAATTTTGAAACTCGGTGACATTAACGCGAGGTCTCTAAATCTGTGATTTCACGTAATAAAGTGACGACAACACTCCTCTCCAGTACAAGCCAATGGGCTTGCTTTAATCAGGGAATCAAGTGAACCACATACGTCAAAAGCAGAAACGGAACCAGCATTTTGTAGAAAAGAAATTGTGTTTACAACATGGATGAATGGTAAATGATGTCAACTTTACAAAAGGGATAAATTGATATCCGAAGACTGTTCGTCGCGTTGCCTCAAATGAAATGGAATATTCTTTCGGCAATGTAAAAAGGTAGTGTTTTGGTGGTGGCATTTTGATACAAGATGTCAGCGATATGATATGAAAGGTTTGAAGCACAAAGCGTACAGTTAATCTTACAGGAGCAACTACTTTTCCAGTCTGTCCGATTTGCATATCATTGGGAACGAAGCCAGCATCAACCGCAGCACGAGAAGCACCAACTGAAATATCATTTCAAAGTTGCTGAGTTATTTCAAAGAAGTATTCTGCAGAAAAATCTGTGAGTACCATATACAGCGAGGGGCTTGACCCTGGGGTGTGGGAGGGTGACACATGTGATATGTCCACCCACTTTCTCAGAGATTTGGAATTCACGTTAATATTTCTAATAATGATAATAATCGCCCTTGTTTTCCAGCACAGAATTAGGCCATACCAGCTGCTCCAAGTTTGTCTGCTAGAGAATAGAGCAGTTCAAAGTTTTCGCCATTCTTCATTCCTCGTCCTGAAAGATGGGAGTATAATCAAGTACCACTTCAAACCCCCATTCCCCCACCATTCCCTTGGTCACTGTATCTCTCACTCAGCTGACATTTCTTACTAGACTAGTAGTTCTGGCATGGATGAAATTTGTCAACAATTTTCAATAGCTATAAACCTCCAGAGATGACCACACCAGCACTGGTCAATTCAGGTCTGTCACTTTTACTCAGTTCTTGATTGATGAACTCTGAGAATGGATTGCCTGTATCAGCCTCTGGAGCTAAAATGTATATATGTATATAGCAATAGTAATAATGTGCCGGGTGCCATTTCTGATCTATATACATAATCTGGAGGGACAACAGCCTACCATTTTCCTGTTGCGCTTCGCCGCCATCAAGAGGGGAGGCTTCAAACGAAGTTCCTCTGACGGTGAATATTTTGACCTTGTCATTTGATTTTATTGTAGTCACAGCATTTCCTGAAAAAGAGATAGAAACTGTGAACAAATTGAATCAAGTCAAATATACCGTAAACCGTACCTACCAGCATAGATCAACCGTACAAATGTATCCTCCGATTGAATGTCAGTTATATCCGAAATTGGAGAAACATCCAATAAAGCTGCAACTCTTGGTAAAATGTTCTATACAAAGTACACAAACATGGTTAGTTTGCTGAAAGAGCAATCTTTTCAATATCAAAGTCTTAACCATGATGCCCAATCACCTTGCCAACAGCTGTTGCACTTCCAGCAATATGAGAGAAACCAAATTGCTGTTGAGAAGCAAATATCAAAGGTGCCATAACCTCTGGAAGATTGAAATTTTTTGTTGAAATGGCAGAATATTTTGAATTTTTTTATTGAACTATGGTACAAAGAATAACAGAAGGTACCTGCAAGAAAGCCTTCATATGCCTCATTTTCAGCAACAAGTATTTTACCAATCCCTCCAACCTTGCTTAGTTCCTCAACAGCCTGAAAAATGCATACGAAATTGGAGACCTCACTCCTTTGCTCTCCTCCCTATTTGATGGTATTGTCAAACACATACCGGTCCACACTTGGAACCAGCCACAAGGCACGTCACATCACCACCAAGTTTCTTAGCAGCAGTGATGGTGTTTAGTGTAGAAGGAAGCAATGCTTTGTTATCATGGTCGGCAACAATCAATGTTGATGCATTTCTTGCATAAACAATCTTTCTGAAGCAATGTCTTTTCTGTACAACAGCAATACATCATAAATTGTGGACGTGTGTTGACACATCTTGCACTTCTATAAATCTAATTACCTGCATATATACCCAAACTAGTACAGCTGGTTTATACTGAGAAAAACACATATCGTATATTGCAACACATTCGATAACCAAATTACCAATAATCTTCCAGTATATTTTTGATTACAGAACTTTCTCATTTAAAGGGAAAACTTCTAATGCATATTTCAAAAATCAGACAAAAACGAAACATTTACACGCTTCAAGATCGCTACAATACAATATTATTATAATACAATTGTACAGGCACAATTCTCTCGTCACTGATGCGAGTGATGTCCACAGTTACAAGATGTCACGAATCAATCTACAAGCACTACACCTTACCGTTTGGCCTAAAAGCCTTGGCAAACGATTTAAGTTGTTCATAGCAAAGTTAAAATGTGTTAAGATTGATTTTTCCACGTAAAAAACGGTTACGCGTTGAAAGTTTAAGTATTACGTAAATATAAAAGGGATTTGATAACATTACATAACAAATCAAATATAATATCTTACACGAAGTATGGTGCTTTGGAAAATTGGGATTCGTGTTTCCATTTAGTATTTGTATTTTCATATTTTCCCAAGATCATGATATATGATATAGGTAGCTATATAAAAGTATTATATAGTACCATGTGTTTGGTCAGTTTGGACACATGGTACCAGGTGGCCTAAATTTTTGTAGTAATTTCATTTCAAGGCATAGATTAACTTTGAGTTAACTCTAAGGCTGGCTTGATTGGGTGAGTGACTGAAGGGGCTCTAGTTAATACTGAGATTAGTGAGATATGCTAGTCTAGGAAACCATTTCGATATCTTACCGATTCTTACCAGACCATATATACATAATACATATACAGATACATAAACCATATATCTTCTAGAACTATACATTTGATATAAACACAATATATTTACACTATAACTTACAATAATTATTATCAATCGAGATGATTTTGTACCTTGTGTTTATAGTCATTACTTCTGGAGAATGTCTATAATTTAGTCATAGGTAGGTGACAAAAATCAAGATGAACCATTTAGCTGCACTTGCCAGATAAATATATATTAATTTAGCACTCTGTTGACAAAATATCTTATGAATAGAATGTTGATTGTGACCTAAATAAGCTGATAGTTCACTACTTTCCTTTTCTATTCTGTTCAATGTTCATTGTCAGTGTAATTTTAAGCTACACACTGCCAGAACTTAGCTGTTTGCAATGTTCTTTAGCATTCACAATGAAAGCCATGTTTGGCCTAATTAAATGGCCGCAGGGCAACACAGCCAAAGTTACATTGGGAATTGACTGACCCCACAATCTTCCATTTGTTCTTCTTCCTATCGTAAAACTCTATAGTATTCACAACACGGCCGCCCACAACATAGATGTTGTTGTTTACCACTGCAACTCCCAAGCATCGCCGCCCTTCGTTCATTGGTGTGACGTTTTGAAACCACTTGTCTCGCAACGGATCATACACCTCGACAGAATTTGCCCACAATTCTTTGGAATCCGAGCCACCGATTGCATACAGCAGGTTGTTGACGACAGCGACACCAAGGCTCCATCGAGGAACCCCCATGCTTGAGATAAGCTGCCATTCATTGGTCGCTGGATCGTACTTCTCTGCCGCCTTCAACGGCGACCACAAATGATCCAGTCCGCCGACCGCATAAATCTTTTCCCCCAGAACAGCAACACCTGGGTAGTAACGAGCACACTTCATCGAAGGTAGGTCCGACCATGTACACAGCTCTGGGTCAAATGACTTGGCACACATGCTGCTATGTCCACCAACGACATAGATTAAACCATTCAAGTGACAAACACCTGCCCACTTGCATTGAACATCTGGACCATTGGCAATAGTGATCCAGCAATTTAAAATCGGATCAAACTTCCCAACTTTGTTTCGACTCACAGTAAAAAGCTCTTCGTTGACAACAACAACTCGAAAGTAATCTTCCTTAGCAACGGTTGCTATAGTCATTCCAGACATAGAAGTCCATTTTAGGGTATTCACATTGAAACACTGAACAGTGCTCATTTTTTGTCCATTAGACCAACCGCCAATTACGTAGATATCCTCCGAGGCCAGCCGAGGCCTTAGGCGGGGATTGGTGTCCTTGATCATTCTTCTTGATGAGGAGTTGTAATTTATAGCCTCCCTGACCAGCTTTTGGCAAAGGGTGTAGTTTTGGCAAAACTCTTTCACTTGCACATTGTGCATCATGTCCGCAATGTTCATCAGAGGAAACCGGATATGTTGCAGTATTTCAGTAACCACTGTGCAACGATTGGAAAAGTCATGCTTCAGCCATTGCCACACAGCATTGACTACCTCACACTCGTCTTTGACTTTAAGCAGATCATCAGAAACTAACATTCCCAGTTCGTCTGGAGGCAATCTCAGGAATTCCTCTTCCTTAACCACACTCCCAAAATGCCACAAACTGAAACGCCACGCTTGCTTGTAAAGAAAGTGCAACGAATAAGATTGGGCAACTGTTTTTAAACCTAAACAATTCCCTGGTGTGATGTTGCGGCGCAGTAACCTCTCGCATTCTTCAATAATGTAGTCCAAGTGAAGCAGGCAAGCGATATTTAGCACGGCTTCGACCTCGTTGAGGTGAATACGCAGTTCGGAGGTGTAAAAAAAATCAATGATCTTCATAAATGCAAATGTATCGACATCTTTAAGTACGACCTGTGGCTGAAACGCTTCTACAAAGCCCGACAAAAACATCGCTCGGAAATACGGGCTACAAGCGGCCAAAATCGCGCGGTGTGTGGCGATTTCCGTGCCATTTACAAGCAGTATTATGTCACACAATTCACGTTGTCCTCGCATCTGGTTCAAAGTTCGTAGCGTTTCTTTCGCCAAGGAGTCTTCGTGGATGTACACGCTTGTTGTATCGAACGACATTTTAATTTCACAAACGTTTTAAACGCGTATCTTTCTTTCGCTAGCTAGAAACAAAGTACATCTGTACCCGTGACGAGCTGCTATTCGGTCGCCAACCTTTGTTATTATTGTTGTTGTTGTTGATCTTGTCCTTCAATGAACCGAATGCACTTTGTTTGCTTCTGCGCACACAAAAATATTCTAATTAGACTCTAATTATGTTTTCACTTCCGGTCGTGTTCACGCGCAGTGCCAAAACGGACTTTCCTCCTCCCTTATTTCATCCGCTTTCGATTCAAATCACGTCGACTGAAAGCAAAATCTAAAAATATTTCATGTTGTCCAATATGGGCCGCCTCGCTGAGTTCATTTTTACTTTATATGGTAATGAATTTCGCGTGACATATCTTTTGAGTTGATAACAAAAGAGCTTCTCATCCTTATCACATGGTCCACATGGGAAGCGCATTCTTGACGAACCTTTGCCTCGCGATGACAGGAGTATCGATCATGTTAGTGCTTGCTTCGCCCTGAAATTTGATTAGGGTCAAAGGCGTTGGAATGAACGTGGCTCGGTTGGAATAAATAGACGCATTTCGTATTTGATAATTTTAAATCCGGACGGGAGTTCTTGTCCGTTTATTCCGCAAAGTCGCTTTCCTGTACCACCCCTGACGCACTTCCCCCTTGCTTGATGTAAGTTTGGAAAAGTCGTGACGAACACGTGAACACATCGTGAACACATCGTGAACACCTGGCACCTGCCTCCCGCCAGATCCATGTGCTGCTACCACTGGCTGCTACTTTTAGCGCAATTCCAGAGTTATTTACAAGCATAATTCAAGATTTTTACAGGCAGGTGAAAGCAATGGTAAAAGTGTCTGCGAATATCAGTCTGCAAGATCTGCAACAGGGCCGTCGCTAGAAGCTTAATTGGGGGGGTGTATTCATATATTCGCCCCCCTCCCCAATTAAACTTCTAGCGACGGCTTCTGGTGTTCAAAGTCTGTTGCAAAACAACGGTAATCCGGAGGTGGATTTATTCTAATTATTCTAATTTTATTCTAACTTTATTCTAATTTTATTCTAATTTTATTCTAATTTTATTCACTATTCATTCACTATTTCATTCCAGTTCCCAGTCTCCAAAATTCCTCGGTGGTGTGGAATTTAAATACTAATTTGTATGCAAAATGTCTCGCTGTGATCAAGTATTTTTGCTTTAAAAATGCTTAGCAAGCTCTGGCCTGGCTCAAATCGTACACCAGTAAACAAACTGCCACCAAGACAAGTTGAGGAGGTATTTTGAGGCTAGATTGCAAACAGATTAGAGTTCAAGATTGCTCTGATTTGTGTATTAAATGTTAATTAATCTAGTTTCATAATTTGCTGTAAGTGTTCTTACAATCCAGGTGGCTCAAATTATGTGCATACACCAGATGTTGTAATACGTTATTGGAAATGTTTAGTGAGAAATGCTGAAGCTCTGATACGGCCAATGATCTAACCAATAGCGCCACTAGCTTCATAAGTAGGGGGAGGGACACATTCATGTATTTGTGTAATTCTGTTTTACATTATTCATTTCTTTTCAAATTGATTGTTTTTACAGTCTGTGAACATGAATTTATGAATATGTCCACCCCACTTATTGATGCTGGTGATGCTACTGGATCTAACAGGGGGTGATTGGTTTTGATTGCATGATTATTCAAGCTAATTTACTTTTAAATAATGCAGGTTCGTGTACCAGCTGTCGAAGATGACCAACCACACAATCCTTTTAAGGAAATCCGTGTCTTGACAGGACATCAAGATATAATAAATATAATAAAAGTTATTGATGAAACAAGGTAATGAAAACTACCATTAGTTTTTCAGGAAGGTCCATCACTCCCTGAAGGTTGGATGGTCATATTTGTCTGTAGAAGAGTTATTGTAGTTTTTTTATATGAATGTTCCATTGCATCTGAATACTAGAGTTTACTCAGCTAAATAATCTTGTATTGTTTTTTTAGACTGGCTTCATCAGCTGATGATAACTTAGTTAATATTTGGGATTTTGAGGTATTTAATTAGAACTGGACTCCTTTTTATTCTTCTGACTGAATTTGTTTCCAAAACATGAGTGAATCAGATCCACTCAAGTATGTTTCCTTCAATTTTATTCAACAGAATGGTGATAAACTTCATGCGCTACACGGTCATACCCGGCCAGTCACATCTATGCTTGTCTACCAGAAAACAGGATTTGAACATCAAGACTCATTTCCAGTTTTAATAACTGCATCATCTGATAAAACTATTAGAATATCCTTTTATATACATGTGATATATATCACCAAGTACTTCCAGAATTTCCATATCAAAGTGATTCATCCTTTTCATCCATACTTAACATTTTATTTTCATTCTTTATTTCTTATATCTTTTCCTTCATTTACCTTCATTATTTTAATCGTTTTATTCCCTTCTTAAAAAATAATGAAATTATTCCTTTACTGCTTAATTTCTACATCTGGGACTGTGGTGATGGTGTCTGTTTAAACATTATTCAAGATCATGCTAGCACAGTCAAGGTATATAACTAAACAACACTTTTGTCCTACAAAACACTTGGGTTAAGACCAGTATGAGCAATTGGTATTCAAAAACAATTATTAAACTTATAAAGAACAGTTTAGAAGCTAAAAAACAGGTCAAGTAAATGGCTCAGCAAATCTCATATTTATTTCAAGATATTCATATTTGTATTTAATTTCAGTGCCTAGTAAATGTGCACGACTTTGCATTTTGTTCTGGTGGAAAGGATTTATGTCTTTGGGATATTGAAGGACAATTGCTGTGTAAAGAAGTTCAACCAGATAATGACTGTAAGTCTTGTTTATTTATGATTGATTGTTTCAAAAGTTTTTAATAACTTAAACATAAAGTGTTTGTAGCAAGATCAAAGGTTTTCTGTATTAACTATTGCACAAACACTGGAATAGCAGGAATTAAACCCAGTGATTAAACCTTGTTCCCAGTCCAGGCACCATTTGTATGAAAGCTGGATATAGCAATGTCAGTGATTTTTCAAGTGATACAAAAATGCTTCAAAAGTAATAAAATTGTAGATATTGACCCAAAAATGAATAAAGCGAAACATCACTTCAAGAATACAAAAAGGTTCAATTCAAATGGAAAACGTTAGAGCGAGGTTAGGTGGATAGTGCTATCCAGCTTCATACAATCGTCTTTGGGTCTTTTTCCTTCGTAGGAACAAGTGGAAGAGCTATACTTATACTGTCTTGTCTGAATCTTTCTAGCTGATGTTCATTCGATTTTACCGTTAAAGAAAGACAAGCTGGTCATTGCTTTCAGCAGACCATCACTAGGTAGCAATATTTTTCTTCCTAAATTATCCAGCTCTCGCTGTGAGGCTAAACCTCCCTATAAACGGTCTAATTTATACATCTTATGTTTTATATAGTCGTCTATTCCATATCAAATGTACTACGAAATAGATCGTTTAAATTTCACTCTCGATTGCGACCCCATCGAGACGACGTGAGATGTCTAACAGGCTTAACAGGTATTCACCACACCCCATAATAAGCTGACCAAACCTGAAAAACCTGAAAATTTTGCTCTGCGAATCGATATTTCGGACAAAAAGTTGAATTTAACTTTTGGTAAATCTGCCCTGGATTTTATGTAGAAGAGAGTTTTGTATCCGCCTCGCTGGATGGCGAAATCATCGTGTGGTCAAGCAATAGTCTTCAACCAATCAAACAGTTCAATGAAATCCGGGAATTCGAAGGAACTACTCATCTTTATCCTTACAGCGTTCAACATCTCTTTGTGCTAGACCAGGTACAACTGAATCTTTCTCAATAAGGACAATTTTCTAACGTTTAAGACAACTACAGTATGTGTCTGCCTTGTTTTCATCTTGCATCTCGACAGTCCAGTAGATAACAGTCCAGTAGTCTTCCAGTAACTTCAAATCCTCAACCCTATCGTCTTTCTTAAGAAGTCTTTATCCCGTAATCATATGAAAGAAAGAAAACTTTATTTTGTTTCTCAGAGATTTATAATCGCCGCGGTTGGTGCAGGGTTTGCGATTTACGATGCGTTATCAGGTGAGGGTCTTTCTGGGAAACTATATTTTTTAAGGGCCTGGGGATTCAGTTTGATTAAGGATTAGTCATCGTAAAGCTCTGGGTGTTTCTCTTCTATACCTGGGTCTCCAGAATTACATTTTGATAGTATGGCTGTCACATCCAGTTTAGTATCAGATCAGTGCCTCATACTCGTGAGTTTTATGGCCTCCAGAAAAGAATAAACCTTTCTCAATAATGAACTCCTCGCTTTTAGGAAAATGTGTCGCTCAACGGGAGAACGCTCATCACTCGAAAGTATCCTACGTCCAATTGCTTAGCGACAGGTATTTCTCCGAAATGCACCCTACACTGTCATTTTACCCTGGGGTGACTCACCAGTGGGTCCCCTCCCTCACGTTTAATTCCTCTCTCTTCTAAGCTTCATGTTAGCCACGTGTTCTGAAGACGGAACTGTTCGCTTATGGAAATCGTTGACTAGGCGCTTACCAGGTGTGTAACTCTGAATTGGCTGAACGTACGTATGTGATAAATAATTCTACATACGAAAAACAAAGCTCTCTATTCTAAAAGGGATCATCTGTTTTTTTAGAAGAGTTTTCGCCGATCGAACATTTCCTGGGAAAAAGGTAGATACGTGTAAAACACATTTACTTAAGATTTGTATGATTTCCGCTCGAAATTAAGACCTTTTAACCCTTTAGCGATTAGCCTGCATCGAGGGAAATGCCATAATAAAATCTTAATACAAAGTTTCGGATTCATGGGAACACTTTCAGCTTTATTACGTCTTAACTTGTTACGTCTTACACTTGCAGCTTGAACGATATAACAAGTGCTGTCACAGAGCCAGTTCTCTTGGGGGAATGTCTGGGCCATTCTGGAAGTGTTCGGGTAAGAATCGAGGGTCTCTTGAAGCTTGGAACATCTGGTCATTTCTGAGTTATGGAGTTGTATTGATATAGAAGTGGATTGATTGATTATAAGTTTTGTGTTTGCATTAAAATCTTTCTAAATATTTTGTCAGATGATCGCTGATTTTGGTGCTGACGGTTTTGCCTCGTGTGCAAGTGATGGAATCATAATTTTATGGAAGGTACAGTGATAAGTCTTTCTTCCGTCAAAAAGCAAGTAGCAAACCTGTGTTGTGGTGTGCAGTTGAAGGCGGGGTGGAGCTTGAACCAACCCCAGGTGTGGGTGGAGTTTGCTGCGACCCCCCCCTGGTGGAGTTTGTACCCTCCCCAAATAGAGTTTGCACTCTTCCTTCCAGGTGGGGTTTGCCCCCTCAATACAAGTTGGAGTTTGCACCCTCTTCCCAGGTGGAGTATCCACCCATCTCCGAGGGTTGTGTTTGCACCCTCCTCCAAAACACAATTTCCTGTATCGTCATCCAGTATTCAATTTTAGGATGGTTGGCGAGAGCGTCAAAAGAGACTGGAGCTAGCTACGAGTCTCCTCTTTAATTGAAAAAAAAATTACCAATGGAAAATTGTCTTCGTTTCCAGGACCACGCTGCACCCAGACTCACACCGTGGTCCTGGAGACGAGAATTGAAGAATAGGAGATATTACTGACAATTGTTCTCCACATATTATTCGGGGCAACAGTTGGTTCAAAATTCAGTCAATATTTCTTAACAGCAAACACATTTACATAAATTTGACTTCCACAGTTTGAAATCGCATTCGCATAAAAGATCTTTTCCTTTGATATTTATATCCTCCACGAGGCAAAATGATGGGAACAATCATTATAAAAATAAAAATTATATTATTAGCTCGCAATAATAATATTTTAGACGAAGATTGAATTATTTATTGAGAATTAATTTGAATTAAAAGAAACGCATATAATTTACCACATTAAACAAATTTCGAACATCGGTAATTTATTATTAAGAAGACGACGAAAAGCATTTATTATAAGTACCAATGTATGATATAGCTAATCTATACATATATTACTGTGCAAGCATTGCCACTTTTCCAATTCGTAGCTAAACAAATTTACGAGCATCATAAGTCTACCTAACCGTATCGAGGTTTTTTAAGTATGAATAGAGTTGGGTATCCATCCTGGCTTAAGATATGGATACGTGAGATGACCATCATTGAATCTTTTGTCATTTCGTTTCTCGATGATTGCTTTTACTTTGGTCATCAAGATCTTGTGATGTTTCTCCACAAGTTCACCCGCTTCCCGATCTAACATCTGCGCTCCGTAGTCGAGTAGATTGTCAAAACGAAGGGAACCGAGACTCGTGGAAACCACAGCTTGTATCTATTTCAGTTGGAAGAATAGTTATTTTAGGATTTTTAGGAATCTTGGCAGACAATATGCCGTGTTAATTGCTAATGATAACGGCGGTGATTGTGGTGGAGCTACTCACCGTCGCAACCCCCCTGTCTGGCAGCGTATAGAAGGAATACTCGTCGGTTTTTGCTCGGGGATCGTCGTAAAGTTTCGTTGGCATATTCGGAACGAAGGCTCCGTAGTAAGCGATGGGGTAGTTGACCGCATTGTGTTGTATTGGTAGCCATAGGATACGGGATAATGTTTGGATTAGATCAGTCTTCGTATGGATGCGGCTTGGAAAACCTCTTAACTGAGAGAATAGGAAATATGAGAATGTTTAGGATCAAATGTGTTGGGTTGGGGATCTTCATAACACAACCTCGTTCCCGGGGCCTTTTTGAGAAAGGGGGGAGAAAGATTTCTATTAAAATGTTTGTACCATTCCAACACCCCCGAATTGCCCAATTCCATCCACCGACAGTTCATTGGTAAAGTTTTCTAGTTCGCTGTCAGAACTCACGTCTTCGTCTTCGTTATAATATCTGTGAATCAAAGGATACGGTTATGTACAGAATAGAAAAATGGGTGCCGGTGTTATGAGGTGTGGCATCTATCTCGAGAACCGACAGTGCCTCTTGCCCTGAAAGGGATGGGGGGAGGGAAGAGTACAGGCAATGGAGTGCAGCACACCGCAGGATATGTTATGATTATATGACGCTACAAAGCTCCTGTTGATCTCACTCTTACAATGATACATATTCTTCTACATAGTTCTGAATTTGTTGCCAGATAAGGTAACCATCATCTCTGTACGGGAAATATGGTAATTTCTCTGTATCATCTACACCTCGTTTCTGAAAAATCACAACATTTGAGATCGTTCTGAGATCGTCTCTACCTTTGAATATAACAAGCAATATGGTTAGAATGGCTACCTTGATACTTTTCCAAAAATCTATATCCTCCCAGGAAAGATCCAAAAATCCTTTGTTCAGCAATTCGATGCTGCCTCTGTGTCCCATGGAGAATAATAGGTGCATATAGTTTCCTGGTAGGATCAACTTGGGAAAACCATTGACATTGGTTGAAATAAGTCCCCGGCAGTGCCACTTTAATAGCTCGTTCAAAGGATGGAATACAGAGATGGTCCGCTTTGCAGTCACGCATATGGGTTGAAGTACCATGTGGGTTTTCAGTAAGTGCTCGATCATTTCCACATAGGCAAAGTCAGCAATTTGGTAAAGCTGTTTCGCAAGCAACCAACGTCTGCCGTCTGCAGGAGTGTATACTGGTGAATCTGGAAAAACAAGATGGTATCGTTTGGCAGGGGTGTTATTTGTTGAAAGGTAAGCTGTATTCATTTGACAGGTGGTTTATGTAGTTTGGGATTGTATATTATATTTGGTAAACGTTGGAAATGGTTTTTATAGTGGTGGAGGCAGTAGTGCTGGTGAATGATGACTTGATGGTGGTTATAATTTTACTGATGAATGTCTGGATATGGATTTGTTACAGTGCGTGGTGATGGTATAATACTATTAGCACCATGCTCTTATGGTGATTTTCGTCTTCAAACTTCAGTGGTATTAAATACACTATTATTGTCGATAGTTGAACGCCTGGCTATAAACAATCATCCTACCATGGAAGTTGTCTACTTGTATTGCCACAGGTTTAAGCTCATACGGTTTGCCTTCAGACGTCTTCACTGACACGAACAATGCTATAGGGCTCGTCGCTTTCTTTAGCTTTCTCTTCTTGTGTTTGTTGGTTATATCAGGTACGTTGGTTATTTCATCGAGATACGGAAAATGAACGGCATACACCACGTTCTGTTTCACCATCTACAAAGAACACGAGGATATAATATTTTCATCACAACCTCACAAATTGTTGCCGTATTGAAACTACTTAACATTTCTTTACGTGTAAAAGTTTACCTCATCCAAAGTCGTTTTCCGTCTGACCACGCTCGAAACAGCATAATCCCAATCAAATTTAGGAGTGAGTCTTTCTTTTAATTCACTAAGACTCAACCCCACTCCTTTCCATAAATCTTCTGTTAACATAAAAACAATTATAAGTATCAAACTTAATTCCATCCTATTTGGAAAAGAAAGTTCATCAGTTCAAGAGATGGAATATGCAGTGAGAATGCCTTCTCCCGCGTAATGTATTGTGAATATAAAGATATTTTTACAAGTATCTCTTGGGAGAACAGTTCAGAAATAAGACGAGCAATGATCATTTTCAGGTATTCAACATGAAATTTACCACTATTAGCTGTTACACGCTGTAAAGACATGGGATTCAGAGCAGCCAATCTTTCGTCGACAAACACTTGATCATCCTGCCAGGAATCGCAACGAATGATGTCTTTCCATTTTTCGACTTTGGAAGGATAGCGAAAGTATTCCTGATATTTTCCATCTCTCTGCACATCAAAATATCATACATGAATAGTTTTGATTGTTGATCATAGTGGATTGTGATAGTGATCTGACCTATCGGCATTAATATTGTATAATGATTATGGAGCTCAAATACAACATCGATTATATCGATAGTCGTATTAATGACGGCGGTATCGATTGTGTCGATTGCGATATTGATAATATTAATATTTAATAGAATGTATTGATAACATTATTGATTGTATTGATAGCATTATTGAATGTGGTGATAATGCTGATTATATCTAGGTCAACTTACAGTGAACAATCCTCTTACGACGTGTAGCAGGTGTTCAAAATCTGCCGTATTGTTAAATGGTTTTAATTGCGAACTCTTATTCTGCTCCTTTAAAAACTGCTGAGCTGTCCTCTGGAGATACCCGTATACCAGTAACCATGGTAACTCATCGCCATCAAGCTTCGACAACCTTCTGCTCTCGTTCAAAGTTAAATCAATCAACGGAAATACAAAAAGTTCCTGGAGATCACCCTTACAGGATCATCCGGGTCCCCTGTGGGTACCTTTGGTGGCTTCCTCAGCCTGTAATTATTCCGGTTTCTGACCAGTTTTTCCCGTCGCCTGGCAACGCAGTGAGATGGCGTGTATTCAGGAAGCGAGAGACACGGGGCAGCTGAAAAGAAGCGATTGAATCGACTGATGCTTTTAATTACGAGAAGACAAAAAAAGCTAGCGGTATTGATTAATGGATTTTTCAACAAAATTCTACTTGCTGGTTCTAATATAAAAATTATAACTTACGTTTGAAACATCCGAGGGAAGGGTTATAATCTTTCCAACCAGGACAACAAGTGGTTTTGTTAACGCGTTTTGTGTTCGTCTGAGGGACGTAAGATATCACAGTCTTAATTCTAAAGAGAATATATTGAATGTCATTTACAAATCGTTATAATGATGCCATGGTTGCTGTATTACATGACAATAATAGTGATCTTCTTGATCTTGAGTCATACCGGCGCCGACGCCCATCGACGTGGACTTCAAGTAATGCTTTCCGCTCTCCCACAGTTTCACAACACGGATAAAAATAATCGACTCCAGTTCAGTAGTAAAAAGTCAAGGCCGTAGCTGAAACTAATTTAAACTTGGTTTTCCTAATTTCCCACCCCAGTTTAACTTCAAACTAACTTACATGTTTTCTTCACATTCAATGACGGGTCCTGTTAGAAATCCGCAATCTGAAAGAACCTTTTCTCTCGAGCTGGTTATTTTTCTTCGTAATTTTACGTTCGTTTCCTTAGTTCCCATGATGCAAACCTCATGTCCGAGCTCCGGAGCTTTCCTTAGGACATAAGCTCTAGAAAATAGTGTAACGACAGAGTTAAAAAAAACCCAAAGTCCAAATATGAGACTGTCGAGACATAAGGGGCAACTAAACATATTTTAACACTCACCATAGCTACTTACCCATTTGCCAACAACAATGATACAAGCATTTCTGAAAAGATAGCTATAAGAAACTTCATTGTCAATCTCTTCACCAAACTCAATTCCTCTTTTCAACCCAAACACCGTCACATTCGCTCGCAATAATGAAGGCAAGCAATCATAGATTGAGAATAACCCTTTTATCCCGTTATTAGCACCTGGTATATTAATTGTACGTCAACATGCAGAAAGGCTCGTTATTAAAATAAACTACACTTGAGATTAATTGCGTTTTATTGCCAATTCTGTCTCATTGTGGTTACGAGTGTTTAAGTTAAACAAATTACAGCCAGATCATAGAAATTAATAAAACGACCACGTTAATATGTCATAAAAGACCACCTGCTCATTGTTGAGTTGTGTTCAAGAAATTAGCCAAAACGAATGCTCTCATGGAAAATTGTTCATGAAAAATACAATTTCCCAGACGTTTGGACATTGAATACAATGTTAAGAACCGTTAGGGGGATGAAAAGTTTTCTGTCTCATCGCTGGGAGTAGATTCCTGATATTTAGGTTTGATTGAAAAACAACACAACTATTCGTATTTCTTGCGTGTATATTTTTTGTACAGCAATATCTTTAATGATTTTATCGTTGAATGTGTACAAACACGTTAAGCTGGACCATTATTATTAAGTAATAGTTGCATAGCAATATAGGACGAGTTTTCTTACTTTCCTAAGATTTCTACTTTGCTAAAGTCAAGATGAAAGGTTTAATAACACCGTCCGAATTAAACGATGAAGATAAATGAGATAATCGGGGCTTTTGATGGCGAATAATCGAATTATTATGTACTACCACAGAAGTGTAATAGTTAATAATTTCGTCATGCTGACGTTTACCAACGTATATTTCAAGTATCATTAATCAACGGTGTTTGGATCTGTCAGACGGTCAAAAAGCTGTGTGTAAACTTACCCTTATAATATTTGCTATATTCTTATAAATAAACCAAGCAACGCTTTCCTTTATTGAAAGAATTCATAAACAAACAATAGTTTCATATATAATTCAAATATAAAATACTGTCATTGATAAAAACTTTTAGGATAGTTCTTTTATGTAAAAGATTACAATTTCTTTTAAGATATAAATAAAAATGGATCACTTTACAGTATACAGGTGTGTGCATATTGGTCGCTTGTCCCAATTCTTTAAAGCAATCTTGTTAATACTAAACAGGTTCATACTTTTCAATCATGCACAGTAAGCGAGACTCTATTTTAAGACTCTATTTTAGAAAACGTCTAAAATAAATTAGCAAGCAGAATATTACTGATTTGGATAGTAAGATGATTTACTGGGGAAATAGATTGTTAAAGGTAGATTGTTATTAAATCTGAGTATACTAGCCAGAGACACAGTCTCATGTCAGCGAAACAGCAGGGTTGAACTCTTTTGTCATATCGAGCCCATCCTTTCTGCGTTCAGCGGTATTCTCCTCCACTGGCTTTTCCCTATTATTTCAGATACGTTAAGAGCTTTTGTACATCGGGTTTCTGATGTTCCTCCGTTACAATTGCATCGTTCATTTCTTTCATAGAAAACATCTCAAATCCGAGCTCTTCATCAGTCTCCTCCTCGTAGCGCCAAATGGCTATCTTGCCATCTCTCGACCCAGGCCCTGTCGCAACGTAACCACCGTTAATCACACACATCGAACGAACCGAGTCATCGTGGATTTTAAGCGTCTAAAAAACGCAAGAAAAACATGTTAAATACGCATGGCACTATCCCAGTTTTACACTCAAGTACAACAACTACTAGTGATGCAATTGAACGGTGGATCGACCCTTCCACGACACTGTAAACCTCCTTTTTTCATGTCAAAACACTATCAAATAGCCTCGCATAGCCTTTCTAACCACACGCCAATCGTATTAGCTTTTCAGTTTGCTAAAACAGCTTTACATACAGGGACCGCGGAGCAGGGTGGCTCGCTGGGCTTTAGCCCCACCAATAATTTTTCCGTAATTAGTCTTTAATTTCGAATATTTTTTAGTTCGCTCAAATTTACAAGCAATACAAGCGCCAAAATGCTGGAAACTTTACATAGGGCAAGCATTTGACCATTAAAACAGCGTGGTTATCCATTTCAAAAAATTTGACATCATAACCAAAGCATGGTTATATTGTTTAATGTTTGTATATGAGCGCCAAACATGCTGGAAACTTTACATTGGACAAGCATTTGACCATTAAAACAGCGTGGTTATCCATGTCAAAATATTTGACATCATAACCAAAGCATAGGATAAGCACTTGACCATTAAAACAGCGTGGTTATCCATATCAAAATATTTGACATCATAACCAAAGCATAGTTATATTGTTTAAGTTAGTATATGAGCGCCAAACATGTTGGAAACTTTACATTGGACAAGCATTTGACCATTAAAACAGCGTGGTTATCCATTTCAAAAAATTTGACATCATAACCAAAGCATGGTTATATTGTTTAATGTTTGTATATAAGCGCCAAACATGCTGGAAACTTTACATAGGACAAGCATTTGACCATTAAAACAGCGTGGTTATCGATGTCAAAATATTTGACATCATAACTAAAGCATGGTTATATTGTTTAATGTTTGTATATGAGCGCAAACATGCTCGAAACTTTACATATAGGACAAGCATTTGACCATTAAAACAGCGTGGTTATCCATATCAAAATATTTGACATCATAACCAAACCAAGGTTATATTGTTTAATGTTTGTTTTGAGCGCCAAACATGCTGGAAACTTTACATACTATTCAAGCCTTGAGATTTATGGCTAATTGAAGATTTCACCCTTGCCTTTTTAACTTTGAGTTCCTTCCTTTTTTTAACAGTTTTCTCCCTAACCACTGTCAAGGCATTTATTTGACCGCTTCTATCACCGATCCAAACCTGAAAATAGGTTATTGATTAGGAATAGGAGCGAAAAAGAGAAGAACCATGAAATGAGAAATGTAAAATTAATGGTCTCGCAGACCAAAATATGCGATTCTTTCAAAGTTGATGAACAACGACAGAAAATGAAACGAATGAAACTCACAGAAAATGACAAATACCCGCAGAATCACAAGAATAAGATGAATTTAGATTGCAGAAGAGACGTTGCGAAAGAAAGATGAGATAAACAACAAAAGACGTAGACTGCATATCGATAAATTGGGTTCAGTGCTGACAACAAACTTGGGTTCAGGACTGACAACAAACTAACAAAGCACCTCGTTTCCTATCAGCGCCATTTTTGTAAGAGCAATGTTGTTTTGCGTTGTATTAATCGGCAGCAACGTATAGTCCAGAGTTTCTGTGTTGAATATCGCAATCTTTGGTTTCTTATCACATCCACACCAAACCTTAACATTTCGGAAAGAAACTGTTGTTAGAAACAAACACGCGTGCAGGCATTACTGCGAGAGATTCAACTGAGTTGTCATACGCCAGAGCAAAACTATGCTGCCTTTTACACTTGCCTGTTTTGGATGCACCGGAATTATACAATCGACAGATAAATTGACTTCGTTCTCCATGATTTGCAAGTTATGTTTAATTTCACCGTCACCTTCACTGTCGGATATCAAAATGGCCGTCTTGATGGCTATGCAAGTAATGCGAAAAAATGAAATAGTTTTGGTCGACCGTGGATGCACGCGTATGAAACAAGCACAAGAACAAGTTTGTATAGTATAACTACTGCAAGATGGGTTTGAAACACAAACAGTATACTCGATCTTACCACACCAGAAGTACTTTCCGATCAACAGAAAATTTACAAACATTCTTGATGTGTGCCTCAATTTGATCTACAGTTCGGAATGGTTAGATTGCATTTCTGCTAGTTTTAACAGTTCTCGATTTTTAACACCACCTCAGGCAATATACGAGAAAGATATATTTACCCTTTTAGTTGGGGTTAGCGATTCTGAATCCCAGCCAATAATTTGGCCATTTAAGCTTAAGCTCCAGACGATAATACTAGACAAATGAACACAAACAAATTTGAGTGTGTCTCGGTGGTAATAAAGCATTATATTGAATTGGATATTTGTGTTGTTTTCCATCCATCCCTATAATACCTTTGTTCATCTTGTTTCTGCAAAACCATGGCCGAGATTATATCCGAATGTTCTTCCAAATGCTGGTTGGCTAAAAGTCAGAGGAATTTTCATTCATACGAGAGTTACTTCACAAAACACTTGGCCAAATACGCTCTTAAACTTGGACTAGCGAGAAGTAGCATACGAATCCAGTGTCAACTAGAGATCACCAGATCATACATACTGTAAATGTAGCCAGTAGTAAGCCATAGTTAAGACTGGGCTGCAAATTTATAGGAGTGTAGTTATATATAAATAAACCTTTATAAGTGGATCTATCGAAGACATAAATGGTAGCGTCAAACGATCCAGCCCATACGTGAGAGCTTCCAACCGCCAATAGACAGCTCTAAATGAAATGACAAGGTTATACCGAGCATTAGACTGGCGATTTCGAATTTCAAAGATAACCTTGGCTATTCATATGTGTATAAAAGCTTTAGGGACCTTACCACTCTGTCATTTGCGCAGGAAATTTGGGTTTCAAAGCTCCATTTTTCTGTGGTATCATCACGCTTGAAGATTACTATAGACCCAGAACCCTATGGCAGAGATTGTGTATCAGGTATAGATCAGTGCGGGTCAGCATGGTACACTACCATGCAGCAGTTCACTGCCATGCAGTGTAACAGAAAACCAATAGCGGTCAGGTGGGAAACACGAATGTTTATTTTGTTTAACAATACAGAAACTGTAATAATAATAATGGTCTATTACCATTCCACACCATATCTGCTCATGAGCGTTAAAATCTGAAACGAAGAAGTTTTTCGTGTAAAATTTCAGCCATGGTATATATTTGACAATACGCATGCTGAAAAGTAAACCCTCAAACAACGCACGCTCAGACAAGACCAGATGAAGTCACATAACATCAAGATAGAAGCTGGCGATATAAACAGACCTTTTTTCGGTTTAGGAACGTACACCAGCGCTTCTACTGTTGTTGAAGCCGTCTCTTTCTCTGATGGATTGAGTCGTTGCAGAAGAAACTAAAAGCACGAAGTAATGAATGTCAGTGATAACAGCTAGCATGGGCGACGCCATTGCAGGGCTTTTGTTCCAGGAGTTAAAGTTTTGCATAGGGAAGGAATTTTTGTACAGGAGATACATGTAATTCACTAAAAAAGATGCATTTTTTTGACATGCGTGTATTTTATGCAGATTTTCTCCGACCTTCTCCGTGTCTCCGGAAATCTTGACTGGTTCATTTATTCTCGTGAAGTAACACATCGCCTGAAAGAGAAAGCCAAAATGAAAATATTTGCCGCCATTTTATCTCAACAGGACAGCAAAAAAACATCGATTTTGAAAGCTATTGTTAGCTTCAGCTCACCAAAGCTGTACGTCGAGGAATCCCGCTGAAAATAAACCAAATTCATCCATCAAAATAGCACTCTTCTCTTTAAAAACGCTACCATGATAGGTCTCGTCATTTAAAAACGAACCACAAAATAAATTTACCTTTTTATCAAAGCATCAGCAAGCATAACGTTTTGCGATCCTAAACTAACAAACTGCGAGTCTTTCAAAGCTAAAGAATGGGTAATATAGATATAATCAACGCACCGTATGCTAATTATGTATACAAATATTTATTAAGCGGGTTTTTTATTAATAATTACTTCCAGCTCTTTCGTGACACACCGACATTTCTTTGAGATATGTGCACCAGATCTCTTGCTCTCCTTTCAGACAAGCAAACATCGGCTTTTGACTCTTTTCTGGGCGAAATAAATATCTGTCAACCATTAGGAAGCTAAGACACTGTATATGAATATAATATGAGCAAAACAATTAAGAGGGGATAACTCCCATCCACCTCTGCGAAGCCTCCACCTTCCCTCACCCCCAACCTTCCCTCATACCTCACCTCCACTCAGTTCTCCCCCCCTCTCAGTCCCCACCTCCCCTGAGCCATCACCTCTCTTCAGCTCCCATCTTCTCACAGCACCCACCCATTTCTCACGTTTCAACTTACCTTTCAAGATAATTCTCAAGGCAGGGACCCCCGGTGGAAACAAACTGTAATGCTGATATTTCTCAATGTTTGCTATATCGAGTAACCTCGTTAATTGCATACAACTTGAACTGCCGTCTGCGATAAATAATAACCTACACAGATATGGACAAAAGCATCGTAAACATCGTCTTTAAAACGCCAAGCAAGCAAACCCATGAATATTTTTGCAACATTTACCGAACATTGGTAAGTAATAATCTTCCAACTCCGTTGTTCGTCGTACATAACGATGACACTTTTATCACAAACTAAAAAAAAAACGAAAAAAAAACAATTATAAAGGAAGAACAATTTACTTGAACAAGACAGCGACAGTATTAAGCCAAGAATAGGGGTATTCTGTAATTCTTCTTGATGGAAACATAGAGTTATTACCTCCTTTTCTTCGACGGCTAGATTCTGTATTTCGACGCTGTGCGCTTCGACATCCGCCTAAAGAAATATGTTTCTAATATGAGAAGCTGAAGATTAACTGAACTGGACATACCTTGGCGACTTTACCTGGTTCAATGTTTCGTATATGTCTGAAAACGTTCCTGGATCAATTACTGTAAGGGAAAAGAACATATGCACGTTGCGAGATGTTTCACGATGGCAGACACCTGACCGTTGTAAATCCCGTTACATGAAGAATTGGAATGGTGGCAAATTTCACCAGCAATATTTGAAGCAGGAAAGTTTTAAGTCAGTCTGAAGACTTACATTTTTCACCAGTGTGCGCTGTTAAGACTTTGAACAAGCGTTCAGCCGTCTTGGTGCTCTCTGTTATCTGACATAACATCACTCGTTCGATAAACTCATCTTTTTCTGAAAAAGAAGGTTGTATTCTCACACAGTCGTCAAACACAACGCATAACACGAACAAAAACGCACACAATGGATACAATTACACTATATTTCAGCTTACCAACAGCATATCTCGGAACGCCGTGGAAGATTAGTTGTTTTCTGAAAACACAAATGCAGTCGAGGCTCAAGGATGAACATCATAACGAGGCGAGGACTCGAGGAGGCCGGGTTTTGTAAACGGAAAAACCCGAAAAAAAGGATGCAACTAACCTGACCCTCACAGAACCCGGAACTTTCTACAAATAAGAAAGTATAGTAATGTCAATCATAGCCTACAATCTCGTTTTAATTTCAAGCACGCTGTATTACCTACATAACGCTCTTTAACAATTTTTGCTGAGATTTCAGGCGATTTTTCTGTTTTCATATATGTAAACGCATGGATACGACACGTTATGGATATTTAAATCAGTGGGGCACATAGATCATTTCTATTATATCACATTCCCTCGTTGGCTCGTTCATAATCATCATTAAAAGAAAAACTTAAGCGACAATTGTGTATCGGTCTAACCAACCTTGTGTTTTCGCAAAAGCAAATCTATTTTTCGAAAGTAGCTTCGATTTTTCAACTTCTCCATTGCGGCCACGTCGAACTGACTGAGCAAGTCGACTATCGCTCTATATTGCGGAAAAGACAATGACAAATGTAAAGCATGTCTTGTCTGTTGTACGTTTTCCATGAGATAGAGATAATAAAAATGGATGTATCATACTGTGTTGGAAATATTTGGACACTTCTCGAAGACAGCGAAAAGAAATCATCAAGACCCTAAAAAAGAATGAACCTGATGTAAACATCTCATGCAGTGCAACTAGTATTCTACACATGGAATGCTTCCTTAGTTGAAGATCTTAAATTAAATTACATCTGGGATGAAGACTTCTGAAACGCATGGAAAAGAAGGCATTTCTTGCGCTCGCTTCCGAGAAGTGCATTGAATTCCGAGATGTTCTCATATGTATTTCTGAGAACCACAGACTGCATGTTGAAATCGGTTACCTCGTAGATTTGCCCATTCGCGACATACATCATTCCCCGGAGATAAAGATAACACGCTTGAATATGACTGGAACCTTTCAAATCTGATGCCTACAAAGTAAACTCGCGATTAGCTTTTCCGAGCGCAGATCAAGTTTGTTACTCCAAATTGCCATTCCAAAGATTGGAGTTCCCTGAATCACTAAGTTAATAGTTTCATCTATACGCACCTGTACTAACGCGTTCAAATCTTCAATGCAGTTTTGATAGAATCGACCTAAAAATACATCGTTTTGCATTTGTAAATGTTGTCAGGAATGCAATAGGTCATACGGAAGAGTTTGGTGGGGTTTCATCTTTGGGAGGATCGATGGTGAAAGTAAACTAGCGTGAGTTGGACATCCCAAACTGACATTGAAACACACGAATCTCAGGAGCCCAATGGAAGTCGAAATCCCATGTATGTACCTGTATATATACCTGTCTTTACAAATGTACCTGTATAGAGTCCCTCTCCAATGAAATCCGGAAGCTGAAGCACGACGTCACTGAAGAAACTCATTCGGCAGTTCGACAGACTACCCGAAGATCTGCATTTTCGCATATCAAGACTTGGAACACTGCTTCGTCTACGATGACCAACCCTGAGGGCGATAAAAGTAGAAAATTCTTCTTCTTAAACTTAGAAATTCAGTACTTGGACAACAGTTAAATTCAGGATGCACACTTGGACGAAAATCAGACGAACATGTGAATTTTGGTTGCACTTACGCAGTGACGTTTTCTGATATGGCACTTGAGAAGAAATCAACTTCGTCCTTTTCGTATCTTCCACAAAGATAAGTGCTAAAAGCATGGCTAGCGCAAAGCTATAAAACAAAACAATCAATCCTTACGGCCAGTTTTTTATGGCATTATCTCCCCTAACTCCGCTTAAACGTCATACAGCACTGAACGTAAATATACCGAGGTAGAATGGCTGACCTGTTTGAAGAATTCTCGTTCCATTTCTGGTTTGCATTCAACAAAACCAATGCGGTCGAAGAGGACCTGTTGTCCTTTGTCAGACCCTTCTTTGATAAAATGTGTAAAACCCCTAAATGTACACAATGTAAATTTAAAAATTCGGCACAGTATTATCAATCAGGGGTTGATTGTACAAAAGCTGGATAACGCTATCCACCTGATAGTGGTTTTCATTACTTATATTATTATAAATACAAAACTTCAAGTATAAGGTGCGATTACCTAAAAAGGTTCAACATCAGCTCAAAGCAAACTAAAAGAATAAAAAGAAATTCGTTACGAACTGTACAAAAATGCTCTTTTCCCGGGCTAGGGACTGATACAACATCTCCATTTATTTTACCTTGTAAAATACTATTTGCACACTCCCGGTTAAAATTACGTCGTCTCTTTCTCATCTCTGTAGCGTCAAATATTGAAACACTGAAAGAAAGACACAAGAAATAGTTTATATATTTGTAGTACATGCTACATGCTACATATCGCCCATAATACAGCATCAGCAAGTTGATTTCATGTAGATAAACTCTCCATTTTCAAACCGCATTCGAGTTTAAATTTGCTGAGAATAATGTCATACGATTGATAGGGAATTGTTTGCAGGTTTCATCAATTGTGGAGGTCGTATGCATGGATTAGTACTACGGTAGTTATCACGCGTACCCAGATAATTCGTGAAGATCGTAATGAAATTTAATCTCCCTTATCCTGAAAGAATAAGGAATATGTTTTTGAAAAACAAAAGCTAAACCATTCACAGGCACACATCAAGTCATGACATAAATGACAGCAAAATCAAAAGAATGCAATAACATTACTTTTCTTTGAATTCATCTCTGTAAGGTTCTGGAATTAGAGCAACTGAATTTTTTCCTGTATTGACCCTGCCAGTGTCGATATTTGCACATACAATGGTCGAGTCCTAGAGAAAAATATGAAGGAATTCGAGATATATAATTGCTTCACGTATAATATCGATGCATGGGGACTGTTCAAATAAGAAAAACAGGAATCTCTGGCTAGTCTTAAGTACAAATTTCGTCGCCAGCTCCTCCAATAAGAAAACTCTTGCGAAAAAATTGCATACCTCGTCCTGAGCAGTCATTAGACTCTGCACTAGCAAACTATGTTGACTGTCACAGCCCATGATGAACGAGCCCGGGGCTTCCAGAAGATCAATCAGATTGCTGATGACAAAAATAATGATACTAAAGTTAACTCTTCCGATTATACGGTGGACAAGGAAAGATAACCAGAGATCTTTATTGAAGTTTCTTACCTCGGTAGAACCGGCACGTACGTTAAACTCCATAATAACGGCTGAATATAACTCAACAATGCCTAATAAAAAAGGTTCCTTTTTGAGGTAATTATAATACAAAAGTGTGCACCAAATAATTTGTCCCGTACTGTCACTACTGTGTAGGAAAAATCCGCGGTAGAACTAACCCAAGGTCTTATTAAGAGCTCGAATTCGGAAATATAAGGACAATCACCCACCTCGGTAATTGGTGTTAGCATCGAATAGTCCGAGGCAAGAAAGATGATCCTCTGTTGTGTGAGGATGCAGCTGAGAAGTAGAAGAATATTGTCGACAGAAAAACAAAGAAATGGCAAATGATATTCCATGTCTATGATCCGTTTTTCTAGAACAAGAAGAAAAAGACAACTGGTTATAAAAAGAAAACGCGGAACACTGTCAGAACTCGCAGATATTGCAACACAACTCACTTGGTTCTCCTGCAGACCTCACAAGATGTGTCGTGTTGCACAGCTCAAACTCCTAACGAGGTTCAACAAAGATATCAATGGCATGTGGAGAACTATTAAAGAATTGGTTTATTGGAATTCGAACTCTTTGTGCCGGGACTTACAATGCTGATTGGTCCAGGGGGTGGAATTGGCACCTGACAGATTTGTGATATTAAATGCATAAGAGACCGCCTCATTTCCATTCCATTTTTATAAAGAACCGGTAAAAAACTACGAGAAAGAAAGAATAAGAGGACAGTTGTTTAAAATGATACGTACAACGAGAAATATGGTGCGCAGAAACCGAGGATATGACTCATTATGCCTCAAATAGTTGAAAATCTATGGCAGGCTCATATTGCCAGCGGCTATTTTTCATAAAATTAAAATGGCGGGCCTAATTAGGTCAGAAAAGTCAGAAAGAAAGCGTCCAATTTTTATAGCTGAAATCCGCTGGAAAGCTGAGCCTGCCGTACTGTGAGGAAATTCGATAGGACAGCGTGCTTTCTTGCTTAATTCTCGCAAATTAAGTCGCGTAGTGGAAAATAAACCAAGTTTTGATGGCAATTATTGATCTGGATATAGCAACACGATGACATCAAAATCCTGACCTTGACAAACAGTCCTTTGCTACTTGGAAGTATGGGAACTTGGATATCAGACAGCAACATGCGGGGACATAACAGATCTGTGAATTTCCTAGAAAATAGGTTTGTGACAAAGTATGTAAAAAATAGGCACGCGTGCGTACACACTTGTGGCAATGTGTAAGCTGGATTGTTTTTAATGGTTCTGTATCAATGAAACTGGTTTTAAAGATTGGACTGGAAGATACCATTCTGAAGTGATCATGCAGAAAATCTCACCATTCATTTCCTCACTCTCTTCGAGGGAGAGCAAATATTGACCTGGAATGTCAATGTTCTGCAAATTTAGGTTTAAAAAAAATTAGACTTATCACATACGGACTTGGAAACAGTATATACTGCACATACCAAAATAATAAATAGGAAAGTAAAACTGACCTCTGTTACATGGTAAGGTTTGTAAAATGTCAGGCAGCTGCAATAACTTCTGTGTCCTAGGAAATATTGAGTAAATAAACCATACCTATGTCATTCATTCTGCAATGTCACATAAGGCTGGCGAGGGCATGCAACCACGGGCCTCAAGACAAAACGTTGAGCAAAGGTCATAATACATCCATCTTAAAGTTTCACATACCTTCTATGTCAGTAAGAACTAGAGTGTGAATTTTTTCATCTGGTTTTTGCTCAGAAATGTATGCTCCCTCTAACAAAGATTTCAAGGAATCAATAATAACAAGATGTGATAGATTACAACCTATATACAATTTAAATACTCAGTTTGAATTTCAAAACATTTCCTTCTAAGTATTGTATTATTATACCGCCCCCTCCAAACTAGCGAACTTCCTTTGCCCCTGATTTGCATTTTGCATCTAGATCATTCTCCTACCTGGTAAACAAAACTGAGGTAGGCTGAATATAACATCATTGCCCAAAGGTATTTCAACAGGTTTAGTAAATCTGAACTTTCCACCTTTCTTCGTTGGAGATAGCGTGCATTGAGAGTTTAATGCAACATGTTCTTCCATGTAGTACGGCTCACCTAGACAAAATACAATAAACTGCATGTTTAGGTTTCCTTAAGCAGGACATAAACTAAGATTGTACGAATGGAATAATTCCACAAATACCATTTATAGGATCTCTTGTTTGAGGAAATGAAACAATTTGTCCGGAGAGTATAGCTAAGACGGATGACTCATATTCCTTGCTGAATCTACAGTCTTCATCAGACGAACCATTGCTAATAGAACTCCCTTTTCGTGACTAAATATGACAAAGAAATGTTAGACACAGCTGTATACTGCAAATGCAGGTTTCTATTTCAGTTCATGACTTCAGCTTGTGAAAACGTGAGTAGTTTTTCTGTGAAATTTGACTAGAGATATTACCCTGCTCATAGGTATGAGTCCGGTATCTTCATCAATTCCCACCAAGACACAGAGCTCAAATAAACTGTGTATAAGACTTGAAGAGGGTTTTGTTCTCTCCACTGGACTTGCTGAATAAAACACTGAGTTTTCCATTGTTATGAAATTATTGGTTAAAAACCTAAAAATCAAGGAATCAAAAAATACACTAGAGTATGCAGCCTTTAGCAATTCTCCACAAAGGCACCAGGTCCAGGGTAGACCCCAGACATTCTGAAAAACTGCATGTGAAACCTCTATTAATAAATTAACCACAAATTCATAGTAAAGCCAAAAGGAGATCTGGTTGTTACACATGAATGCTTGCTGTATCACGTTTCACCACAAGAGTTTCATTTAGATATGAAACGCAAGATATGAACAAGTCGGGGAATCAACCCACGACAAAACGCGACTGGCAATATATATGTTAAAAAAGTATAACTTAATACCATATCGTAATACCAAGAATTAATGAATTTTAATCAAAATCATGCAGAAAGATTTGACCCACCTTGAGAGATTTAAACATATAAATTATCGTTGTAAGACTCTAAACTACCACAAACATAAATTTCGCGGCTTTCCTTGGGAAGATCGCATAGAAAATCCGGTCTGCAATCACTTAAAATTTCTTCGAAAACGAGCACTTTTTAGTTCAAACGAAAAAGTGCCATCCGTTGACATTGGGTACCACGCGTTCTCCACAGGGCATCAATATTTTCCCCCGTAAAACATCATTTCAACTCAGCCGATCGGTAATTTTCCAACACACAGTGTGTGTTAAAACGGATTGCGGGATGGTAAAATGGTAAACTGTGTTTGTAAAGCATTTAATACTTGATAATTGTGTAATTTGATCCAACACGAAGTGTGTTGTTTACAAATATTGCAACATTAGCAGACTTTCGCCGGAAACGGAAGTGCATTATATGCTAATTAATACATTTCGCATTCTCTCATTGTTTTAGTTTACTCAGTAAGTGTTCTCGAAAACAAAGCATTTCTGATCTAGTCGTAAATCCTGTTAGAAATATTTTTCAAATATTAATCGCACGGCTTCGTGGAAGAACAAGCCGGATGAAAAAGGAGTTTCGTTTTTTGTTTAGTATAAGTATATTCACGATATTTGTCGTGTTTTTCCAGGCGTTTTTTCTCTGAGAATGTTCAGACATGTTTCGCATTTCCGTCGCGTCAAATGCACTAAGACAATACTATTAATGATAACCGTGAATAACCGGCTTTATTTTGATCTTATTATTGTCTCAGCTGAAACGCGCGGCATCTAAAGCTGTGTTTACACTTGAAATATTGCCCAGACCAAAATTCCGAATGGTTTTTCATTGTGTGAACTAACATGAACAACTCGAGGTCTTGCGCTCACTGACTGATCAGTTTCCTGTTCTGATAGGCCTAGATTTTCTCGCTGAGGCCTGTCCGTTTCTACCACAGAAATAAAATTCAAAACTAGGGTCTAGGACAAGCCTTGGCCCGCAGCGTAAACATGACTTAAACCACCAGGCTTTGTAAAAGCATGGAATAAAGGCAGTGGATAAGAACTGCCGGGAAATGCAATTATTGCAATAAAGTAATTTGTCAAATTGACTGATTGGAGGAAAAAAGAAATGGCAACGAAGATTTTTCCAAGAACGATGAATGTATTCGGCAAAATCCACTCTCCAGTCTCTCCTAGAAACAAGGTCACATTGCAAATTCAAGATATCAGTTAGAAAGCCATGCTCCTATATGTCGTAATTCATCGGCGATGTTTTACGATTCATTGTCGGTGACCAATGAAGTCGATAGGCAAAGCATTTTATGCATCATTGACCATCGACACTGACCACTGTCGGTGACCAATCATCGACGACCAACAATAACCACCGCCGACGATCTACGATGTATGAAAACCAGGCTTGACGCTCGGTTCCCGTAGGCCACAGTCGGCGTTGGCTGTTGTCGGACCGTCGGTTATCACTCAAAGCGCCTCGTTTTTTTGAAAGCCTATTTAAAACATGTCATGTCATTTACTCGCTATTAGTATAGCCTCACAACGAGGCGAAGCTCGCTTCAACACGTGGGTGCAGACCAGATGATCATCTCGATGGTGCAGACACAGAGGTTCCGACCAAGTAAGGCTCGCTGTATATTCTCATTCTCGTTGCTTCTCATTCGATTAAGTGACACTTCTGGTTATCGAAACTACACTTTTCAAGGTGTTATTTAAAGCTTTTATAGCTTTTAAGCTATCTACGCAAAGGTGAAGATAAAAAGGTGAAGATAAAAATGAAAAAGGTGAAGATAAAAAAGAAAAAAGGTAATGTTGTCTTGGAACAAACTAAACTGGCTAAACCAAAGTGTTCCTATAGTCTCTTTTGGAACCCATGCGCATCGGCATGGCCCATACTTACATCTTGAAATTCAACCACTACAAACAACAAAAGGCCTTGTTGTTTAGCAAGTTTTTTAAGGCAAATAGATGAAAATGAAATAAAGTTACTGCGATTATATTATCAACAAATTTACGGGACCAGATGGTCTCTAAGTGTTTATTTCATTTACTTCGCTTTCCACCCACGCTAGGGTCTTTATTTGCCGACTGACTCTTTAACATTGAACTTAAATTATTATTATTTTTGAAAAACATACGCGTAGTTTGCCTATCGAAACTTTCCCCTAATGATTTGACAGAGAATGAGAAAAAGTTTCTGCCTTTATTCAAGGCATCCAAGCACGAGGCATCCAGCGATATTTCTTTTTTTTTAATTAAGTATGAACACTTGTGCTTCTTTGACAGAGTAAAGAGCAGGTGTCGTGAACGTGAGACGCAATACCCGCAGTTTCTACCTGCTAGAATTGCTTTTGCTTACTGCGTCAGTGAACTTTTTTGAAACAGTCGTTTAGTTCGCCTTGTTATCGCAATTACAAAGCGTTGATAAACGTGTCTAAAATAAGCAAATTTCGGTTATTTTCAAACGTTGAAACAGCTGTTCTGGTCGACTAGATTGGATATCAAAGTATTGTGTGATATAGTGGCGACCACAAAAGTCGAAAATTTCTCGAAAAAACTGGTGGATTTTTGCAACAATCTCAGTAAATTTCCTGTAACGAATTTTGGAACATTAACGTTTAGAGTCCAGTCTTCCTAAATTGGGCGCGTTCCAAACAAACAAAATGGCGGCCAACGAAGACGGAATGTCTGGGGATTCGTCTGTCTTTGGTGGGCCACAGCAACCGGTAAGTCAACATAAACCTATCGATGTATAAGTGAATATATTTTACGATGCTGTGTTGCTCTCGATTTGCCATCAGCAGTTTGTTTCACCTTGTTAGTTTGTTGAAAAATAATTTTTAAACGGCGCGTCACAATATTCTTTAGGTGCGCGTGCTACGGGTGGCTGTTTTGCAAGCATCTGACTTGGCGAAAAAGGACATATTTGGACTGAGGTGGGAATCACGAATGTCTGTTATGTTGTTATGTTTATAGCTGTTGTCAAGAATATATCCTGAATGTATTTTCATCCAATTCCCATGTCATCGCTCTCGAAAATGTCAATGTTCTGCCTAGATCTGTATACTGCTATAGCTGTTTAGCTCATCGCATTTCTTGAAATTCGTGATAGAAGGCTGTAGATTATATTTCTGTCATTCTGCATTTGCAATAATCGATTAGATAATGTGTTCTAGGAGGAAGAAGCGAAACATTGCAGAAATTCATTGCATTTTTTAAATAGCAGTTCCACCTCAGCTCTCTAATTTTCAGTGCCCCCCCACTGCTCAGCTCAGCTCTGAGGTTCTCTCTCTCACCCCCTCCTCCACTGCACACACACGTATGCTCCTAAAGTGCCTAGAATAGCAGTGATATCAGGAGACAGGGATATGAGATTATTGAGATATAAGGGGCAGCATTCATATTGCCGAATTGTTGCTAACACTTAAACCCACCCAAGTGTCAAGTTAGTGTCAAGTTTAACAGTCATATTTCAGCTACAAAATAACTACAGTTTATTACTTTGAATAATATCATTGTAGTTCAACTCAAATGCTGCATATTTTCTTTAAAAAGATCATCTTTGTGATATGAGTTACCCTCCAGCTGAATTAGGAACCCACTCTTAATTGTCAATTTGATGCTAATCCTAGAAATATGAATATAGATGTAACCTCTCTAACAGGATCAGTCTGGTTCATCTATAATAAGTACTATCGCAAATGAGAAATCCATTTTACAATCAAATTCCTCTGTTTTAATTTTGATTCCTAAATATATATCCCCCCTAATTTATTAATCCTAGAAAGACAAAATATATGAACTCAAAATGCCTTTTCTCTAAATGTAAGATGTGCTATTTCTTGCTGAATTTTTCAACCATTGTAAATTTTGGCTTAATTTTTTTATGTAGCGATCCATATTGCAGAATTGTTCAAAAGAACTTCGATGATACTGTAATTTATCATGTTAGAACTGATACAATAAAAAAGGTATATACAGTATTCTACACTTTGGTATCTGATGAATTTGGATCTGATATTTAATCTTCAGAGAATTGTGAAACAGAATGAACCCTTTCTATCTTAACCTAGTATTTAACATTTTATGCAAATTTCAGACTTTAAACCCAGAATGGAATGAAGTATTTGATCTGAGCGTAAGTTCGAATTTATTTCCATTTTGAAAAACAAAAAGTGCCTAAACTTCATTGCGGGAGGAGAATATTTTCATGGCTTTTTATATTTTTGCCTCTAGGTTGATCAAACCACCCACAAACTTTCATTTGAAGTTTTTGATGAGAATAGATTGGTAAATACTCTATTAATGTTCCACGATTATTGTGTCCACACATAGAGCCTGTTTCAGACAGTAAATGTTTTGTGCCAAGCTTAATATTTGAATAGGAGAGTTATTAATGAATTAGTTATTAGTTTAATATGGCCGTATTTGAGCAGCATAGCTAATCACATGATAATTTTTAGATTCTAAATGCAAATTCCTGTTGTTTTCTTTTCAGACCAGAGATGATTTTCTTGGACGAGTAGATATGCCACTAACTAACATCCCTGTATGTACTACACACCATATATGTCATACAAGTCTCTTTTCAAAGATGTTTGTTTTTCTCCTTCTGGGGCTAGTTGTATAAAAGACTAGTTTTAACTTTTAACTGTAGTTAAGGTCAGAATTGCCCAAACAGAGTCGTTTATTTCTAAGTTAACTAGGATTTGACTATGCAAAATGTAGTTAAAAGAGTTTTATACAATCATTCCCTGATGTATGTTTAGACAATGCAGGAAAACATGGATATTATACCCAAGGATTATAATCTGAACCGCAGAAGGTATGTGGCTGTAATATAATAGTTCCTGACTGATGTCATTCAGCACAAGATTTTGGCTTCAGTTTACTGTCAAATCATCACTTAATAAGCTAGTGTCAAATGTTAATATTTCAGCCTGCGGTCCAGAGTAAAAGGATCTCTGAAGCTACTTTTATATTTTATTCGCGATGGAAATGGTACGTGCTTGACCTAACGTGTTAGTTTAGAACAAAACACTGTTGTTTTCTATGGGCAAACCATTACAGATTATTGTAGAATTCTACCAGTGCACTAGACCACCACGTTTGAGATATGTTTCTCAGGTAGTTCAGGCACAAACCACGACAGCTTATTTTAGAATACTACCTACACTAGACCACCACGTTTGAGATAACTTTTGTTATTGAGTTATTTTTTACAACCTTAAATTCAGCACCGTCAGCTCCGCCGGAAGACGTCCAGGACGAAGTCTTCCATGAGAACAATGAGATCGCTGCCCGTCCCTCGCCGTTTGGTATCCGTCGTTCCCAGAGCTCAATGCGCCGCGTGACCGTCACGATGCCTGATGTCGAGGAGCCTTCAGCGCCCACTCAGCTTCCTGTTTTGCCTGCAGGCTGGGGTGAAAGACAGGTGAATTGAAACCTCTTATTTGCAGGCAGCAATGTCATTTTTTGTACCTCGAAATAATTTTGACAATCAATCAAATTTTCCTTTGTTACTACGGCAAAAAGAGTGGACATTTTGGAATAAAAGGCAAAAAGCTATAATCATTTTCTAATTTACCACCAGCAACTAAAATTCAAACTGTGTGAATCTTAAGCGATCAGAATGCAGGGAATTCAATATAGTTACCTGAGATTTGATGCAACCATGATTTACTCCGTAGGACGCCAATGGAAGAACGTACTATATCAACCACAGAACGAGAACAACGTCTTGGACTAGACCAACCGTGGCAGGCGATACAGAGTAAGTTTCATCTTTGCTTTAATCCGTTCAAAACTTCACATCAGGGGCCAGTTGTATATAAAAGTCTAGTTAACTTTTAACTGCAGTTAAGGACCGAATTTGGCCAATCAGAATCGCGTATGTCTGACTTAACTAGCATTTAACTATGAAAATTGTAGTTAAATAGTTTTATACAACCTTCCTCTGATTTATGCTTACTTGCGCTTTCAGACAAAACAATATTTCATCAACCATACTCATTCCTTCTGCTCCGAACTTTGAGCGACCACATATTGAAAGAAATCAGTATTCACTTCGACGGCATTTAAGTGTCGAAAACGATGTGGAAGACAACAGACATGCGCGTGAGGTGAGTGCTCGAAATACATTTAGATCCATCAAATGTTGATCTCAAGGCAATATCTTCGTGTTCAGTAAATCCAAATCTGAATCCAATTCTTTATTGATCTTAAACCAATCTCTAGTAAATAATAACAAACGTAATCTCTGATATTCAGGTAGCCGAGATCGACCCACTTCCACCTGGCTGGGCAGTGCAGTATACTAACACTGGAAGAGCTTTCTTTCTTGACCATAACACTCAGAGAACTACGTGGGTAAGAATGCATCCTTACCTCTTGCAACACCCACCCGACACAAATCCTCTCCAAACCACATGTATCCTGCTCTCACCGTATGCATCCTCCTCACACCACATGCATCTTCCTCACACCACATGCATCCTCCTCACACCACATGCATCCTCGTCACACCACATGCATCCTCGTCACACCACATGCATCTTCCTCACATGAACACACCACGTGCATCCTCCTCACACCACATGCATCCTCCTCACACCACATGCATCCTTTTCACACCACATGCATCCTCGTCACACCACATGCATCCTCCTCACACCACATGCATCCTCCTCACATGAACACACCACGTGCATCCTCTTCACAAAACATTCACCCTCTCAACACCATGTGCATCCTCCTCACACCATACTAATCCTTCCTACACCTCATCCATCCCCCATTACCTACCTCTGATCCTCGTCTGACGCTAGCGGTTGATTGTTTTGATATTTATAGACAGATCCTCGGCATACGTTAGACTCCCCATTAGGTCGTTCACCTGAGGCACCAGCCCCAACGATTTCAGAAACACAAGATCTTGGTCCCTTACCGGTAAGTGCAAGAAAAAAATGACATTATGATCGATCTCGCTGAACGACTGTGTACAGTATAATAGAAAGAATCAGTGACTAGGTAAATAAGAATGTATATCCCCTTTGAGAATGTGGCTATATTTATATATATGCAAACAAAAAACTTATATTTCTCTGTTGAATCTATTTAGGACGGCTGGGAAGAGCGAGTTAACCAAGACGGAAAGAAATTTTATATTGATCACAGTGAGCGCTTGATTTATAGAACTCGTAGCAAAACAAATAGGATTTTCTCCGAGTGGGCATATGATAATATGTGCACGTGCTTAATTGACATCTTGAAATTGATATTGATCTGGGAGGGTTCTAAGCTCTTGGGAGGTTTTTCTCCATTATTAACTCGTAGTCTGATCAAAAAAGGCTCGGTGAATATCACATATAGATCATATTGTTCGTAGATACCCGTTCAACGCAGTGGGAAGATCCCAGATTCACAAATAATCAAGAACCAACCAAGGTAACAAAATCAGAGCGGTTTTAACTGTGTACAAACTCTGCTCAAATCTTGATACCTTATTGCGAAATTTCGTATCTTCAGGCTGTGCCGTACTCGCGAAGTTATAAAAAGAAATACGATCTATTCCGATCACAACTTAAGAGACCGGTGAGTTTGGGATATGTTTGACTAACAATATCCTTACCTCTAGTTTGATTTTTTAAGAGTGAAACCCAACGTTATAGTTTCTCGTATTTCTTTTCTTTCCAAATACTGGACGTGGCTGGGCAAAAAGTTTATTTGTAAGCTGCATATATGTATAACTCTTATACGATATTTATCTGCCGAATTTTAAGAAAAATGTGCCAAACAAATATGACATCAATGTACGGAGAGAACATGTTCTGGAAGATTCATTCCGAGCTGTGACAAACGCTCCCAACCCTGACCACCTAAAAACCAGACCGTGGGTCATATTTGATGGTGAAGTTGGCCTGGATTACGGAGGAGTTCAGAGGTAGCTCACATGCACTTGAAATTTGTTTAACTTGAAGCTCTCTTGTGTGTATGTTTGTGAGAGAGACTCCTGTTTTTGGCAGGATCTATAATGGTCTATAATGAGAGATTGACAAAATGTATTACAGTATTAGGTATTGCTTGTGAAAACTGGACACTTCCTTAATTTATTTGGCTCGTTCTTCAACAGGGAGTGGTTTTACCTCCTTTCAAAGGAAGTCTTTAATCCATACTATGGCCTCTTCGAGTACTCCGCAAAGTAAGAAAGCATCAAAATTCCATGCAATGGTCATTTATGTATGAAATTTAGAGTGCAAGATCTATGTAATTCACATCTTCTAACCACAACTCCTCTCAATGCTGTGTTTCGTGCTAATATCTAGTGATACGTACACACTGCAAATCAATCCTAACTCGGGGATATGCAATGAAGAACATTTGAAGTACTTTAAGTTCATTGGTCGAGTTGCTGGCATGGCTGTTTATCATGGAAAGCTATTAGATGGTAGGTTTTTGGAGCATGCTGATCGTAACAGCACCGCCCAGGTCAATAAGGGATGGACCTCGCTTTAGAGCTCGTAGGGCAAACCATGCAGTAAAAATAAAGTTAGTTTAGTTGAATAAGAGATGAATATTGCTTGATCTCTAGGAGAAAACAAATTTAATAACGAGATCTGGTTGCAGTAAAAGTAAAGTTGTCTCTTTTATATATTTAAATTTCGCTTTTTCTATTCAAGCCTTCTTCATCAGACCGTTTTACAAAATGATGTTGGGCAAGAAGATTGACCTCATTGACATGGAGAGTGTGGTAAGTGGAAATAGTTGGCTGCGAATTTCGTGTAACGAAAAATTATCTTTAAATTGAATGTTGTATAATCCTCCTCCACTTACATTTTCGAATGTTTCCACCAGGATTCTGAATACTATAACAGCTTGCAGTGGATCTTAGACAACGACGCGGAGGTCCTGGATCTAACGTTTTCTGTTGACGAGGAAGTGTTGGGTCAGGTACGTCAGAACCCATGATTTATTTCTCCCTGTTTTTTTTTAGCAAACACTTACATCTATTTTTGTTTTAGGTTCAAGTTGTAGAACTCACGCCAGGAGGCGCTAATATCAAACTGACCAACACAAACAAATCTGATTACATACGGTGAGAGAGAGAGAGAGTCGTATAAATAGTGAGCTTAAGCAAGTGACGTTTTTGACTACACAAACGGCGTGAGTAACATAAAAAGACTGGGTCAAGGATTGTGATTGGTGAGAAACAAAAGCTTTACTTCCGGTTAACGTACGTGTTGTCAAAAACGTCACTAGCTTAAGCTCACTATTAGCGACGGAACTCGCGTAGCATAAATCGATATGTGCGCTGTTTCGTTTTAATCCTCTAAAATTAAACTAAAATTATGGTTTTGTAGTTTGATTATTGAGTGGAGGTTTGTGAATCGTGTTGAAAAACAAATGAAAAAGTTTATGGAGGTAGGCTCGGTGGTATTGAGAAAATTAAACGTATGGAAATGTTTCTGCCGAGATACTGAAGATGTTTTCTAATATTTAGGGCTTCAATGAGTTGGTACCACAGAATCAATTGAAGATGTTTGACGAGAGAGAACTGGAGGTGAGGATTATAATGGATTAATGTGGTTGCTTGAAAGGTGGATTTACTCCAAAGGGATACCGAGGTTAGCTTGGTGTTATTAAGTAGGGGCGTGTGTGGATGACAGGTGAGGTGAGGTACTCCGAGGGACCATCTGTGCAGAGTGAGAGTGCAACTTTTTGTTATGTTTATATTCCTTAGCTTCTGATGTGTGGTGTTGCTGTTGTGGATATTGATGATTGGAGAAAGAATACGATGTACCGAGGGGAATATCATGATCAACATTCGATTATACAATGGTTTTGGAAGGTTGGTATAAAATATATACTCACTCGTATCCTAGACCAAGTTTTGTCGCCTAAACTATGGCGGTGTAATGGCTTCCCTTGTATCTTCCACATCAGGCAGTACAGTCGTTCAACATGGAAGATCGCGCGTGTTTACTTCAATTCGTCACTGGGACATCTCGTGTTCCAATGAATGGTTTTGCCGAGTTGTATGGTAGTAATGGACCGCAGAAATTCACCATTGAACCTTGGGGAAAGGCTCATTCGTTGCCAAGAGCGCATACATGGTATGTTGCCTTTTGAAATACGCATGATTATATAGTCCTGGTGTCCTGGTAGCAATTAACCCCACGCTGTTTTTCCCCACTTTACCCTACTCTATCCCAATCTAACCCACTCTATCCTACACTGCCCCACCCTACCCTACTCTATCCCAATCTACCGTACTCTATCCCATACAACCCTACATTGTCCCACTCTATCCTGCATTGCTACACTCTACCCTACTCTACTGCTATATAAACTGTCAGGTTTTGAACGTATCGTGTTCCATATCTAACTGTCAATCCTGTACTTGTAGTTTCAATCGTCTAGACCTGCCCAAATTCAGCAGTTACCATGAACTTAAAGAAAAGCTAAAGCTAGCGATCTACAACACAGAAGGATTTGACGGCGTAGATTAATGAAACTTGCGAAGCTATACGATAATAGAATTAATACAGTCGACGAACCCGAGGTTGGGCATATCTAGGTTGCAATATTTTGCACAGAATTTGAAGAATGAATTGAATTAGTGTCCGACTATAAAATTTTGTTGTATCATCTACTTCCGAAGTCGAACAAATACGAACAGGCTTTTACATAGACATAGTAATTTCTATTATCCAAACTTAATCCAGTTTGATACAGACAGAATATGTAGCCGCTGAAAACTACCCACTCTCATGAACCTGAGCTCAATGTATCACTGGAGTACTATTTGAAAACCTTATATTTAGGCGTTCACCAAGGAATTTTTATTGTCCAGAATGACTCGTATTACGTATTTAGTTCAGTGATCTTATCTTCAACTGACGGAATTAGAAGCAAAAAGGAGAATTATAGTAATTTATAGTTAGATGATTTCTTTATTAATACTAACAAAGTAAATGTATAAAACATTTTATAAAGATTATATTATACAGCTTGTTATTAACAATTGTTAGTAATGCTCTACTTTAAGCAGGTAAATATTATTGTAGAAATTCAGTTTTTCCAATCGTACTAATTTGGCAATTGAGGTAAACTATTTAACGAGAGTGAACTATTAGATTATAACAAACATTCCTATTTCTTTGTTGTTTTTTAAATGCAATCATCACGTTTCTATGGTAGAGACAATCGTTGTCACTGATGAATCACTTCACAGGCCTGTCGACCACCACAAATTAATCATTAGAGGTCGTTTTCAATATGGATAGAGATGGCTCATGTTCCTCTGGTCTCTCGAAGGCTCTTGTAAGGCATCATTTCCAGACCATGAATGCTCGCAATTCCTATAAACGCTCTGGAAAAATAGCAGTATTTCATATTTAGAATTGAATTGGTATGCTAGGATTTTGTTTTGGAAAGATGGATTATTTCTGAACTGTCGACTTTAACGAGATTGCCTTCACAGAAAAAAGGGAGTGATACCTAGAGAAGTACAGTTGAATGCAAGAAAAAAGTGAATGGGCCCTGGCTTTATAATGACCAAGAGATATCGTGATGTTGTCATGGACGGACAATCATTTTACCGTTGCAATTCCTTGGATTCCATCAAGGACTGGCTCACGATGCTGGTTTCCAAAGCGGGAAGCAGTCATCCATGGTTTGCTGGCCTGAAGTGTTGTATCGTTTACAGAGTACAACGATGGTGATGATGAATATTGTTCGATGTATGGTGTTGTTGGCACGCGTTGAATGTCGGCGTCTGTTTGAGCGTGACCCTCATTCTTTACGGCATTTTGACTGTCTGGAATATCCCTGGTTTTAAGGAAAGTATGTGAAAATATGAAATTAAGCTTATAAGATTGTCTGAATCTTCAATGGCTAAATATTATGTTTTATTTTTAACAGATCCGTGCAGTTATCGAAACCAAAGTCCTAAAATCGCAGAGACTTGGCCAGGTAAAATAAACTCGTAGTCTAGAGTGAACGGGGTAGTTTATTTACCAGTTAAATTCCACATGTTTTCTTCGTATTTGCTCAAAATGCTGTTCAACCGCAACCACAGAATTTGTTTTGTTTCTCGACTGCTTTTTCGATCGTTTTCTTTGTGGCAACGGTTGTTCATTCTGTGTTGTGAAAAGGGTTTCAAACACACTCGCACCAATGGCGTCAGACTTCCGAAGTACACACCCAGTGACCTTAAAAAAGGCGATGGTAACAGAAATATTGCGGGGAAAAAATCGATAAAAATCAGTTTTTTGACAATGAAAATATAAATACCATGGTTGGGTTGATAAGGCTTTGGTTTTCCTTATTTGATGTGGAGTAAGGATCATCAGTTTGCGAAGCACTAAAATGAAAAATAACCACAGATAAAAAACCTGTCTTAAAAATATAAAACACAGTCGTTTTCATCATTTCATCTTCAATACCTTTGCCGGGAAGCATGACCAATAAATTCAAATGGAAAATATGTTTTTGGCTTCTGTGCAACATCGTCCGCATTCCAAAGTCTGTTTTCCTCGTAGTTCAACTTCCTTTTTACAGTTTTTGATTGTCTATTGCAAAGAAAATTCACTCTTTACATAAAGATAATATTTGGCATAACTTGCAACTAAAACTCTTACCTTGCGTAAGGTATGGCTGACAAAAAATCGGCGTTAACTATGATATTTTCAGGCGTTTCAGCTGTCTTGTAATCTGAGGATGGTAGGAATCTTGTTACTTGGTTTTTCTCATCAGGAAAAAAAACATTTTCATCAATTTGGCTGTAACCTTTAGTTGGAGTACTCTGTGGCACTAGAAACTGATTTTTCATGTGCATTTTACTTGGTGTTGTAAAAGGCCGCCATCCTGTCATTTCCGAGTCGAGTAAACGTTCATCCGTTTGGTCTGGAATAGCAAATTCGGTTGAATATACTTGATTTTGATCCATTTAAAAGTTTATACACTTCCGAAAAAGTTTATTTTTTAAAAAAGTGCTTTTGTTTTTTGTCTTTTAAATTTTCCCGCCTTTAAATATACGTGGAATCCTCGCGTGTGTCGCGCGTGAAACGAGGAACCGTCCACTTTTTTCCCAACTGAAAGAGAAACACAAAATGGCTGCAACACGAGACCAAAATGGGTAAGAAAAATGGATTAATATTTCTCCTTTATTTAGCATAAACCGTCCATTTTTATGTATTTTCATGTACTCTGGATGCTCGATTCTTGATATAAACTATAATTTATAGTCTTACTCGTTTCGATGGCTCAAGATCACCACTTAAAGTTTGTGTATTTTATTTCTGTTTCAGTCGAAAGCGAGCCAGTAAATGGGACACTCCAGCTCCCAATACGGGATCGGCAACTGAAGCAGCACGTGAAGCTGCACGAAAACTAAATGCAATGCTTGCTGCCAAAGGAAAATTAACGACGAATTCAACACCACCATTACTGGTATACAGCATTTTGACCATAGCCATGCTCTGTACTGTAGAATCTTGTAATTTGACCTAAAACCATCTGTCATTGCTAAGCACATGGATAGGGTGACAGATGTTTTAGAGCAAATTAAGATTTTTATCCATTTCCAGCCAAATATGCCCTGGTTATGACCACCACAGGGGACGGACTTACAAGTTTGGATTTGTGTGGTCAAACTATAAACTAGCACAATCCCCTTCATCTAGAAACTAAACATTTCCTAAAACTAAGCATCTCATACTTTTCTTCCACTGCTTTTACTTAGCCTCCAAAACCTAAGTCTACTGCTGGAACAACTGGTAGTTCTACTTCCGCATCTTCTCTCTTCACTGAAGAAATTGAAATAAATGACTCGCCTAAAAGGTACTAATTAATTTTACCCTACAAGGACCTAAACTGTGCTAAACATGGCTTTATTTTAAACTTGTTAAATTGAAATGATTACTTGTGTATTTAAATATTATGTTTTCTAAAACTCCAGGCTTCTTTTGTGTCAAAGCAATGTCCAGTTTGAGGTACAGTATTGCTATTTGTCATACAAAATCTTTGGCACATTATTGATAGACAACTGTATGTTTAAACAGAACTCTGTCTTTTACAGATAAACAAGTATTCAGGAGCTGCAATCATGATAAAAGGCCAGTACATTGCTCCATCAGAGAAAGGAAATATGACCAGGTATAAATTTACCAGCTATGTACTGTATATACAAAAATATTACTGTTTTCTTGATAATTAAAAAGTTTGCATTATATATAATACGTTTTCATGTAAAATTTTTAGCCAAAAGCCATTGTATTTGTTGATTCAATCACCTTTTAAAGATAAAGTGAATTGTAAGTGAAAATCTGATCAAGTTGTGTTAATTTTGAATGCATAGAGAGAAAAGGTAATAAAAGTAAGCATATTGCCCCATCTAATATTTGAATTACAATTTTAGTGGCAGTACAACGAATCAAGGGCATCATGAATGGCGAAGATCCTTTTACACCTCCTCCTTTCCCTCCACAAATGCCCCAATCTGGCCAAACATCAACCTTGCCTTCAGGGGTAATAAATATCTTAACAAACTCTTTTTTCAACCTCTTTGTTGTGATCAAGCTCTGATCAATCAGATGTGACATTATGCTAACATTTTGAGTAAATTTTTATTTTTTAGATGTATTACATTCAAGAGAAAGTGTTTATTGGTCTTGATAATGTTCAACCTGAATTTAATTTAAGAGAGAAGATTGTTGGACCAGGGGTGAGTGAATTTTTTATTTTACGTGAAATTTGTGTGAGATTATCCTCAATGGTGTATTTGTAATTGTATGTGTAATATTACTGTAATTTCAATATAAAATAACACAGGTTATTATTTCACTTTTAAGGAAAGTTATTTCCAACATATTACAAAAGAAACTGGTGCAAAGGTATGGTAGAAAGTACCATCATCATACCCAGGTCATAAGAGATACTGATTGCTCTGCTATGTAGGTTTGCCTGAGAGGAAGGGGTTCAGGTTTCATGGAACCTACATCAGGACGAGAAGCATTTGAAGCGCTATATGTTTACATAAGGTACCTGAGTTTTCAAAATAATATCTTTTAAGGTAGTTAATAAAGTCATTTGAACAAAATTTTAACAACTTTTTAATGTTTTTTTCAGTCATACTAATTATGCTGGTCTGGGATCAGCTAAGAAGCTAGTTGAAAATCTTATACAAACAGTAAGTATTGTTGCAAGCTTTATTTGGTTATTTATGTTTTATTTACTATAGTTATGTTTTAATCATTTTCAGGTGCATACTGCTTACCAGCAGTTTCTGATGCAGCAGACGTCAAACTCATATTATCCAAATTATGCAGGTATTGTGGAAATAATTCTTAACTACAGCATAATGGTGTCTAACTCTGGTTTTTATACATCATAATTCATAAGAAATCACCCAAGTGGCATGTTAAAAATGTCGGCAATATTTTCGCCTGGGTGACCACAGAAATTTGTGAATAAGCTAGGTATGACATGTGGATATCTGGCCAGGGATGAGTATGACCTACTGTGGTAATGTACACTGAATGATATTTACACTTATGCACCTGGTTAACATTGAAATGTTGGAGGGTTAAGAAAGTGGAACATGGAAAGCTAGCATCTCTGCTGATATTGCCCTCCTAGAACAACAAACGGCAGTAGTTCAAGTCAAAATATAGAAAGTTCAGTTCTGACTTACTACAACTGCTGACATAATGTACTGCATCTACACAAAAATTTATCATAACAAATTTTAATTCGAATTTAAAGAATGCTACCACCACCTTTTTTCTTTATTATAGGTTACCCAAGTCAAAATACTGGTCCACCTCAAAATCCCCCTCCTGTTGTATACAATATGGTAAGGAGAGAATCTATACCAATACATGATGATTTTAACCAATTGAATGCATGGAATGATTTTTTGACCAATCAAATGCATTTCAAATATTTAACTGACCAATAAGACCGATGCAAAGCTATCAAGCCTGACTTAGATGTTTCTCATTGTTCAGCCACCTGTGTCAGGGTATGGCCCCCCTCCAGGTTCAGGTGGACCACAACCACCGAGTTCCTACCCCTCGTATCAATACCTGCCTCCTAACAGACCTCCCCCCCACTACAATCAACAGTCACAGGTGAATATTCATATAGCTACCAATGATTTAGCATCGATTTAATGTAAAAAAATCTGACTCTGATTGTACTATACAAATACATCGCCAATTCAATTGTTGTTTTGTCCTATTTAGCCTGTTGCGAACCCTAATATCCCTCACGGCCCCCCAATGCACTCACATTCAATGTACCCTAACCCGGGCTTACGTCACGAGGGTAAGTGTAACGGCTCATGAACAATTTCAACGATGTCTCATTTTCTAACTTCAGTTAAAGCAATTAAAAATATACGTTGTCGTTCGTTGACCTTCAGAGATTTACCATTTCCATCATTCTCATAGGTCCCAGACCTCTGATGGATCAACACCCCACCTACGGGGAGCCTCGACCCTCCCCAGAAAACGCGTCGACACTTTACACCCCTGATTCTCCAACACAACCGTGTCCATCGCCCACACAATCAAGATTCAGTTCTGACGACAGGCTGTCCGTATCAGACTCTAGTGACAGGTAACTAACGATTAGCAATGCCCCATTTATTACTAAGTTTCCACCTTGCATCAATTTAACATTTGACATAAGAAATCCATATTTATTATATATATTATAATTATTATAGATTTAATGTATTTAATATTTAATTTCATTTATTTTTTTTTATTTTTGAATTCAATTTTTGTTTATTTAATCATTAATTCACCATGCAGAATTTCAAGAAATTTATTTTGAAACTATTCTGTTTTGCATACCATTCTCTCTCTTCCATACCATTCTCACTTTTCCAGTGATATCGATGTAAAATCAAAGAGAACAGACGAAACACCTTCAGAACAATCCAAACCAGCCAAACGACGCTTCACTGAGGTATTAAAATCGTTGAAAATACTCGAGTCTACTCCGAGCTCCCTCAAGAAACCAAACTTCATACTAACCTTGTTTTGTTTTGCTCCCTTTTTGTGGCTTTTTCTCGTTCCTTATCACAGGCACCATCAACGAAAACCACGCCAGAAACCGCTCCAGAATCACTCCTTTTAGATCAGGTTATTATTCGTAATATATGTACATGTAATCATGCATTATCATTGCATTATTTTGTTGACAAATTATCGCGCAAATTAAGGCCGCTTATCTTCATTTACATCCCCCCCTTCAGCTCATCTTTGACCGAGCACACGCTCATTTTGAAACGGAGCTTAAGAAATGTGTAGACCAGAGTTTTTTTGAGATCAATTTACAGCCAAGAACATGCTCTACATATTTTAAAGCAGTGACACAGGCCAACACTAAGTCACACATGGCAATGTCTTGTTCATATACATAGTCTATTTTTGCTTTTACGAGATCTCGTACTGAATACATCTTTTATTTTATTTAACGCCCGGCAGAGATCTGTATCTAGTTTAGATCAACAATCAACTGAATCCCATACACCAGGTGACGACACGAGGGGCGACCTTATGGCGCCTCCTGTTCTCCCTCCTCCTAAATTGAAAACGAGCAATGAAAATATAAAAAAAGACACCGCTGGCTCGACGGACAGCTTTAAGATGCCGCTTATGCCACTTTCGAAAGTTTTATCGGGTAATATATGTTAGTTGTAGTAGCTAGATCTACAGTATACCAAGGTTATATTATACAGTTATGTGATTTCATATGAATATACTTCAATGTATTTGTATTGTTTTTTTTTTATTTTACTCAACTGGACAAGCCTGCTATTTCAGAAATGATAGAATAGATGAATCACTGGGCCTGAATGATTAGGCAAGATATATTGTGACACTAGTTAGTTGTTTTCTCCGACCTGAGCGTGTGTTTTCATATTTTTTCATCCACTATTGATTATCATTCAATTATATGATTCACCAATGTTGTAGAAAAAGAACCTCTATTAATTTAATTCTCAACTTATTCCCCTAGGACACAATGTTTTGTTACAGATCCCTGTATGCAAAACCCGTAGTATTAACTATTAACCTTTAGATCCCTATAAATACAAAACCCGTAGTATTAACTATTAACCGTTAGATCCCTATAAATACAAAGCCCATAGTATTAACTATTAACCGTCAAATTCCAGGTACAAGAAAGAGCCAGTCTGGTGGTCCACCTTTTAGTTTATCAAAACCACCTGAAAAGAAACGAAAACTTGAGGAAGCTGGTGAAGAGAAGAAGTCCACTGGTATTGCTCTCTTGGGATCCTATGATGACGATAACTCTTCAGACGAAGATTAATGTAGATAATATGGATATTTTACGTAGATGTAACAGAAAGGGCCTTTACCCCTCCCTCTCCCCCGCCCGCCACCCACCCCCTTCTTGTGCCCCTCCACTCCGTATAAGATAATCATTTAACGAATGACTAATATGTCAACCCTACGCGGTGTTTTTTCATCCTAATCAATTCACAAATCAGCGCTGAAACGCCTAGTTGCAGTTTAGTCCCAAGTGCAGCCCTAAGTTCTTCCTGCTAATGATTCGTGCTAAAAACAGAGTTGCCATTGACTTCGCATTAGCCCGTGATTAGCCACAGCAGCACTAATCATATTCCCGTCCATGTTCGCCATTTTAAAATCTCAAGGTTGGAAAAAGCTTGCAAATCCTACAGAACATCTATCGGTAATGGATGTCCTGTAGGATCTATTGTTTGTAATAACGGAGGTTTTAGTCGCCCACGGACAATGGAGTTCAATTATCTCAACAGCCTCTCTGTTGCGCAAAAGCATTATCACTAGGATTCGATACTAAATTAGTTTCGCCGTCTTGGTACAAAAGTTGACCACAAGTTGGCCAAGTAGCTTAGACGGACGTAAAAAATGTACGTTCCCCGCTGATGTTGTATTGGCTCTACGTATAAGGGGAGTTAGATTTTATAATACTCGATGATTAGAATGTAGTATTTAATTCTTTCGCTCAGGTTTCGTCTATGGTGGACGAAGTTCATTTGTTGAAGATTTTATCTGTCCGGTATTATTTGTGATGATAAACCTCGATAAAAAAAATGAAAGTGAAACACGTTTTTGCACAACTTGTTTAATGGATGCTTATATACGAATCGACACACCTTTATGTAAAGTTAAAATATACTTTAAGGTCTTTATCGGAATTTAAATGTCCCAGTGCTTTTGGATAGGCAAGGCGAGGGAATTATTTGAATTTTATAAATTCGGTGCAAAGTCGAAGCGTTATTATCATTATCTAAATTGCATTGGTAAACTACTTTTAAAAATTAGGTGTCTTTCATTACAATTTGTATGTCTATAAATATTTGCAAAATTGTTATTAATATTACTTCCTTTAACAAAAGTTCACATACTATTACTGACACATTGAGAACGTCATAGTTCAAAATCAGTTAATCATAGTAATTTAGTAATTTCACCATGATTTTATTTGCTATAGAACAGTCGTGCCCCAATGATGACTGAAGATGGACCAAACTTCTTGTATTCGCTAACACAATCTCCCCACTTTGACTGCAAAAAACCCAGTATTCATTTGCTCCAGCTCTGTGACTACAGTTGTCATCAATTATAAAGCTATCCAAGAAACGAGTATTCAGATGTTTACCAGTTTTGGAAAAATGTTCCAGATATATTTTGTCTCCATAATTCCCTCCACTGCAAACAGTGTAATTTCTCGTCGCGTGGTCAAACATTACGCAGTGAATCCTATAGTGTGATATGGGACTTAACGTAAATGTGCGTTTTAATTTGCCTTCTTGTGTGTACGCATACAGCTTGAGACTTTTGTCTGTGCTTTTTGTTGCGAGTAATATTTCCTGATCATTTGATTCATCAGAAGAGGCTAAAAGGCCCCATACTTTTTCCTTTGTAGATTTCTGAATGGCAAATTCTTTCTCGAGCACTCCATCGGTGTTATATAAATGCACCATGCCATATTCTGAGTATTCCAAATAAATGACAATTTTGTTGTCTTTGGTAACAGTAAAGGTGTAAGCTGAAAACCATTCTTGGACAATATCAATCTTTAGGCATTGGTAATAAAGGTTTTCGTCTGAACTGTAAATGGATAGTGATAATTTTGCTGTCGACATCGATAATGCGCGTGTGGGTCTTGCGCGTGTGGGTCTTGCGCGTGTGGGTCTTGCGCGTGTGGGTCTTGCGCGTGTGGGTCTTGCGCGTGTGGGTCTTGCGCGTGTGGGTAAACAACAGGGCAGAAATTCAAGACAGTCGCCCAGGTTTCTCGAGTTGTCCGACTCTTTTTTAACTGGTACGTACGTTAGAACGAAGACTTTATCACCATTGATAACTAAGGCATGCTTCCGAAGTGTGATAGTAACACCCTCTTTGTCAGTAACACTCTTTTTGTCATCGGGATAAATCAATTCCCACTCCTTTGTATCTCTATTGAGCCTCACTGGATGGACAAAAAATTTATTAATAGATATAATGTCTCCCTGGCTTCTTATTCCAAAATCTTGTATTGAGTAACTTATCTCATCAGATTCAAAATTAAATCTTTCAACGTTCCAGGGTGGTGTTATTTTCATGTCTTCTAAATTTTCAATGTTCTCCGGCTTGTAATGAATTAGATGGAATGTTTGCTTACCGCATTCCATCAGCGGCCAATCGAAAACAGCCATTCTTCGCTTTGTGAACTTCGAAATAAACTCAGCCAAGAGCAAGTTGGTGTTTATTAAGGTTTTAACGTTTTCCGGTCGCGACTGTCTCTTGCGAAAAGATTTAATTCTGGACATTATTCCAATTCGAGCGTGCACCGAAAACATTTCCTGAATTTCCGGCAGGTTATGTAATGCTTTTAGATATTGCAAACAGTCACTTTCGGCGACTTCTGGGTAGTCCAAAAGTGATAATATACCGCTTGCGATGCGTATTCTCGCTGCGAGGATTCGTTCATTTAGGATTAGAGCATTGTTATGGAACGCGTCTGTTGCTTTATCGCCTGCTTTCTCGAATGACTTTTTGGCCAACTCAAACCTCTCCTTAGATTTACATGCCATCTGTAGTTTACGAACATCCTCGGCGAGTGCGACTGCGTCAAAAAGCACTGGCGGTTGAGTTGGATTCGTCTCGCTTGAACTTGCACCGACGTTTATCTTCTCTGACTCGTTTTCGTTCATAGGTGATTCAGATGAGGATGTGTTTCCATTCACTAAAGGCTCGCTGAAACACCCTTTCAGACGATTTATGCCTTGTCTTAGCAAATCAGTACTCGCATTAAGATGAAAGTGAGACAAACCATCAAGCTTAAACTGGACTTCGTCAATATCGCGAACAACATAACCTTTCTCTCGGAGTTTTTTACCTGCAAGGCAGCAGGCATAATCGACTGATAAATCGAAGACAAAACTGAGACCAAACTTCAATGCTACATATCCGACTATCTCAGCCATCGCCGTCTATATGCTGGAAGACGTTTAATGACGAATTCTGTATATACTTATACGCAATTGTTGTGAAGCAATCACAAGATCAGCGTGTGGTCTCAAGACTAAACCTAGATTCTAAGGTTACGCCGAGTATTCTATTTCATGCAGCTAAGTTTCGAGCTATAATCTTTGGAAAAGTACCGTTGTTGACTGGGATCTATCGATCTCTCAAACAAATTTGACTGAAATATTAGTTTCTGTTTCGTCGGAACCAAGACGACCGGTTAGCAAGTAATCTCAGACATTAAACCAAAGAAGTCTCGCAAATCGCATTATAAATTATATAATAACAATTCGATCTAAATAGAGCAAATTAATACAAAGAAATATTAAAGTAAACATGCATATAAGCCTATAAATGTTCGCACGTGTGGCGTATAAATTACCCATACAATGCATAAATTCTGCGTAAACAAACTAGAATATAAAGTCAATGTCTTACTTCTGTGGCGAGATCCTTTAGCTGTCTATTTCATCGTTTATCGTTCAGGTTAGCCCGTCTTTCTTTCATTTACTTATTTAACAAAACATGCGTTATATTTACACCTTTTCCGTCTCGCTGTGCGTCTATATGCTAATGCTATGATTGCTATTTGATACCTAATATTGTCATCATAGTTTCAAAGTTCAATTATAATGAGTTCCATTCGTGTCTACGCACGTGTATATAAACTGTCAATCCACTCTCCCCCCCGATGAGGACTCTTCCTCATCACTTAATGTTACTAATTGTGAGTTACTTATCTTCATATCCTTCTGCAGGGTACAGTACTGCGACTTTTGTAATAGGTCTTTCGTAGTGCGATGTGGATGTCTTCACCTTAACGTTACGAATTCGTCCGTCATTTCCAGGATATACATTAACAATTCTGCCCGTAGTCCAGTTTCCACGAATCGCATTCGTATCTTGAACCACGACGATGTCATCCACTCGTACATTTCTTTTTTCAGTAGTCCATTTCTTTCTGGGAACTAAGGTGGGAAATACATCTCTGCTCCAACGCTTCCAAAAACTATCGATGATCTTCTGGACAAATTCAACACGATGTTGAGGATTCTTCGTTTCTCTGAATGGCCCTTGTGGTACCATTGTTGATGCTCGACCAAGTAAAATGTCGTTTGGACAAAGGAAAGAACCGTCATCTGGATCATTGGGGATCCTTCCAATAGGACGCTGATTAATCAGGTTACTAACTTCCAGCAAGCATGTGTACAGCTCGAACGGAGCCAAAATTTGTTCACCAATCGCGATCTTTAATGCTTTCTTCGAACTCTTGACAAGAGCCTCAGCACAACCGTTATGATGTGGTGCTGCAGGAGTAATAAATCTCCACTCCATTCCTTTCTCGGCGCTGAATTCCTTCAACTCTTTCTCGTTCCATCCTTCTATCATTTCTCGGAGTTCACGTTGAGCTCCCACCAGCTGCGTCCCGTTGTCACTGATCATCAGAGCCGGTTGTCCACGGATTGCGAAAAATCGACGTAAGGTTTGCAAGTTTCCATAGCGGAATAGTCCACTGCGATTTCCAGGTGTACGGCACGAGTATTCAGACATGTAAACAGTACGCCATAGTGTTTGGTTGTTTTGTTTCGGCCAATTTTAACTTGGTAAGGACCGAAGTAATCGCATGCCGTGCGATGAAAGGGTGGTGTGAATGGCTCCAGTCGGGTAATTGGTAGGTCTGACATGAACTGCTCCTCGGTTTTTGGCTTGGATTCGGCGACAACATACGCATCGGAACTTTATTGACTTGGCAAGATCATGACATCGGATAATCCAAAACTTTTTCTTGATCTTTGCAACGGTTGTTGCAACTCCTGAGTGGCCGTTTCGATGGAAGTTACGAGTGATCAGCAGGGATATCCAGTGTTCACGTGGGAGTAAAACTGGATGTTTGGCATCGTACGAGATTACGGCTTCGCTTACTCGACCTCCGACTCTGATAACTCCGTTGTCATCGGTAAACGGGGTGAGTCCTTTCAGTTCTCCCTTTTTCAGGCGATCATGAAGTGACTTCTGACTTTGTTTGACCCAATACAACTCGGCATCTTCTAACTCCTTTGCTGAGATTGATCTATCATCTGAGGTGTCTTTCGGTCGGGTCGTTTCTGTGTTGTCTTTGTTTTGATGCTTGTTTCGTAGCGTGTTGATGAACCGTAACACATAGGCTGTGACTCGGATAAGTTTCCCCCAACTGGAAAACTTCTTGCACGGAATGACTTCTGGCGATTGGGTTACTTGAAAGACAGGTTGAACTTTTCGACGTTCAGACTGATCGATATCCACGCTTTTAGTGATGGTAGCAGAAGACGACTCGCTCGGCCATTCTTCCTCCGGTAACTTCAGAAACTCGGGGCCATACTTCCATCTGCCTGTCAGTTGCAGAGCAGGTATTCCTCGCGACACATCATCAGCGACATTTAGCTCTCCAGGAACGTGTCTCCACTGATCTGGTTCAGACTTGCTCTGGATTTCGGCAATTCGGGCTGAAACGAACGGCTTAAACTCTCTGGGTTGGTTACGGATCCATGAAAGAACAATGTGGCTGTCAGAGAAGAAAATTATCTTCACAAACTTCATTCGAGACTCTTCGAGAATAGAACAACATAATCGTGTCGCCAGGACAGCTGCTTGTAGCTCTAAACGAGGTATGGTCAGCGACTTCAGTGGGGCTACTCTTGACTTTGCTGCGATGAACCTGGTTACAAAGGTGTTGTTTTCTGTCTCCCATCTGATGTAAGCACATGCTCCGAAGGCTTCAATCGATGCGTCCGAGAAAATGCATAGTACTGGCGCTCCGATCACGGAATCTGGCGTAAGAGACCTTTCGAAGGTGACGTTGTTCAGGTCGTTCATCTCTTGGAAGAATCGTATCCACGTTATTTGGAGATTCGGCGGCAATTCATCATCCCATTGTAGTCCTTCTAACCACAGTTTTTGCATCTCTATTTTGGCGCGAATCAGGAAAGCTGCAGCTACTCCTAGAGGATCGTAGATCCGAGCTACTTGGCTTAGTATTGCTCTCTTCGTAAGTTTAACTAGTTCAGGAGGAATCACTTTGAACCCAAAAACGTCGTCGTGGTGGTTCCAGACAGTTCCCAAAACTTTCTCTTCAACTGGGCCTTGTAGGAGCTTTAATTCCAATTCACTTTTTTCAATAACGCTTTCATCATTCTTCTTTAATGACCGGTTTGAGAGCCAACACTTCACGTTAAAACCACCGTTGCGAAGGATTTCGTCAATCTCTGCTGTTATTTTTCTTGCTTGATTTTCAGAATGGACCGAATCGCATATGTCGTCCATGTAAGTATTCTTCTTTAAGACTTCAGCAGCTGCAGGGTAGCGTTTTTCTCCTTCTTCAGCAGTCTTTTGCAGCGCGGTCTGTGCCATGGCTGGGGCTGGTTTGTCACCAAATGTCAAGACTGTTTTGACATAAACATCAGGTTCTCGATCCGTATCCATGTTTCTCCACAGGTATCGGTGAACATGTTGATCTCTTTCCGGGATTAGGATTCTGTGATACATCTTGGATATATCCGCGTTGATAGCCACTTCATTTTCTCGAAATCGTAGGAGAACTCCAAACAGATTATTTAGTAAATCGGGTCCTTTCATCCAGTAATCATTTAAGCGGTGCCCTTTATACGATGCTGAGGAATTGAAAACAATTCGGATGGGGGTGCTCTTCTTCTCGGGTCTGACTACCTCATGGTGGGATATGTAGTGGGTTGGTCCCTTGTATGACTTTAATTCTTCACTTGATAATTTTCGAGAGAAGTTCATTTCACTCATTTCCCTCATCTGCTTGTCATACGCTTCTGCATGATCTGGGTTCTTGGCTAATCGACGCTCGGTTGTTTCCAATTTCTTCTCCGCTTGGCTTCTGTTATCCGGTAATTCAGATGCATCTTTGACCCAGGGGTATGAAACTAACCATTTATTACCAATCTTTTTGCAGGATTGTTCTATAATCTTGGCTTCGTAGGCTTCAACTGGACTTAACTTCTTGCTTTCACAAGAACACATATTCCCTTCCACGCCCATTGATTCGGTGGTCCAAAAGTCGGTCATATCGATGGGATTTGAACACTTGACATGGTAGACTTGACTGACGTCACACTTTTCAGACGTGGCTCCAAAGACAACCCATCCCAATGGCGAATATCTTGCAACAAGATTACCAGCTTCTTTTGTCTCACCAGTGTGCAACTTCGGTTGATCAATTCCCAACAGGACATCTATTGGACCATTCTCTCTTCGTAATTTCTCTCTTTCAAGGTTGAAAGCTTCAGCTATGCCATCAAGTTTCATTCCGGAAATATCACCACTGATACTTGGGATTCCCACAGCTGCAATTGTGTGGATGGACTGGTTCTCGAGGGATCGAATTTGGAATCGATACATCTTTGTTGACATCTCATTTTCTTCTCCTCCAACTTTCGCCATTGTTACTGTGACACTCTTGCCTTTGAGACCCAGCTCCTCAGCGACTGATGTCCGTATTAAACTGATTTGAGCACCAGTGTCTAGTAACATATTAGCCTGTTTCTTGACCTTCTGTGGTCCCAGGATTTCTGCCTGAATAGTCGGTAACATAGTCTCTCCGCTAGTAGTAACAGATGACACAGCAGATATGTTTAAAATATGCAATAGTGGATGATGGTAATGCTTGCACTGAACTCCGCTGATGGTCTCGCTGCACTGGCGCCTTCGAGAGCAGGTTGACATGTTGTGACCACGACCAGCTCGCTTCAGGCAGCTATAACAGGCATGGTTCTCCTTCACAACTTTCAGGCGGTCGCTAGCACTCTGGGCAAGGAACTTTTGGCATTGGTCGGTCCAATGTTCAGACGTTTTGCAGAACCAGCACTTATGGTTTGTTGGCTTCCCATCTTCTTTTCCAGTAACATGTCCAACATGCTTGGGTGACTGCCATGAGCTTCTTAATGGTGCCGTTGCTCTCATTCTCGACTTCATCTCACTTGTCATCCAGGAAATTAACGACTCCAATGTGGCTTGACTCTTTGAACTCTCCAAATAGCGTGACCAGACTTTGCGATCGTCGGTAAACATTTTCTGTTCAATGATAGCCAGCATGTGGTTGTTATCCATGTCATTCTCCCGTCCTACTTCTCTAAGGGTGTTGAAACTCCGCTTTATTAAATGGACCAAGTCGCAAAACCGGGCATCTTCTCCGTCCTTTATTGGCTTAAACTTGGAGATATCGTGAGTGATGATGTCAGCAACAAATCGTGGATCTCCATACACGGAATCGAGATATTCCCATGCGGCATCATAGTCTTGACCAATTCCCTTGATCATTTCCAGCGGTTTTCCTTGGAGACTAGACCTCAGAATGGTTATTGCATCACGTTTACTGTATCTATTTTCCACCAAGTGCTTAAAGTCCGCTCTAAAAGTTCCAAATTCTCTGACGTCACCAGTGAATTTTGGCATCTTTGGCTTCTCAATTCGAAATAGGCTTTCTCCTTTGCTTATATGAGTTGCTGTCTCCGCGGTGTTCTCAGTTGTGTTGAACGATGAATCATTAATAGATGTGCTGGGTTGTACAGGATGACTTTGGGTTTCTTGAGCTACTGGTGCTGATATCTGGTTGTCTTGATTTTCTTCATTCGGTATCGATGCATGACTTTCTTCGCCGGCCGGGATTTCGTTAATTTGTTCTTCATTCGACAAGTTCTCTGCGGGAGTATTTACGCTTCCGGTTTCGACAGTATTTTGTTTCATCTCTGATATTTTCGTCTGTTGCTTTATATAATCTTGCGCGTCAATTTTTAAGCGCAGAAAGGTTTCCTGGCATTGTTCAATATATCGTTCTTCCTCATTGAACTGTTCGTCATCTTCGATTAGCATTGTCACTTCTTCGTGTTTGGCTTCCAGGTCGGCAAATGCGTGTTCATAATTATCAAGCGCCCTTTGAACCTCATCGGTCGAACGTTTCCCCTCGATTTGGACTATTATAACTTTCCCGAGCCGTGTTAATGCTGCTTTGCCGTTTCGTCGTTTCATCTTAGCTTTCTTAAAATCGTCGCAATTGCCGTCTTTCGATGTCATATTTTCCATTGTCGTTTTACAGTATAATTCGTCTCAAATTCCTTCGAACCGTGGTTAGCAAGAAATCGAATAGTGTTTCGTCGGAACCAAGACGACCGGTTAGCAAGTAATCTCAGACATTAAACCAAAGAAGTCTCGCAAATCGCATTATAAATTATATAATAACAATTCGATCTAAATAGAGCAAATTAATACAAAGAAATATTAAAGTAAACATGCATATAAGCCTATAAATGTTCGCACGTGTGGCGTATAAATTACCCATACAATGCATAAATTCTGCGTAAACAAACTAGAATATAAAGTCAATGTCTTACTTCTGTGGCGAGATCCTTTAGCTGTCTATTTCATCGTTTATCGTTCAGGTTAGCCCGTCTTTCTTTCATTTACTTATTTAACAAAACATGCGTTATA